TTTTTCATATAATTGCATAGCATTTGCAATTGTCGTCTATTTAGAAATTTAAACTAAATTAATTAGTTTTCTTTTCATGTTCTTCTTCCATTAGCAGCTACCGACGTTGTATTCTTAAACAAATCTGAATTCATAAATATCACTTTGAGCCAATGGCGATACCCCGTGACGTTTAGATTGAGATTTCGCACCACTCAGGCAGATGGCCTTCTTCTTGGCACAAGACAAGGCCCTGATGGCTTTCATATTTCAATCGAAGACGGCTATCTTAAGGTCCACTTACAGCCCGGACAAGGTATTTGATTTTAAAAACAGCAATTACTTTTTGCACTTCCATTGCTTTAGGGATCCTCAACTTTTCAGGTTACATTGTTTCGTTACAGAAATAAGCTGTGACCTAAGTCCGGCCTTGTGTTCAAATAAAGCTTAACTTAATTTAGAGTAATGGAATATTTTGTGTCAACCCCCTCTAAATGTAACAGTGATTTTAGCTCGTTGCTATAGAGTGAATCACTTTTTCGACATCCCCTGCAAAATGATGACAACGATTCGAGTTTTTAAAAGCCATTGCCTGTGTCTGTAAGTTAGAAGCTATTGACTGATGAAGATGTTAACAGTTATAGGATATATACAATTGAGAACAAGGCTAGAAATAAAAAAACCATGAATGGTTAGTGTTGTTAGAAAATTGAAAGTTTTTCTAACGGTCCGGCCAATTGAGACAACTTGACCATGTTGTCTGGAAAATACTAAACCAATAAGCAAAACATTGATAAGTAACTTTTCTAGAGAAATGATACATATACTTGAAAGATTGTCATCTCAGAAAATTATGTCATTGACCAACAAAGATGCAACTCACATGCCTGACGGATAAGGTATGGATTAGGGGAGGGGACCCATCTAAAAAAACTTCACTTCTTACTGATCAACTTAAGCATGATTTTTCAATTTGTTTTGATTATACCATACCAGCGATATGTTTTTTGCAGTTTTCTATCTTGGAAAAGGCCTTCTTCACGACGCCCAATGGCATTTCTTGACAATTAAGATATCAAAGGCAGTAGTTGACATCACCCTTGACAGAAGGTATGGCCGCACACAGTGGTTTTTGCCCCCGCCTTTTGCTATAATAAGTTTTATTTTATTTTTAGTAAATTTATAAGATTTTATAGGGTAGGGCAAAGTTAGCTCATTAGCAAACAGCATGTCACATTATGTAGTTACAACTCTATGTTGATATGCTTTATTTCCCACAGTAAGAAGTACAAGTAATTAGAAAATGAAGAATTGGAAGAGTACTGTGTAACTGCATACACTCTTACTTCACGAAGAACACACTTCATCTTTGTACGAACAAAGAGGCTCAAGTTTTCAAAACTTAAGTACAGTATAAGCTTGAATAAAATGCAATCTGTTTTTGAAAATTTTCCTTTTTTATTCATAAAACAGAGCAGCTCATCTAATAAACTGTGTTTCTAAAAAAGCAGAACTTTTATTTAGTGGTCTTAAAAAAAATTCACTTTATGTCGATAAAAAATCAATCCTTGGTAAAATTTACTTGGGTCTTACAAAAAATATTGCATTTAAATTAGATTTCTCAGTAGCTCTAGAGCTTTATCTACAAATTGTTTTTCTCAAAGATCGAGTGAGACATGGAATGGTGGCCAGCACCTGCAACTTATCAGCTTCCCCATTTACATAGGAAGCATTCCAGGGTATCAAGAACAGTCAACCTCTGCGAAAATCCATTCTTTTGTTGGATGTCTTCAAGATATCTATGTGGCTGAGGTATGAGCACAGTGACTTAAAACTTCTTTCATATAATGATTAATATAACAATATAATATGATCCTTAATTCATATCTTTCAAATTTTAAAACATATTTGTAAATCATTAACCCCCACGAAACATTTCCCTTTTGTACATGCTTGCTTTGATAAAAATGTTTAAAGACAACTTATCATTATACATGTTTTTGCTAATTGAACAGATCTTGTAGCATAAGGAAAGTTTGCCTTCTTTAAAAAAGATCAAGATGATAAAAAAGACTGGACTGTAAGAAAAATGTGTGCATGTCACTTTCAAAACCATTCACATCCAATAGTGAAAAATAACAAAGCAGTTGTTTTTATTTAATTCTGTAACTGTACTTCCTCTTTTCATTTTTGTAGATAGATGTTATTTATAAAATGCTTTATACTGGAGATTCCACGTTATCTTATACAAAAGATATTCTAAAACATTGTCCAATGAGGCAAGAGAGCTTAGAAGAAGCTAGAAAGCGGATTTTTGGTAAGTTATGTTTAGTAAATTGAAAATAAAGACTATGATATGTTTTTATACAACTTAAAGTCCTTAAAATATTAGAAGTTTGTTATGGAAATAGATAAACAAAATATTATCTTGAAGATTTCATTTTATAGTATTCTTGGGCTAGGAGTGGTACTTAAGAGTTACGCTGCTTTATAATGATAATATTAATATAAAAATTTATGTAATAATAGTAAATGTTTATTACTGCACAACTAATTTTAAAATTTTATTAAATGATACTGAGGCTGTTTGTAAACGAGGTTGTATGAATTTTCTTGCTTTGGTTTATCATATAATAACGAGTGATGTTGTAATTTATCATTGTTATATTGGCTATCATTGAGCCTTAAAACAAGGCCGGATGATAAAATAAATAATCTAAGTTAGATAAAGCTGAAATAAAACTGAAACTGATTATCAATCCAAGACCAGTCATTTTTAAAGACAATCAAAGGTTTTAATGTAGAATCTAGCAGTTATCTGCTATGAATGATGGAGAAGCAAATCAGATGTTGTATATATTTGTCAACCTTTCCTTTTAACTTCATCTTTATTTTTTCGATTTTTTTCATAAATTTTTGGCAGATTTTAGTCAAGTTATAGCTACTTGTTCCCTTTAAGCTGAGAAATTGCGAAAGCCGTCTACCAAGGCACCTTCAACGCAACATCAAAATGAAATGATAAGAAATGCGAAGCGAGCAGACGGCAAACCGACGAAGCAAGTCAGTCAGGTAATTTTAGAGCGTACAATTTGTTTTGTGCAAATTAATTTTACCCTATGAAAATTGATTCTACCATTTGATGAGTAAAGGTAGCTCTAAAAAGGGGATGAGTGGATATTTTTGTTTGGGAATTGAATTGCTATGAAGAGAGCTCATATTCAATATAATTTGAGGGTTTTACAAATGGGCTACTAAATGGCTCAATGAAGAGAAACACTGTCACTTGGTGGCACTTTGGGCTATTTTAAGTAATCGTTATCTCTTAGATAGTCCTTTTAATTGAAAGCTGAGTTGAGGTTGTGACTTATTTTCAAAAAATGAACAAGATTTCATATTTCCAAAATCAACGACAGCCAATGGGTAGCGAAGGAGATTTATGGAATTCACACAATACCGTCCAGGCTCCCTGAACAACAATGCCAGATGATTTGCATAGCCAAATATTGTAAGGACAATTGTAAGCAAAATGTGAATATCTGCTGTTTAAAGGCTTGTTTTGATATTGGCATGCTGTTATTCAATTTTTACAGAACTTTGTTGTTACTGAAAGCTATCAAATTGCATAATTTTGGGTTTATGCTATCAATTTGGGGTTCTTATAATACTATTAGAATATAATACTATTTTAGGGTAATTATTATCATCTTGGTTCAATGGCAGATGAGATTTCAAGCCTCAATGGCAGTACTCCCCTTGCACGCTTTTTTAATTACAAATATAAGATTTATTCTGGTTATATCAATTCACAAACCTTTATCTCGCAATTTTTTTTAAAAGGAATCGAAAAGTCATGCAAAACTTGCAGCTGAAAATAACAAGGATCTGATCGCCTGGATTACAAGTGGGGTTGTCAGTGGTACAATCGTGCTTATGATAATGACAGCTTGTGCTATACACTACTTTAAATTCAAGTACGAAAACATTTTTGTAGCTAGAATGCATGAACAGGAAAACATGCAAGAACAACAGCAGAGTTTAAGTAGTATGCAAATGTTCCCGAAACAGCAGGCTGTCGTATTTTTACCTGAAAAGCAGGTCACTAAGGTTGTCAATCTTTGATCAAACTCAATCTTTGATCAAGCAGTTACTGAGATTATGATAAAGCTATTAATTGGTTTGACTTGTTTCATTGATTGGTTACACTCAGAATAGCAAAACATTGAAGATATGCAATTTTGAAGTATTGAAAATTTACCTTCCTATTCGGTTTATCGTAAATTGTTGCATTTGCGAGATGAAAACTGAGTTTAATGCTCAATTAATTCGAACTGAATCTAATTCTATAAAGCCCTGAAAGACAAAATCACAAAAATGACTTTTCTAGTGTTTTGCAGATAATAAAAGCAGAATTGTTTCAAAGATAAGCTCAACGCTGTAGTTATATGGAGTTTATATATTCAAGTTTGCTATTTCAAAAGTTTCTAAAAAAGCTTAACTTTAATTTTATTTCATGATCTCAGAGCTTATGATTGAATAAGCATGATGTTACATTTCCTGGGCCAAAAACGTTTGATCGCTTCATTTTGTTTAGGAAAAACCTTCTGATACTTCATTTTGGGCAGAATGTACAGTTATCATCATAAAAATCTTTGAGGTTGTCAAAGTAAATTACTTCTAAATCATGAAAGAATCTGTTGTAATCGAAAATATGAGTGTAAAATATGCCAAAAAAGTGTACACAGCTTTTCTTTCTTCTAGATTATTATAATTAAATGGTCAAAAAAATATCCATGCATGTATGATGTTAATAAGATCTCTGTCTCAGGATTATATCGTTATTCTTGAACAGTTTGCAGATTTGAAATATTTCCTGACCAAAGCCCTTGATATTTCATGAAAATAATCTTCTCTAAATTCGAGTCACTTTCATGGTCTATAGCCTTTCAACTTTCCAATAAACTAGGCTCCTCAAGAAGGTCGTCATTTTCATAGCTAATAGATTTGCATATTTCAAGAACATAGTGGTCTAATTCTCAAAACGTCTTGGAAGGGTCAACTTTTGATACAAAAATGTAAGGCTAAAAGATTGTAAACATCATATAATTTCTCTAAACGTTTTTTAAAAAATGGCGGTTCTAAATGATCAGAAAAAACAAAGTCGAGTAGAGTTCTGAAAAAAAAGTGCTTGTGTTTGAAAAATTAACTCTTTCTTGGAAGGGTCAATTTTCGACCAAAAAAGAAAAAGCTAAACTTCTATTAAATCAGTTAAAAATTCTACAAGAAAACTTTTTTTCAAAAGCCTTCTAAATCGGTTCTAAATGATCAGAAAAAAAACAATGAGTGACTTTAGTTCATGAATAAAAGCCTTCGTTTTCGAAAAGAGTCGACTTCTTAGAAGGATCGATTTCTGTTGAAAAAGTAAGGTTATAGGCTTAGGAAAATGGTCGAAATTTGTTCATTAAGTTTTTCTTCATAAACAGGCCAAATCGGTTCTAAATGTTTAGAAAAAACAAAGATTTTATTTCCTTCTTGAATAAAAGTCTTTGTTTTCGAAAAAGCAACTTCTAAGAAGGGTCGATTTTTGATAAAAAAGTAAGGCTATAGGCTTAGGAAATTTGTCGAAATTTTTCCATAAAGTTTTTCTTCATAAACAGGCCCAATCGGTTCTAAATGTTCAGAAAAAACAGTGATTTTATTTACTTCTTGAATAAAAGTCTTTGTTTTCGAAAAAGCAACTTCTAAGAAGGGTCGATTTTTGATAAAAAAGTAAGGCTATAGGCTTAGGAAATTTGGCGAAATTTTTCCATAAAGTTTTTCTTCATAAACTGGCCAAATCGGTTCTAAATGTTCAGAAAAAACAGTAATTTTGTTTACTTCTTGAATAAAAGTCTTTGTTTTCGAAAAAGCAGCTTCTAAGAAGGGTCGATTTTTGATAAAAAAGTAAGGCTATAGGCTTAGGAAATTTGTCGAAATTTTTCCATAAAATTTTTCTTTATAAACAGGCCAAATCGGTTCTAAATGTTCAGAAAAAACAGTAATTTTATCTATTTCCTGAATAAAAGTCTTTGTTTTCGAAAAAGCAACTTCTAAGAAGGGTCGATTTTTGATAAAAAAGTAAAGCTATAGGCTTGAGAAATTTGTCGAAATTTTTCCATAAAGTTTTTCTTCATAAACTGGCCAAATCGGCTTTAAATGTTCAGAAACAACAGTAATTTTATTTATTTCTTGAATAAAAGTCTTCTTTTTTGAAAAGGCAACTTCTAAAAAGGGTCGATTTTTGATAAAAAAGTAAGGCTATAGGCTTGAGAAATTTGTCGATATTTTTCCATAAAATTTTTCTTCATAATCTGGCCAAATCGGTTCTAAATGTTCAGAAAAAACAGTAATTTTAATTTCTTCTTGAATAATAATCTTTGTTTTCGAAAAAGCAACTTCTAAGAAGGGTCGATTTTTGATAAAAAAGTAAGGCTATAGGCTTGAGAAATTTGTCGAAATAATTTTCCATAAAGTTTTTTTCATAAACTGGCCAAATCGGCTTTAAATGTTCAGAAACAACAGTAATTTTATTTATTTATTGAATAAAAGTCTTTGTTTTCGAAAAAGCAACTTCTAAGAAGGGTCGATTTTTGATAAAAAAGTAAGGCTATAGACTCAGGAAAATTGTCGAAATTTTTCCAGAAAGTTTTTCTTCATAAACAGGCCAAATCGGTTCTAAATGTTCAGAAAAAACAGTAATTTTATTTACTTCTTGAATAAAAGTCTTTGTTTTCGAAAAAGCAACTTCTAAGAAGGGTCGATTTTTGATAAAAAAGTAAGGCTATAGACTCAGGAAAATTGTCGAAATTTTTCCAGAAAGTTTTTCTTCATAAACAGGCCAAATCGGTTCTAAATGTTCAGAAAAACAGTAATTTTATTTACTTCTTGAATAAAAGTCTTTGTTTTCGAAAAAGCAACTTCTAAGAAGGGTCGATGATTTTGATAAAAAAGTAAGGCTATAGGCTTAGGAAATTTGTCGAAATTTTTCCATAAAGTTTTTCTTCATAAACAGGCCAAATCGGCTCGAAATGTTCAGAAAAAACAGTAATTTTATTTACTTCTTGAATAAAAGTCTTTGTTTTCGAAAAAGCAACTTCTAAGAGGGGTCGACTTTTGATAAAAATGTAAGGCTATAGGCTTAGGAAATTTGTCGAAATTTTTCCATAAAGTTTTTCTTCATAAACAGGCCAAATCGGTTCGAAATATTCAGAAAAAACAGTAATTTTATTTACTTCTTGAATAAAAGTCTTTTTTTTCGAAAAAGCAACTTCTAAGAAGGGTCGACTTTTGATAAAAAAGTAAGGCTATAGGCTTAGGAAATTTGTCGAAATTTTTCCATAAAGTTTTTCTTCATAAACAGGCCAAATCGGTTCTAATTGTTCAGAAAGATCAGTGATTTTATTTACTTCTTGAATAAAAGTCTTTGTTTTCGAAAAAGCAACTTCTAAGAAGGGTCGATGATTTTTGATAAAAAAGTAAGGCTATAGGCTTAGGAAAATTGTCGAAATTTTTCCAGAAAGTTTTTCTTCATAAACAGGCCAAATCGGTTCTAAATGTTCAGAAAAAACAGTAATTTTATTTACTTCTTGAATAAAAGTCTTTGTTTTCGAAAAAGCAACTTCTAAGAAGGGTCGATTTTTGATAAAAAAGTAAGGCTATAGGCTTAGGAAATTTGTCGAAATTTTTCCATAAAGTTTTTCTTCATAAACAGGCCAAATCGGCTCGAAATGTTCAGAAAAAACAGTAATTTTATTTACTTCTTGAATAAAAGTCTTTGTTTTCGAAAAAGCAACTTCTAAGAAGGGCCAATTTTTGATAAAAAACGTAAGGTTATTGGCGTTGGATTTTTATAAATCTAGTCTTCTGGAAAAAATGTCATTTTCATAGGATTTGTTGTGAAAACAGTCTCCTTCGAAGGCCGTCATTCGGTTGTCAATAACCCTTGAATTTTCCTGAAAGTAACCTCATAAAATTACCAGAGTTTCATATCTCAGTCTACCAAAGCTCAAACTACAGGAGTTCAAACAAGCAGAGTTGAAAATGTCAAGATGTTGGCTGGATCCTGCAACAAAGTAAGACGCATAAAACATAGGAAAGAAATCATTTCAAATTAGCCACAGTCTTCATAAGCCATTTACGTCCAATATTCTTAAAAACAACAAAACATGTGAAATTTTACCTTGCTTATGTAATAAATTTCACTAACAATGCAGGCAATGAACATAAATAAACATAGAAAGTGACCGAGAGTTAACGAAATTGTTCTTACATGATTTTCTACCAGCTGAATATAAGTTATTAAAAGTTATATTTCAAATGTGTTTATTTCCCTTTTAGTTTCAGAAACTCAGACACATTAGTATATGTTTATGTCTGAACATCTCAAAATGATTAATAAAACCAATACTGCAATATACAAACGCATGATGTTATCATAAATCAACGCAGAGGTAAACTGACTATTAAAACTTTGTGTTCTCTATTTTGCATTATTACAAATAAAATCAAAAGAAACATCAAAGAAATACTAATAATTTTGCTGGGAACCAAAGAATATGTTTCTCATTTTCTAGTAGGCAGTGGACCACTGATATGAAATCATTTAACATCACCAAATTGCCTTGCAATTTTATAATCGGTGTCAGTTGCTAAAGAACAATGTGGTCAATTGGATCTACCTTTAAATATTTCTAAATGCAAACCAAAACATAACAGATACACTTAACGATTCATCTAAAACAGGTGTAGATTTCGAGCATCCAAACTTCAAATTATTACTGAGAAGGAAAATAAAACATGAAGGCAAAACAAAACCAAAAACATTATCAAAATAGCCGAGTACTTTATTTAGCCCATAATATGTTTCAGATAGGGCATTGCTAATATGCATAACAAAGTAGTAGTTAGTTATCTAAAATATTATGTAAATCGTTTACAGTATCAAAAATTATTTTAGTGTATAATAATCGCAAAGCATTTCAATTAAACCCGTTTATCCTCGTACCCATTGACCTGTTGTCCATCTGTCCTCCCAAACAGACTAGCCCCGTTGTCATCCAGCATCTTAGCCAGCTGTTGCTTGTTTTCTGCAACATAAACTTGATACGGACTTCCCTCGGCATGCTCATCCGACCACATTACATTGACCGTATACTGACCTGGTTCCGTAGGATGGTACATGACACCAATTGTACGATCTTTGGCACTTTCTCGGTACATTTGGACTTTGAATGCCCCCTTTGGTCCATGAATACGAACCTTTAGTGTGCCAGGTCCAGCTCCTCTCGTTTCGACGGTGAATTTTCCTTCGTATTCACCTGTCAAGACAATCAGTATGATACTACGAAGTCATACGCAGTTAACCCCCTGATAGCAGCTGGAAAAAGTGCTGCAGTTATGGAAGTATCTAAGTCATAATTTTGACAAAATGCGTTGTGTTACAAATACAAAAGCATCTGTATGAAATGCATAGGATAAAAAATTGAGGGAGACATTGTTGACAGGGATAGTAGTCAGGGCTGAAGAATATTCTGTGCAGAGAATATTGACCTAAATTAATAGCCGGAAAAGGAGGCAATCTGGCAGGACCTTTTCAATGCATTTTCGCCCAAAAACTGTCTTAAAACTTCCAATGCGGTTACAGTGTTTCGGTAAAAACCCAACAAATTATTCAAAAACATCAGTGCAAGTCTAAAAAGCTACGATGGTCTCTGGACACTCCCATAAAACAGCCAACACTATAGATGTCATGACTGCATTGAATTGACTGCACTGTCAGTTTAATTTAAGGGTGTGTCTTGGGACGTCGCTGGGTGGGGCTCGTATAATCCTTCCCAAAGTGAGCTGCATTCTCTCGCCACTTGCTGCCATCTAACACGGATTTACAGGAGGTTGAGGAGATCCAAAACAGAGGAATTCATTTAGCTTCCAAGGAACGTTTTGACTGGATTGGCTCACTGCCCAGAGAAAGGATGAGCATTTTTCTGGATCTTGGCGATAGGGTATATGGGAATGATAAAGATGAAGTTTGATAGGAAAGGAGAAGTCTTATTTTTTGTTTGTGTAGTAATGACAACAATGTTAGCGCAACAATAATAATAATGTTGCTTGGACAATAGAAAAAGAGAACAATATTGATAAGAATTATTGAGAAACTTACTAAGAAGCCCGCTTTTCAGGCCAGGTCCATGAACTTTCACTTTGCCAACATCCGGTGCTTGCATTATTCGTACCATAAATGGACTTCCAGGCACTGGTTTGCCATCCCATTCTAAATGTACACTATGCACACCAGGCTCTTTAGCATTTAAATCGATAGTAAACGTCCCATCTTCATTGTCTGATATCAAAACGTGAGTATCTTTCCCGTTCGGAGATTTGCAGTTGCATGCAAGTTTTCCTTCGCCTGCCTTCCTGCTGTCTAGCGTAAACATTACTGGCTGGCCTGCAGTTCCTTCTTTCAGTCCAGCTCCGGAGAGAACTACGAATATATTTTCTAACTTAAGAAAAAGCAACGTCTCACGTCCTTAGCTGCATCGGATATTTTGCATATGGCAAAGAAACAAAAGAGTTCTTTCCGCATTGCAACGATTTAAAATGGGATGTACTTTGCTTATTCATGCTCTGGAAAAAGCTAACAAAGGCCGACGAATTCTGGCATTGTTACCTAAATCGTACTTAATTGGATTCACATACTTGCTGTGATATCCCCATTTAACCAAGCTTACAGAGGCCTTATCTATCAATACAAAATACAGATACAAGTAAAATCCATGCAATGTTGTTATTTAGGCCCTTTTTATGCGAAAATGTATCACAAGGAAGTCACTTCCATTAAAGTGGCCTCGTTATCAATCGGTATCCAAATCGTGTTGAGTTTAGTCCTCTACATGGTATTGTTTCATCTTATATTGATTAGCATATTTATACAGGTCACGTCGACATTTACCTGAATCGAAACGTTCATCAACACGATATGGAATGAAACAGAAGGATTTCAATGACTGAATCTGCCATGGTTTGAAAAGGAGGCCACTTAGGATACAAAAGGCAGTCTCATTTTAGATCTGCTATTTTAGATAGACGAAAACAGTCAGCCAAGAAGGTTTAAAGTACTTTTAAAATAAGGTCAGAAACATCGGGTAGGGTTGTGAAAGATCTTCATATCGTAGTATTACGGTGGTGTTTTCACCTCAATTTTTTAAAAGTACGGATCTTACTGTTACAAAAGGATAGGTCCTAGACCCTCCCTTATATTGTCTCTAAATATTGTCTTTTAACAATATCGGCATGTTGCTTTGATAAATAGACCAGTCATCGTGTTCTCTAGCCCCACCTGCCATGGGATTGTATTGTATGAAATATTTGTAAGCATATTTTATATGAAACAATTACAATACCAAGACTGTGAAGGCTTCAGAACAGCAACCTTATTTAGCCACCCTTAAAGGCAATCGACAGATACTTGATTGGCTTAAGCCATCCGTCAGTCAACAATTAAGCAATGAGTGGCTAACAGGCCTATTGATTGGCTAAGTTTGATTGACAGATGACTTAAGTCACTGAGGTATCAGTCTATTGCTTTTTAATCTGGTTTTAATCTGCATGTTTGTAGCTAGTTAGTTTGTAGTTATCATCAAATGAAAATGGTATTCAACTTACCAACTTCTTCCGGGTGTGCTCGGTTGAATCCAGTTACCATAAAAGGACTCCCAGGAATATGTACGTCATCGTACTTAATGGCAAACTCATAGGAGCCTGTGCTCGGTACTGAGTACGTTACTTCATATGCGTTATCTCCAATGGACCTCACTGCTACAGGTGACAATACATTGGTCCCTTGACCAACAACAACAGCAGTTAGCTCGCCTTTCCCTGCTCGTGTACAATCAACATGAACCTTTGAAATCTCGTTTACAGGAGCTAAGGAGAAAAAAAAAATAGTTGCCCATATGAAAACAAATTACAAACAGAATACCTTTGCTCTAAAAGACAAATAATTCAAAATATGGGCACAGGACATTTAAAATAAGCGGAAATAAGGCCTTATGTCATATTCTAAGATCCTCCTCTGTTTCTTTTAGAACTATATACCATGTATGGATATATAAAATTCAAAAATCGTAAGATCCAATAATTAAAAAGCGCCTTGTTTGATAAAGCTACAAGTCATCGTGAGCTATGGTCAGACCCCGACATTAAAAGAAGAAGATATCTGCAAAGTTGATTGGGCAAAATATTTTTTAATTACGTGAAACAAAATAGCCACGATGCGACGTAATGCCACATTCTTCATAAAGAAGCTGTAGGCCCTGAAACTGGATTGCTAGAGAAACGGGCTGACATTTGCGGTAACAAAATAATTTAAATGAAAGTTAAAAGTTTGCTTCATATTTTAAATTAAGCCCGCAGTCAGACCTTCATCCTCAACCTTATAGCTCTTTCACTACCCGATTTTTAGCTTCCTCTCATCTTTACTTTTTAAACAACTATTGTTAATATTCGAACTATGATCCGGTCGATGTGTAAAGAGATTCTTCAACTAATATGTGCTCCATCAACTGCACGAACTTACAAGTTTAACTGGCTACGTAACTTTTGTACAAGACATGGCAGTGACATTTCACCACCTTCGCGACAAATGCTAGGAGACCGAGAACTCTATCGTTTGAAGAAAGTGGTCTTTGAAAACATATTAAATAATTAAATACGAGGAGGTTTCATTTAAGCATATAATTCAATAGAAAGAATAAAGTAACCTGCTCTGTACGATATTAAACTGGGATATTTACGAGGTAATAGTTCTCACACTGGCTGTTTACATTTCAGTTTACAACATAAAGCAGTTAACAGAAATTACCGACAAAAAGCAGCGTTCACTTGCGAACAATTCTTTTTATGACTTTTGTTTAAGCTGTTACGTCTAACTGATGAGGCGTAGATCTGAGCTTTCGAAAAAACTCATTTTGTTACATTTTCATCAAGTAAGGGTCTGACATGAAATAAGAATATGCAGTTGTAAATATCAAAATGATTTTGTAATTTTAGTTTCGAAAGGACCAGTACATACTATTTCAATGGGCTTGCAATGCAAGCTTTTGCCAGATTTAGCATAATCTTGGAATTAGCATAATCTTTGAAAAATATCTCGATTTTGATAATTGTACGGTACATTCCTTTCTATTCTTTTAGAAATCTGTTCTCTTTAGCAAATAATAGCAAGGAAATAGTTCACTGCTTTTTTTACCCATTCTATATCTTTGAGAAATGACGCCTTTAAGCATTTAAGCTTGATCTAGCAATAGATGTTTTCTTAGTTAAGGTCGCTGGTTCAAAATTGAAAAGGAATGACTAGTAGATAAAATGCTTTGCCTACCTTGATGCAATCCATCTCCACTTGCAACGATTCTCGATGCATCACTGGCTTCAAGTACTTCTATCATGTATGGACATCCTTCTAGTGGGGCCCCTGCGAAGCACACATTTACCTCATGCATCCCAGGCTGCTTTGGGGTGAAATGTATTCGCTTGGCGCGTTGACCGTTGTCAATTATCATTACTGGTAGCTCTACACCACAAGGGCTTTTAACAGTGCATGCTACATCCCCATGCCCTGCTTCTTCGTCAAAGTCTATGCTCAATGAGTACTCTGAAGCTACTTTAATCGGCTTGATATCAACAGTGTGGAAACGACATTTTTTGGGATTTCCAACCTTGACTGTGAAGGGACTGCCTCGTACTGGAACTCCGTTGAAATCAAGGTAAACATCCAATGGTTCAAGGGTATCTGGATAATACTGCCCGCAATAGCTATTCTCATCTAATTTGTCTAGTTCAATGGGGATGGTCTCGTTTCCGCATTGGGCGTACCCGTGGACTTTACCTGGTCCTGCACCGATCGTGGTGACTTCAAAGCATGCGGCTTCGTTGAGTCGTGCCTGATACAATCCTTCTCCATGAGCCACGCATTTACCAGGGTCATTAACGAGCACAGTGAACGGGCAACCATAGACTTTCCGGCCGTTCCACAAGATGTCCGTATGATACACGCCAACTGTAGGGGGTTCGAAAGTTATGCTAACAGAGCCATCGTCATTCTGTATAATTGTAGTTGGGGTGTCTGAATAATGAGGTCCGGACGTTGTTGCTGTGATTGTTCCTGGTCCGGAACGAGACACGTCTATCGTCATAAGCACTGGTTCATTCGGAGCGACACAAATCTCTTTCCCTGCAAATAGATTATCTTAAAAAACCTGTCCGTTTAACATCAAAACAGCCACATCAAAGAGGTTTGACCATCAGCTAGAATAAAAATGCTGTTTCTAGTACTTTTTGGGAAACCAGATACATCAATACTATATAAGGCTCTCTTTAATATGTTCCTAAAAATTAAAACGAACACGATTCCAAATATTTTGGGGCAATAAACCGAAGCTAACATGGGTTGCAAAGCAGTGTAAAAATTATCACTAATAAGTGGAAACTCACCATCCTTTTGTTGAGAAGAACTGACAACGACACTGCCAGCGTCGACAACTTTTGCCACGTAAGGACAACCAGGTAGATTTTCGCCATTAATATTGATGAAAAGTCCATGAAGTCCTGTTGCTTTGGGTGTGTATCTTATCATATATATGCCTTCTCCTTGACTAATTACAGTGGCAGGAGACTCTTCCATTGTGGGAGAAACAGTATACGCATGGAGTTGAGCACTGTCAAGCCCAGTTTCAAGCTTTATCTCAGCCGGTTCATTGATAAACACTTCGCCAAGTCCGGAGCCAGAAACAGTTACTCTTGTCAAATCTTGCACGATCTTTATGCTGATCGGGCTACGATCGAGATGCTCTCCCTTGTATGTCAGGTCGATTGTGTACAAGCCAGGGGTGTCTAAAGGATATTTGCAGACAACAAGTCGACTGTTCATTTGTTCCTTATTCAATGGCATGATTCTGTCCTCTTCCCCCGCATTCAGACCTGGCCCAGTTACGATAACTTGAAGATCATTGTCATCAAAGTCCTCTTCACATCGGATATAAAATTCATTGTTCTCATCCATTTGGGGATCGGTTAGGCCAGTGCCAGATATTGAGAACATGTCTGCCGTCACAACTTTGTCTGGTTCTGGGGCAGTTTCAGTATCAGCTGCAGCCTCAACTCGAACCACTTCCTCAACTTGAACCATTTCCTCAACTTGAGCCACTTCTTCGACTTGAACCACTTCCTCAACTTGCACCTGTTCTTCCAAGTTTTTGAAGATATCTTCTTGATCAGGTGAGGTCTCCTCCTTAGCAATTTCTAAAATAACCATGGGTTCTTCCTCAGTCTCTTCGATTATACTCACAATGCGAGTGGTTTCCACCGGCTTTTCAACAGAAACGGCAACATCTCTGAATTGCATCAGATAGGCCATTACAGCTATCTCGGGTATTTCAGGTTTGATGAGATCTTCGGGCGTAAACAATTTCTTTATACCAAATTCTTCTTCGGCTTTACTCATTCCAAGCGTTGCATTTTCAAGGCTGTTATCTGGGTTCAGGTTTTTGTAGTTTGGTATTGTCCCTGGCTTGATACTCTCCACAAGGGTGCACAATTTGATGCCATCGTTCCAATCAGTGTTGAAATTACTGAACGTGATATCGTGTGACCATGATGCGACAAGCTCCTTCGCATACTCTTGCCCAATCGCGTCGTCCTGAATGAAATATGAAAGATATGCAATCATACTTTGTTCGTCGATGCTTGGGTCTGCCATTTGCTCTGCAGTCAATAGCATAGGTATTCCCAGCTTCTCTTTTGCCAAATTCAGCCCGAGTCCGCAATTCTCGACCTTATCCTGGGGCTGCAGACTGGGGTACTGGGGACACGTTCCAGGTTTCACTGACTCTATTAAGGCACAGAGCGCGATTCCAGTGTTCCAGTCTCTTGTGAGGTTGGTAATTGCTTGTGTGGGTATCACATTTTGTGCCCAAAGGAGAACCAGCTTCTTGACCGGAATCTTGATCGTCATAACTCCAATCTGGTAATGCAGAATCATGCGCCAAATCAAGCCAAGAATGAGCTTGAGGCTTCCATTCACGATGTGTTCACTGTCTGCAAAGTTAAAGAAAAGGCATTTTTAAAAGTTTAACACACACCGCACAATTGATAGCAAAGACCGTCTCTATACCAGGGGGTATCTGATGGTGTAACGTGGCTTACTCTGGCTAAAAGGGCCCAAATGGGTACTAAGGGGTATCTGATGGTGTAACTTGGCTTACTCTGGCTGAAAGGAGGTATCTAGTCACTCCTTAAATGTCACAAGTCAGCTTTCCTTATAAAAACTCGGATGCCTTTGATTTCATTTACTCTTCTAGCAGTAAGGAGAATGAAAGAAGAGCGAGACATGTGTTCATTTCACTCAACACTCTTTTAAAAAAGACAGAAAATGCTTGATTAAGTAAACTTTATATCTACTGACCAAAAAACGATGTTCGTAATGCACATTAAGATAACGGCAGAAACCAAAGAAACAAATAACTTAAAAATAGCTAAGTGCTAAGGAATCTCTTTAAAAGTATCATGGCTTTGCTTCTTAAAACGAGAAGGGTGAAGCAATAGTAAACACGATGCTTTTCAAGGGCTACAAGAAGAATTAAAGATTCTCTATCTGCAGAAATTTTTTAACCTTAACAGCGGGGGTACTATACTTTTTTCCTATGATATAAAAAGCCCCACAAAGACAAGATTATATGTAAAGCTCGTTCTAAAAATTGTAACAGCTGTGAAATATTTCCTAAACGTGTGAAACCAGGCAGAGAAAATCCCCCGTGTACCTCAACATCTGCGTAGAATACAAAACATTGTATTTTCATTATGAATGGCAAAAGAAACACAGCTCAAACCTAACTTGAACTAAACCCCAGTTATCAACCTTGGAAGATGTCTGAATTTCTTGAAAGGTTATCACTTATGCAGTTATCCAGTGGCCTATGTATTCTCCTGGTGACTTCCCATCCTATTCCCACCCCCCTGTATATTAACTTCAGATACAAATATCTTTAAACGATTGTGACGCTTCTGTCGTTGTCTTGTAGCAAGCTTGAGGTTTGTTGCATTAACAACAGTGAATGGATAGGTTGGATTTCGCATGATAACGTGAACCACAATTAACAAGTTTAAAATATCAGGTCGACCAGAGGTCTTTGTTGAATTAAAGCACTAGCACTGATTTGTTATTCATGACTCACTTTCCACAGGCAAGATTACTTCATCTTAAGGTGACTTGGAAATAGAGCGTTACCTAGATACAAACAGTGTTAGCGAAATGAGACAGGGTAATAAAAAGATAAATAAATCATATACATAGCATCGCCGAAGAAAACAGGGGGTAAATTGATTCTCAATACACTTCTATCCTTTTATCATATATTTTATATCATGTCGTCTGCTATGTAGAAAGAATTTCAAAATTGCATCATAACTGAAAATTTGATGTTTTCTTATCGAGTAATTGTAATTTCAAGCCAAGACAAACAAATGGATGAAACACAACTCTTGGATGAATTTGATTGACCATATTGTGACAAGGGTGGGGGAGGGGAAGAAAATTGCCCCTTTATGCCACCACTTAAACAAACTCGCTGAAAACCATTGATATGCCTTTAAAAACAACCTTGTGGCGTTTGTTAATTTCAACACTATGTCCTTATGACCAATGAAACACTTAACTTGCAACTTCAAGTAAAAGTTTAATATTTTGGTGTTAATTTTTCGAATTGATAGCAGTGGTGGCGCCAGGGGAGGGCTAGAGGGGGCTACAGCCCCTCCGTCGGAAGCATCTAGCCCCCCCCCATCGGAGGAAATTTTAGGTTATTGTCGGAGCAAATTTGACAAAATAACGTACGAAAACTGCTTATTTTAGTCATTTTAGCCCCCCTGTCGAAAGCTCCAGCCCCTCTGTCGGAAGATTTCTGGCGCCACCTCTGATTGATAGTGGATTGCCATCATTCAAAAGCAGCATAATAGAGTACTCTTCTCCACAGAAACTATTGTAAAGGAAAATAGGGAGTGAAAAAAGGTGGAGCTGCGGAGAATAGGACGGGGAAGGCAGTCGAGAAGAGAAAAGGGAAAATCTGCCGCTATTCTCTTCCTCCCTCTCCCTCGCAGCTCCTCCATTTTTCCTTTTCTTCCGCAGTTCCCTTTATCTATCATCTTTCCCTCCCCATCTCTTCTCAAATAGCCTCTATGGAGGAGAGTGATAATAGAGAAAAAGGATTGTTCACGCTTTACAAATAAAACAAAATCTAGAAACACAAAGGTTATGACAGATAATTCATACTTATATCAAATTTTGACATACTTATACTTAGAGAAAAGAGGCAAGCAGAAGTTGGCACTTTGAATTAAACAATATGGGACATTCTGATTTATTGGTAAAATATAACAAGGTACTGCAAAAGAGCTTACGAAAAGAAAGAGAAGAAACTGCTCCTTTGAAATGTCAGAAAATTAAATTTTATCAAAACTTCTAATGGACATTAAAAAGAACATGGAAAAATTTCAAGTGTTCTCTTCAGTTACCATATTCTTTCGAAATAATTCCCCTCCCCCGAAACCAGAAAAAAATTTGATAAATGGACTTGAAATTATCTCGATTAGTGATGGTATTCTTGTCACTCAGTTGGAGATCGATTTATCTTCAATATTCTAACGGTAATGAGTCTTGCAATATTCTAAACGAAAAAGTAGAGTAAAAACCTCCTTTTCATTGGAAAACGTATGCTTTTTGAGAGTTAAGTGAGGCTGTTTGACTAGAAAGCACCCCCCCTCCCCCCATGATGTAATAGGAATGGAATCTAATCGCTTATTCATGCTAATTCATCATCATCAGGTACCATCTTCTATCAGAAGGTTGGCTACCATGACCCTCCAACTATCCAAAAATCTTAGTTTTGGTTTGTTGTCATGGTCATAGATAAAACTAAGGGGCTAATAGTAGAGATGGGCTCCCAGAACCACCTCTACTATGCTTATCTATCATGCTAATTATGCTTATAATAACCTTCCTGTTTGTATATATTGTAATCGCTGTTGAGAATCATTAGTCAGCAGTTTTAGTCAGTTCATTACCTCAATACGAGTTGCAAGCAAACTCTTGCTGTCGATATCTATCTACTCAAACCTCATTACAATGAAACATGATTTGGAAAGGGTAAATCGATGACTGAAGATTTAACACACATGAAATAAAGAATATCAAGGTTTATAAATGAAGCATAGCAATGTGGGTCTATGCATCCCCCTTTTCAATTGTATTTAATGGTACTCATTCTTCGTACATAAAAATTCTCAAAACATTTTCTGTGACGTCATAACTTAAGAACACTTTAAATGAGTCATTGAATTCGTGATAACAAACAGAACTGCTCTCCTTGGAAACAAGACAATTTACCGTGACAACCATTCATGTGGATGCCATTGGAGCCAAGGAATTCCTTTGTTTTATAATTCGATTCTGAGAAACAAAACTGTAGTGATAATAAGTCAAATTATATCCATGGAAAAGTGAGAACAACTACACAAAGAGCATTTATGCAACCTTGTGTACATTCACAGCATTTTTGTCCGTGCGTCGCCGAAAACCGCTTTATAAATTGTATCTTTAAGTGGGCCTATTATAAGCAAGAGCGGCGTCAAAGGGAAGCTGGGGGCTTCAGCTCCCCACTTTTTTTGCAAAAAAAGATTTTAAGAAGGTTAGATGAGAATAAAGGGAAAGAAATAGAAGAAAAGAATAGCATAATAAATCCTTGTATTGCTTAATTTCAAAGGAATAATCCGAAGTCCATTGCAAGAAATTGACTGCAAGAAATTCAAATAAAATCATGGGCATAACATATCGTGAAGCATCTTAGTGCGTTTTTCAAAAATGTTTTTTAGTAAAATAATGCTATCAACTCAAGCCCCTTCCCCACTTTGAATACCCGCTTAAGCGTACCCTTATTTCTCCGGTATTCGTTAACTGTGAAAACTTGTCCCCAATATATGTAACAGCACCAATTTCGTTAATGGCTAACCGCACTATCCGCAAACTGCTCTCAAATTGACGACAAATCCGTATAACCGCGAATCTACAACGGGCCCACATTAAAGAGGGAGGTTGTGAAGGGGAGAGTTAAGGGGGCGGGGGTGAAGAGGGGCGGGGTTTGGTGAAAGAGAGCAAAGAGCAACACACAGTCACAAATGGGTTAGCAGCATTTCTTTGTGTTATTCCTTCGATATAAAATAAAACCTAGTCATAACTTTGGGTTTGGATGATCTGGCTTGGGAAATGTTGGACATTGTTGCTTTTGTGTACCTTTTATACACTCGAGCAACTTTTCTAATCACGTAAATATTTGATAGTAAAGTTAGTGCTATCCTTAACAATTATTTGATGCTCAAATACTCTTTGCATCTAATCTCTTGAAACCCTTTGGGGATTTAGACCTCAAACCCCTTTGAATACAACCCTCAAACACTCGGGATCATAACCTAACAACAACGTGGAATATAACCATAAAGCACCTCTGGGAAATATCTCTCCAACTCCCAGGCACATACCACCCATAAAGTATACCGCTAGTGCGTCACCCCTTTGGAGATTAATAGATTAATTATATTTCCGTGAGGATTTTCTTGAATCACACGAAACATCTAGCAGTAATATCTATAATCCCTCACGTAGAATTTCAGAAAGATGCCTTGTTCCTTTTACGATGCAGAGTGGTGTCAAGAAAAGTCGTCTCAAAATGCGTTCCGAGTTTTCAACTTCGCTGAAAAGATATGCTTGCAAAGAGGTCCAGTGGGAAATAAGAATTCTTCCCATTAATTTTACAAGAGGAAAAGAGTAGCCCCCGGATCCAAAACACTCCCCCGTGTGCTGGAGGCAAATTTACGATGGAAAATATTTTTATAGACAGCGGAAGATAAGACCTTAGACACCAAAATTATGTCAGAGCGGAACATGGGAACAGAATGCAAGCAAGAACACACAGAAACAGGAGAGGCTAAAACCCTTAACCCTAAAAACTCGTATTTGCCTGGGTAATTGCCCCCCCCCCCATGCATTATTAAGCACAGGTGTTAAAAACAAGTAAGCTTTGAGATTGGCATAAGCATTAGAGGGCCGCTGTGGCTTGAAATTAAATATTGATTAACAAAGACCTAAAGATTTTTATTACCCGGGACTAAAAGCAGTCAGAAGATGGGGATACATTCATAGATATTTTCGATGTCTTTGAGATGGGTGCGGTCATATGTCAACACCACAACTCAGTTATAAATCCGCAAAATTTATAAAGAAATGACAAATATTTACCCATGTGATTCACGAGAAGTCAGACTGCAAAACCTGTCATTAAATTAAGCAAACAGTTTACTATTAGGTAATAAAACATACCAATGCTAAGCAGATTAATGCCATCTTTTTCCATCGCCTTCAAAGCCAGTGTTACATTTTCGATCATTTGAGTCGGCAGCTTTGGTTTCTTGGTGTAACGACCGATCTGCTTCTTCGAAACAACCTCATAGAGATTGATCAATTTTATGCCGTCAGAAAACCCTGTTTCAAACTCAGCTATTTCCATGTCGCGTAGAGATAAATTTTGATTTACCCAGTTCTTGAACACAGCAGATTGCGTTTCAATCCAGTTGTTTTCATCTCCTTTCACCGAAACGTGTCTCCTCGTTGAAGCTGGCATGATTTTCGCTTTTCTGAAGAAACAAGCTCGACGTAATTCGCTCCCAAATTAGCTGTATTGCAAGAACAAACGCGGATCTTTCTCCTTTCTGAAGTTTAAAGTTCACTGTTGTTCAGGTCAGTTCCGCGTGAGCACCAAAACAAACGGGAGATCAGGACAATCTCGGAACTGCAGTTATTCCTTTCGCTGGAAAGTTCGATTTAGATCTAGTTTGCATCCACTCGATATATTACCGTGAAATATTTCAAGCATGATTGAATGCACACGATCTTCGGGTTGCCATGTTGTTTCACGCTCCGCATTGTTTGGTCAAGAATGAAATAGTTTCCGTATTGTCCTGCATTGTCAAACCAACACGCCTCCAATTGCAAGAAATAGAGATTCAGATCAACAATCTAATCCTTAGTAATTATTCATAAGATGACGCAATTGCCTTGGAAACGAGGTCAAATTCAGATTATTTCCTTGCAACGGAATAAGATTATTGTATTCTTAAACATTGCTTACAATCCAAGTAGGCTATTTTATGTGGCCTTTGCATAGAATAAACAAGAACAGACTTATTCCCTGAGATATTATTCTAGTTTCAGCTTCTTGGGATGATTAAAGATAGACGAGGGGTCGAAGGATAGCTAGACAGAGAAAGGAAACATAACATTTATCACTAACAATCTATCGTAAACAAAAAAATCAGGATAAAATGTTTGCATATATTTTTTAGGGTAGATCTTGAATCAAATTTTTAGGGTAGACTTTTCTACAGTGCACAAAGTTTCTACGTCAAGTTCTAAACTTGAGTTGGCACAACTTAATGTAATTCCTTAACTCAAGGTCGTAAAATTTATAAGAAAAGTCCCCCCTCCCCCCACTAAAAAGCAACTTGAAAACGATATCAACTCCTTTTTCATAATAATATCATAATAAAAAACCGAGGGGCACTCTAAGAAAATCTCGTACACCTTTTGTGAAAACCTATTGTTTTATCTGAAAATCTCCAGAAATCCTTTTGTTTTAGGCAAAATCTCGTACGCTATTTGCAAGAGCGAATCGCCCCTCGCCCCTTAGAAAATTGAAAGATCGTGCCCTCGAAGTTACTTTAAGGGATGGGTTTTCTGGATAATTCGATATGAGGATAACTTCAATGCGTTTTTGACATACAGTATGAATGACATACAGTCAATTCAGTTTGGGGAAGAAGTATTCAAAGAACATGGTTAAAAATAAACCCCTTAATGACTATTGTGGCACATGTTAAATAAAAACACCAGCAATGAGTTTTGATTCAGTTTATTTTTGCTAACTTAGTCATGGTTTTGTTTGAAAAGGTCTAAAAAAGATAGTGCAAATCGTGATTGGCTTCATGGGAACATTGCCCGCTCTTGAATAAAAAACCACGCTTTTGTAAAACGAGAAATGTCGGTTCTGAGTGCTAAAAAATGAGACACAAATATGCGAGCTGAACCTCAGTAATATTTATATGATATTTTTTGGTGATTCTGAGGTTGAATATTCTTACGAACAACATTCTTAAAGAGTCTATAGTGTCTTAAATAGCTACTTCGTTTAAGGTTAGCCTACGACATTAGCCTTCATTTAACAATGACAGTTTTGGCTACAAAATGAAAAGAATGTTAAACCGACAACCTCCAAAGCTGTCTTCCATATTTCATTTACAAATTCCAGCGCCATGAGTATGTGGATAGGTAACAAGTTTCCAAGGACACCGGACGCGACAATATATTATTTGCAAAGCTTAATATATGTAGTCTCTTGTGTTGGATTCAATTGCAGATAATCTTACCGCGAAATGGTCTTTAAAAACTTTGCGAATCTTTGATGGCATAAAAAAACCTACAATTTCAGTAAGTTACCTTAAGAAAATACCAGAACAGTTTTTATAGAAGGACCAGATAAATTTTGCTCGATGGCTCGATGTTATAATCTTTAGATCATGTGTTCTTAATGTTGCTCTTGTCTTAACATTGGTTTGTTTGCATTAACATACAATAAATTTTTCCGAGACCACGAAATAACAGATTCTCATGCCACTTTTAGAAACATGTTTGACAAGCTGATCAAATATCCTCCGATTAATAAACATGAGAAAAAATTAAAAAAGCATTGTCTTTTCTTCTAATTTCCCATCCAAGGACTGTTCATAGTTCTCAACTTTTCGGTCCGTAGTGTCCTTATAAATTGTGATCTCATATAAAACAATGGAACAAGAAACGTCTTCTACCGTACTCCAGCAGTCTTTAAATCATTGCTGTCAAGTTGCTGTCCAAGTGTGCAATCCGGGTGCAGTGGAAGTAAAACATCTGAATTCGCAAACTAGAATCACCCAACGCATGCCTAGGTAATCAAGATATACTACGTCTGCGATTAACGATCCCAAACCCCAATAAATCCGATCTCGGACACTATCTTGTGACATTGCTGAAGAACTTTTTCCTTACATGTAATGGCCTTAGGGTAGTTGCAGGCTTTTGCTCCCCGGGGTATCGTCTCTAGTAGTAGTGTGTAGCAGTTTATTGTAAATAGTGTATTCTGCATAATTAAGTTGTAACTTCTAGGTGAAATATGTTTATATAAGAGAAACTTAAACGGTTTTCAAATGATAGTTTGTATCCGTTATATCGACGTGATTCGAGAAATATATTGTGATAGATGACAACATAGTTTCATTGATATTTATTTATTAAAACCAAGGTTCAAAAATAGTTTACATCTTAAAATATCGTGATTATTATTCAAAAATGTAATTCAGTGCTTAAGTATTATTGTGCAGGTAAAAGTAGCGAGGGAATTGGTGTTAATCAGCCGGAAGGGTTGGTTACCCTCTGACGTCACTAGCGATCAGCCGGAAAGAATTTGGCTTAGGACGAAAATATCCACATACGTCGAGGATATCAACGTATACTTGGATGCTGAAGTAACAAATCGAAGACTTTCACTTCATTATCACGCGGATGAATGATCACTTGGATTTAAACTACTTTGAAACCCTATGGACGCCATGGACCGTCCTAATCTGTACTGTAGTTTAAATACAGCCACGTGCAAGCATGGCTCATATTTATTGTTTCAAAGCGTAACCCACCTTCAAATTTTGTCGTTGCCCTTTCAAAAATTCTACACACTTTTTATATATAAGAATACTTCATTTTTTGCTGTGTCTCGAAATTCTTAAATTTATTTTGGTTCTGAGCCAAAAATGATTCAAAATCATTCTAAATCGACACAGTGTGTAAATTTGGTAAAAATCGAGAAAGAACATATCATTATTTCTTTACCATTAAAATACTTCAGAAAATTAAACCTACAAGCAGAAATAAATTCAGTGCCTCAATATTCCTATAAGATTTATTCTTAAAAACGTGTGTAATGCTTGGAAGATTTAGAAAAAATCGAGGATTACCCCCGCGTTTCACATAGAATGAAAGGAGAAGAATACTGTTGAAATTCTTTTAACTACATACGACAAAAGCTTGGAAATGACAAAAAACGGACGGATTGGTAGGAAGAATACCGGAATAAAGGAAATACGGAAGCAAATACATGACAAATACAAATAAAATTACAAAATTATAATTTGAAGCTCCAACGCAAAATTGATTTGACGAAGCAACTCAGTGATGACTGTTCTTATGTCCTAGAATAAATTTATAATAGCATACGAAAAAAATTGAAATTATAGGATCCGCCTCCGTAGCTTGCTGTTAATTCATCCCGCACAAAGATAGAGGAACATGTTCCGGCCCTGTTAGTAATCGGTCTCAGGAGTAATAGTCTATTTATTGACCAGCCGGTCATGGCAGATAAATAGGACTTTATCTCAGAGATAAAGTTTCTCACTGATTTTTAAACCGCCTGCGAACAGATCACAGCGAAATCGTCAAAATTGACCGAATGCTGGAATAAGAGCTTTCTGGTTTCTGCTATCATTGAAGCATCTGTACCCATCGTCTCTGTATCATGAAGTACCTGTCAGCTTCAAAGCATCTAAAACCTTCACCTACAAAAAACAGAATGTCACCCAAACTAGAATTTACAGAGCTAGCTCGTTGTGTATGGGAGAGGTAGGGGCAGGTACATCAAGGAACCTCAGAACGGGATATATAGAGCTATAGAAAACTACATACTACATGTACCATGAACACGGAGAACAAAGCTATCTTCCAAAGTTCAATGGTTTATCCATACTAGCCCTCTCTGTTAAATGGTTTCTCTTGGGTCTTGGTGGTTTCCCCATAAAAATAGGAAATTTGGAATCATTACTCAGGAAATATTTGAAAACCGCATCTAAAGAACAGTGTGAGTTAAACCACTTGTAGTATTTATGAAATTTCAGAAGAACATTGGCAGTGCCCCCCCCCCCTCCTTAAAAGAACGCGAATAGAGTACCCAATTGATGACGTCACAAAAATCCATTTTTAGAAATTTCAATTTGACTATATAACCAAAGTGGAATTATGAAATACCTCTAAATATGCAAAATTAGTTGAATGTGTTACAAATTGGCTGAGATATGGCCACGTAAGCACATGCGTCTTCCCCATCAATGCTCTGTAATTTGGTCTTGGTTCATAACTCTATGAACCAGGCCAGAATAACAGTAATCCTTTGGCAAACTTAAAATCTTTCATTGGCCGTATCTCGCCCATTTTTGAACACATCTAACTGATTTTGCACATTGAGAGGTATTTCATGCAGTTCTTTCAGATTATGTGGCCAAATTTAAGAAATTCTAAAAATATATTTTTGATGACGCCACACTTCGGTACTCTACTGTTGATAGATAATTAAGGCTGCGTGATTAGCGCACAATTCCTCAGAAGCAGCAGTTTTAGCATAACCACAGCTTCTATTGAATTGTTTTACCAAATATAGGTATTTGTCGTTATCTAATTGGATTGCCGATAAAGTAATGTAATGCACCTGACCAAATTGAAAATTAAAATCTTTGCAAAGACGTGTAATATCATCATCAATCATTATCAAGGTTAAAACTAGGCATTGCACGATCTTTTGGCAAATCTGTCCCCATCCAGCTTAAATCGATATAATGCAATTTTCTGCGTCGAAATTGGAATGAAAGCGACTGCCGTCACTTTTAAATGAAAATCTTAGGATTAGTACCTACTTGAAATGATTGATGTTGATCTTATTACTTGGAAGCTTCTGATTGGTCTAACAAACCATCGTTTTGAAAACGAGACTCGCAACATATGGCAACCTTAAAATTGTAGAAGACAGAGAGGTTAACAACTACTTCAAAAAATTAAACCTGGCTGAAGCGTAAATACCTGTTTGTCAGATTGCGAAACGGCAAGTTTAGTGCCATCGGGGCTCCATTTTACTTGAAACAACCCACTTGAACTTCGATGTGTGTGCACAAAATCACCACTCTGCAACGAACAAAATTTTTTTTAACAATTGAATAAGAGCTTATGTTTCCAGGTGGATTTGATAGAAAAAAAGGTTTCTGCGTTAAAGCGTTACGAGAAGATTCTGAAGTCGGGGCATCAGTCAACAAATACAAACATGTGATGGTCTTTTATTTAAAAGTGAACAATTTCTTAGGTTATTTCTTTTCTCATATGTCATGTTTTGCCATTGAAATTCATCGAAACTTATTGGACTTTGAAGAAAACAAAAACAGTAAAGGATTTGGAACAAAGGAAAGCAAAAACGATTTTTTTCCTGGGGTAAATCACCACAAAATTTCAAACGTATATTTAACAATTCATGAAAATTCAGAACGCATTAACAGGTACCGGGCTAATTTGTTTTATACGCAATTTTAAGAGTCTTGAAATCTTTTATTTGGATGCTTAATAATTAACAGCGTTACCTGTCATAGCAATTGAAAAATCTTTGCAAACCCGATAAAAATTAGCTTCATGCAGACATCCTCGTCTCGCAATTACATAACAGAAAAGGTAACTGGTGGAAAAGCTAACTGCGTTTGTAACGCACTAAGTAGTGCTGAGAAAAACATCCACGCTTTTAAGAACAACAAAAAGCGTTTCTTCACTGCTAAATACATAGCTGATGAGAAATGACGCCTTGTTATTGCGAATGAAAACAAAGTCTTGGAAAGTCTTCTCTGACAGGGCGGTCGAGAATAAACAACAAAAGCTCGGTTTTTGGTGGATCTCTTTGTACCAAAGTAGAGAAATGACATTTTTAACTGAATAAAATTAAATCATGGTGAAAATATGCTGTAAGAAAAGTACTGTATTGCAGAAGTCGAGTTTAGCTTCCCACTAGATTGAGTACTACCACAGAATGAGGAAGGGTACTGGACCCCGCATAAGAATAAGAAGAACCCGATGGTGCCCTACAGTGCTACAATGCACCAAATTGAATCATGGTGAATATAAGGTATTCACGAGAGTATGTCTCAGGGTAAAGTGCAATGTCAAATCACAGAAACAAGGCCAATTTGTAAAAGCTATTTCCTAACAGTAAGCAATAAGATATATCCTTCAAAATGAACATCAGAAATGAAATAACAAAGAGATAATGAACATGTGATCTCGTTTGGAACACTTCTACATAGCAACGTAATCGAAATTTGATAAAAAGAATCTACAGATTGAGACAGTTTTTAAAAGATGTTATCTATTCAAGTACGAGAAAGTCCTGACTCCATTTCTAAGACGATGATTGTCAAAACCCGCCTGCTTTGGGTTATCCTTATAGCCAACTACAGGCAAAACAACTTAAAATGAGATAAAGCTAAAGATAAAAGTATTGTTTATTCTCTAAACATCTGATATCACTGTTTCAAAGGTTGAATAACAAAGAGATACAGCCAGTGTTAAGAGGTTATGACTATCATAAATTATGAAAGTTGTTTTTGAATTCACTTCTATAGATAGATTGGGGCTGCTGATCGCTCTGATTAAAGCAGCAAGTATCAAGTTTACATCTTGCCTTTTCAAATTCGTTGTCAGACTTACACTACTCCAATCCACTATCGTTGTATTAATACAAAGCTATTATGGAAAAGAAACTTTCTGCAGAGTTGACCCCCTTTTTTAACAGTACATAAACTTCAATATCATTAATCGTTACCAACAGTTACCAAAAGTTACCAATTACGCCGAATGCCTTGTGAAAAGCCTGTGAACTAAATTAATCTGAAACGATTATCTGAAATTTGAAAATTAGTCGCCCTCCACTTATGGATTTCATCTTTTGCACCCATTCAATATTGCAGCCTGGGTTTGCATCAGGTTTAACTATCTTAATGGCGTCTGATCTTAAAACACGAGTAACTTTTGTGTACATTTGAGGGTTTTATGGCATTTGCTCTAACAAACAGAGTAAAGATACACTCTGGCATGAAGTGATAATGGCGCAAATTTCATGATAAAGTGACACTGAACTGGAAATGCCCTGTATGTCTGATTGTAATAATAAATTGCAGATACCAGTGAACACTGCTGGATCTGAGACAGCTTGAGAGCGTTTAAAAAAAGACAACAGCTTCTTTTGACGATGCAAATGTAAGCGGATTGTCAAAAGATTGCAAGAAGCAAAGCTTATTTTCACGACATGATATGCAATAGGTGGTCTTGTTGCATGGTAATATAGTTGCACGTAGACGAAGAAAAAGACCAAGTTGTATGAAAAGATTGGTGTTAGCGACATAGAGATGAGAGGCTAAAAAATTTTCAGGAGGTGCATGGAAGCGAACAGTAGAGCAGGATTTTTGTTTTACTTCAGTGCGCATCAGGGTGCGCATGTATATATTGCTGAAGAAAAGCATAGTAAAGAGCGTGCCAATATAAGAGCGGTTTAGGGGTAAAGAGCGTGCCAATATTGTAGCGGTTTAGGGGTAAAGAGCTTGCCAATATTGTAGCGGTTTAGGGGTAAAGAGCTTGCCAATATTGTAGCGGTTTAGGGGTGAAGAGCGTGACAATATTATAGTGGTTCAGGTAAACCTCGCCCTACATTCACGAGAAGTATCTACTGCTGCTGGTTACCGTCCATCTTATGATAGACGTTTCTTCTCGCCATTTAAAGAACACAAGGAGCACAAAAACGAGAAAGAGCAATATTTTGGTAATGACGGAATCCCAACAGTAGTTTGCTCGTGGAAACCAGCACCAATAACTCAACTAATTGATAAACGGCAAGTGCCATCAAAACATGATAAAATATCCTAAAAGATAAAACACAGATACCCCGATGGATGTTATGTTAGTTAGCTATTTGAAGGCGAATGGTAATAAAGCTACCAAAGAAAAAGGCAAATATCAAGGTCGAATCAATCCTGTGAGTGACAGTTAGATACGAAAGTTGATGGAATTGGCGAAAAGAAACCCAAAGTGCAAATGGCAGGGCAAAAAAGTCTTGGGAACAGAGTGAGGAAACAACTGAAAAAAGCTTGGATTGATTGGAAAACTAAAAGATTGGAAAATAGAGCAAACTGAGCCAGATACAGGGGATTATGGCGTCCGAAGTACATTTAAAAAGCGAACAGGCAAAGAAATAAAACGGGCCCTTTCAGGAGCTCATCAGAAGAAAAATAGTGAAAAAAATAGCAGAATGCTTCCACTGATGTTTTGCATATGTGTGAGAATAATTAGCAAAAAGATTGCAGAAAACAACCTAGATAATGTCTAGCATATATGAAAAGAAATTCCAATTATCAGAGCAGAAATTACTGTAGAAAATTCAAAGAAAGATTGAAGTTCGCAAATTCTACAGTTTACCTTTCTGCAGAAGTTGGCAAAAACATACATAGAATAAGAACAAAAATCCCGCCCAGGGCACAAAACTGATTATAAGATTAAAATGAAAGCACTACTGCTCCTCAACATATAGAATAGTTGATAATGAAAGTATAAATAATAATTAACTTCTTACACGGGGAAAAAACATTAAATAGCTCTATCATAAGACATTGCCACACCCCTTATCCATAGAGGCTATATTCCCTCATTATAGGAAGCGACGATTGGCCGTCGATGTGTCTCGTCGATATGAGAGGGGATGAGAATAGAGAGGGGATGAGAAAAGAGAGGTATGAGCGGGGAAGAAAAACATGAATTACTTAAAGAGCGGAGTCTATCATTAATTAAAAACATAACATACTGTGGAAAGAATCCTGCGATATTAAAGAGGCTCAACCTCTAAAATTTTAGTTGGACAGAAATACGATCTTTGACCCTAATTTTTTGGAGATTTCAGATTTGATAATCTCTAGCGATGACGCAACGAGGCGAGATTATTCTCACGGGGATAAGGGCCCTTGCACAATTGGAGCAAATCTTCAGAAAAATGTTTGAAGAAAGCAAAATGACACGTTGTTTCCATGGCAATTTGGATGGTCATATCTAGGATCATTTTTAAAGAAAATAGACGAAAAAAGGCTTACCTGTATGGACCAAATGTTCAATATTCCATCTAACGTCGCTGAAGCTAAATATTTACCATCTGGACTAAAAGATATCGAGTCTACTGGTTCTAGATGTCTCGTTAATGTGTGTAAACACGTGTCCTGTTCAATGTTCCATAGCCGTATCGATGCATCATAGCTTGCACTAAAAATGAAAAAAAAAACACGGTAATATAGAACGACACAACACTATGGTGCGGGTATGGGCGAGAGAAAAGACAGCGAAACACTTAATTATGTGTTTGGAAATAGAGAGAGAGAGAGGTGAGAAGTAGATAAAAGTGGAGGTGGGGCAAGGTTGGAGATCATAGGAGTAAGGATAGCATTAAAGACTCCTGTCATGTAATTATTTTAAAGGATCAAAGGCTGGGAAAGGAAGGAATACGAGTGTCGCAACAGCAAATAACAAGGCGCTTCTCAAACACAATGATTCATTTCTAACATAATTAAAATATTTCGCGGATTTGTGGGAATTTCCGTCATATTAAAAGGACTTATACCACAAAATTTAAAACGTGGTATTGAGCATGCATGAAGATATAAGTCTTTTGTATTGGAAGTTTCAGAATACATCATGCCTAAACGCATAACGCCTCGCGAAGTAACCAACTATTGTTCTTTTGAAACAATACAATAAAAACTATCTGAAAAATCGGTTTCTCTATGAAAAGTCATAGATGAGTTGATTTCTTTACAGTTACTATTACAAACCCTAGGGTCTACATCTAGAAGTAAGAAGATTAGGCTTTACAACTGGTAAGAGACTGTCATTCGCTGTCTTTAGAATAGGCTTGTATCAAACTAATGAAAGCATAAATATTATTATAGGAAAAAAATCAAGAATTATAAAAAACTCTGTGTAATCGAAATGCTTGCAGAAAAATGTTCTTTGAGTATCAATCATGTGAATAGATGTTTGAGGAATGGCATCAGTTAACCAGTTCCAGCATCAACTTCAGCTCAAAATTATTGTATACAAGCAATTTCTGGAGACAAAAAACTAAAAACTAGACGGTATAAAATTCCTTCTGAAAACCTACAGATCTCTTTGCTTTTTATGGTTGGTTACGAGCCATTAAAAGGCATAGCTGTGCACCCCTTCCGTCGACAATCGTAGTTAGAATCGAGGAAGTAAATGCGGTAAGTTCCAACAGACCTAGGCAGACCTCTTCCAGCTGCTTCATCATTGGTTTCGATAAGTTTAACATTACCAATAAACCTTTTACCACTGTTCCGCAACTAATGGCGCAACCTTCAAGCCTATCTAGATTATGATTAAAACTCGTAAACGGTAACCAAGAATCGTGGTATTTGGTAAGTCTCTTAGATTAATTGGTTTCAGGTTTTTCACAGTCTATTTATAACTTAAGTATTTCTCACGAGGATAACACCTGGAAAGCAGGCATAAAAATTAAATCGAATTAACAGATAAAGGTTCCTATGTTTTTACAGAAAGGCTACTATTTTTTGCATTAATCATTATCATTAAATAAAATTTCAATTAGCATTTGGAACTTAAATTCAACAGCTTTTGTGAGTTCTCAAATTTCGTGCTAGCCCTGTTCAACCTTAAAAGGCACACACATATCAAGGCCTGTGACCCCCTATGGGTTATTGTCTTGAGCCGTAAAAAGGTTGGGTCAGTTTTATTTCGTAGAGATATTTACGGTTTCAATTTTAAAATGGTTCATAACTTGCTTTGTAGCATCATAAAAGATGGTAATTATTTTTCCGACTTTAAACGATTAAACATAAAACTATCCTCTGAAGATGACAGCATTCGCCAGAGAAGGACATGCTTTGGTATAGCAGACCACTTCCTTCGCAAGAAAAATTACCGGGTCTGCAACTTTGTCTCTGTACATTAAAACATCCAATATTTTGTTATATTTCTATCTTCTCTTTTCTGAATGTTCTGAAATTTCATATTCAGGTTTAGTCTGACTGCATTAGCAATTTCGTAGAAATTTTTTGCCTATATTGTATCTCGACCTGGCAGTGCTCTACGTGGGGTTTCAGGTATAGTTTCCTGAGCCCTAACACCGCCCTTTCAATTTCACTGGCTTTGACAGAATTTAAAAAGAATGGACCAATCAATTTCTGTTTTCTGAAAGACATATTCAACAACGAACATTGAATTATAACACAATAAATGATAAAGATACCTTGCTAGGATATTTGTTGAGTGAATCGGACACCATTCAACAAGTGTAACCTCCCGAGTATGCCCCGTCAGATCGTGAATATGATTATCTTGTTTCAAAGTCCAAATCTAAAAATTCCAAAAGGCAAGATTATTATAACTAGCACATTTTACAGTTATAAACTTCAGATACAAAAGTATCAATTTGACTTAACAACATATAAATATAAGACCATGGATATAATGTCTGTGATATGAACTAGATAAAGGTATGTGGAATCCTTTAACAGTCTTCATCAAAATGCCAAACCCAGCATACAAGAATAAGTTAACTAAGCACTCTGATACAGAGGTATACTTATAATAAATAAAGAGTTATGTTAACAGTTTCTTGTTTTGTGTTTAATGTCGTAAACAAAGCTGTAGTCACTTGGGTGTGTAGAACAGAATAAGTTGCCTATCATCATATCATATTAAGCGTAAAGTTCAAAATAGCTTCATAGAACTTCCTATATTGAACAGCGATGTTCATGTGATAAATCAAGCATATCTGATATGCAAATCAAAAGCTGGGGGAAATGTTTGCACGAAAGTCACTGTATAATGAGTATAAAAAGCAGTTCAACAACGTAGAGGTGACAGTTATAGAGATACAAGCTTAGAATGAATTGTGTTTGATTAAAAACGGGTTTCTAGGGCTTTCCAAAATAGAATCTGAAAAAAGACTTACCAATATGATCTTTTTAGAGAAGAAAAAGGTTAATCGGTATTTTTTGGAACAGGCGAAGCAAAAATGGTAAATAATATGCTATGTGGCTCTAATAATTTAGTAGAAGACTATTGTGAATTATGTTACCTTTACAGTTCTATCATCAGAACACGAAGCCAATAAATTACCAGATGGATCCCATCTAACACAATTCACCTCTTCCTAAAAACAAAGTAAGTGAAAACTTTTAACTAAAAGCTGAAGCTGAAGCTGACATAGCTTATAGGAAAGCTGCAAACATGACTTGAGCCTCAAACCTCAATTTTGAATTATGTTCCTTGCATTTATAGAAATCTCAAATAAATATCAAGTTTGCTCTGCCATCAAATCCAATGTACCTTTAAAAGCCAACTGTTTTCAACAAGATGTAATATATATTTAGGGAATATCATAAAAACTTCAGTCTGTAACTATTTGTCCTTTCTTCGCTAGAACATTTGATAAAAAGATCAACATTCTCATCCTGTTTGGGTAAGATTTTAGGTACAATGAATTATTGAATAAAGCTGCCGAAAATTGGTCTTCAAAATCTGGTAAAATATTGTGTCAAGGAGCAATCAATTCGCATTTTCAGGAAAATTAAAAATTGTCGCTATTCCTTTCAAAAGTGTAGCCCTACAAAGCTCTTTCTCATTTGAATAAGCCACAACGCCGTAGTTTCAAAATATTACGGGTAACACATAGCTTAAAGTTTACTTTATCCGAACAGGATCCAATCAATATTGGGGGAAATGGGCTCTAACTAATACATCCTTGAAGCAAATCCATCACAAAAAGAAGAGAAGACAAGAAATATTCTATTATCATATATAAAGAAATACTATTCTTGCTTGCTCCTTGAGGAATAGCAAACAAAGAGATATACTTTGCCATAAATCCAAAAACCTGTTCCTTGGGGATTTAAACAAAATTTGCCATAGAAACCTTACCGTGTGACCAGAAAAGGTCTTAACTGGTTTATCTAGCCCAATTCGGCAGACAGTCACTGTCGTATCTGTTGAGCACGTCGCAAAAGTCGTGTTGTTCTGCCAGTCGATATCTAACACGGGACCTGAGAAAGATATGTCATTGATTAACACTTCTGATACCTTCATGGTTTGACAATCATTGATTTATCTTCATAAATATACGCAAGGAGAAAACTTGAACCAACTATCCAACACACATTGGCAAACGTAGGAACAATGGTTGAGACGAGCAGGGTTTAAAAATTTTGCCAAAAGGACGATTGAAAGCAGCAAAGATAAATAGACTTGTATTTAAGGCAATCTTTTGAAAAAGACATGTCTGATGAAAGACACTGGACCTCCTCCTCAAAGCCATTCTAGTTGAAGAGTTAAATGTCATAACTTCTTCGCAGGATTTAATTGGATACCGCTGAATCCCCACGAATCATACAAAGAGAACATTGAATGAATGGGGAGAAATAGCACAAATTTTGACTGTTGGCAGACATTTTAACAAATGCGAGAAATCTCAAGGCAAATCAAAACAATTGAAAGGGGGTCTATCAGACGGAAATCGAGAACACCTAAGCTCCGATTTGAAATAGCAATCTTTACGATGAAAAATAAAATAACAAAACGGTAATAACAGGGGAGATGATAACCGAAAATCGAATGTCTACTTTTGAGAAAAAAAGCAAACAGAGACTGAAATTACTGCTTTAATAAATATTGTACACTAGCCTTGATGATGCTCAAATGCTTGCTTCAGCTCCCAAGATGATGTATCCCATACTAGGCATCTCTGTGTAAAAAAGATACAATTTGGCATCATAAATACCTTACGTAATAAACAAATATTCAACAGCATAATCAGACGAGGCAACGTATTCAATTTGATTGGTCAAAATGAAGTCAATAAGGAGACACCCATTTTTGCTGGCTAAACCTGCACCTGTTTAAAAAATGATTCATCCTATCATTACCATTGCAGTGTTTCAAATTTCAGTCAGTTTTAGATGACAAAGTTATAAAGATTTATGCAAGTCCTCTCGATTTTCCTAAGGCATTCACTGAATTGTGTTATTATTGAAAGAGGATTTACTTCAGAAGGAATGAAACTTGGTAGATTGAAAAAAACCTTTGAAAATTGTAACCGAAAACGATTATTCATTTTTATAGTTATGAGTTATGAGAACTGATTATTCCTTTTTCTAGAATCAAATTTCTAGATTAAAAAAAACTTTTACATTCCTTGGGATGATAATTAATGGTGCTATATGAAGTATAAGAAGTACTTATAGAGAAACTGAGCCCTTAGCCATTGACAGGTCACAATCAAAAACTTTAATTCTACTTATTTGGAAGAAATCAAGAATTGCAGAACTATAGCTCATTTACTGACTTTAAATTCCATGATAAATTCAGCTCTATCATTCAGCTCTATCCACATTATTCATACAAAATCAAACAGGCAGTGTATCAAACCTTATCCTGACTTGCACTTGATATGTATGAGCCTTTCTTGTTCCATTTAATTGCAAATATCAGCCCCTTGTGACCAACAAGAGTTATTGTCTGTTGTCCTAAAGTGAAAGAACAAAAATCAGGGGCTTAACATCCTAAGGCCCACCCATGGAGAAGATAGAATTGTTAACACTGCCAACAAGGACCAACAAGGAATAAGATGAAACCAAAGCGTCACTTCAAGCAATAGTAGGCAGCAATGTGGAATTTACTACAAACAAGAAAAAAAAAAATAAAACAAAGAAATGAGGAAGCAGAGAGGAAGGAAGGGGAAAAGGAAAGTTGAAAAGGTGATACACATACAAGAAAGAAATGGAAAAAGAAACCGAGAAAAGCTAACATAAAGGAACATTGCTTTATCTTAAGAATGGTATCAAGGAATTGCGGTAATGGCAATTGGGGAAAGGGGTAAATCTATCTGGTATATATAAAACAAGCTCAAAAAACATAAAAATTGAAAGATATTTTAGGAGCATTTTAGGAAAAAAGTTAATTTGAAATCAAGAGTGCATCTAGAAAAAAACAAACAACAAAAAACCAACTATGCTTTGCTACCCTCTAAATTTTTAACAAGCAATATGCAAGTTCAATTTTCAAAGCAACAAGTTTCAAGAAAACATTCTTAACAAATTAACTTACCCTCAAGGCTCCATATTCGAATGATACAATCAATGGCAGCACTTGCAAGTGAATTGCCAGTAGGCTTGAAGAAAAGGAAATAAATGATAAAAAAACAATGCAACTTAGGTAGAGAGTGCAATCCTTGATATTTCAATCAGAAACCTTCTCAGTAATTTGCAATAAGTTAGAAAATCTTGATATTGTATAATCAGACAAACTACATCAAACATTTAGATTTTCCGAAGATATTTTATTATTTGTAATCCTATGAATCAAAATCTACAAGGAAATCCTAAAAACATTGTCATCATGTGAATGAATCTAGTCTAGGCTATTCCATATGTAATTTTCCCCTTATTTCTCTACAAAATAAGCCTGGGGTAAAGTAAGAAATAGCAATTCTATGATAGACATTTTATGCAAGACGTCATGGAAATCTACAAAGCTTACATTCCATTCCATTGCTGTCACATCTTTTGTCATAGATTTGAGGTTTGAAAGCTGATGATCTAACTGGACAGATTTTACATTTTTACCATCAGTCTCATCTCCAACATACCATAACCTAGCCATACCATCAGAAGACCTAGGATTGCAAACAAACATATACAACCAAGGACTTGAGCCCTCTTCACTTCAACATAGTTCAGATGCAATCATTTTCTTTTCTGGCATGATAAAAGTTGAAAGAAAACAATTGTCCAAAATTGTCCAAGGCGTGCAAATAATCACACGCCCAAAACAAAGAATTTACCATAAAATTTCTTAAAAAAGCAGCAGTTAAAGTAGCCAAATTCAAAGGCAGTTCTGTTGTTTCCCATAGTGTTGTTAAAGTATTCCCATACAGGATTTAACAATGGCATCACAAAGTAGTTACAACAAGATCACTTAACATAACAGTTATTTAACCAAGGGGGTGCCAAGGGGGAGTAATCTGCAATCAACACCTGGTGCTTTAATAACTTTCAAACTCTATGATTTAAAGTTTCGATCCAAGAGTTGTCTTCACTGTTCACCTGATAATTCTGTTCTTCGGTGATCGTGGCTAAAGGAAACAAAGTGGAGCTGGCGACATTTATTGGTTGGGGAAAGAACGGAATTATCGGAAGACTACAAATGCCATACAGTGTTGTGGGGATGCGACTTTGCAATCAATGATATCAAACGATTTTTAAGATTAAGAGCTGTAAAAACTTGTTTTTGAGTTCAAAGAAAATGTGTTTATTTCAACCTTAGTGTCATTTCTCTACCCATCCTTCTCATTCGGTTGTGAAAGGATCACCAGTCAAATGGTAAGATGTTTCTAAGAATATCCGCTCTGATATCGGCTATGTTAATGATGATACTGAAGTCAGGGATAAAAAAGCAGTGCACATCGCCAGGCCTGGCCGTTTGTATTTTTATAGGTGAGCTGTGAATCGCTCCCCTCATTTGCTGAGGCGAGCTAAATCAGTAACACATAGAATGTACTTTAAAGACAATCGACAGATGACTTAATAAGCCCCTTTAGTATATGTCGGTTGCTTTCAATAGCCTCAGTCAGGAGTATGCTGTTTTATTTCTTTCAATTTGTATTTGCTTTAACGGTGACTCAGGCACCCCCTTTACTTGAAGAAGTTACATAAAACAGACTCTTTCCGTTTTATGTAAAGCTGGCACAACACAAAAACAACAATTCTCTTGCAAAACAACCTTTTTGTTGCACAGAATTTGAAAATGGCTTTGAAAAACAAATTTTGAAACAAACTTAAGTTATACATCTAGCACTTTTCAGAGAATAAAACGTCAGAAGATAGATGGAAATCTGTAAGCTAAAATACCCAGTTTTGGATCGAAATAGGCTAATCAGAAAACGCGAGCACATGACTGTTGAGGTTGTCCAATCAGTGCCGCTTTCCTATTGAAAATGTTACCACCGGAGTCCTAAGGTGAAAGCGAACTCACTTATGTCTACACAAAAGCGGTTAGTCATGTTTATATAGTAGATAGATTCACAAACTGCTAGATGGAATGATGATCATGCTTTGCCAATAATGCGAAACATGTCGCCGTTATAGTTTTTCACCCAATCTGGGTTTTTTCAGTAGATGCTGCTGGATAGTGGAATTCCATGTTTTGGTTGTCGTTTTTGATCTGCAAGACAGAGTACCTTGTTCTCTTTGAGGGATAGTTTTGTTTCTATTGCTGGGAGGGACCTGCTGTCTTATTATATTCCCAATCTACAATTCCTACCAATTTCTTCGACTTTCCTTCCAAAAATATTCCTGTTTTCTTAAGATTGAAAGGTTCTTATCACTACAAACGTACCTTTCGGTTAAATATCCTTTTCCAAATAGATCGAAGTTTATGCCTATCATAACAAAAACCGCCCAACAAGCAAAAAGTTAATTGCAAAAAAATGCAATGACGGGAGAAATCGCCGTTACAAAAATAAACCAATTAACCCTTGTACGTTTTCAGGGTTCTCTGCATAGGAAAAAGGCAAATGAATGGAAATTTTAGGGGAGCGATTCTCCCTTCATTTTCTCTTTAGGAGAGCAATTCATAGCTCGCCTCAGGTTGCGAGGGGAGCGTGGAGGCGAGCGCGAGCTATCGCTCGCCTCAAACGACCAGGCCTGCATCGCATGAGCAAAGTACATGTGATGACATGTGAAACGCCACACACTGCCTATTTTCATATTACAAAGACTGTGATAGTGGTTGAAGGCTTGCTTGAAGCAGAGTTCAATGCTCCAACTGGTAAACAGAATAATGTATTAGAATTGTTTGTAGAGCTTCTAGGGTTTCTTTATAATAATAAAAGATTTTCAAATGAGTCAAACATACCCCGTGGCTAGAACCCTAGATGCACAATTCCATGTGCAGAAAAACACTTCACTCTCGTGTCCATTCAAAATTAAATGATTTTCAATATGTGCATCAACATCCATAGCTTCAATATTCTCAATTGTGAGATCTTTTACTGGGTCTGAACTCTGAACTGCAGACTGTAAAATATTTGCAGCTCTTGCAGCAAGGGCCTCTGGGATGACAGCATCTATTAGTGGTATTGGCTCCAAATTTTCAAGATCATCAATTAGTGTTCCATCCTGAAAGAAAAAAGTCCGAAATATCTTTTAGTTATCATATCTTTTCAGAAGTTCAATGGTAACTTTTGAAACTCTATGTTAGAGTTTAAAGCCCAGATACAGCCTCAAGTATATAACATCTTTATTGTTCATATACATACAAACATACATATAGGTATTTGAATGTATGCATTTCACAAATGAATCTTCATACACTCTAGTACATATACATACAATTAACAACAACCAATAAATCACTTTTTTATATACCGTATTTCTTCGAAAGTGCACCTGGGGCACTCATTTAAAAGTCCGCTTTTAAGGGGAGGCGCTCTTTCGAGGAGGGCACTCTTTCGAGGGGGGGTGCTCTTTCGAGGGGGGTGCTCATTTACAAATCTGCCTTTTTTGGGGGTGCTCATTTCATTTCGTGGACATACAAACCCAATCTTTCCCTATAGTTGAAAGTAGACACAAAAATGCAACATTAAGAGATAGGAAATACAAGAAAAAGGGAATCAGTCAAAAAACCATATGAAAATAAAAAGGCTACAATGCAATATAAAGGCAAGTAACAATGTCAATTTTGTCCTCTTCATTGTTGTCTATAAGCTTGAATTCTGGTGTAGCATCAACAATATCTTTTTCTGAAACCAGCCTTTCAACGGATTGAAGTCTGGTTCATTTAAAGTTGATAATTGTTGCTGAACTTTGAAGGGTTCTGGATTATTTTCTCAAGTAACAAGAGGACAACTTCATCAACACCCAAGTCAGTGGTAAATGAAGGCACAAAGTTGGCTTGGTTTTTCCCACTGGATATACAGCACACACAAAGGAAATAAATTGCCCCTTAATATTACAAGCAGAGTTGAAGAAAAAAAAGGAACTTTCTAGCCATTTAGATTTCTTTGTAGAAAATATGTCTGTAGCCAGATTTCCAACACATTTTTTAATGGTTTAATTGATATAACATGTTTTATTTGAGTGGTTTGGTTTGAATGAATCGACAACATGGTATGTCTGTACAAAATGAAAACATGGTATGTCTGTCAAATGTGAGCTCAAGACAAAAAGCCAATTACCAAGGTCTTCTTATACCTCAGCCTCATCATGAAGCGAAATAATTATAAATTTCACCTCTAAATTAAATTTTTTGTGAGCATCCCGGTAAAGAGTGTTAAATGAAAAAACCAGTGGGAGAACCAAAAAGCATCAGATTAGGAATTGATTAACAATAATTCTACAAATTTTTTTTCTAAAAGTGTTATGAATGTTTTTATAAGTCCTTGTTGCTTTAAGAAATGTTTCAGCATCAATATTCTGGTTTCATAAAGGCTTTGAAAGTATTTAAGTTTTTGCTTTGATGGGGGCCAGGGGACTCTTGATAACTTACTTAAGGGGCTACTCCTTACAATTATGTTAAGTAATTTATATTTTATTTTTAGTCAGTATCATTAATTTTTAGTTTGTAATGTTGCTGTGTATTTAGTTGTAGCATGCATTTATTGAAAATTGTATTTAGGATTGGCTGATGAGGAATGAAATCTAACAAAACGTAGCCTCCTTGTTGATCTTTGCTCAAAGTGTAAACCAGTTTACATGCTTTTGTTTTCATTTCATACCATATGATCAGTGTTTCTGAGTAAACAGAAGGCCATTACATTATGAATCAGGGGTGTAGCTATATAATAAGAAAAATAAGGAAACTCTCATGCAAAATATTACAGATAGAATACCTTATTTTGTATTGAACATACTCATTTTGGCATAGACAAGGGGGACTGAGCCCCTAATCCCCTAGCTTGATATTCCTGATAACAATATTTTGTTGTATTCATTTGAATTCAGTATCATTTGAACATGGCCTTAAGACGTGTCTATACAGATAAGTTCTCCAAAATGTTTTCATAAAGTTCTTGAATAAAGATACAGAGGGTAAGAACTGTCCTGTCATTTCTAACACTGTACTTCATCTCAGGTACATATGTTGGTTATACTTATTATCTGTTCAGAAGTATTGATCATGTATAACAATGCCTCAAAATAAGAAATGTCAACATCCTAACATATAATTTACTTATGAAATAGATTTTGGTAATACTTTGCCATTTGTAGATGTGCATTTCATTCATTTTAAAGATATTTCATTCTCTAAGTTTCTTTCAATTCCTAAAAGATCCCCCAAATATTAAACTCTTTCTTTTAAGCAAGACAGGATTTCAATAACACCCATTCCCAAACATAAATACATATAAATATATATACAAATTAAAATTCTTACATCATGAATACATAGCTCTGCTTCAATATATTGAACTCCTTTTTGAATAATGTTGATAAGAGCACCTGGTGGAACCAAATTCCCATTAATATTTGAATCAGCAACATGGCTCTCTTTCCCAAAAGTAAAGGCTGAGTGCTTGTATCCTTAAAAACAATAATTCATATATATAAATAATTTATAAGATATAAATAAGTTAAAAATAATATTCATATATATCTGATAAAAAAGTGAATAAAATTACTGTTTAAAAATCTGTCAATAAACTGCTATACTTTCTGGGGAATAGGCAGAGCTGTAAACGCTTTTGTTGTATGGAACAGGTACAAAGGGGTATAACATAATGTAAGGGTGAGTATTTCAGTATTCCTAGATTATTTCAAAATTGTTGGGTAAAATAAGCATGATCAACATTACAACTTTCTTGTGTTGTAATTTTAGGCAGGCAGTCTCAAATTTTCAAATTGTCTGGCAAGAAACAAAGTGTCCAATCAGGGATAACTGCTTAAGGAATAATGTCTATCTGTTACCTTCAATTTCACAAACCACAAGAGAAATTCCACTACATGACTGCATTCACCAGGGTGTTCAGACAATGATTATGACTGGAATCACCTTAGGTGACATGTCGGCATGCCCTTGTATTTTCAACAGAGAAAATCTGAGAATTTATAATTGTCAGCATTGGTAAGCTGACTGTATTAACAGCATGTTATGTGTCAGAAATCTAATATTCAGGCACCATTCTTTCAGTACCAGATGGCATGCCATTTTACCTGCACACAGCCTTTGACTCAATGCATTCCACAAACGCAAATCTTTTCATGGATCCCCAAATTTCCCTGGATGTGCCAAGTTATGAACAATGTTTTACAACAACGAGGAAATAGAAATCAAACAATCTTACCTGACTCTTGAAGATACCTATAGACCAGAAAATTGACCTCATCGCTTAAGATACTCATGGCTTACTGCTTTTGCCAGCATTCAAATTACTGAGCACAACTTAAACCGCGAGAATGGATGATTTTTCTCGGCAAATATTGTCAAAAATTCATATCGGCATTGAACTGTTATAGTTCAATTTCCATTCTTTTGTCAAGGAAGCAGAGGCAACAAAATCCTTTTGACGTGATCTACAAACTGCTCTTATTCTTCTGGGCCTAAGTACAGGTCGACTTGTATTCCAGGTGAAACGGCGTTTGAATGCAAAATATCCCAGCAAATGGTCTACAACCTGCTCTTCAGTATGGATCGAAAACATTAAAGTTGAAATATACACAGGGCCCTGGAAATAAGACCAATTATTGGCGTCTAAATTTCTCCAGTATACAAATCGATCAATTACTCTTTTCGGTGAATGGACAAATAGCGGCGGCAAAATCAGTAATCCGTTTGCTCATGCGCGAAGAAATTCGATCATATTTCGCGATGTTGAAACTGAATGCGATTCGCAAAACGTGACAGTATAATTCGCGATATCGAGACGAGGCTCAATTCCTTCCCAGGCTTTTTTGATAGCACGTCCTTCCAATCGGTCTTTCTAAAGCTGCCATCGGTAGAAACCCAGGTACATCTAAGAGTATTGAAAATTCCACTCTAATCATTAATAATTTGCAGTTACGAATAATTTCGACTATTTCATATGACTTAAGATGCCTTTTTATGAGATAAAAAGAGTATAGTTATAGTCTGCTGATGAAATAGCGTTGTTTATGAACATTGTTATATTTAGGCCCAGGTCCTGTCTGCCTGGTAGCAAATGATAGAAGTTTGTCCTGAAATATCTAAAGTCGTCTCTTGAATCATAATTTATGATTACCAGGTCTTACGAGTGTTTGAAAGAATGATTTTACTAGGGCGATAAGTTTTGAGAGAATATATAGATTCATAAGATGCCCATATAAATTAACGGATAAGTTCACGTTAGAGGTGGAGAGATTTTAACATTTTAGTGTCTCAAACTATGTGTTTCATGATATTATATTTGACGTGTTGTCATTTTAGACCAATAAAAATGGGCAGGGTAATCAGAGGTCAGAGGAAAGGTGCTGGAAGCATCTTCAAATCACATACCAAACACAGAAAAGGAGCAGCCAAACTAAGAGCTCTTGACTACTCAGAGAGACATGGGTACTTGAAAGGTGTCGTAAAGGATATCATTCATGACCCAGGACGTGGTGCACCTCTTGCAGTTGTTGTCTTCAGAGACCCATACAAGTATAAACTAAGGAAGGAACTGTTTATTGCAACAGAAGGAATGCATACTGGACAGTTTGTGTATTGTGGAAAAAAAGGTAAGTTCTTGGCCCTTATTTACTTCATATCGTATTTTGGACAGGAGAAATGCAAGTCATGCTTTGGTTTATCAATATTCATGCCATTAAAGTTATATTCAAGACAATATAATTTGTTGTCATTAATCTTTCAGCTACACTTTCCATTGGCAATTGTCTACCATTAAGTGCTTTGCCAGAGGGTACAATTATCTGTAATGTAGAGGAAAAGAGTGGAGACAGAGGAAAAATTGCCCGTGCATCAGGAGGATATGCCACCGTTGTAGCTCACAACCCAGATGCAAGAATCACTAGAATCAAGCTTCCATCAGGAATTAAAAAGTCAGTCCCATCATTTAACAGGGCCATGATTGGTATTGTTGCTGGTGGTGGTCGTGTTGACAAACCAATAATGAAGGCAGGACGGGCTTACCACAAATACAAGGCTAAGCGAAACTGTTGGCCTAGAGTTCGTGGTGTTGCTATGAATGTAAGTTATTCTTTGATTCCTACTCATGGTTCAACATTCAGTTTTGCAAATAATGCACATAATTTTATTACTTTGCCAAGTTAAGTTAAAAATTTACTTAATATATAAACAATTGCCACAACCTTTGTTTTTGCAATTTGGAAAGGCAACTTAATCACAAGTCCCAAAATGACGGAAGTCATAATGAAAGAGAGTGGGTGGAAAATTTCCCACATGACAATTAATTGGCGAATAGCTTTAAGTTGGTACCTGCCTTTTTAAACTGAAAACAGAAGGAGTATAGTCACAACACTAGTTTCTTAAAAAAGAAAAATACATTCTTACTGATGCTATGACAATTAAATGAAAATATTCTTCTCTAAATAATTTTTGACTGTTCTGTTCTTTATGTGCTACCTTGTGATGCAACAAGCTTAGTGGTATACACCTTGCTGTCTCCTAAAATAAACAAGGCTCAAATATAAGAAACTAAGGGGTCCAGAACATGGATGTAATGGATGGATTTTCAGGCTTAAAGGTAGCCATTAGTGAGAACTTAACCACCAGCTTGAGTTACATGCTAGTAGCATAGATGATTTCTGCTGTTTATAGGGTGATAAATTGTTGGTAATCATTCTTCTTCTAATCATATACGATGTAATCATCTGTTGATGGTTTCCCAAGACTATTGATTATTTATCTAGGGAAAGTGTTTATTCTTTTATCTGTATTTTACATCCGTATTTTACAGCCTGTGGAGCATCCTCATGGTGGTGGTAACCATCAGCATATTGGTTTCCCATCAACTGTAAGGAGAGACACACCTGCAGGTCGCAAAGTTGGTCTCATTGCTGCAAGACGTACTGGTCGTATACGTGGTGCTCAAATTACCCAAAAACAGAAGGAATCAGAATAGACTTGAATGAGACTTCTGATAAATATTTTGAATATTATAAAACTCCTCATCCAAACAGTGGTGTTTTCTTATTGTTTCTAACAATGCACACACATCTGGAATATGATTTTATGTTTAGAGTGCATTGTTGTACACAAAAACAAATAAATTGATAAAAGACTGTCCAAAGGAAATTTTGGGATAGCAGGAGAGACAATATATGTTTTTCTCATTTTTCAAAATGAAATCTTCATATTCCAGCTATACCAAGTATTTGAAAATAAATGTGCAAGTCTGGTAAAAACTAAAGTTTGAAAATAATTTTTTAATGTATTGACAAAAAAGGGCAGTTGCAGGTCTGGTCTTAAGACTTTTAACAGGGGAGCAGTAAACAACTCTCCTAGAAGTATTCAGGTGAGCTATAAGAATAAAAACAAAGGAAAAATTGATTTCAAGAAGAGCAAATTTGCTTTTTAGTACAATTTAGGAGAGCAATCTCTAGCTCCCCTCCAGCGTTTGAGGAGAGCCTGGAGGGGAGCAAGAGCTATGGCTCTCCTCAAATGGCAAGGCCTGGGCAGTTGCCTAGACTGGATATGCTCAAAATACTTTTTTTTCACAATAAGATTTATATTGACTAGTCCTAGACCAATTGGATGTCTTTCCAAAAGTCCATTTCAAGCATTAATGGAAAAGAGTTATTTTTCTGATTTTTCAAAACTATGCAAAAACGAAATGTATGATTATGCAAGATACTATGAATATTCATTGTAATAGTAAACTTGCCTGCAGTTTGTCTTGGTAGGAAGATAGGCTTTCCTAGAGCCAAAAAAAGTTGTTTAGTAATGGCATGTGTGATTATGGGGAGAAGTTTTAGATGAATCTGATGGGAAAGCAAGGTCTTCAAAAACAATGCCCTGGAAGCATACAACAGCTAGTGAAATAATGCCGGTGGTATCAAAACGTAATTGGCCATTCTTACCAAAACCGCTGCCAGTTACCCTGAAAGAAAATAAATTTCCGCAAGATACCTTTCCTCTAAATTTTAAAGAACTTGTTTTTCTAGAAGGTTTTAGGAAAATGCTCAGTTAAGTGTATCCCAGTTTAAACCAATATTGCCAGTTTATAACAAATATTAAAAATGCTCTTCAAACGCGATACATTTATTACACACAACTCTCTAACTCCACTAGCCATCTAAAACAAAATTCAAATATAAATTTACATGTATAAAACACTGAAAACAACATGCTTTATGCTCAATCAATTTTGCCCATGCAGAGTGTTATGATTCATTTTGGACACGTGGTTCGTTTCTATTTCACACTTTACTAATTCACAGTCATTTGCTTTTGACTTTCAAAGCATTTCAGCAAAATCACATATTCCCCTTACGGTCAAAGGACATGGTGAGTTATTATCGAACTAATGCGCATGCTCAGTGACTGTACGCAGGGAGCTGCCTTCCTTACGTACGCTAAGGGGCAGCCTCTCATCATTAAGGCTTTAAATTATTTGCCTCTCTTACCATCCGAAACTTGCGAGCCCAAAAACAAAAATGGGAGCGTTAATCTAAGCATACGTCATCGTGGACAAGTTTAAGGCTTTGCTTTTGTAATTTCAAGGAAAGATATCACTCAGAAGGGGATAAGGAGCCATAATTAAGTACGGTACACTAACTTAACTATTCCCTTTATTGTTTACAATACAATAAATAACACACTATGATAAACTAGAGAGTTGAAAATTCTGAACTGTAAAGGATTACTGTGAACTGATGCCTCTAAAACCAAGTAAATTTAATAAAAAGGTTCAATCTACATTATATCAATAAAATAATTTGAATAAATGAATTTGTACACTGTAAATAAAATGTAATGCAAATCGAAATATCTCAAAATATATCACCGTTTGCCCATGCTTCAAATTCGTTTTACGGTAGTCTCTCACCTCCCAGGGAATGAATAGCTATTTCGCTAGAAAAACCATTATACCGGGTTTCAACTTTAAATCTTAATTTATTTTCATCAAAATTTTCAACTTTAAGGAATGGAATTATGCCTATATTCTAGAATTTGGTAAGAGACTATTAAAAACATTGTATTCTGGAAACAGATATTGGATGTATATCTTACACACATGACAAATACCAGCAAATGCAACCGGGCGCCTACCGAAGGCTGCTACCACAAAAGCTAAAAATTCTCCTCTGTTCTTGGTACCCAGGGGAGGCACGCACTACTTCCAGAGTGAGAGGGGTTATGGGTGTAGGCCATGAGAAACTCTTTAGACCCCCAACTTTCAACATCATTTCAGTGCTATATACCAGAAGTTATTTTCCCCAATTCTAATTCGTTTTTTAGAAGAAACATGTGAATCATATCTTGACAAGAGTTGGAAGTAATCAGCCCTAATAGCAGTCTTGGCGCCACCACTAATGATGCCCCGATATAACCTTACGAACAACCTTGCGAATCTAAAGAAAAAATTCTGCTAAAGATGGTCTGGCTGAAACAAAACGTCAACAAGTTAAGGAATCAAGATACTGAATCTACCAGAAGAAAATCCCCAAAACTTGGGCCTCTTTTATTACTTGACTGGCTCTTGGACACTTTATTTCTTTGACCATCTTTAGCCTGTGTACCACGTGCTGTTTTTTGGGGTGTCGTCATGATATTTTGGCTCCAAGGGCCTGCAACAGGTATTGATGAAGGCATGTTATTGTAGATTTGATCATCATTTCTCAATACGTCTGGTCGCCATTTTATCGGTGTGCTGAAGTTTGCAGCTTGTCCGGAGGCTGGATACCCTTGGGGGCCGTTCGGTGTATCCAAGAAACTAAAACCGGGGTTAAAATTGCCCCTTATTGGGCTACTATCGATAAACGCGCCAGTCTGAAGCCAGCTTGGGCTTATGCATGAGCTGGAGGTTACTACGTCATTACGACTCATGATATTATCAATACCGTATGAGAGACTCGATTCCGTCCCGGCAAGCAAAGCATCAGTTGAGAAATCAGTGAATAGATTCTGCTGTTCTTGTTGAACGAGGGTACCGTCGTTGGGATTAACAACGGAATTGACAGACTGGTTTTCAATAGTACCGCCAATAAGGGTTTCGGCTGAAAAGTTCGAGAAAGTTGATTGGATAGTAGGCAAGTTGGAATTATTTGTCAAGTGTTGTGGATTTTTTGAATTTGACAATGGTAATTGTGTTACCATATTTCCTACAGAAGCCGGGGAAAAGATGTTGAGAATAGTAGGCAAATTGCCATCTTGTTCGGTATCACCTGAAAACACTTGTGTATTTGAAGGATTGTTGCTACGTAGTAAGGATTCAGCAGAGAAGTGGCCTAGGTTACTATTGTTGTTTATGTTACTCTCTCCCCTCGGATCTCTTTTTGCCAAAGAAACGAAATTATGTGCTTTTGGTAAGCCGCTTCTGCTTTGAATAGATTTGGAAGCATTGTCATTGATTTTACCAGTCTGTCGTCTGGTTGGAGGCGATTCTTCAACCCTTACCATATTCAAAGAAGCTTTGGTATTAAAAATGGTTGCAGAAGACTGCACTGTAGAGCTGACGATGTCGAAGTCGACTTCATTTCTGCCTTGATTTTGGTTTGTGCTCTTTCTTAGTCTTTTGGCAGGCGGTTTTGCCAAAGAAAAGGTATTGTGTAAACCAGCGCTTCGTATGGACGACATGGACGACTGCGTTGTTAATTGTCTAGTCTGCGACTTTGACGAAGAGAGTCGCTTACGACTAGTCGTTTCAGCTTTTGAAATTGCCGAGGACGAAGGTGGCTGGCCTTTTGGCTCCACTTGTTTTACACGCTTGTTGTTTTGTGTGTGTTGGGAAACTATTTTTTGCTGTATCTTTGGTCTATCGGCTAGTATGGCTTCAATAGACAGTGCCGAATTCTCAGTTGGTGATGTCACAACATTGCCTAACAAGCTTGTTACAGTATGACAAGTCTGGGTGCTTGTTACTCCGACCTGACTAGCAGCAGAACCATCTTGCTGACAGGGAACAGGAATACTGATATTTTTGTCACCTTCAGAGGCACAATGTACAGTTTGTGATCTTTGGGTCTTATTCACCACCTGCGTTACAACATTGCCTACAGCGGAAACTATTTGTGGACCCACGTTCTTCGTTACGACATTAGTGTGACTTGACCTTGCTAAATATAGCTGCTGGGATGAAATAGCTGAAGCATTCTCGATTCGAACAAAAGAGCTAGTTATTGCACTAATTCCGTTTAGATCCGATTGCAACAGACGCTCGCCGGAGCCTGCAATGACAGGCATACTAACAATACTACGATTGCTGGACAAAGCAGATGTATCGCAATGAGTACGGGGTAAATAAACGTTTTTGCTTGTTGCTGCACTTACCGATGAATCTTCATTATTTTCGAGGACAGGCATAGGCCCTGATGTAATAAATGACAAAGCATTGCCATTAAGCACTGCTTTGGTCTTCGGCTGCACAAGATTCTTAATAACAAACATTTGGCTTTCCATCGAAGGTGCTTTTGAAACTGTGTCTTTGTTTGTGCGCTTATTTTCGGCGTTACATGAAGTAGCTGTCATGCAGTCTGGCATGGCTTGCTTCGAGATATTTCCGGCATTGTTACTGTTCACGTGTATAGCGCTATCAACCGCAACGGAATAATCATTTGATAGGCTAGAGCCTTTTTCGGTCATGTGTTCGGCCAAGGTAGATTTATTAATACATCTTGTTCTTGTAACTGAGCTGGCATTTAAAAGAGGTAAATCAGCAGGCAAAATGAGTCGAGAGTGGCTTACCATTGCAACTTGACCATTCTGGTCTACCGCTATTGGTTGATCTGTGGAGAAAACTGAACCTAAGGTTGCGGCTACAGCTTCTCTTCCGCTGATAATTGGCTTTTTAGTTACACTCATATAGGTCTCTGCAACAGGAAAACTTGCCTGAGTACTTGAAGCTGACGCTAAATTCAAGGACTCACTGACAACCGTTAGTGTTTCTTGCTCTTCGTTAGGGACATGTGTTTGAATTGACAGGGTCGCATTGCTGTTCGATTCCATGTGGGGCTCGTTCAACTCAATGATCATCTGATCACTTGGAAAGCTAGAATTTCCTGTGGAACAAGGAATCAGGTGCTGTTGATCGCTAGCTGAGCTGCTATATTTGTTCAACAAAATCCCGTTTTCGTCTACTTGGCCAACAGATACAGTACCAGGGTTAAGGAAATCGAACTTTGCTTTCACGTAGGTCGAATTAAATAAAGATGATGGAGCAGGTATTTTATATTTTCGCATAACTTTCAAAAGGACATCAACTAGATTTTCAAGATCAGCTATTTTGCAAACAAGCTCTTGCACTGTACTCTCCTGTCTTGCATCTAGGAAACAAAACATGGTGTAGTTACGACAAAGCAAATAGGTAATTACTTTGGTTTTGAATGAAATTCCTGATTAAATTCAGCCATTCTATCTTTAATGGAAGGGAAAACCAAGAAGTTCGTCTTTTTAACACTAAGAGATATCACATTGGCATCAAGCCACTTCATAACATGCCTGGGTTAAATTTATAGTTTTTATTATCGTCAATCTTTTTCATAAAATAACATAAGCTTTTTACAGTCGTCTGCCATGTATTTAACATAAGGCAAAAAGAGAAGAGGACCTAGTACAGACCCCTGCGGCACCCTACAAGAGTCTTGCTATACATGGTCCACGCTGTAATGGTTTCATCATAGTCATGGTTTCATTCAGCATCGAACTTTGGAACTTCGAACTTACGATTATAATCAAATCATTCCCATTGCCATTGCCATATGTTTTTGTATGTTTTTGGCCTCACAAGGCAAGCCTCGCTTCAACGCTAGATTAAGCCACGTTTTCAATCATTACCACGAAGTTCCGTTCCTGTGACCGGTTACACAAGACAAAACATGAACGATTTGGGAACAGACCGAAAGAGTTTCGCTTTTTAGTAAATCCAAAGAAGAACGGCAAGGTTTATCGGAAACAAGGAGTTACTTTTTTCTGTAGTGTAAACGAGGTCAAAGTTTGACTAGCTAAAGATAGATTTTACGAGGAGAAGAGAGCTCACTGTTTCAACTTTCTTGCTAGTAATTTTCCAATATTTTGGTGTCCACAGGATGATTGATAACACGATGAATGACTCAAAGGCCGCATAATAAACTAATGCGCATTCGTGTTAATGCTTTTGTAGCGTCGTAGTGCCCTAACTGTAATGTTTTGTAGCCTTTTTCCAAGAAGACGCGGCGGGGGATCACGGTGGTTGATAATGTTGAAAATTTTCGTCAAGTAATTTCTAAACAGCCTTCTAACAGAGCGTTTTAAGTCGTATAAAGAAATAAGTGAACATGGACTGAAAACGTATCTTACCAGATTGGGTATATGCATCCTGTCTTTCTTTTTCCTCTTGATGCAGCTGTGTTTTCTCCGCAATGAAATCATATGCCTTTTCGAGTATATAAATCTTGTGCTGCCATAGAAAGAGGATATGGTATTGTTAAAGAAATGACTGAGAGGACTTTTGAACAGCAAGAGTTTGTTAGCAAAGGTTTAAATGAGAATTTAAATAGAATGCAGCACTTACCTGCTTCTCTGGATAGTACTTGAAAAGAACACTTGCGATTTTCGAAATCCATCCGTTTATTCTTTCTTTTCGTTTCTTCTCCGCTGAAAAGGGAAATGTATTTAGAAATTTTTTGAAAGCAATTGTAAATAAAGATGACATTAAAAACCAAACGACCAATAGCAAAACTAGAGATAAACACGCCATCCAGTGCAAGACATTGAAAGGCGTCATTCCACGTCAAATTGTCCATAAAAGTCATGAATGGTCACCCACCCTCTCACATTTTGATGAACATTACAGTATTTATTCATTCTCAGGTGGAAACATCACACCCAAAAGTTTAGCAAAATCAAGTTGTTCCTGAGATATGGCGAGTCAAAACTGGGTTATTAAGAGTGTGTTCCACCAAAAAATTTGTGCCAACATTGAATAATTACATTTAAAATCCAGTAAATTATTTTTTTGGTTGAAATATTTACATCAAATTATCAACATAGTAAATTTAAATGGTGCAGATTTCAAATGTGAAAATCCAAATATCACCAAAGAACAAAGCTAGTTACTCAAATAGTTGGTTTAATGTTTAAAGTAGACTTTCTACATTTTGTGACTAGCCAGTTTCAATACCTGCACTTTTCACAGTATGCCAGATTGAAGAATTGTATTGGGGACAACTGCCATAACACACTCACCATAACAGTTTGAGTTTTACTATTAAAGATAGTATAACAGTTAGTGTGTCATGTATTCAAGATTCTGACACACTAACATGCTTATAGTCTGGTGTTGCTGTATTGTTAAGGGTTTTCAGGTCTTAAACCATTTCTTATCAATTGCTCACGATTCTGTCTTTACTTTACAAAGCAAATTAGGCTGAATATGTGACAAGTTAACAAATATAAAAAAAAAAATTAAAAGCAATGTGTACTATGACACAACACACCTGCATTATGAACAAGTCTCTTCCGATTACCCCGTTGCAAGCCTCCGCTTCTTAAAATAAAGAAACAAGTCTTTGCATCAAGATAACTTCATAAACAGAGAAGTACCATTGGTTGCAGGGGTACATAATTTAGATGCAATTTTACGAGAAAAACTCCTGTTCCCTATTTTGAACAACATTTTTATCTAATATACACAATGGGCCAATTGTGTAGATAGCTAAAATGTTCTTAAATTTAAATGAATCCTGATTATTCAAATTACACGCTTTCACCCCAATTCAGCTGCCTTGGATCTTGAATATCAATCCCTTTCTTGTGACTAAAACAATAACAAAATATTGTTTTTGATTTCTGTAGCACTGAATCTTTTTCTTCCTGGCCATGGTAAATATACATATTCTTAAATGAATTGAAATGATACATAATTTAAAAATTAAAATCTGATGTGCGAATGGTTATACCAGGATGGCAAAAATATAACCAGGGATTCTAGCCCACAAACGAACTTTTTTATGATTTTATTTGCTTAATGTATCATCTTATTTTGAGAAATTAAAAAAAATTTGAGCTACCTCATGACAAAGCCTCCTGATTCAAATTGTTGTCCTCTGTTTTCTGCAAAAATGCTGCCATGGTGTGTCCCCTCATCTTGTACTTTTCTTCCTCCAATTTCTTGCACCTTAGGCCCTTGTGCCCTGTCTAGTGACACTGTTTTTGCAATTTGAACTCCACTAGCTCCAGTAATGTGATAACTGACAGGGGTAACAACATTCTTTGCTGTGTTTGGAAAGGCATTTGTTTTCACAATTGTAGTAACAGGTGCTACAAAATATAATAGAAAATTTGGGACTCAGTGCACTAGGATACTTTTGTTGAGAATGGTTGACAAATGACAAAGAAATCAGGTTGACAAATTAAGAAAAAGGTCGCAACTATAGGCTGTGGGCAATTAAGGTATTTCTGGTTTTTCTGTGGGACACATACCAGATACTGCATTGTATTCATTTGTAAAAATAAGTTTCAGCAAGCATTTGCTAGTTGTGATAACATTGAAAAACATCAAGTCTCCAATGTCAGAAAATTTTTCAATAACTCATTGATAAACAGCATAATTCTACATCAAAAACAAAACATTAGGAAATAACAAAAAATGCTGACCAGCTGTTGAAAATTAAACACCTATTTTGCAAAAAATAAGAGCACCAGGGTATTTCTTTACACAGGAAAAATGAAAGTTATCTCTCCAATTGAACCTATTTTTGATTGCTATGAATTACATGTATATACATATAACAACATGTAAACAATTTGTCAAACATATTATGTAATTAGCAACACAATGTGACATTAATAATAATGTAAAATAAAGTTACAAGAAATAAGTATACTGAATAGAAATTACATCAAAGATCACTCAAAAATCTTTAGAAATGTATTTGCCTTACCAATTACACTCGACTGTGGAGATATTTGAATGGCAAAAACTTTTGGTAAAATTGGCTTTTGTGAAACCTTCAATGGGAGCTTCTTCTTTCTTCCTCTTTTGGTTGATGGTTTAACACCTTTTTTAACATCAATTACCGGAGGCTTTGGCACTGAAGATATACTTGATGTTAACACTTGCAAAGAGGCTAAACAGTCTGCAGGGTCATTAGCTTTTGGATGCTCAGATTGTTGATAATCATGTGTTGTAGAAACCGCATCCATTTCTTCTTTAATCAAATATGACTCACATGATAATTTGATCTTAATCCCAGTCTAAAGAGAAATTTAAAAGCTTATATCAAATTCAAATCACGTAATATCTAAACTCAGATTATCTTTTTTATGCAGTGCAATCAAAATATAAAACATTGTTGAAGGGCAGTCACCAATTGGAAATAATTATGCAAAGACACTGTATAAAAACTTAATAATCTAACCATCAAATAATCACTAATTTTCAAATGATTCAGATTGGACGAAATAATTTTCAGATGATTCAGATTTTCAAATGTTAAACAAGCAAGTTCTGTTAGAAAAAATCTATTGTTTTAACATATATTCAATTAAGTAAAAAAGGTTCCCTTGAAGAAAATAGGTGCAGGCTTGATTTTGCCTCAAAATATATATAGACAATATGGATTGATTTCGTCTCAAAATTTCCTCAAAACAAAGAGGCCTTTTCCCTTTATTGATTTGTTTAAATTTTAAAATTGTATCCTTAACTTTTTGAAACGAAAATTGAGCATAAGATTATGTTTAGGTAGTGGCATTGCTTTTAAAATCCATTAAACTAACTGCTCAACCTGTATAAAAGTGTAGCTTTTAAAATATATACTGCAAACAAATAATGAAAAGTTATATCTAGGCATCTTGCTAATAGAGTATTTAAAGCTAGAAATCTTTACTTAAGAATCTGGCATTCCCTATCAAGAATCTTGATCAACTTTTCATATATCATAAGATCATAGCATATATCATTCTTTTGATGCATATATACCAGACCATTCGTTTTGAATGTTTATATTTTGCAGACCATTTACTTTTATCACAAAAATTATACAATTTACCAAGAAGATTAAAAACATGATATATTTGAAAATATTTTAGATCCCTGACCATTGTGAACAGAATATGAACTGATGATGAATGAAAGTGTAAAATGAATACAATAAATACAATGAATGCAGGCTAAATAGTATTCACTTTAATAAAAAAAATAAAAAAGTTCCTTGCCTAGTCAGAAAAGTGGCAGCTAAGCAATGTCTTGACCCTAGGCAATGCTTGGACCTTGTTTTTTTCAATAATGATTATTCATTTGAACTTTCCGAACAGTATTATCGTTACAGCATAACCTAAACAAATTGGAAATTATTGCATGAAAAGAGAGATATGGTCAACTCCTTAACATGGCTGATTTTCGGAGGGTGTACATGTACAAAACAAGAATCGGGTGGCTTGTTCTGGCTACATAAATGCGTATAACAGTTCAAACATCTAACCAACAGCATTCTATATAGAGTTCTATGGCATTCAATACAGATTTGCATATTCATATCAGCATAAGACCTTTTTGCTAAGACTCCTGCCTTGGGATAGGCCTAGAAAATCAAACTTGCTCTCGAAAAGGGTCGCGTCTTCTGAGAGTCCGTTGAGTTTTTATTACAGCATGATCACCATTCCAACAGTTATTTCTAGTTCTAGGCTTTTATGACCAAGCAATAATAAGATTTAACTTTACATCCTTGAAATCACATGGTCAGTTATCTTACCTTTTTTTCGGCCAATGTTTTTCTTTTCTGGATTAAACTACAACGCCATCTTTTTATGATAGAGAACTGCATCAAAACGAGGTTACCAGTCTCGGTCGATATTCCAACTTCGGTACATTTGGTTCTTTGCCATAAAGAAAGTATTATAATAATTCAACTTTAATGCTAGGACTTCGACCTAGTGCCCCGCTCCCAAAATAGCATTTAGGAGAAATTTTTAGATGAGATCCTTCGTTAACAGTAGTTTCATGGAGACAAGGTGTATGAACTGTGGAAAAGGACTGGAGCCGAGTACAACGTTCGTGGTGGTTTCTTAATCCTGTCTTTTTCAGCAGCTGATATCATAAAATACACGATGGGATGAAAATTGCCCACTAAGAAACCAAACTTTGGTTATAGAGAGCTTGGATCATGTTTTTAGCTGGTTTTAAGAGGAGAATCACAACCTAAAACCACCAAAACAAAAATTTGTAACATGCAAACCTTATACGGTACATTTTTTATTTACCCGCCTAGAGCAAGAACTGACGAGAGATTTACGAGCCCTTAGATACCTTAGCCAGCAAATTAAGAATCCAAATGGGGGTTCTAAGAAATTGTAAATGTATCGAGCACACCCTTAAACAGACTAAAATTCCCATCCAGAAAATATCTCATCTAGCAGATCTCTTCGATTTCGTTTGATTTCCTTTTCAACAGTGTAATTATCAAAAGGAAAGCAATTAAAATGATGCATTTTTTGATGTAAGGGTATTCAACCTATTTGCACCGTCGTACAGAAACCAGAAACTAGACAACAATTTTGCAGGGAATGGAAGAGAAAAGAAACGCGCGTACAGTCAAAGGGTTTTACAAGTTGAGCATGGCTCTTTTACGTCATTGATTTTCGCTCACAGTGGTGGTTCAAGTAGAGAAACTGAAAAGTTTAGTTCCGTTTTATCTATGAAGATATCAGAGAAACGTGATCTGTCAATTTCACTGGTTACCAATTGGATTCGTACCAAGCTGTCATTTGCACTACTTCGAAGTGCCATATTGTGCATACGCGGTTCCAGAAATAGGCGAACAAAAGTTGAAGTGGACACAGCCAACATAGAAATTGTAAAAAACAATATCCCGGATTGATTAATTAAAATTGTTGGAAAAAATCCAAAATAATTCAAGCTTTTCAAGCTTTGTTCTAAACATGTGTGAACCGGCGGCCTTTCGGTATATAAACAGCACCAAATGTTGAATCATTGATGAGAACAAAATTACAATGATGCATGGATTGCAGCTCACGCGTAAAGATAAATATTTGTCAATGAATCTTTGCATTTCTATTATTCTAGGGGGCAATAGAAATCCTCTCCCTTCCACAGGAAAGCATTATAAATAAGAAGTAATGCCAAGTTCGGCAGCGATTTCAGCGAATTTTAAAAAGAACAGTGATTTTTGGACTTCTCTCCCCAATAAACTTGCATTTGAATATCGCTAACAGTATCAGGAACACAAGATTACAATCTCAAGTATTTATGTAGTTTGGCATATTTGCATGGCACAAGCAAGGGAAGTGAGCAAGGGAATTGAGAACATAAGACATGCCAGTAATGCACTTAGAAAACGCATCCTGTTCACATTTCACTTGTTTCAACTTTCTCGTTTAGATCTGTGCTGTGCTCCCCCTTTTCAGTATCAAATTTGCTTGAACAAAATTGATTGAATGGAATTTTGCATTGAAGAGTTCCATAATTTTGAAACTGTATTATTAATTTCGGATTAGCAGGCAAAATACAACAGTAAGATTTAAAAAAGTCACTTTTAAATTGAATTGTAACCTTAACATAGTGAGGATAGCCATAACAGACTTCCAAAGTTAAACTTGATTTAGTGGATGATTGACCGATATTGTTGTTGTGAGAATTAGTTAACACTAATAAAAATCAAGAGCAGTTTTTAACATCAGAGATGAAGGAATCTGCACAGTGAACGAGATCGAAATGGCTGCTATCATTGTAACAAATACTTTTACTACAATATTATAACAGTCTCGCTAACCTACATTATTACCTACATGGAAGGAGACAATTCACTAATTTGTTGATGTATATTTTTAAAGGTCAAGAAATATTCAAAGGATTGAGCTCAAAAATTGAAGGCTCTTTGTAAATGGGGAGTTTATGAAACAGTTAGAAGTCAAACAGTAACAACACAATTTAATATCAAAATGATACAATATACATATATGGAATGCTGCCCAATACAAGAAAATAACCTTATATTTTACCCCACAAGAGACAGCCCGCCACAAGCAGCAGTCCATTGATATGTAATGTTTAGAGTCTCAAAATCTCGCAAAGTTTAAAGTCTCTTTGTTGCGGTTCCGTAAAATGGTAAAACTGAGACCTAGTATTTGGGGCTCTGTCAAAATTCAAGACATTAACCTCTCGTATATAAATTTGTGGAATTGATTTCATCCCGGCATGTTGGGCTTAATTAAAATGACTGCTGCAAGTAAAATGGTTTGGGTGGTAGCTGATTGGTGGGTGTGCATGCATCGCAGAGGATTGAAGACTTATGGTAAAGAAGAACCGGGTGTTATGTGAAAAACTGAAACAAATATAGAAGAGGTTTAGATGGGTTAATGCCAGGCACCGCGCGGTCAATGGGCTAACGTGGCTATAGCCTCCCCCCCCCAATATTTTGCAATAACTGTTTGTATCTACCTGTGACAATTAATTTTGAAGACCCTGTTCTAATGCTATGTCTAAAAAACAGACACAGTAACGCTCTTTAAAATTCCTCCCATATCAAACAGAGAAATCTAAACAACTATTTCCTAGCTTTTTGCATGCTTAATTAACAGATCCCTTATGCTTCCTCTAAGTTGCAATTGAAGAACAGTTTTACCATTTTTGTTTTGAGCCAGCAGACTTGGATTGCCTTGCAGCAAACTCTTTAGCACCGGTATATCACCAATAACGACAGCTAGGTGAAGTGCAGTTTCATCGAGAGGTCCTTGGAAAAAGAGCATTTCGTTTAAAAAGTTTATAGAAATCAGGGCATTTTGCTAAAACAATATGTAGGTATGTATATTTGCATGTATATATATATATATTTCATATTGTACAGGCTATGTATAACTTATGTTATTAGCCGATGTGGGCCTATTGAACAGTTGGTGAGTAACAAAGACATTTAAGGAATTTCTAATGGTAGGGATGCTATGCAAGCTAAAGAGCACCTTTTAGTGGGGAATCATGAGGTAAACTTGTGCTAAATTACTAGGGACTTAAGGGAATCTTTCTAATAGTTTACATGCATAAATAAAATGTCCAATAATGATAACGTCAAAGCCTGCCAGGACAATCTCTATCAGGCAAGAAGATTATGAAACTTTGTAACATTAAGAATTAGCCTTAATAACTTTAATCGAATTTTATTTTATTTCCTTTGTAGCTTTACTTTCGATTAAAGTGGGTTTTTGAAAGTTTTTGCGTAGTTCTTGAAAATGTTTCAAGAGTGCGTTTCATCTATGAATTATCCAGAAACCAAAAAGACATTATAATTTCAGAAGCTCTCCTCAGTTTTTCTGTCTGGCAGTAGATGTCACTAGAATGAGCGTAAGAAGGAATGCTGAAAAGTTTTATTTGCTTTTTCCTATAGATTGACATTTTTGGGGAGGAAATTCATACCTTTACCCGACTAGGAAAACTAATAGTACACCATTGACGGCTATTTTTTAAAAAGAATTATAACTGAGAAATAGCAACTCTTAGTTAATAATCTATAATTTATTCTTAGTAAAATTTTACCCAAATTCCTTGCCATTCGCTATTACATTGTACGGCACGCAAGCTAGTATATTTAAACGTTGTCGATATTACCTCCCTTTGAATCGATGCAGGCGCCCATTTCAATAAGTGTCGTGACTGCATCCTCTTGGCACTGCCTCACAGCAACATGCAAAGGAGTCCATCGCTCATCCGTGAGAGACTCAGTATTTGCACCGCTTTGTATGAGTTCAACTATGCTTTCGACTTGTCCATACCTTGCTGCGTTGTGCAATGCAGTTACATTGTTTTTGCCACATATGTTTGGGTTTACCCCATAATCAATTAATGCTCCTAGAAAGTGGGTGTGGCCATGCTGTGCAGCTGTTAGTAAAGCAATAGTGGCCATTTCTTCTGTCAGTTCAAAACCTGTTGTCTGTAAAATGCGACTAAGAAATTCAGTTTGTCCGCCAACAGCAGAATTATGAATCCAAGAAGGAAGCATATCAGCTGGAATATCTGGATAAAAACAATGTACAGAATACAGCAACTTCAAATCTCTAATTGGATCTTTATTATTGAGAATTGAAGTTATTTTCTACTCTGACCTGCTGCACAGAAGAACTACAAGCAGCTAAACAGTACTCAACTAAACAGTACGGATAGGCGTGCTAAGGCAAGGGACCAAACCATCAACCCAACAATTTTTAGCGTAAAAATTGGCTCAAAATTATACTTTTTCTACTCCCTGCAAAAGAACGTTTGCAATGGTTTTTCTTCTATTTCATTACACTTTTCTAATATTCAAGACCCAAAGAACAAGTCAGAATTTCATAAATCCAGAAATGCAATTATAACATGTAGCTGACCCAAAAACAACTTTTGCTCAAATTCTAGGCCCAAAAAGTAACCTGAGCAACCCTATCATAAACATATATGGGCAGCTACCAAGCTGGACGAGGTGATTGCAGACAGCTTAAATGTACTATAAAATTTGGAGGAATCTTGATAATGTAACATCATGAAAATAGATCCAAATGAACGGTATAGACTGGTATCTAAAGGAACGCATTCTTGGCTTAAGGAGATTTTAAAGAATTCTTATACTGGGATTTCTTTGGTTCCTGACTGTAAGAAGTTAAGCAGTAATTACAAATTAATTTTTTGTTTAATACATTTGTTGTTGTTGTGACAATAACGATATCTGATTACAGACCAAAGGTTTTTCTAACACTGCTTTGTCACAGAGGACCTTGTTCACTTTGATACCAGTTACTATGAATAAATTTCAGGGGTTTGGTGCCAGTACGCGGGTTTTAAGCCAAAATCTACTGGTTAAAAAAATAGATTAAGAAAATTCTGACATAGCTACTTCAGCCACGGAAAAGTGCTTGTGGCCAGTTCAAATACGAAAATCTCAAGATCGCGTCATATAATCTATTCCCAAACAGCATAGTGAAACTTGGGGCATAAAACAATGCAAAAGGCTCTAATAAAAGATCTAATAATAATTCCATGTTTATTTGAATTTGATGGTGATGAAGTGATTAAGTGCAAACTGCTCTATTCATGTGCCGGCAGAAAAAACATTGTGTGGTGCATTTGCAATTTTGTATAAAATAAACCATGTTTCTTAGTAGCAAATATATAATTTACGCTCGAGATTAAAGACCCCGTTTAAACGAGACCTGGACTAGATTGGATCCACAAGTATCCGGATAATTTTGGATCCGATCCCTGAAAAGGCAATGCGTTTACACGGGATCCGATCCAGAACCATTTACGTTTACACGGGAACGGATCCAGATGAATTCAATTGGTTACGCGCATGCGCTTTTCGAAAATTGGCGCCCATATGACGTTTTCAGAACTTCGTGCGTGATCAAAACACAGTTCAACCTGAACATAGAGGGAGGTAACGCTAAAAAGGGTCAATTTTCATGGACTGAAGATGAAACTGCGCTACTTTTAAAAGTAGTATTGGACTACAAACTGCAAAGCTTGCAGGTGGATAGGATTGGGAAAATATGAGGACAAAGTACGACGACATATCGTCAAAGTTTCGTAATAATTCTTCAACATGGTAGTCTGTCAACTTGATGTTCGGTTTTCTGGCGCCAAAAAGCCACGGATTACATATTCAAACTACCTTGAACTGAAAAATATTCTGTCTTACTTTCGACAAATAACGTAGACGGATTCGATCTGGACCAGATCCACCTGTTTACACGGGATTTTTCAGAGAGAGGCAATGACTACACTCTTTGACATCCAAATGAGAATAATACAAATCAGCTAAAAATAAATATTCCTAGTGAGGTCAAATTCTACAACGTCCCTCGTGAAATTAACCCTGATAGAATGTTACTTGATCAGCATTTTTCAAAGCATCTATTGCCTAACAAACGCAAGAAGTTCACAAAACTGGAAGAGCAAATTTTCAGTGCAAGCTGTCCATACTTATCTAATAGTTACATATTCATACAGAATTTAAATCAGCTTTCATTCATTTTCACCCTTGTCTTCATCTCCATTTTCCTTCGTTCCCGGCCTTAGCCACTTACTTTCGTCTTCGGCCTTTTTTGTTCTCGTCCTCATCCTCGTCCTCATCCTCGTCCTCGTCCTCGTCCTCGTCCTCGTCCTCGTCCTCGTCCTCGTCCTCGTCCTCGTCGTCGTCTTCGTCTTCGTCTTCGTCCTCATCTTCACCCTCGTCTTCGTCTTCGTCTTTGCATTCGTCTTCTTTTTCATCTTCGTCTTCGTCTTCGTCCTCATCTTCGCCTTCGTCTTCGTCTTTGTATTCGTCTTTGTCTTCTTTTTCATCTTCATCTTCGTCTTCGTCCTCGTCTGAGTCCTCGCTCTTGTTCTCATCCTTGCATTCCTCCTCGTCTCAATACTAATAAAGTCTTCGTCTTCTTCTTTGTTGTCCGTTTCTACCTAGTCTATTTTTTGTTTTCGCCTTCGTCTCTGTCCTCTTCGTCGTCGCGATCGTCATTGTAGCTGCCGACACCATCACTGGTTTTTTATGGGCGGGTTTTTTTTTGTCCAGAAAATCTGGAGCAAGGCATTTTTATCTGAGAAATTATTGTCATTTTCTTTTAAAGAAATGAAATCCATGGGTCAGATCTAAACGAAGTTTGTCTGTGTTTTTGCAACAAACTTCAGCCACACTATCATGGTGTCAAGCACACGTCGCCCATTGTTGATGGTCGTAATTTAATTTACTTAATTCTAACTGTATATTTAGTGCCATGAAAAAAGCATAGCGGTAAGAAAGACAAGATTTAAGTGTTTTTCTTTCTATTGAAGCTAGAAAAGAAGGCTAAAAGATAAAGAGAGTAAGAAAGAAAATTAAGTAAAATGTCAATCAAGAAATGCCATTGCAAAGAGAGAGGAAATTACTAGACTCTTCATATAAGAATGCTATAGATTCTGTCTAGTCTCCATATTCTTAAAATTGGATATTTTCTAAATATAATCTAATATTTTCAAATCTGATATGATTTCAGGAGAAAATCGCTCGCTCGCGAATAGAAAACACGAGTTTTAAAAAGGAAAGAAATGTCAGTATTGCGATTTTGAAAATTGCAAAACAAGTAAAGATATGACAGAAAAAGGCGATTTGTAGCTGAGCAATATTCTCGTGATATTCTTTAGAACTGGATGATTCTGATCCTGAAAATTCTTATAAACAATATTCTTATAAAATGATGAATTATAAACAGAGACAGCAAAGCCCGAAACTGCTCAAGACTTCATGCGAGTTTTGACTGCACAATTGAATAGAACAGGCGTTCTATATCTCGATTATTTATAAAGTCAATCCTTATCAATAAAAAAGTGTTATCCATCCAATTATAAAGTCACTAAAAGTTTTAAGGAAATAGTACTAGTAATTAAAAATATCAATTATTGTTTTTTGAGTCATTTGCCCCTCAACTGTGTCCATAACACCTATCATAAATTGCTTGGTGGTGCCATGACCCACTGCACACTTAAATCGTTTTGCTCTGCTGCCCCAACTCCGAATGACATGACAGATTTATGGCCCTTACAAATACGAAAAAGTACAAGAAGTAGCCAGGAGCGCCACGAAAAGGAATCAGGGGCTAAATTCCCTTGTATAAATCCAGGAAGATTGTTTGGGGCTCAGTTCCCTCTCTACAAGCGAGCACATATTTAGATAGACGGATTCTGTGTTGGCAACCCTTTATATAATGCTGTAGATGTTTAGTGAATGAGAAAAATCCCATCAGTCTTTTAGAGTCGTTGAATAGTTTGAATGATCAAAAATACAAAATACGCAACAGAGAATCTTCAACACAAATGCAAGTATATAAGGTGTGGCTATGGGTGTGGTCTTGGCTATAACTTATAGTAGTTGACGATAGTAGAGCCCCCCTCCTAACGTTTTAATACGGCACCTCTGGAAACAACATAAGAATACGTTTGTGAAGACCATTCATAATTGGTAACGTCTACATACCAGATACTTCTTCTATATCTAATAACAGTTTAAGGCCTAACTGACGTCATTGAATATTAATTAAAGGCCTGGCCGTCGACGATGTCACACTATCCTGTCCTGCGATATCACTCACCTGTTGCTGATAAGTATTGCAATACTTTAGCATTTCCTCTCTTCGATGCCGTATCCCAGAGCATCGCATCATCTAAACCAAATTTCTTTGAAAGTCGCTTCAGACAGTCGATGTGATTATGACGCGCTGCATACAGCATCGGTGTTAGGTGACCAAGACCATCTTTTGGAATACCGTCTGCAGTCGCTCCGTGATGCAACAGTAGCTGCAATACCTCCAAGTTTCCTTGGAGACACGCATCATGTACAGGCTTGAATCCAAAGTTGTCTTCTATGTTTACATCAGCCCCACGTGCAAGAAGCAGCTTTACACAATTCATATGGTTGTGTCTTACGGCCAAATGCAAGGCACTCAGACTGCAGGGAAAGCCAAACTCGTGTCAAGCTCATTCAATAACAAGAGTTGCAAAAAACAACACTGAATTGGATAATAAAAATCGAATCAGTTACTGTTAGCCTAATCATAACAGTTTCCACATAACGGTGATTACCATCTTCCTACAATCAGCAAAGCAAGCAGCATTTTGTGAACAATGATCTTCCATTCTTCCTATAGCTAAAGTCGGAAAAGACGGATTTTTCAGACCAGACAACATGGTCCGACTTATGCGGAGTACGGCAACACGAATGAAAAACTGAAATGAATCACCACAGAGCGAAAGCTGAAATCTCACATTGAAAAGCTAAATCAAGCACCAAAGAGCAAAGAATTAAGGATAGAAAGAACAAATGTGCCATCACGTCAATAGCGCTAATAATACCATTAATGACTGTGCTGTTCGAAAAAAGTGACAGATCTGTTTCTCAAGACGACCACTGACATTAAAATATGTAGCAATACCTTGTCTTACAGTAAAAGCCCGACATATGTGATGCTATTTTAATACGGGACTTAAAAAACAATCCGACTAACGCAATGAAAATTGATATCATCTATACCGAATGGACTGGGACCACGCATTTTCCTCAGAGGTATGAAACGTCCGACTTATGCATTTCAGACATACGCGTGTTCGATTAATGCAAGTTTGACTGTGCTACGATTTTAAGGGAGTTTGTCCAAATACATTTCCCCTGCATTCACAACCGTTGAAGCTGCGGATCAAAGGCTGACCTGAAATCAGCTATTATGTGTTATGTGTTCAGACCGCGTTACATCCTTCTCTAAGCAAGCTATTTTAAGGAACCCTTGTTTTCAACGAAGGAACCGCTTAATTCGATGTGATTTGAAACTAGGGGTGGAAAAAATCTTACATTAGACATAAAATTGAATTATCATCATATTAATGGAAGGCTGTGTTTTAGATAATAATCTTTTCAAATGCAAGGCTTTCAACTCTCTTTTTGCGCTGTTAATTGTTATCAATTATTTATCATGACGTCATCAAAGACCGCGTTGCGATGTCGAGGTAATGCGACAGCTGATTATATGGTAGCCTTTCCAGCGTGTCCACTCTCATTCAATGGCAGTGGCGTCTCCAGCCTGGGATAAGTGGGGGGACACAAGGTGTGACAGAAATCACGCCCTTTGGACCACGCCTTTCTTTCCCTGTTTGAAATATTTTCTTCCGGAGGAATTACCTCTTGTCTTCCAAGAAATGTCATTTAAATGTGACGATCTAGAGAACGTAGATAACCCCCTACCCGAAGTTTTCTCGTCAGATTTGCAAAAATCTCAAGGACCAACTTTCTTAAAAAATGGTTGGAGACTAGACTAGCCCCCCCCCCATTCCTCCCGTGGCCCCGCCACCAAATGGTGTACCCAAGCTCATCCAAAAGATCCTAAGATAGCCCCGTTCCTCTGACTTATGTGTGAACTTTTTATACCCTTTTCACTGAGATATAATACTAAATAATAAAAACAATAAAACTTGTTCAAATTGACAAAGTAAACAGGAGTTCCTGCTTTGCTACACTATGTTTCTGTGAAACTATTTTGGCTAAATCTGCACTTATTGTAAAAGACTGAAGTTCAAGTTATATGATTCTTATTTTGATAGGTTTATAGGTTTGTCTAGAATGGTGATAAGTGAAAAAGGGAACACATTGTGAAACAAAACTGCCAATACTTCTAGTATAAGTTGCAAATGACCTTATACATACAGAAGTCTTTTCTTCCAAATGTTGTATTGAACCAAAAGGTAACCAACCCTTTTTCTAAGTGTCACAGTCCTAGGTTTGAGAAAAAAGCCACCCCTTTCTCAGAGGTTCTCTGGATGAGCTTGGGTAAACCTCCAAATGAGATTGGACACACCGGGGTAGCCTTTACCTTTTCTTTCTTCCCACCACCTAAATAGCCAGCGAGTCTTTCCGCTTTGGAAAAATTTGAGAGACTTTGTGAAGCTGAGTCGTCGTATTTTAATTAGACAAAGGTGCATAAACCGGAAGAAACATGACAGCCATAGGTTTATTATGCAATATAGAAATATAACAGATTGTATCGACGTTTTCTTTATATAGGGTTGTTAAAAGATGTGAGTCCTAGAGTAAGCATATTTGTTCTAACTTGGTGTCATTGAAATGATTAAAATATCACGAACTCAAATTGACTGTAGATTGTTCAACTCACCCTTGAGATGCTGCCTCCTTCTCTGGAATCACGTTTACATTAAGTTCTTTGTTTGATAAAAGTGCTTTCATTTCGTTGTAACTGCCATTTTTGGCACATTCGTGTAACGCCATATCTGTTGATAGATGCATTGGAGCAACGTCGTCTTCATCCAACTCGCTCACATCATTTTCTATACTAGACTTACTCGCTGATTTGGGCAGGCGGTCCATAACACTTTCTGTTTTCTAGCTTGCAGAAAAATCGATTGAATGTCGCATCGTCAAGAATTGACTAAGTATAAATTCACAGCCTGAAGTTTTATAAAGCTGAGAAATCTCCATTGACGATTGAAAAAATGTCTTAAATGTTAAACACGAGATTGGTTGCCGAATCTTTGTTTTGCTTCTTGGACCTTGGAATTCAGGAACTGGTTGGCTGATGTCGATCAAGGAGTCGAAGATACAGCATTGAAAACACCATGAATAATTTTACAGGAGCACTGGCAAAACAAACTAGAAATTAATTCACAGAAGTTTTCTCTGGCGACCAGACTTGCATTGTAGTATGTAATCAAAGTGTACATCACACGCAGCTTGGTAGTCATAACAACAGAGCTGAATTCATTCACACGATCGTTTACTTAAGAAGCCATGTTTCCAGGAGGATTAAGCTGCACATAATCCAAGTGCACTGTGATGTGTTTGCTAATGAGGCTCTGTGGTCTGCTTCTAAGGTATTATTTGATCAGTGCCTTTTAACATTCACTGAAACAGAGTGAGTTTGTTAAATCATTAGACTTACAACGTTAGCCATCTACAATTTAAGATATTTATTAGGTTGATTGTTATTAATCAAAAGGAAAGTGCAAGCATATCAGCGTGCATTTGCAATAGGCAAGAAAATCTCAATATAAATTATCCAATAGCGGCGCAGTATTCAGGTCACGAGAACAAAATGTATGTGATCACTTGACGAAAAGGTTGAGACAGGTTTGGCTGTCAATTCAAAGTTCCACAATAAACGTGAAACTTTCATGTGATCACATTTAAACTTTGCATGAAGGGCATGCCTCAACGGCTTGTTATTTCTAAACCGCTTATCTTACTTTTTCTCGTCTGTGCTCCAGACTCCTCTTCATTGAGGTTAGAGGTCGTGAACACAGAAAGGAACACTTCATCGATGTCGCACCTTTTACAAACTAATTTCACAATCGGCCTAACGGAGGTGTTTAGGGCTCTGATAAAAAAAACTGGGACAGTGTCCCTATTTACTTACAGCAAGAAAGGTGTAGAGCATGTCAAACACAAAAGCAAGATGTAAAAAAGATAACTTTTATTGCTGGCTAGAGGAGGGGAGGGTGGGGGGGGGGGGCAACTGTTAAGATTTTTGAAAATATGATTAACTTAAGCTATTCTTAAAATATGAACATATTTAATTCGGGGGCCCCTTTTGATCGAGCGGCCTTTGGCATCGAACTAAGGAGATATGAACTGCAATTGGCTACTTTAAAGTTCAACACAGAGTATCATATATGTTATATGTCACTTATAACAGTATATTTTAACATCATATGTCTTTTAGTTAAAAAATAAGTGTTTATTACTAATATAAAAAACAGTTTTGTTACCAATCTTTCCTAGTACTCAGGTAAAATGGATGACAGTCCTAATCTGTCATAGCATCTTAGAGACATCAACAGAAAATGCAGTAATTATCAACATATGTTTTATTAATGGTTTATTTGAAGTATTGTATATTGGCTTCTGGCAGTTAGAAAATTAGGTGATAAAAATTTCTGAAAAATGTTCCCTGCTGCAGCTGGCAGAACTTTAATCGTAGTATTCAACCAAAATATCTTGCGAATTGCGATTATAACTACATCTCAATATCAAGCGCAAAAGTTTGATCTGGCAATGTTTTACGAGCAGAACATAATTTGCTTACAGTGATTCCATAGTTAACAGAATACGGTGACGATTAAATGATTTTTTGTTTCAAATTTTGCTTCAGGCTATAAAAAGTGAAAATCGTCTCATCTTGAAGCGTTAGACACAGTCAGAAATAAACAGTAAAAAATACGATCTTTAGCAAACTTCAGCAGTAACTGCGCGAGTTCAGGAGCTTTAATTATTTTTTAAGTCTGTTTTCAAGATCAATCATTTTTCAAAGTACGAGAACTCCCAGCTGCTTTTGCAGTTATGAATGCTTTTGCAGTTAAAATGAACACTTCAAGTGGTACTCTTAATCACAGTGGACTTTAAGCATTTCTGCATGAAATTATCTGGGTAATACATGGCTCACTTTCATTTTCTAATCGCGTCTAATAAAATTCTTGGGAGGAATATAATTTCGGTTGTCAACTTTGGTAGGGATCCTTTGAAGAAATTTTCCTTTTTGGGTTGGTGGATGGCTGTGCCACATCAAACAGTTGATCTTGTTTTGTACTGATTTTTGTGCATCTCAAGCAGCGGGTTGCTGCGAATTGGGTGTAAGGTGAGGAAAGAATCGCGTCAAAATCCACGTTCCATCTCTTGATGAAGAGCAACCTTTGAAAAACAAAATCTCAAGAACATTTTATGTCGGCAACTTGCTTGTAATTTGCCTCCAGAATAACCAAATTGTAAGACATCATTGATATGCTAAACGACAAGAAACTTAACGATAACTTACAGATACCCTGCTGTAATTCAATAACACCCAATGATAAACCTGGCGGGGAAAATAACTGTTTGCAGAAAATTCTTTCACTATCTACAAACCAGCTACGTGTGTGCTGAAAGCCGCGAAAGAAGCGAGAAAGAAAACTTACAATTATACAAAAATGTAACTAAAATAGAAATTTGTGAATATACAAAATATTTGTAAATAAATGTAATGACAGACTTACATCGAAATCCTAGGGAAAACTGAAATTTCGAAATAATCCTTAACAAATATTCGCAATTATTGAGTGATATTTAGAATTACCTGTTCGATCGAGATTCGAGGACTGTCCTTGCTTTCACTCGCCCACAACTTTTATACATAAAACAAAACATTTCTGACACAAACTTACAGAATAATTCCTTCAAGAACTGTTGCCAATTCTGCAAGCAAGGGTTTTTGGACCTGCTAAAGTATTTCGACGTCACAAAATATCTTAGCAACGCTATTCGCCGCTAATAGCAAGTTCCAATAGACTGTCGGTACTTTACCTGTATGCTAACGGATAAGGCTTATCATCGAGAGGAATTATGGTTGGAAAATTGCTCTAACAAGCAAGCAAAATTCTAGGTCATCAGGAGACTGTTCAGTGAGGGGCTGATTGAGAGCAAAGATTGTGCGGAAATGGGATCTTCGGTTGAACTAATAAGAGGGGTTGCTAAAACAATTTTATTGGTGTATTTGGTACTGACGTAATACAGCAAGACCTAAGAAATATTATAAATTAAATGAGATTAATGTTGATTTAGATTAATGAGATATACATTAATGTTGTATTACATTAAATGTGAGATGTATATCAACACAGTTTGGTATTCATGATGATAATTATGCACACACTAATTAATTCAATTTCAAGTAGAATAATTTTCAAAGAGACGAGGACGTTGAAATTATAAACCCAAGCGTCTTTGCGCAAATCCAGCTCGTTTTGCGGAGCTAGGAGTCAAGGAAGCTGGCTATTTTGCGACAAGCAATAAAGGTAGGGCAGAGATGGAAAAAAGGAGAACAAATGCATTTCTTACTGAACAGCAATTTCGCGTTGGAATCTCGATTCTTGATAACAGGGAATAGCTCTAAACATGAATCAGTGTGACTGGTTGCAAATTTTATAGCATGCACATTTCAAATTCTGGACACAAAAGTTAAAACATTTAGGCCTTCGACCGCATATTAAAAACAGAAATTTCGGGTCTCCAGTACTAATATTAAATTGCAGGGAAGTGTTTACATTTTATAGCATTTAGCTCAGGGTCGACAAAAATTGTTCCCATGGTAACTCAACAAATTCTTTAAACATCTGAGCACAATTTTCAGTGAAAATTCAGAGGGCACCAATCCGATAGAAGAACCTCTTTATAAACGAGTCGTTCTCTTCAAAACGCGTAAGCGTACCCGAAGATCGTGAGCAAATTATAGTGCCTAAAAGCATTTGGAATTGTACCCTATCTATGATTTTATACAATCAAAGGTGCAGTCAGCTAACTCCTTTCTAGATAGGAAAAAACCAAATATGGTCGCGTAAATCAGCTGCATACAGCTGAAAAATTCAAAGAAACATTGCTGAAAGCAAACACTCGGTAGCCAATATCCTTGTGACATTTTCTGAAAACAAGTCAATGTAAACTCGATGCCTCAGAAAAAGATATCCTGACAAACTAAAAATTTTCTCGTGTACATGTAATACTCATTTTGACAACACGGTTTCCAAGGGAGATAGAAGATATACGACTTGTTATGGCAAAATGCTTCAGCAAACAAATTTTTATATATTTGAAATGGTTGTATAGTATATATCGCAACCAGACGATTATCAATCAAGGGAGCAGAATAAATTTAAAGTAGATTCGGTTCGGAAGGGAGTGGCGGAAAACCTCAGTGGTCTTTGAGATGAAGGAAAACCGGTTGAAAAGGACGGCTTTACCTTTTCGGGGCTTCAATTTCAAGCCACGGAACTACAAAATAGACATGGGCATATAAAATCGTACCGTTCCGGGGCTGAACCTAAACATTCTGATCTTGTCCCTTGAGCAACTGCAGAGTCTGACATTTGCAAGGATGGGGTTTTGTGAACGTCTCATACAGTTGTGTTGTATGTTGGTGTTTGACACTGATTTAACACGAATTGAGTTAAACGTACATGAATAGAATCAAGTATTGATTTATGTAATCGCGTTTGCATATGAGAAATCACATCCCGAGCTAAAGAAGGCCTCGCACTGATCTTAACAGCAAGCTTTGGATTATTTAAGTTTATATAGTAATTTGTTCTCAATATAAGAAGGTCCTTATTACGACAGTTCATAGATCTTTTACGTAATAAGGCATAAATGAAGAGATCAGTGATAAAGAGAAATGCGCAATGGTTAAGTTTAAAGAAAGGCCATTGTTATCTTCGCACTATAGCACCACTGAGCCACTGCAACACTTGCAATTCAAGGACTTCAGAGAAATACACAAAATTAACATAGCTAAGCATGCTTATCTCGAATCAACTATAATTCGCATGTCTTATTACCATTTAAGAGGCTGTCTTAAGTCAAAAATCCCGGTACCCGACTTTACAACACGCCCAACAACAAGCCTGGAGGAAGGAGAATCAAGAGTGTCCACGCGCCCAAACGCAGAAGCCTCGCGCAGAAAATGTGTGGTTGTTTCGAACGTCATTTTTTGTAGAGGGAATGGATTGCTCTCGATGCCTTGTCTGTTGAAAGGTTTATAGCTGCCTTCAAACGTCATGTAATCAGCCACCAAAGAAAGATGGCGCGGGTCTATCTGAATGCCATAGACTCTGAAAACATTTGTGATTTCCTGAAGGGAAAATGGAAAGAAAAATTAAACAATCTGACAATATTACTTTACAAATCTATCAAAATCTGCTAATCATGCTTCTGTTCATCTAGGGTTTCAAATTTATTTCAATTTTAAAACTTTTAGAACAATCCAGGTAGGAGCAAGTAACTCTCAAACACAACTTAAGTTACTTTAAAGGATTAACTAAGAAATGTCTCGCAAACATAACCTTAAAAATCTGTGTATTTATACGGATCAATCAATAAGAAACAAAAAGATTTCCAAATATTTGAATATTTAAAAAAGTATTGAAATTTCAAGCATCAAATCTCTGATTAATCGGAAAAGACGTGAAACAGCTATTTTACAAAAGCTATTAAGGTTTACAAAACAGCAATTGCTTTACAAAACAGATCTTTTGCAATTCTTTTAAGAAAAGTTGTTTCTCATAACTAAAGATAACTTTGCAAATAATCTGTATTTAAAGCAGGCTTTAATTTGGTGCATTATAAAGCAAGCATTATCATACATTTTTAGTTCATCAATATTATTCTACTGCAAAGAAATGCTTTATTGCTATATTAGATTCAGAAAGTTTAATTTCATCATAATAGGATGGTAGGAATTACGTGTCGAAATGACAACTTCATACAAAAGATTGCAAAAGGAATTCTACAACTGGCATAAAGTACAAAAGATTGGAACAGAGAACCAAAATGTGACGCCATCAAAAATATATTTTTGGAATATTTAATTTTTGACAAAAAAACCTGAAAAAACATCATGAAATACTCCAAATATGAAAAATTTAATTAAGTGCGGCAGAAAAATTTGGATCGGCAGATATTGGCGAGCTACGCAAGCAAAGAGCGGCTGGGTTTCAAACGTCGAGCTTTTAATGTACCGAACTCAATGCATAATTCATTTTCTATCTCACAATTCCCTTCTTTGGCGGATAGTGCATGCCCATAATTGGATTTCGGCGCGAATCAACCTAGAAAGAACAAAGCCAACATCGAGTCTTCATATGCGGTTTGTTGTGATTGCTCTCTTGCTTTTAAGTATCGTGTTCCATACGATATTCCAACAACCCTGGTTGCGTTGAAGTCTTTTGCATGTCCTGTTAGCCTTCATTCCTTGTTGGGGTCCTGTCAGTTTGCTCGAAGCTGTCAACAAGAAGACAGCAAGTAGCACCACTTGAAATCTCCTTCATCTTTGCCTCACTGCAATCTTCAATCTTACCTCTGCCAATCTCATCTTTTTTCTGGATTTTGTCAGCAATCTTTTAACAAATGCGAAACGCATATTTTCGAGCCATCTTGCATGTCCGTAATCAAACCCGGAATACTTCATGCAAAAACATTCATAGACTTAAGCCCGGTGAGCGGCACAATTAAGTTCGACGTTTAAAACGGGAGTCACGCTTAACAAGTCCAGGTGCTGCACCAAATTGAATTTAGTTCGGCAGATGAGAAGTTCGACGTTTTGAACGAGCCTTAAATGATTTACAAAACAAGCAGGCCCTGAACAGCGATGAATTTCTTATCAACATCTCACCTTGATAATGACCTGTCTAGCAGCTTCAATCCCATAAGTCCTTGCAACAGCATGTATATCATTTGAATATAAACTGGACAGTTGCAATATCTCAGGGTAATGCCATAATTCCTACAAACAGTGGAAAAAAACTTATTATGCTAATGCATAAAGTGGCATCGAAAAAATGATACATAACAAGTGAAATCGCATTTACTATACATTAATTGGTATTAGCAAACCATCTTTCTGTGGTACAAAAATGACTTGGAAAAAAGTAACAATTTGAAAAATACTAAAGCTTCTCGTCTGACACTCTTCAGGGTATAAAATTCTGATCAATGTTCTGACGTTTTATACTCGGAAAAGTGTCAGACGAAAAGTTTTAGTATTTTTTAAAATGTTTACTTTTCTCAGAGCCATTTTTCAATTGGCATTACACTTACCAAAATGTTGACTCCTTCTGTTTTCATACGGTGTTTTCCCTCCTCTCCTTTCGCGATGCTTTCCGACAAAAATGCTCGTTTGATACCGATAGCTTCATTAACAACAGCCTGTAAGGAGGTTCACGGATAATCACGGATAATCGGATAATCGGTAATAAAGTATTTCAACAAAACTTAGCATTGATTTACGAATATCCAGTATCAAGTGGTGTCCTTCTTGAGATTTCTTATCGACAGCAAGACTGATCAGTTATTGTTAAGGGAAACAAGACTTTCTTGGTCCATATTTAAGAGCAAGGGGAAAATATTTAAACAAATTAAAGATAACCCCAAAGGTGGAACTGCTCTTACGTTGTCTTTTGAAGCAGGGGGATTATGTGAAGTTAGGGGCTGGACAGTGTTTTTTAGAACGATTGGGAAGCTAAACAGAAAAGCAGTCCTCTTCTGCTTCAGTATTGAGCTGGTTCATGGTTGCCAATCATGGCGATGCACTGACAGACAAAAAAGCAGGCCGGTACAATGAGAGCGTTTTAAAGAGCTTTAATTCCCTTCCACATTTGTCCCATTTTAGGCAACAGATTAATTTTATAGTTGCCTTCGAGTAACTAAAAATCAGTTTCAATGAATGACACGATATCTTTGGCAGCAAACTGAATCAGTGTGTCATAAAAAGATATTCGGATCATTATTTAGGACTTCTGGTTTCAATTGGATAGTCGCAGCGGCGACAAAAGTTTCCACCGTTCAGTCACATTGAGCCAAACACCTATAATCAACTTGACATTGAAAAAGGAAAATGTATTCGAAACTTATACTGTTTGTGGGAAAATTTAACGAACTTCAAAAAACATGATACATCCCCATACGCAGGGTCAATTGACTGAATAGAGCCTGGTTAAACTCACAACAGACTTTAGTTCCACTTCCATCAGGTCAAACGTCCTGGCTACCAACCAGGATTAAAAGTAGTCCTTACGAGTTTCATTTCCCGCAAATTTGACCTTTTAGAATTCGAATCTAGGTGTTATACCATACTCAGTTTTTGCTTTGTTGTTATGTTGTTTTGGATCCTTATTCGTTAGGCGAAGGTTTCATGGTATCGCTTTTGTGTCTCCTTTCAAGAAAGACAAAAGGTATCTTTTTTGCAATTTTTTTAAAAAAAAAACAAGTACCCAAGACCATCAAATTAGGGTTAAATATCCCATTGAACAGCCATTCCAGTCTCGTCATACAAATAAGGCCAGAACATGAACTATCTGTATAAAAATCTATTCAAAGCTAGTCGAGAAAAAAGCATAACTCAGCTAACACAAGAATTTAAAGAGTTTTCACTGGGACCTTTTCAAGTAAAGGAAAAATTCAAGACTTAGGGACGTGCCTATAGAATTGATCAAATGTGCAGCCAACACAGGTGGTTGACCAGTACTGGCAAATGAATTACTTTGCGACACTACTGTACGACGTTCAATGCAGTAATGCGTGCTTATAAATTTTGACGAATATGTTCTAAAGTGCAATTGCATAGTTGATATATAGTTGAAGCATAAATAGTTGAAAGCATATAAGACTGGGGCCTAGCAACGAAAATACGTAAAAGGAATGAAAGCACCAAAAGGACATTCTGAAGGTGTCACAGGATTGTAAACAGTGATTTCTAAGAATCTGGGCACTATTGTGTAAATGTTCCTCATACTCTTTTGAAATAAATGTTATCCTAGGAAGCTGGTGAAAAATTGTGGTCATACCTTTTCTGCAAGAGCTTCGATCAATGAAAGCAACATGACTTTAGTTCCTGTTACTGGAAACTGAAACGAAAAATAGATTGAAGCACTAGCTATAAATGAAATTTTAAAGTCATAATTTGTAAAATAGAAGCTATGGACACAATTTCTAAAACTATTTGAATGATAACATTAACGTGAGAGGCATTAAATTGTTTTTGAATCTCGCTACCTTAACAGTGACGTCACACCACAAGTTTTTCTTCTCATCATAGCTGTAATCCAGGACAGTATCCAGGCTCAAAACGCTCTACAATTGCAGAGTGAAAGATTTAATGTTGGCTACAGCGATGTACAAAAACATACAAGTTGAATCATCGATAAGCAAACATTTGTGTTGCTGTAATACAAGTTTAAAAACGTAAGAATAGTAGGATATGCAAGAGATTTCAACACCCTTTGGGGTAGAAATGAACTAAAGCAACACTTCTTAGCAGGTGTAGAAATTTTAGCATCATAACAGGAGAAATGTTGTCCATGTTAACGTGATTATGAAGCATAGAAAGCGCTTCTCAAAAACCATGTTTAGAGTAACCTATCAAGGTGGAATTTTAAGGCGACTCAAGATAAGCAATAGACACTTCTATTTTTTTTTCACTGTTACAATTCTGTCGAAAACTTCAAATTTTGGCCATCTCAAGAAATTTGTTCAACCATCAGCCTTCTCAGGCAACCCATCACTGAGGACACTGGTTTCTAAATTTGAAAATCTTAATAACACAATTATCAAAACTTGATTCAATAAAACATTAGGCTTGTGGTGATATTTTGAGAAAAAGAGACACTTTTCGGGGTCATCGTAACCTTGTAGATCCCACAGCCATGGGTATCAATTCCAGAAAGCAAACATTTCGCGGCCAATAAATCCAGATGCAGCCCATTCCTTCCACCATTTAGAATACAACATAAATTAGAAAGAGCAGACATTTAAGTATTCTACTATGGAGTGCCGCCGCAGCAAAGGACTAGAAAAGTCATAAAAATAAATCTACTGCGAATAAGATTTTATTCGCATACGCGTTGAAAACAGTCATAGCCAACGTTTTTAAGTTTTCTTAAAAATCTCAAGCAAGCTACAAGATCAACAGTGTATATATATATTCGTAAATCACAATTCTTGTGATGAAGTGATTAAAACATCTACCCAAAGGTAAAACACTCAAAATGGTCTCACAAAGAGAAGAGCCACATCCTGCTAGTTTTATTAAAAAGCTCTCGAAAGAAAACAATGACAACCCAGCCTGAAAAATAGAATAATTAAGAAATGCAGAATGTACCTTCTTAGTCTTATAAAAACTCCTACCCTGTTTAGAATTCGATAAATATTGTAAGAGAATGTTTTGAAAAGAAAATCAAAGCCAAAATTATCGACTATTTATTTACCGTCAATCTTTTTTCCTTTTCCGTTTCACCAGCTGCCTCGTTTTCCAAAGCACCGGCCTCATTTTCCAGTACTTCTGCATCATCTGTAACAACTGATGACGAAACAAGAACTAAATTTAAAGAATAAACTTAATACCTAAAATATGTTGAAAATGTATGAAATAGATCTGATATTGAGAATTTTCAAGTTAGAATTTTGAATTCAAGTCAAAGATTCCAAAGTCTTCTGCCGACAACAATGCTTACATGCAAACTGTTCTACAAAATTGAAACAGACAATGGACGAGACTTCTGTTGAAATAACCCTTGACTACAAACATAACAAGGTCCCTTTCGTCTCTGGGGCACCAACAATCATCAAAACAAAAGTCTTTACAGAAAGCCTAGGCAAGCTATATAATACAATATTCAAATTTGCCTTTTATTCAATAACAAATTAGTAAATTTAACATAGTAAAGTTTTACAGACCACCAGCAGCGTCGGGGGAACGTTTTCTTGAGCTTTCATCTTCAGAATCAGCTATAAAACGAAATGGAAGAAACTTAAAATTATCTGAGATATAAGCAGTTGCATTTCACGTAAACGGTAAACGATACTATGCAGTGTGCTATTGAATTAGCCTTATCTTTCCCTCGCTAGGTACTCAAATAAGAAAATCGTCTCCTATTATATACCTATTAAACTGTATGTCAACTGCTCTCATACAACATTAAAATATAGCACTGATAACCGAAACCCCTCTCCGGAGTAAGCCTGGCCATTTGATGCGGGCCATAGCTCTTGCTTCCCTACAAGCTCTCTTTAAATGTGGAGAGGAGCTACTGAATTTTTCTGAAAAGCAAATTGATCCCCTTGAAATCAAATTATTTTCCATTGTTTCTATTTTTTTCATCTACAAAGTGCTCACCTCAATATTACTAGGAGAGCTGCTTACTGCTCTCCTGCTAAAAGTATTAAGGCCTGCTCCGGTGGGTGTCAGATTAATTCTTATCTCCTCTCTTCAACGTTTGACAACCCTCTTTTCAACTCTTCCGAATACCCTATGTCCCTTTTTACTGTCAGACATTACGGAAAGCTAAGCTTTATGGAAAGCCCTGTTAGTCTTTGTTTCCTTTGATTTCTGTCTCCTTAAGAGGCTCCAGAACACTTTGTCCCGATGAAAAGTTAGAAGATTGGTCAGCTGTTATCACTTCAATAGTTTTACATACTTGGATTCAACGTCAGACATAAACATTGTCACTTGAATTTTTTCTTAAGCAAATAAAAAGAGGGTAATTTATCCGGTACTGCTGGAAATTTCAAAGACAATGAAACTTACATTCACTCTGATTCACTTTCTCTTCATCATCTGGTTCATCATATGACGAAAACTGAACGGATCAAAGAGTATCAATAAAAATTATTTTCATATAAGACTACGACACATAAAGAAACTAGCACAGTCTTTTTTGCATATAACAAGACAGTGTAAACAGTACATAAGTTCTCCAACATATATGCTGTAACCCAACTCATACAAGGCACGTCTAATCTAAATTGATAATGATAAATAAAAAAAAAATTACTTAGTTTATCTTCAAGACAGCTGCAGGCACAGATAAAATTCTAGATAAATGATCAAGGGTGTAGATTTATATTAAAAACTTTGCAATATTTACTTGTTCTGTTCGATTTTTACGTCTTATTTAATGGCCTAGAGCAAGCTGGCCTACAATGTTGATTTACTGCTCCATAGAAATAATCTGATCATGTTTTGAATTGTGAACGTGCCATACAAATCAGTATTAGAAAAAGGGTTCAAAGTACAGGCCTATACACTGCCAATAAAACTAGAATGTGTGCACGACTCGAAGCTTTCTTGAGGTTATTTGCGTTCTGCAAGGCGTACTGTGCTTTGCCGAACAAACTACCAATGATAAATTGCATTCAAAAAATAATTTGAGTAAATCTTTCTTGAATTTTGAGAATTCACATACAGGTTCAAAATTTCCCAAACTAAGGAATGAATCTAGTTGAAACTCTAAGAGCCCAATTCAAGCAATGATTTGAATAATTTCACACTGGATAGATATTAAATAACTAGCTGCATAACAACAAAAAATAAATTAACTAGTATATAACTAGTATCACAAATTTCTGCAACATACCTGCATTTGCCTGCTCTTGCTCTTGCTGTTTGCAGCATCGTCATCCCCAGCAAGTTCTTCATCCGAAACATCAGCTACGTCGTCATTTTCATCTTCGTCCAGAAACCCTCCCTGATCTGCGCAATCATGAGATAACATAATTAGTAACAATGCTTATTCGTTTGAGTATAAAAAAGTTTGAAAAAGAAATAAATTGTTAAATGTGAATCCTTGAGGAGCTTTTGATGTTGCCTCTTCTGTCCAGCCTTTATAATTGGGTTGGGCTGTTAACGAGTCATGGGCTGTTTTTCCAAGAGCAAACCGCTGTTGAGAATTAGATTAGATTCACACGAAACGTTAATTCGAGCCAAAGTAAAAATTAACACGTAAAAGGGATTTACGGCCAAATACTCAAAAATTTAAAAAAATGAACGCTATCTAATCCTCTGACATTTATTTGAAGAGAAAGCGCATAACTTAAATCATAACATTACAGCTGGAGGAATAAAAATACGTTAACTTAAACTTAAGAAAAGGACAAGTTGATTAAAGGATAAGATTTGAGTTACCTCTACCGTCGTCTTCAAAACTTGCGGCGGTCTCCAATCGTTCCTCCATCGCCTTCATTTGCCTATAACGAAATAGATTGGAATATAAGTATGACAACATTAATTTAGTTGAACCTTTATCGTATCTTTATATATACTCGAATTATTACATAGAGGTAAAACACAAACAAAAAACCTGAGTCGGTAGAATTCATTATTTGGGATCATTTATATTGGATTCGGTGCTGGTCGACCCAAAACGCGTAATACAGCATACGAAATGCGCAAGGACAGTAGAGGCAGTCGTTAAACTGTGGCAAATTTTCGGTATTCTTTAAAGACGATATTGCAATCAAATCATAATATCTTGGTGGGATTGTGAAGCCAGCCTCGCGATCAACTCTGATAACAAGCATAGCTAAAGTTGAGATTAAATAAGCGAGGCTGAGAACTTAATCAATGATACTGGCTAAAAACATTATACATGCAAAAGTAAAGGTAAAAGTGTATTTCAATAACGTCTTTGGAGCATTGATTCTTCGGATAAGCAGAAAGATCAACGTTGCATAAACATACTTCTCGACTGCCTTGACTCTGCACAACTTCCTCACTGCCATAATAATCCTTCGCAGAAAAAATCTTTCAACGTAAACCAGAATGTCTTTGGGCGTGACTGAATAATCATCCTGGAATGGGAACAAAAGATCAATAATTTTGACACAATTTTCGGTGCAATTTCTCAGTTGCCCTATTCCCAATAACTGCATGATCCAAGTTTTATTGTACAAAATCAGGTCAGGAATTTGTCAATTTTCGTAACCTGCCTGCCTGTTCTCTGACGCGACTTTAATTAAATTTCAAAGCCTGGTTCATAGATACCCAAATGCAAGAGATGGCTTGTAATACTGATTCTTCTCTTGCATCTCTCAGCGCTCCTAGATTTATCATTGGAAAATCCTTTGATAGACCAACAACGGACAATATTCAGGGTTAACACACGACAAAAAGAAATTACCTTGTAAACAGATCGGTGCAAGAATTCCATTCTTATTCTGAACTGTCTGTACCTCTCTTTAGCTCTGTTTCAAGAGAGAATCGTGTAATACATGAACAAGGGATATGAAATGGGTAAAAGGATAAGAAAATTCACTCAATCATTTATCTATTTATGTTTTTCACTTTATAACTAACTAATTAATTTTCGATTTAATTGTATTGTATTGTTGTTTCATTGTAATGGTGTTGTATTGTCTTGCGTTGCCTTTTATGGGTTGTGTGAGAAAGTAACTTATTTTTGTATTAAATTGTATTGAATTGTATTGTTTTGTTATTGCATTGTAATAGTGTTGTATTGTCTAGCGTTGTCTTGTGTGTTGTATAAGAAAGTAGTAGATTTTTGCATTGCATTGCATTGCATTGCATTACATTGTATTGTATTGTATTGTATTGTATTGTACTGTATTGTTATTGCAATGCTATTGTATCGTTATTGCATTGTGTGTGCAATCGTATGTGCTTATGATATAGTACAATATTGTATCTTGGTGTAATTGCATCGTAATATCACCATGTTTGCACTGTATTTTACTTATATTCTAATTGCAAATTCATGCATCACATTATTGGTGATATTATCATTTTCCTTTATCATCCCTTCCTGTAACAAATAAGTAAATAAGTTTTTGTTACCCAAACAAAGCAATCAATTATAACATCTTCTGTTCATTTTACATTTTATGAAAATCCATCGTTTTCAGAATCAGAAGAGTGGTCCATTGTGGTAAATTAATGTCGTATTTTAAGGGGCCATATCGAACCATACGGTAAAAATCTGGTCATTGAAAAAAGCCTACCCTGACTTTGTATCCTTGGCAAGGCTCTCGAAAACTTCAATTTTCTGAATAACCTGAAACAAGCAAATCAAGAAAAAGACTAGAAAACAACCCTTCCTCGATTATAACGTAGTTTCACCCGGACGATATCTGACTGGTTTCTTGATGAGAAAATTATCTTAAAAGCCGATCTGCAAAGTTAAAAAGCAAATGAATTTTCACAATGAAATAATTAATCTATGCCTAACTACTCAAGTAGGACTTTGTATAAACCGATAACGATTCCTCTACAAACATGATGTAGAGATTCCCTTGTTATCTATGGTGATTCCCTGTAGGAAAGAATCCCCCCCCCCCAAAGATTGCATTAATGGTTTACGAACAGATCACTTATGAATTTTCTTAAATAAAGCTAAGCTTACATTAGCTGCTATATGCAAGTTTAAATCCTTGATAAATTGAGATTGAAAATTAGATGTAAGATAAAGGAAGGTAAAGAAACCGTCGTACATCTGATAAGGTGACTCTGTTAAGCTTTTTCTGCAACTTTTTAGCTTGTTTCAAAGCAGCTGCGCCATCCCATACTAAAACATCCATCGTTGGGGTTTTGATGGCACTGCTCGCAGTCATGAGAATCTCTCTGTCGACCGAAATCACAAAATTATTCCATATATCATACAAATGGGGGTACACAACAATGGGGATAAAGAGAAGTTAGGTTACTTAAAAAGTTAAGCACTCGGTTACTTTCAGCGAAAACATTTGCAGATGAACATTCGAAGGCTGAAGCTAGCGTGGTGAAATTTTGGTGAAATTGCCAGTTGCTTCCATACTTTAAATAGAAAGCTTGTTTTTTAACCTCCCCTCTGATCTTCCCTAAATTCTGCTTGGCCGAAAGGGAATTTCAGTTCTTGCTAAAGCATTTTTTAATTACAACGCAAATTTTCTAATTCGACGGATCGCCTTTTGCAAGGTGCCTTTCTTTAGGTGAATGAATCAAACATGACTTACTGGTTTTGCCTCGTTGGCGATCAAAATACTTTTGACAAAAAAACCGTAATTTACGGGCATCCGGCAGCAAAATGAGACTTATACCGAAAAAAGGACATTCATTTTTGTATATACGTATGTTTAGTTATAAGCAATTTTAGTTCAGTTAGAATCAAGACCGGTAATAAGCACACCATCTCTTCTCTGGCTCCGTGTTCTCTGCACGTAAAATAAGACAGAACACAAGTTGGAAATGACATGTTGATCGATGGATGGATTTGTTAGTGAACGAAAGGCATCTAAGAATCCACAACAATGCGCAATTCTTGTTACACTAAAATGGTGACCAAAGTTTACTGATACCTGAGACGAGGAATTCCCAAGGTGACGTTCATCTCACCACGGCCAGCGAAATGGAATGTATTCAGTGTCATCTGTGTGGAGGGTTCACCTATGGACTGAAGGCGATACAGAGTGTTAAATAATAAGAGTTTTATGAAATGAATGAAAACGTTGTAGCAGCATTGTCGTTCTTTTTGTTGATATTCAATCGATAATTGCACACAATTCTTACAAGAGTTAAGTGGAAAAAAGTGCATGTTCATATATTCTTGCAGGTTCATAAATTGAGAACCATATGAAAACCAACTGGAGAATTCAAAAATAAAAAAGCTTTTAGTATGTTTTCTATAAACAGCGTGCTTCAATCATAATTTGAATCAACTATAAACAAGGTTTTTAATATCTACGCTGCTACCACAAGTACTTTGAATCAATCCTTTTAAAATTGTGTAGCACAGTCAGAAAAAAATTCGGCAGTGAATGATCACTATACCTGTATGATGACTTCATTAGCTTGGCATCATTATCAAATTTAATTATAGAAGAGAAAATGAAACTGTTCTTTAGATATATAAAAGATAAATGGTTCTTCTAGTAAAAACTCACTTGTCCGGCAAGAAGGCCTACAGCTTCACCTGGCTCTGCCAGCGATCTTGCATACTTGAATAGCATCAAAGCATAAAACTGATCTGTGCGAACGAGTTTTCTAGAAAAAACACAAAGGTTACACTAACTGCAGATTCTGTAGCCTCCGGTTACTTCAAGTTACGGTCTTTTCGAATCTTTTAACCATAGAACAAATAGATGTTATCAAACAAGTTGGTCCAGCAGATTCTCGTTGATATTTGTGGAGGCTAAAACTAGTCTCTGTAAAACAACTCGATCATCCAAATGTAGGTTTTTGAGGAAAAGGTACATGATTTTTCTTTGGCTACGAGTTTTCAAAGTTAAACGACAGCGCAGTTTAAAGCAAGCATGAAACAGTACAAAACATCACTATCCATGGAACACATTTTCTTGTATTGTCATTGTCATAAGAATGTCTTGTAGCATAGTAGTGAAGAATCTTGCAAGATTTTTGCCATTTCCTTTTCATCAAAATTTTATTCAATGCCTTTGGACAACATTCAATAAATTATTTTATCACAGCAAATATCCTTGAATTAAATGTCTATTCAGCTGAAGAATTTCGGATAAACTTAGAAGAACAATTCTTGTCGAAGAAGACAACCATTGGCGCTTAAAAGATGTCAAACCTGTCATTTTCTTTGCTAAGTAGGCAATTTGGGTTCATTGCAATGTACTCATTCAGCGTGTCGAAAAATGCCTCTGAAATGGAGCCAAAGTGGCAATCTGGACGGAGAATGGACAAAACAGGGTCCGGACACGGACGGCATTTTGACTCGTAGCTGCAAAGGAATTAAACAATTACAACAGAAACGATTGTATAAAAAACAGGGTTTATTAAAACATCATTTACTTTTCACATTGTTACGAAGAGGTTTTATATAAATAAAGATAACGACCTTATTTTTCCTAACTTGGACAATCACCTTTTGCACAATCTTTAGCTGCCATAAGGTCATTTTTCAGGAATTTGCAAAAATAAGTTGGTCTAAAAAATGTTTTCTGGGATTCACAACACCTTTTTCGAAATAGCCTTGAATCAACGACTTAGTGACTTAGTGAGGTATTACAACTTCGTGACAAAAAGAACAGTATATATTTCTAATTTGTTTTCATCACAAACAGATTTTCGGGTACCTTGGTCCTCTAAATAATCTCATAAAACAGAAATGTAAACATGGATAATTCAGAACAGGCAATCTCAGGGACACCACCGTTTGTGATGAAAATACTATACAGAAAATGTTTAAAATAAAATCAAATTCAAGGAAATAACCATCTAAATTGCAAAAATTTACAAAAACAGACAAAGAAAATACCTGTGTTTTGTAGGCGCATTAAGATTTGCCCAAGAATTGAAGAGTTGCTCTTGTACCTGCGAAAAATCATTAAATTTAATAGCCTCGAAATTACTTCGAATGAGGATAATATGGCGATATTTTAGCTTTAATTCGATAGAAAGACCGCAACTGTTATTCTTGTGAAGTGGGCTTGTCTATCTGGCAGTGAATAGGTACGTAGTTGAGGTTGGAGTAAGTCAATGGGTACCTAGTACCGGCGGTGTAAAACCGATCTCAACCGATAGTTTTCAATAATGTAAGATATGCATTTCACTTACCTCCTCGGAGGAATGTTGGCTTCTACTCAACAGCGTTTCCTTATGGTCATCTTCAAATAACAAGTAGGGAGACTTTTTCGAATGAATAAATGTTGAGCTTGTAGGCATTCCGTGTTTATTGATCCATTTTTTTACCTAAAGGAAAAGTCATAATTCCAGTTAATAAAAAGGGTCCGGGAACAGCAAAACATTGAGCCAAACACATTTCGGCTTCATCCTTTCTTTTAACAAACGTAGTCAGATTTCTTGGGTTTCGTAAGATGCACAGGGAAAAAGGCTCCATTCTCAACAAACACAAATAAAATTACAGCTGAATTGAATTGAATTAAAAATATGCAGATATTGTCACCTTTTTGGCCTTTTTGGTAGCCTCCTCTTTTTCCATTGCCTTCAAAGCCAAATGAGGCTTTAACTGCCGCATATAGCACTATAAAATGAAATATTCTCGTAAGCTTAAGAACTACTACAAGGTCGCATATCAATATATTCATTGATTGTTTCAAATATATCTATAAATGAAAAAGAAACTTTTCTACGGAGCAAGAGATGAATATTAGATTGTGGAAGGTAAAATTTACGTTTTAGCTTCCCTTCAACAGATTACTCGTTAAGTATCAGTTATCAATGAATACGAAGTTTAGCATATTCGTACCTTGTAGTTCCTTGCAATGAACTGGAACTGATTACCGCCTAGGTACTGGGATTTAAGTACATCGACACCATCATCGCCATATAGGAATTGCACTACGGAGCCATCACTGTCCCTCACACTCAGATCATATTGCACCATGAGGCCTTCCAAATGCTTGATGAGGCATCGTTGGAGATAGCCTGAACGACTAGTCTTTACGGCAGTGTCAACCAAACCCTTGTAAGATAGATCAGATTAATTATCTCAAGGTTTTATGCTCTGTTTTAAAACAGAATTATACGTACTGAATGACCGAACCGGCCATTCTGAAGCTCTACCAATACAATATAGATATCTACTTCAAAGCAATGCAGACAAATAAATCATTACCTCACGACCAGCCATGCAGTGAAAGAAATACTCTTGCGGCCTAATGCCGGTAAGGAATCTGCCATCGACAAAACCCCCGGCCCTTGGACTTGTATCGTAGGCGAGGAAAGAAGGCAAAGAACGACCTGAAAGCATTAACGGGGGTCTCCGTCCTTCCAACTCAATCTGTCCCAGTAAACTAGAGATCTGCATGCAGTTAACAGACGACCCTTTTGCTCCTGACTGAACCATTAGCTGCAATGAATTATCTGGGAACTGCCTGTAAAGACCTTGTGGAACACATGCCCTAAAAAGCAAATATACACAAAAATTGTTGACAGGTTACATATCATAGATATTAGTGATTTTTAACTGATAAAGTACTTCAAACCTTCTAGGTAACAAAGTAAAATATTATTTTTAGGTGATCTGTATCTCCGTTTAAAGCATTTACATATTATTATAATACAATAAAATTTAAGATGTAAACAATGCTGGGAATTTGTTAATTGAAAAGCAATAAAGTGATACATACGAATTTATCTTATTTTGGTACATATCCGTTTGTTTCTTCATTGCTAAATCCAACTGCTTCAGGTCAATGCCCTGATTAGAGTATTGTGCTTTTTGCAATCGTTCTGTCAGCTCGTTTCTATAAAGAAACAAAATAAGGGAAGCTATAAGCAAGAACCACCTTTTCAAAGGAATTAAAGTTCCATAAAAGGTCCAACGTTTCAAAGGAATATAAACTCTAAGCAAGGACAAACGTTCTGAAAAAGAAAGAAGAAATCATTCTTTTTATATTGTACATTACGGCTCTAGAAGCAACTATACGGACAAATGGACTCTGGTAACAGTCGATTTACTTATCGACAAAAAACCAACATAGGAAAACATGCAAAAACTGTAAGCCCAAATGTCACTTGGTTAAAACATAAACGCCCTTATTCGTTAAACAATCATCATCATCCTAAGAAGAGCCACACAAATAAAAGACCCTTTCCCCTAGCAATATACAAACAATAGAATTCCGATTCAAACGTCTTGCAGCGTAAGTAACGAAGAAGGTAAAAATCATTCGCAAGTTATCATAGAACCTATTTACCTTTCACAATTCTCTGGCAAACCAAGGGCAGAAGCAGCTGCTTCCTCTCCACAGCATCGGCTAGATTCGATCAGCTGCCATCTTTTTCTGTTTGCTTTCTGCGTTACAAGAATATCTTCTACACCCAGACTGAATCCCCGCAAACGTAAGTAGATAGTAAACAGCCTCGCAAGTGCCGAGAGAAGCTTGCCAGAGGTAACCCCACCATATACCTAGCATAGGTACGAAAAACAAAAACAACAACGTTATTTCTAATGAGACCATTTTCTAAAGGTTCTTTCCTATAAGCCAGCTTCTCAAAAAATGAACATGAAAAACCCTTTCTCTGTTCAGCTCCATAGCATCTAGATAGGAGCAGTCGGAGAGAAAAATCTGAAAATATACCTTCTCTGGACACAAATAAAAGTTGAGCTCCAACTTAAAAATTGCCTTGCCCTTTTGCTTATCTTTAATAAATTTTTCAAAAGCTTTTGAAACATACAAAACGGTAAGAAAACAAAAAATTTTTCATTCTGTTAATCTCCTGAAACACTTTTTCTAGAAATTCAGGTACAAGGAGCAGGCATTATGGAGCGGTTACTGTACTTTGAAAATAGGAGTACTAGAAAAATAGAGGTAGGAGAGGAAGTACAGTCTTATTTATCTTACATGGTTTGACGAGGCCATATCAAGACAATGATCATGGTGAATATTTAGTTAGAAGCAGTCACGGTGTTTGAGCATGTTACTACGACTATATGTCTAGATCCGGGTAATAAAGATTTAAAACTCACTCACTTCATAGACGCAATGCACAAGACCAAATTGCGAAGAACCATATTGGTTCTTATCCAAAATCCCTGTCATAATTTCTCCTGACCTTATGATAACCTGAAGAAAAACGAAGAAAAAACGTTTTTTTCTTGCACTAGAAATCTTGAAGGTTATTTTGTTGAAAAAAAATTTACTAGCGATGACAGAAGACGACATCAGAGATGAAAACAGTAGGCATGGGGTTCAGGCTATATTACTGATCCGTCTATCGCGCCACATGCATAAAGCAAGCTCATTTAAGATTTTCTCCATCCTGGGCGATAGAAATGAAAGTATCATTTGACGTGCCTTCTTTGTCTCGATGTAAAAATTATCTACAGATGATGTCAGAGGGAATAACAACAAACTATGAGCTACACAATTATGAAGTTCGAGTAAGAAAATATGCTGTAGTGTAATATATCTACCCTATTGAATGATGTCATCATCACCCACTAATGAAGATTCTAGTAACTTATTATGCTTGACAAAGCTTGGCAGATATTAGTGAGCAAAAATATATTTGAGATACAGTCTGTCCTAAATCATCGTCTTTTTGTCGTCTAGACCAACTTCCAGTTGGGTAGACAACATCGAAAAACCCTTGGTTATAGCTTTAAAACTATCTGTATAGACAGTTTTTAAGCCCTAAATATAGTAAATCTATTCGAAATAAACAGACAAACGCTTTGGTTCTTTCACAACTGATACTGAATACAGAAACATTTGATTGCCATGACTTCGGAAAGTTTGTAAAAAGTGGGCATTAAAAGAAAAAAACCGTACTCACAAATACTTCATTAAGAAAAGGATCTTTTATCACGTTTCGTAAAAGTGGCGAGGCAGCCTGCTTCTTGTGAGTTTTCGGCCAGTTCTAGAGACAACAAGAGATAAAAAAGACAATGCTCATTGATTCTCACTATGAAAAATCCTTCAAAACAGTAACATAAAATGGTGAATTTATACCTCGAAGTCTATCAGGAGAGATCTGAGTCTCTCACTGACACTGATACATGAACCATAGCCAGATCGTGGTACAGGCCATGCTTGAAGAAACTTTCAGGACTTTAACGATTGACTTTTAAGGAAAAAGCGTAGTTGGGATGACACAAAACAACGCTCCAACATTAGCCCCTTATCATTCGTTCATCCAATCACGATGCATATTATAAATTGCTCAATTGCTAGCAAGAACCAATTGCAGGGAATTTAGAGTAATTATGGTAACAGCATTTCCCCTTTTTAGATTATTTGCCGACAAATTCCTTTATGGAGCTACGGGTGCAGTATTTCGATAATGCACATTTGGCCAGTTCCATCCATATAACTTACAACATAACAGCACATATATGTTGCCTGTTGCCTGTTAAGAGGAAAAGGCTGTGATGAAATCGAAAATAAAACGTCTGAGATTATTTGCTATATTGAAAAGTTGAACTCGTTTTATGCATTAAGCTTGGTTAATCCAGCCATGTCAAAAGAAAGCTATGAAATGATTTGACTTTGCATATGTTACTACATGATGCTAATTTGAAGGGTTATTCAATAATCAAATAATGAATACTAGCATGTGTTGTTTCTGGCTTTAGTATCACTAGCTAAGTTGAAGGGCTAGTTCTCTTTTTATACACTGAGAAGTGAAAAGTAAAGTATGTTTAAAGGCTGTAAAGTGCTTTTAAGGTGAATACTCACGGTGTCATTAACCTTGGCTTTGCTATCTAGGTTCAGTCGGTTTTTATCTGGTATGATATTGACCAAAACGGTGGAGATAACCTGAGAGAACAGAATCGATTACATAAAAGGGCGAATGACAACCATACAATCAATGATCTAATGAAAGACAATCAACGAAATATCGCTGTTTACAAGATATTGGTTGATAAGTATGATGCTCTCAGTTGATGCTTAAATCACTCTTTGTTAGGAAGAATTTGTAAAAGCTAATCAAAAGGGCACAATGGCTGCAATGCCTTGTTTGAAACCTCTGTTGCCTAGAGTATGTGTAGACCTTTGCGTCTATGAGTTTACTGGTACTTTGAGTCACTGACAAACTTTCATAGGTTGCACTGATACGTTGGTAATAGGCGAAGGCTATGAGAAGCCTGGTACTTAAAGTTGTGAAAAATGCTCCTAGGTGCCAAGGAATGCGTCCAAATATCCTATAACTGATGTTCTATTTGTTTGTTTCGGATATGCAAAGCCATATGATTTGTACAAGTATCAAGTACCTGTTTTCCTGACCAAAGTCGCTCTGGCTTCAATATACATGGAGGCAAAACGACTAACTTCCCGGGCTTGTCAGTCAAAGCTCCAAAGACAAGTTGATGATAATCCTCTCTATCAGAAGGGAAGACAATAGTCGTGATATTAGGGAGTGCAAGTTTGACAATATTTCAGCTGAAAAACGATAACAAAACAAACTTATGTTATACCGTACTTGTTGACATGAGAATGCCAAAGCTACTAAATTGAGTACAGCTTCGGCTGACTAGGTAATTGGCATGGGCAGCCCTTGATATGTAACTAGCTGCTAGGGCTTAATGACTTCATCAATAAAATCAAAAGATAGAAAATAAACAGCAGTAAAAGAAAAAGCTAGCAGCAAAGAAAACGTTAAAATGTATGCTCTTTTAAATTTTTTTTCAAACATTTTTCTAAAATTTTTTTAGGCCATGCTGCTTTAATTTGAGATAAAAAATTAACAATTTAAGACACTAACAGTCTTACAATATGTGCCAAATATCAAGCAATAATATTACAAACATACTTATTGAATAAAACGCCTCGACTTGTCATTGATACTCCTGACACAACATGATCTTGAATAAGTCCACTTAAGGGCTTGCCATCCTTTGGACTTAGATACTGGAAATTGGTGCTCACTAAAAAATAAGTTCAAATGCCTTCTACACCAAATCAGATGCACAAAGAGTCAAAGCTTAGATACTGAATAATGGCATAAAAGCAGTTCCTTCAAAAAGCATTTACTACGACCCAATACCCCCCCCCCCCCAAGAAACATCCCTCTCTCAAGATAATATTGAAAATTTGCTGTTTAATATGAAACCACTTAATCGTAAATCTAAGATACCTAAAGGTAAGGGTTAAAGGAATTATGAGTATCTCCAAAAACCCAAGTAAAAGCACGATTGCAATGTTAACAAGATGTTGAAACCTTTTTCGAGGAGAAAATAATGCTGAATTCATGGAACATGATAAATACTGCTATCATTAACATGATAGAAAATAATAACCCAATGAGATTTAGTGAAAAAAAGCGGAGAGGAGTTGCAAAGGGCTAAAAGAACCATTCAGTAAATAGAGAAGAGAGTGAGAGTACCAAGATTGTATGCCTCCGAGCGTCCCAGTTCGTTTTGTGGGAAATGTGCATTCATTTCATCGCCATCAAAGTCTGCGTTATATGCTTTACAATTGGCATAGTGCAAACGTATTGTTCGTTCATTTGGAAGGACTCTTGCCTAAGAATAAAATAACAAAAGTGACAGGAACACACTGCACTGATATCCAACAAAATTTGAGAAATCTATATAGCGAGCAGCGGGCTGGAGAATTAGTCATGTTACTGTACATTTCAGTACAGCTAGCGAGATAGGGTTGACACTAGAGCAATAACTGTCCAAGCTCATTGAATTACTTTCATGTTGCAAAAGATCTTTGAATATAAATGGTTTCCTTTGAGGACTCTACTCATTTTGATGGTTTTTCGTGATGCAATGACGAGTTTTTTGCAGAAAGAATGATTTCGAGTAAATAAAACGAATTCCTTGATAGCAATTTCTCAAAGAGCAGTAAAATTCCGAGAGTTCATTTTTCGACAAAATTCCTCGCTTTATGTCTGCTCTTAATGATAGTTAATAATCAAAGCAACAAAACGACAGGCTTTTACTATAATTACTATGACTTCTCAAGTTTAGCTTACAAGTAAAACTAAAGCTGCAGTGTATGAGATAAAGTAAATACTAAAATACAACACATAAGATAAGATAAGATAAGATAAGATACGATGAGTGAAGATAAGATAATATAATATAATATAATAAAATAAAATAAAATATAATATAATATAATATAATATAATATAATATAATATGATATGATATGATATGATATGATATGATATGATATGATATGATATGATATGATATGATATGATATGATATGATATGATATGATATGATATGATATGATATGATATGATATCATATGATGTGATATGATATGATATCATATGATGTGATATGATTTGATATGACATAATATAATATATTGACAAGGCTAAAATACAAATTTTTCTTTTTCTAACCAAAAATTAAGGACACCTAAATAATAATAAATAATTATAAAAATGCACTTATAGATCACCAACACCTACATATATATATTCTGAAGCGCTGAACAAATTAGTGTTAAAAAATCTTTGATTTACAGCAAGAAAAGCTAAAAGAAAATGTTATTCATATATCAAAATAATTATCACATAAAAACGTTTATAATCTTGTTTTGAAAGTATAGACGCTCTAAATTGAGGAAAGGGAAAATGAAACAAACAGATACAAAAAGGAAAGACAATTTTCACAATTCTTATTTCTGGGAAGCAAAAGCTTGCTCTACCTTATGTGCCATTATACTTGGGCGATGCAAAGTCGGTTGTCTGTTCAGTAACATAACGTCCCCAGTGACAAGATGCCTGTAAACCTAAACGAAAAGGAACTGAAATAGAAATAAACGTAACAAATCCGCCCGTTAAGAGATCTTGTTTTGCCCTTGTTCCTCAGCTTTCAGTAAGCAGGGTCAAATTCATAATATCATAACATGTTTCTATATTGGAATCAAAAATTATATATTCTCTAAGTGGCAGGCCGTTTTCCTAGATATTCTGTGACATTTGAAGGTATCTATCTAACCTTACTTCTTCCTAAAGACAATATGGTTTAAAAATTAACTGGTACAAAAAACACCTGTGGCTTTAAAAGTATAAAACAGACTAGAATTGCAGATAAAAAAGAGCATGCAATCTTGCTGTTTTTTCCTGTTAGCAATGCTTTGTAAAAAAAACCCAATACCTTTTTGCAACCGAGTTGAGGCTTTTCATTTGTAACCGGAGTAAGCAGCCTTTTTGCGATAGCCTCCCTTTGGCTTTTGTTGGTAGCACTCAATATCACTTTTCTACCGTCTTCATGCTCAACCATCACGGCTCTATTTAAAGTTGGAAGATGAAGGAAAAATTAGCTCGATAAGACACGATACTAATTTCAATTGAGAAATAAAAAAAATACACAAGCAAGATAGTTAATATATGATAACTTGATGTGGTGTCGAAGAAACTATAAACTTTTCTTCGCTAACGTTGAAATGAGATCGCAATACAAAATAAGAGAAGACTAACAAATTTTACCCAGGATGGTTGTTAGGCCCATTGGTTACAGCTGTTCTGAGTTTCTGGCAATTCCAGGGCGTAACAGGTTGTGCATACGTCAGTTTTTTCGCAAAGATCTAACAGATGTAACAAAAATCAAGAAATTATTGAAGGAAATCTTAGTCCTCATCTAACGTATAATAACTTGAGGAATGTCGGACAGAAATATCTTTAGCACGATTTGTGTCCACACTTAAGTGCTACTTCTAAAGTTTCAGCTGTTTTTAAAAATTTCAAAATCATATCATTAAAATATGAAAAATAAATCACACTGAATTTGGTGTGGTTAACATGACGTTATAACATTAAGCAAACTGAAAGGTCTTATAGGTTAGGATTTACCTCAGGAATTCCAATTTCGTCTGTGTTCAGGTAAGGGTCAGGTGAAATTACAGATCTTGCCGCAAAGTTAACACGCTTTCCCATCATGTGTTTGCGAAAAAGTCCTTCCTTCTTTTCAAGCAGCTACATAATAAAACAAAGCAGAAATCAGTTAGACCATTGAAAAAAATCAAAGTGCTTTAAAATTCCATTGCATGTATCAAAGCCAACGCCACTGATCATAAACTAGAGGGGCCACCAATGTAAAGAAAGTTTTTTCTTACTCCTTCTTGCTTCAACCTTGGGTACTTTGGCTCAATGTATTTTTTGTAAAAATAAAGGTTTATCAATATAAATAATTTAAACCGATGTTATTATATTTAGCGACAAACTGGGGAACCCATTGCCCCTTGCCTACCCCCCGTGGCGCGGGCCTTATGAAAAATTCTGATACAATCACACGGGTCCTCTTCCTTGGGAACGCGACAGGAACGTAGGCTTCTTATCAACAAATGTCTGAAAACGAACGTGCACTTTCCATTCAAGTTCCTTTTTCCTAGTTGCATGATATCGTATGCTTTTGCTGAACCCATCTCTCACTGTGCGTAATTTGTAAAGGTTACCAAGGTAAAAAAGACAAAATGATTTCTAAGCTTTCGCGTACCTGCCGTATCCCAGGAACTTTGTCCATGGATAGTTTGTCAAGGTCGCTATCCATATGGCAATTCACATCAATCTGCAACTTTATCCAAGCATTCTGAAGCCTCTCAGCTGGTGTCTTACCAGTTACTCCAATAGGGGCACTGTTTTTCTATTGAAATGAAAATATATATATTCTCAAATTAACAAAACATCTTATCACAATTTTTTCCCCATGTCAAAGCCTTTTAAAAACCCAAAGACGAATACCCTCCTGCACCTAAAAACACAAAAAAATGGTTGATTACCGTCTATCATCCTTTCATATCATCCATTATATCAAATTCACAGTGCTTTTTGAGAATCTAGTTTTCCATGCAGACATTATATCAAACAATGGGCAAATAATTCATTTCTGTAAATAGGTTAAACTCACCCTTCTTGTGGTCATCGTAATAGTTGTCTGCCCGTTATCCTCTGCGTCTTTGTCTTTCTTCTGCGTCTCTTCCAAACATTTGCAAACCAGTTTACAATCGATGAGAATTCTGTTCAGATTTGCCGTCTGTGGGTTTTCGAATCTCTTTTCGCCAAAACTAGATACCTACATAATTTTGAATAAATAACTTTCAAGTGTTGTATAACAAGGCTACACGAAGATTTTTATGGCTTTTAAATAATTATACTTAAGGTCTTCTGCTGAATGGTCAACATTTTAATTCAAAAGTTTCTAAAGTATTTGCGTCAACCTAATTCTACACTGTTCATGAATTAACGAGTCGGCATAATGCGAAAATTTGCAATCAGGTTTATTTAACTGTGATTAAAAAAACGAAGCAATTAAACGAGGGAATTCCATAGGACTTTACCATCATTGAAATGGGCTTTTGGTACTTACAAGAAGCGAGACCACTAAAGAACGAAACCAGTGCTATTCCTTAAGCACTTTCACGATTTATTCCTGCGCTTATTGCGCTTACTGAACAAACCATTCAATGTAAATGACGACATCACAGTTTATCTTTAACGCGACACCAAAATGGCGGTTTTCATGTTCCTTATTCCTGCGAATACTTTCTTAAAAAAACCTGTTTACCTTATCTTCAATATGGATCGAAAAAATAGATTTGACATCCTTTCGATACATACCGGTCTGAACCTTGATGGCGGAACAGCAACCAAATCAATAAAAAACATGTCCACCGAATTAAGGTCTGCGCTTTCTGTTGTTAAGGTGCTGCCAAAAATAGCTTTAAGAAGATCCTTGCTTTTCTGGAAGACTTTTCGAAGATGGTCTCTGACCTCAATTGGGTTTACAAAAGTTTGATTGGCTTGCTTTCCATTCTCCACTTCTTCACCATCCAACTCCTTTTCTTCTTGTGGATCTTCAAGAATAGAATTACTTTAATTAGCACCCTGGACATTAATCATTGATCTAATGGATCTAGCTACCTGGTTTAGTTCTGGTAAATAAATAATCATATGATTCAGTTCTAACAGAAGCACTAGTTTAGTTGGTCCAGCTAGTTCCAGCACCATCCACTTACTTACGGCGTTCCACAAGGAAGATATCTCGCCCCTTTGCTGTCCTTTTAGTGTAACAAAGAAAAACGGTAAGTTTACCAGCCTGGATAGAGAAGATGCAGTGCCTTGGAAATCTTGAAACAAAAGAATTGCAACTAACGTCCTTATAAAAGAATTTCAACTAGAAAGTTGGTAGTTTTGTCGATAATAATTTCCTTGTTGTGACAGCAGGTTCTTGCAAGCCAAATAATTGCGTTGTTTAAGGCAGATAAAAATTGAAGATTCACTCCTTAAGAAATTCCTCTACAGACAATTCCTTTGTCTTCTTGATGTAATACTATATATTGTTTCTTTTAGGTTTCTTGTTTAGCATTTATCTTGCATTAATTAGTAAAGCATGTTATATTTAATTGTATTTGAATTTTGTCTTTTTTGGATTGTATGTAGTGGAAGTATAAAATTATATGAAACTGAACTGAAGGTAATTTTTGTAACCAAAGAAGCACGATGAATACAAAGGGCGCCTTGCACAACATGAAGAGCAACTGAGTTACTCTAACAAATTAAGAATGAAATTATGCATTTACATACCGAATAAAGATACGAATACGATTTGCTAGCTGTCTAGTAAGGGGAAGGTATGCGTGGAGTTGAAGATCACTGTGCAGTATGATTTATCTATTAGTTATTTGTGATGGTAAAACATCTCGGAATACCATTTGAGAAAAACACTGACAAAGGACTTAGTATTGTTATCAATAGACAATTATATAGACATTTGAATTTGTAAGCAGGATGCAGAAACCTTCAGTTAAGAGATCAGGAAATGACAACGTCTGTGATTTCTGAGATTCCATTGACATTTATGGGCATGTTTGCTTAGGACAACTACAACTTCCTTGGTAAAAGTTAGGCAAGTGACAGTACATGAGTGACAGCTATATTAGTCCATATCGTGAAGCTGGATAAAGTATGTTTAAGTATGTTTATAAAATTGGTTGGCTGGATAAAGTATGTTTATAAAGACCGTGTTCATACAAGCAATTCACAGTACAGGCCGAGAAGATACAAGAAAAAAAGTTCATGGTATTTATACTTTTATTATTACAGTTCACATATATATTTGATAAAGGTCAACATACATTTTAGAATAAGCTATGCTAATGCACATTGAGAATACTACATCCAATTAACTACGCAGAGTAGATTACTGTGAGTCGAAATCTCGTGTCGTGGATGATACCTCATCCAACATAATTGCCACTTTGGAATGAGCTCAACTGTCTCGAAACTATCCACATGACTTTAAAACTAACCATCTTGCCCTTAACACAAAGCATATTTGGCCCCTTATTTGTTTCTTCTGCGTCTCCAAACTGTAGGTTACGCACAAATTTTCCACCATGGATGCATTTTTGGTCCCAGTTTCTTACTAGCCTGTCAAAGGAATCAAGATCTGCAAGTTGTTTCCATTCCGTGATAGCAGCTTGGCATCCTGTGTTGATCACACCGACCATGCGTTTTCCGCTGAGACAAGCCGCGATGTTGCAGCCATCACCTGAAGAAAACTCTTTGAGGCTAACTAAATGACCAACATTGCTTGGCCAGGAGCAGTATTTCTTCTCCTTACCCGAAACGCCAGAAACACATCCAATGATGAGGAGAAAAACAACGCCTGCAAAACGATTTGATAACAAGTTAAATTAAGTTTAGAGATAATAATAAAGATTTCTACAAAATGCATATCCCAAATTTCATTAATAAACCTGAATTGTGGTCCTGACCCGGAGATTTGAATGTTTCGTGGAACCTTTGCAAAAGAACTTTCTTGACTGCTAATTTTGATACTTAGATTTCAAAGTCTTTGGGAATAAGGCAAGCTACTTAGGGGTCCATGTGGCCTTCACAATTCATGTAACAAACAAAATTTTCAACCCATTTTAGTACTTATGGAAGGCCTCAAGATCATTATATTAAACTCCCAGACTATATTAAAGCAAATTTGAAGAGGTCCAGTTTCCGTCAAAATTTGTGTACCATGAATTCTCCCAGATAATCTTTACATGGGTGTCGGACTTCTTTATTTGAATGAAATTTGGATTAAAGTATGGTAAGTTCGTATGAATGAATATCAGCAAGTTGTCAAACAAGAAAACTGACATTTGATTCTTGAAGTTTTCAATTTTCGGTCACCAGACTATTCTATTCAAATACATAATCAAGTTAACATCTAGTGCAGTTCAAAGGGTACAAAAAATGGAAAAAAAGTTAATTCTAATAATTACTTCCCTATTTCAAGATTTGGTGTTGAACAAAAAAGCAAAGAATACCTGCAAATTTCATTTCTCTTTTTATCCTTTGGTAGTGTAGGCAGCGCTGAATTGTGGTTAATTTTCTGCAGAGACAGTCTTCAGGTAACCTGGATGCCGCGATTGGGTTGATAGTTTGTGATGCTTTTTCACAGGCCACTAGTTACTATTTATGGCATTCAAAAGCAAGAAAATGCAACAAAAATTCTTTTGTCCGTGTAAAAGAAAGACCAATGTGCGAAATACGACAGACAAAAGGATCTGTCATGATTAAAAAATTCCTTACCCTCTGCATCAGTTGGCAAGCAACTGTTTGTATCACGGGAAAATATTTTAGATATTTGAATTAACTTTAACTGGAGATAATACACTATTTGATCTGTTGCTTTTTAAAGCCTAATTGTTAAAATAATACAAAACACACCAATAAAATGAAGACAACACACACAGCAGTGCTCTCATACAAGATTACCAACGCTGATATTTGATATGTTTTAAAAATCCCTTTTTGAAAAGCAGGACCATCCATGTCTTTCAGAGTTGAATGTTTTGGATGATGAACGATTGTTATGCATGCATTGTAAACCCATTTATTGATATGTTTGCGAATCTTGTTCATATGTTAAAGATTAGCAAAACATGCCCCCCAAAAGAGGTGATCATGGATAGCCGATCATGGGGCTACACCCTTTTATATATATAATGCAAACAATATCAGCACTCATTGTTTCTTAAGACTTTCTCAAATTTGATATCATTAATTTACCATATGCAGTCTTGAATATAGATTTCCATGCTTGAAAAATGTTTTATTTTATATCTTAGCATTACAATTCAAATTTATAAGCGTGGAGTCAAATTATAAATTAAATTGATTTAATACTGTCTCGTACAGATGAAGAGAAATTTGGAACACTATCCAAAATGAAACTAAATGCAATATATGTGGCAATGTTCAAAAGCAATATAGTATATTAGTAGTGGGTTCGTCGATAAATTCTAATTTAGTAAGCTAATCATTTTTCTTGCTGTGTTGTTAGTTTAATTAAGATAACCCACACACAAGGAAACCAGCTTTTAAAGGGGCGCGTGAACATCGATCTCGACATTTTGATAAGATCTTGATAAGAGGGCTTTAATGGAAAGTTTAGGGATAATGGCCATTCTCCTTGCTCTCGAAACGACCAATAAGTGGCACAGAGCTCTGAGAGTCAAAATATTTTACGAAGTAAAGACCAGTACATTTTAATTTTGCGCTTTGCCACAAAGATAAAACGTTAGTAGTAATCAAACATGAGATATCTTCAACTACAAATCCTTCCTTTCTAGCCACTTCGAAAACTGAAAAGGCTTGAGTTTTTTAGTCAATGAAATTGTGCGTGTTATACGTCGAAACTATGCGTTTTGTGCGTGGTGTATTTGGTACAACGTTTCGAGCTTAACTTTTCATCAGGTAAATAAAGAATAGAAGGAGAAACAGTTAAGAAGAGAATAGAACAGTAGAATCGAAGGATAAACTATATGGAACGTAGTAGGAATACGACGTAGAACGTAAGACGAGTTGGAAATATGTCAAGGGTGTGTATAGATAAGATGAGATGAAAATAAATAATAGCTAGATTAGGAAATAAGCGAAAATTGTTTATTAAGACCATTAGGAATAAGACATATTACAATTTGAGAATGGTTGCTACAAAGGCAGGGGCTGATAGATACAGGGCTTGAAAAATATTTTCTTTCTGGCAGCAAAATAAAAAATTCAGGATTTCCTGCAAAGCTTTGATAAAGTTTCCAGCCACTTAAGGTGATTTTTTAAGTTGTTTAAACATCTGTTCTAAAAATAAACTGTTCTAAAAAAAACTGTCAACTAAAAAAGAACTAATTGTTGGTCCCCGATTTTTGATCATAGCTATTCAAACAACAACCATTTCGTTTATACTGTATTAGGTGATCAAGGAAAACTTGATCAAGAATTATACTCGTATAGTTTGTTTTTAAGGTTAATAATAGTAGATCTGAAAATCCATAATAACTTTGATTTAATTTCATATCAGTACTAGCGAACTAGATACTATTGAAGTATCGATGAATCCTACATCTTGCTCAGGGTTTCATGTTTGATGCTCATCATCAAAGCTAGTAGTTCATACAACATGTAAGAACCCTTTTTTATTTTCAATGGTTTAAATAGCCCAAAACGCTTATATTCTATTAAGTCAGCGACGGAGAAATGTATGCGAATGCCAGTAGAAAAGTATGAATAATAATGGACACATCCACACAGGTTTTGGGGCATTTTCACCCTCAATACAATTGATGTAACAAGAATGTCGGTGTTGAAGTGCAGGCCTGGCCGTTTGTATTTTTATAGGTGAGCTGTCAATCGTTCCCCTCATTTGCTGAGGCGAGCTAAATCAATAACACATAGAATGTACTTTAAAGACAATCGACAGATGACTTAAGCCCCTTTAGTATCTGTCGGTTGCCTTTAATAGCCTCAGTCAGGAGTATGCTGTTTTACTTCTTTCAATTTGTATTTGCTTTAACCGTGATTAGGCACCCCCTTTACTTGAAGTATTTAAAATAACAGACTCTTTCAGTTTCATGTACTGGTACAACACAAAAACAACAATTATCCTGCCAAAAAATCTTTTTGTTGTACAGAATTTGAAAATGGCTTTGAAAAACAAATTTTGAAACAAACTTAAGTTATACGTCTAGCACTCTTCAGAGTATAAAATGTCAAAACATAGATGGAAAACTCTACGCTAAATTGTCCAATCAGTACCTCTTTCCTATTGAAAATGTTACCAACGGAGTCCTAAGGTGAAAACGAACTCCTTCTGTCTACACAAAAGCGGTCTGTCATGTTTATATAGTAGGTAGCTAGATTGAACGATGATCAGACTTTGCCAATAATGCGAAACATGTCGCCGTTATAGTTTTCACCCAATCTGGGTTTTTCAGTAAATGCAGCTGGATAGTGGAATTTTATGTTTTGGTTGTAGTTTTGATCTGCAAGACAGAGTACCCTGTTCTCTTTGAGGGATAGTTTTGTTTCTATTGGTGGAAGGGACCTGCTGTTTTAGTATATACCCCAATCTACAATTCCTACCAATTTCTTCGACTTTCCTTCCAAAAATATGCCTGTTTTCTTAAGATTGAAAGGTTCTAATCGCTACAAACGTACCTTGCGCTTAACTATCCTTTTCCAAATAGATCGAAGTTCATGCCTATCATAACAAAAACCACCCAACAAGCAAAAAGTTAATTGCAAAAGATGCAATGACTGGAGAAGTCGCTGTTACAAAAATAACCCAATCAACCCTTGTAAGTTTTCAGGGTTCTCTGAATAGGAAAAGGGCAAATGAATGAAAATTTTGGGGGAGCAATTCTCTCTTCATGTTCTGCTTAGGAGAGCAATTCATAGCTCGCCTCAAGTTGCGAGGGGAGCGTGGAGGAGAGCACGAGCTATCGCTCGCCTCAAACCACCAGGCCTGAAGTGTTTTTACTTATCTAGAATGGCTAATGTAAAAAAGAGAAATGAACTATGCTTTAGCTTGCTTGAATTAAATTAGAAGCAGTAAATCATGCCCAAATTGCTAGAAATTTGAATCACAAGAAATCACAAGAAAACAGTGTTCCATAGAAAGAGAGTAACATAAATTTAATGTTTATCTTTAAATCAAGCAATGGAGATTTCACACTAAAAATTTCCTGGCAAACAGCAACAATTTCCTGCAATGAATTTGTGCTAAAAATTTCTTGGTAGCATCGCCACGAAACATTTCCCAGCCCTGGGTAGATAGAAACTATTTTCAAAATGGGTATTAACCAATAACCAATTGTATTTACATAACTTGGTTGGATCCCAATATATATAATCAAAAGCAATGATTATCCATTCAATGTGAGAAGCACAAGGTCTTGGAAGCCATCTTAGAGCACTGTTGTTTATTCTGCTATGGCTACAAGTCGTTGTCAAGTCAGCTTTCTTAAGGGACCTTTAGTTACTAAACTTGGTTGAAATATACATTTCATTACATTATCATTCTGGGAAAATATTTTTCACTTGGAATAATATTAATAATAACAATAATCTTTCATATTTATACAGGTTAATTTGTTCAATAAGGAAATTACTGTTATCAACCAAAGACCTGTAACAACCAATGACTTTTGTGAGCAAAAATTTTCACATTCACTTTTGTAACATAAAGGAGAAAGTTCTTACAAGGATTCATTGAATGGTCTAAATACACAGTCCTTGCTTTCAGTAGCAGCATGAGAAATTTTTTTTATAAATCAATAACTAGTCCAACAGATTGTATGAATGACCAACCTACAACCAGAATCTGTACAAGTGGGACTTGCAGACAAAAAAGTTTATGCTCCAAATTTCTGCAGCCACTTTCTGAATCAATCATTCTTATTTACTAATTCATAATCAGGCCAGAATGATGAAAGAAATCATTACTTTAATAGCACAATTTTATCTTTATTTGCTTGGCTATTCTCTATTCCTTTGATTTATCACCCTACCTTTATTCTCTGATCACTTAGATTTATCACCTTTTCCGTACACATTATATAAATACTTGTAAACTTACTCTCACATAGTGGGCTGAAGAAAGCACGCTCCTATGAAGGGCATACAAGCCTTATTTCCTTATGATGTCTTTATTTGATGGCATTCACAGAGCTGCCTGAAAGCCCAAACCATCCATAGGTAAAAACTGGATCACTTTATTTCCTTTCTTTTGAACTCATTTTATTCATATCTGACCATAAGTTGTTTTGCTTGCAGGAAATTCTCCTGCATTACGCTCACGGGGGAGAAATATTTTTAACGAGCCCTGCCTACAACTACAAATTTTTATTATCCACACTGAAAATTATCATTACAATAATTGCACATTTGCAAATCAATGAAATGACAAATGTTATGAAAATAAAGTTGAGTTTTTTATGAAAGATTGTTTATTCAAAATCAAAAAAGAATTACTTTTCAAACATTATCATAAACTTACCATTTTCTTTGTTTTCATCAACATTTTCTGTCTCTGTGATGTTGCTTTCAGTTTTCAAAGTGTGTTGTCTCTTAGCTGCCTTTGCAGAAAGTGGTTTCATGTACAACCTTGAATTGTATTGTGATTTGAAAACTCTTGCCTGGGCTGTACACCTAGGGCACTTCTTGGTCTTAGTAGTTCCAAGAAATTCTTTTACCAGCAACTGTCTATATTTTGTTGTGTTTTTTGAAGTCTTTTCAGGACAATCCTGGATGCTTGCAGAAACTGTGTTAAGAAAAGAATCAATTCTCTCAACGACACTGTCTTCTTTGTCGTTATAGTTTAGATGATCACTTTCGGAAAGACCTGCATTGAAGATCTCTTCAAGATCCAAAATAAGTCCTGGCTGGCCCTTTTCAATGACAAACAGCTGCCTGAAAAGTAAAGGCATATGTGTGATTTCTTTACCATAAAAATAAGATTTTTGTCATTAGCATTAGGTAAACATAAGCCCATTTGCAAGTTAAAATGGGGTTTGCAAGTCATTGTATAACTTCTATTTATGACAAATTCACAAGCCAAGTCATGAATAATCTTGTTCTTTAAAGGCTTAAGCCATCTAACAATCAATTATTGGCCAATCAATAATCATGGTAATTGCCCTTTACTTTGTTGTGCTAAATTAAAGATATGATGTTTTATGATGGAAAATGCCACAGTAAGCAACAGAAAAACACTGAGTTCCTTGCGAAAGATATGTCACAAACTGAAAGCTCTCTTTTAATTGAAAAGTTAAAAATCATACTCACTTTAAAAGTAAATGCTCTTTTGACCTTGATATCAACAAGCTGTGACAGTTGTAACAGGACAAATTGACAAATTGCAACAGAATCCGAAAGAATATTGGATGATATACTGGTAATGGAAGTTCAATATGGCCTAAGTGTCCTGGACAGAAAACATAATTCAAGCCGCAGGAGCCACAAATATCAGTTTTGTCCGTAGGTCCAAGATTCCTATCGTAGAGGCCTCCTGGATTTGGGTGAAGCAACTCATCGAACGTTTCTGGATTTGTGATCTGTCTCACGCTTTGCTTTTTAATGTCTTCAGTCGAGAAAGTTTGGAAAGACACACCATGCATGCGTGTGGAAAACATTTCCACTTTTCTGTGTTTAAAATTTTAAAGCTTTACTTCCCTCACATTATGTAGCAAATTCTAAGATGTTGATAGACATCACATTGCACGTTTTCCTCATTGGCCTCTTGCAGTGGCCTCTTCCTTTAGGGAACACGAAAGCGAGGCAAATTGATAAGGCTTGTGTCAAATGGATTTAACCACATGTCTATAAAAGTCTTTTTTATAGATCAGTGGATTTTATAATTAATTATTTAATTATAAAAATTAATTAAACCACAAAAGCAAACATCTGTTTCCTTTGGAATTTTTGAAAAACTTTTTAGTACCCACGCCACGGAGGGGGGAGTCGGAGGGGCCATAGCCCCCCACTTTTTGGTAAGCAAAGATATTTCCAAAGAGGCCCTGTTTTGAAGCCATAGATTCAAGCTCGAATTATAGAACTTAGCCCCTCCACCGTGAGATTCGTGGCGTGGGCCCTGCTTTTAACTACAAAACGAGAGGGATCACACCTCTTTTGATGGTTACAAGCAAATGCAGGGTTTAGCAGGGACAGATTCTAAAGGCAAGGTTAATGGGTTAGAGGAGGGAGGGTTTAAGATAAGGGTCGGACTCCGGTTTGACACCCTTTTGGTGCCTAGACAAGTTGGAAGCACCAATTTTTACAATAACTGTTTTAACTAAAAAATAAAAGAAAATAAAAAATTAAACATACTAAATGTTGACGTCATTTGATTACTACTGACTACCATAAAGATCTTTTTGGGGGAATCAAAGCAAATTGACACAAGGAGGTTGGTGGAATGTTGCACCCTCACACCCTCGGTAGGTCCGTCCCTGGGGTTTAGATTTAAATGAGATACCAAGTTAGAACTACAAAAATAAATCTGGTTATTGGGAAAACCAAAGACGTAGAAACCGGGGAGACAGTGGGCATGTGCCCTCATACTTTTGAGAAATAAGAGGCAACGTGTATATTTGCATGCAGCTCACGGAGGTGCCTTTCCCACATTTACTTCCCTTTTTGAAATGCTTCCTGCGTCTATGACAGAAAATAATCGCGCTTAAAACAGGATTATAAAATCTTACCGATTTCGTATCAAAACAAAGATTAAAGAGCTTCAGCTTGAAATAAACCTCAAGTTGTATAGTACGGCCTTGAAACAGATTTAGTTAAAAAAGACTCGACGAGATTTCGATTATTCATCCATAAGTTAATAACAAAAGCGGTTTTTGAGCAACAACAACAACACAACCACGTGTCATTACCTACATCACTTCGCAAATTAAAATAAGCGCCTGTGCGGTTACTTCCATCACATCCTATTCGGCGAACATTTTCTCAAAACAATTAGCGAAGCACCCACTTCAAGTAATTTGCGCACAAAATTTACAATTCCTAAATGCTAATAACTAAAATTGTTATAGTTCTTTATGCGCTTTCTCTTCTTTTTCTTTTGTATTTGATTTATCGCTAACTTCTTCTGTAGGCTTGCTCTCTTTCTTCTCCATCTCTGGAAGCTCGAGTGGTTTTGCCTCTTCAATCTTTTCTTCCTTAGAATCATCTTTCTTTCCGTCACTGGTAGAATCAGTCTTATCAGTTTTCTTTTTTTCTTCTTTTTCGGATTCTTCCTTTTTGGAGGTTGTTTCTAATTTTTCATCCTTTCCCTTCTTCTTTTCATCTTCCTTGGTTGACTGATTCTTGTCTTCAGCTTTGGTGGTATTTGAGGCAGTCTTGTTTTCGGCTAAGATTAAATAAAGGACATTAAACCCAGAGTAAACAACAATCCTTGCCAAAACATTTAAAAAAACTTCCCTTAAACATAGCATGCAGCGGGCAGCCACCTTTCACCAAAACATTGATAAACATGTTATGTTAATGCATTATCAAGATGGTTTTGAAGTTCTGCTGCAGCAAACGAGAATAAAAACCTGCTAGCTAACACGGTTTGAGGGCGAGGGGGAGTATGTACTGTTTGTAGTTGGGCGGTCAGAAAAGGTAGAACGAGCACCGTATTTAAGCTGATGTCGTGTTATATTCATATATTCATATGTTATATTAATATGTTACATTCATATGTTATATTAATATGTTATATTCATGTTAGACACAAGTTAACGAACGAGTAAGCCGATTGGCGGCGGTAGTTGGATAAGAACAAATTTAAATTTGCACAGTTTCTGTTAGTAGCAAACTTAGCCAAGATGAAGATAAAATGGAATTCCCTACGAATGAAATTAATAGACATCTGCATTATTCAGGGGTATAAATTCTTTAAAAGAAAGTAAATTCAAGCAAAATAATGTTTTTGCAGTTATGAGCTGGGGCTACCCAAGGTTTGGCATGTCTCTTGACCTTAACAGTTTTACCAACAAGCAACTTTTGCATCCATAAGCATTATCTTGCCATTATTTGACTCGCAAGTGCTTTAAATGTGCGCTTCCAAACTATCTTTGGAATAATGATCTTTGGATTCAAAGTTAGCATCTGGGTTTTTTACGAAGATTCCTCATATCTATAATTTTTTTTTTGGTTTCAAGGTACCTGGGCCTTCATCTGGTCCGATCTTTGCCCGTTTCGAGGCTCCAACAAACATGTGCTTGCCCACAGAAGTGAAAGGCAACCGCGTTATCTACCTATTCGGGGTAACAACAACTTTTTGGACTTTTGGTTTATTCATGTATTTATGAAAAATAATTGTCCTTACTTTTCTTACTAAATTTCAGTATAACACCTCGGCAAACTCAAAAAACGTCGGCAAACTGACCTGTTGTGTTGGCTTTTGGTTTCGGTTTTGGGACGTAGTACTTTGCTTTGTTGATTAGGTAAAGCAATTCCCTGTCCAGTTTACCCTGCATTGATACAATGTCTTTGACCAAAAGAACCGGTTTGGTTTTTGGATCTGTCTCGTTCTGCTTTTTCCAGTTGGTTGCAAGCCAGTCCTGTGAAGAGGATATTATAACACGGTTGGCTTATTAATATACTGCAAATCTGACATTTGGTCACACCAAGTTGCGACCCCTTGAAGAAGAAAATTCAAAGAGACATCAACCAAAGGAAAATACTGTTGTTGATAAGCGTCCCATTCCTCGAATCGGCAATATGATGAAATCATTAAAGAGACTTTCCGAATGAAGAAGACAAACAAAAGGGTGTGGTAGACATAAAATATGTTTTAAAAAAGAACTCAAAAGAACAATTAATTAGAGCGATTTTCTAATTGTCATCAAAATAAGAGAGATTTTGAACAACGATTATCAATGTTTAAGGACCGTATTTTGAATTGGCAACAGTTAATTTTTATACTTACAGAGACTTCAGTTGACACTTTCTCTAGATCTTTAAGATCCTTTTCAGTGTAAATCTCGTATGCTTCTGGCATAGCCTTGAATTGTTTCTTAAAAACGTTAGTCAAGTTCAAGCTGCTAAGCAATTCGGCGATTGCTTTTGGCCGAATCTCATCTTCAGAAATACGGAAACGGAGATCTTCAGTTGCCTTCTCTAGCTCTTTCAACTTGCTTTTGTAAACCTAAGTCAACATGGAAATAAAGTGATTTAACAGTCCTGCAGGTTTAAGGGCCTTTTTTGCTTTGTATGAAAGGAAATTGAAGAAAAATTACATTACAAATCAAAGTGAAACTAGCACACACACACATACACACACACGTACACACACGTAATGTGTTAGTTTAACACATCTTAGTTTGAGTTAATATGGCATAATTATGACCACCATTCCTTTCTATATAGTAGAGGCATTTGATACATTAGTTGTCATACTAAATAAGTTGAGAATTCATAACTAGAATTACGGAAAAGCTAGATGATTTGAGCATAAATTTATAGATCAAAAGAAACAGAAACCTAACCTATAAACATCTGTAGGCTACAGGCTGTACCACAATAACTACGCTCTCGTTGATTCTAAAAGACTACGTCAGAACCAGTCAAAGAAGATTAGATATCTAAAGCTCAATACTATGGGTTTTTCATATTAGTTTACCTACGTTTTTTTTAAATTTGGTGACTATCAGTTAATGACTAAATATAATCGGCTATATATAAATTTATTAACTGAATGTAAGAGGCACGCAGAAACCTTAAATTTCACAGCATTGATGTGAAAAATATCTGCAGTCTCCATCAATCGTGTTCACGCTAAAGCAGCAATTAATAAAGAGAAAGACATCCTGAAAGTTTACTTACATCGGCAGTTGCATCGTAGCCATCTTCCATTAACCAGTCTGATACCTCCGAGAATTTCTCACTTATCTTGTTCGTCTCCTCCTCGGTGGCCAGTTTTTCGACGTTATCACTGTACAGCTTATCCTTGAATTCGTATAAGAAACTTTCCAAGGAGTTCTTGGCCTGTTCATTCTCTCTTTTTGCTAAATCTTTGACATGCAAATCATCTAAGCTAGAAAAGAAAACGAAAAATAAAATACAAAGATAATAAATATAAGCATAGCCTACCGGCCCACTGTACGTCAAATAAGACAATCGTAGAGTGTATGCAGATGAGAAAGGATACTTACTGCTTCACAGAAGCTGCAAAGGCGGTCTCACCAATAGATAGGATGTCTGTTTCAGAAACGATTAAACTGATGTTTTCTTTGACAAGAACAGGTTTAGAAACTTCTGGTTTCTCAGTTTTGTTAGCTGTTGTGTTGCTCTCCTGTAGAAATAAGGTAAATTGAAGGTCAACTGAGCATGAGACATGTTCCAAGACTATGGCCATTCTAACAAGGACGGCTGTGTTTGACAACAATTAACTTCCTCTAATGCATTTCTAAAATATCCTTTTAATGCCGATGACACCTACATAGCTTATGCATCCCTTTTACTCTGTGTTATAGATGAATCAAAATGGCTCGTTTAAATGCCCCAGTGAGCTAGACTCATTTGCAATGGTTGTCATATATCTGTCATTGGTGTAAGCACATGCTGTCAAAAGTATGTGCTGAGCACCGCTGAATTGGGAGGCCACCATTCTCTCGTAACACATTAGGTACTTATTTAGTGCATCCAGCTAAGAAAATGAAGATTCACAATGTTACTGTCGTTATGGTGCGATTTGAAATTAAAGCCAAGCCAATCCTATAGTCAATCGTTAATTAATCCCATTGATGATAGTTAATCCCACAGAAAAAAGCGCCACGCCAATCCCACCAATCCAGCCCCATAACTATCACGGAATCTTCGTGAAAATCAGATCTAACAAAGGATCAGATAAGACTCCTTATAGATTTGATACCTTTGCATTAGCTGCTGTTTTGTCATCGGTTTTGCTATCTTTTTGGTCTTCTTCCTTTTCAGCTTTCTTGTCCTCTTTCTCCCCCTTTTTCTCTTCTTTTCCCGTCTTATCGGTCTTCTTTTTGTCTCCTTCTTTACTGCTGTCAGTCTTATCTTCTTTGCTTTCACTCTCACTCTTCTTTTCATCCTAAAAAACAATGTCAAAAAAGTTCATATCACAGCTTACCCCCTAAACATACAGATAAAAAAATATGAAAATTTAAATAAATTTCCAATATATAATAAATAGCAATTTCTGATTTTATGATTTTGGAAATTAGTTCCTCACACATTCAATTCCTCAGATCCATAGTTTACACATTTTGCCGCAATTTTGGCACGTATACCTAATGGATACCGGTTGAGATAATACAATTTTTAGGGATATGTTGTGTCCAGTTGAGAGATTCCCTTATTGATGCCAACTACCAATGCAAAAATGAATCTCTCAGAAAGTGAGCTAGCTCTGTATTGTACTAAACGAAAGCTTTCCCCATTCCATTAAAACGAGTGCTAATTTCAATTATTAATCATCCGAGGCAACTAATAAAAACCTCCAAAGTTTTCATTTGCTAAACCACAAGCATTAAAACCAAGATATGCATACCTCTTTCTTTTCGCCACCCTCTTTTGTTTCTTCTTCCTTTTTCTCTTCGTCTTTGCTCGAACCAAAGAGGCTAGATAGCGTGTTTCCGATCTCTAAAAACGATACGCTGTCTATCAGAGCTAGTAAAAAGCATTCAGAGCGGGTAATCTTACGAGATGATCTGGCAATTCTATGAGGAAGTATGGTGATGATCCGGTTTGAAAAATGCACAAGGCTGTGAACAGAAAGCGCCAGAAAACAATGGCGAGCATCCCCAAATGAAAACATGTTTATAGGCAAACCACCCTTAATATATCGCAAAAATATATCAAACATGGAGAATCATTTTAACGCAAATTCTTTGATAAAATTCGAACAAGCTTATATAAAAGAATTACAAGGCTAGCATACTTGCAAAAGTTGATTGCTCCTCTTCTGTTTTCTCTTCGGCTTTCTTTTCAAAATGTGCTTCCACCTTGATTCAAGACAACTAATTGTGAATATCAACAAAAACTACCTCCTTTATGATTAAACAAACGACTGAGACAAAGCAAACCTAAGAGCACGCAAAATTTAAAACCGAGAGGATAGGATACTTGCAAAGTAAGATCCTATCAACAAGATGGCGAAAAACGTGTTGAACAGCTAAAATAGATGGCAAAAAACGTGTATTGCTTAACAGCTAAATCTTGCTTGAAAATCATGATTACCTTGTCCAGGGTCAGAATACCACTATCATCCATGTTAAAAAAAGCTTTGACTCCTTTTGGCGTAGCCTCTTTGTTATTTTCATTGGCAACAGCTACTCCCGAGAGATCAATCTTTCTCAATGATCCCAAATCCAGATACCTAGAGGATTGAAGGATCATCTTATTCCTTATACCCGTAGAAGTCTTGTAAATTAACAGTTTCACCTATGGTGCTGTATACTTCTTTAGAAAAAATGGTCCCACTTTCATTCTTCTGAATACAATCAACTACTGACACTCTCAACACAACAGAGGAACCTGAATTTGATCATAAGTTTGAATAACCAAAAGTCTGATTAAACAAGGATACCATTGCGTCCTTAATAAACGTATCCCCCAATCATTTACATTTGTAAAAACTTCACGGTATCTCGGAGCCTGTCACGACTTTCTGCTTAAACATCTTTCAGATTTTGTATAGGGTAGCATACGAAGCAGTATTTGTTAACCTTTTCGCATTCGCGTCGGCAAAGATTATTCGGCAATTATGAATTCTTAACAATAAATTGATCTGCTTTTGTTTATTTTCAATTTCCTTTAAAATAAGTATTCTTTAATAATTCAAACACTTCATTCTTCCCCTCACTCTCCATTCTGACCCCTCCAGCCCCCCCCCCCCAATTGGTAAATAGTGGAATAAATTCGCCAAGTCCATATTAATTACGCCTTCATCGCTCATTTTACACTCTCAGGAATAATTTGTCAAACAAATGGAAACACGTGCACACCCTTTCCTGTTTTCTAATCTTATACCAAATTTTGCCCTACATTGTGTCCGATGGAACATCATTTGTCATTATATGATAATTGGTTGAATTTCGGACTTTGATACTTTTAATGTCTATGCAATAATATTTCAAGCGTTTTGAGTCAAGCTAATATATAAATAAGATGGCAAATAACGCTGGAGGTTATTTCCTGTTTTCAACTTAACAAAAAATGTTGAAATGTATCACGAAAAGAACTTTGAATAAAACCTTTTGATATCTCCACTGAAAACACTAGTATCGCCGTATGACACATTGAAATGAAAGTCTTTCTCCTGTTTGTTAAACGTCATCACTTTCTTCTGTGGAAGTGGGTTCAATCTATGGAACAATGTCCGTGTAACAACTTTTGCGTCAGCCTGTCCACTTTCTGACGTCGTCTTTCTGAAGAATGACACCTAAAAACAACAAGTTTGGTATTGTCAAATATGTATCTACAGCAGATCTGTCTATGATGCAATCAAATCGAACGATACACGGGTATACACGGGCCTTCACTTAAGCCTGCTATTATGAAATCTTAGCATATATGGGTCACACAAATATGGGTCACACAAAAATATGGGTCAAAAGAAAGAAAATATATAGAATTTGATGATTTCATGAATGTATATAAAATACAAGAAAAGGACAAATCCAAGACTTTTTGAAGTTGCAATAGTATAATAATTTTACTAAAAGCAAACATAAGAAAATACCCCCAGATCATCTATAAAGTACGTAAACTCAAAAAAAAGAAGGTAGTCTTCACGAAAGTGTATGTCACAAAAACGTAACATAAAAAACATGAGGGAGAGCAAAGGAGGGAAGCTTAAATTAAATTTTCGTACAACCTCAAATTCCTTTGAAGAAATAAGTGCTGAAATTAATCTGCAAATTATAAATTGGCCAAAAATATCCTATATCCTTCAGCAAAGATATTGTAGAAAAGAGATTGTACAGCTTCGTTTCCTTACTCTTTTTCTCGCATGGTGAGAGATATTGAGTACGCTTGTATGGTATTTAGCGAGTTAAGAGTAGGTAGTTAGCTGCATAGCGTAGAAGCAGAGACAGTAGAAGCCAGCAAATCAAGATCTTTGAAGGATGCATTTTGTGGCTGCTCCCAAGGGGTAAGGCATTTACACCTGGTGCAAGCAGCTAGTATTACGTAATGTTTTACCGAAAGACGTTCACAGATTTTCACAGAAAAGGGACCAATACTTACATCTATAGGAAACATGTTAACATCTTTGATAAGGAATCTCTTAACTTTGAAACCAGTGGTAAGATCAGCAGCTCTGTACACAGCACCTTTGATATAAAAACGATAGCACATTCATGAGCATCATATCAAATTTACACAGTGAAAACGAATGAAACAGCAGGGTCCGCATGATATGTTTACATATTCGTTATACATACCTAAGGCTGCAGCTTCATCTGTGTTTATGCTTTTGCCAAGATCATCCCTTAAATAGAAATGCAAATTCTAATACAAGACGATTCAGCACGCGAGGGAATTTCGTGCTGTTGTATACAAAAAACTGCAAATAATCACAAAACGTTTATTCACAATTCAACTAGGTCCACAAACTGTGAGTATTAGCTTCAGATTTTTCGTTTTTGAAGCACCATCTTATTTATCTCGTCCATTCTTCACGTAATGTGCCTGAGAATTAGGCACGCTAAAACGACCATTTGGCTGATGACGTCATAAACGACATGGCTCTGGTTATTGATTCCAAAACAACAAATGTTAACAGGTGTATTTGATCTTCGTCCTCTTCTCTATCGTTCTTTTTACATTGGAGGGACAATTCAAATAATTAACTTTCCTTTTAACAGAAAGGAAATGAACAGAGAGAATTTGATGTTCAAAAATAATGACAAAACATTGGTTAGAAACATTAACGAAGCTAATTGTATTCAGTAGTGACTACCTCTTGACAGCCTTCTTCAGCAGCTCCTGGACCTTCGGGACTCTTGTTCCACCACCCATCAGCATTACAGTATCAACATGACTCTGAAAAATATAAATCATTAGAAGAACACCTAGGGTTGCATGTTGACCTTAAAGACCTCGGAAACTTGAGAGGTTGTTAGCGCCGAATGCATAAGCAAATCAAAATATCGATCGCCAAACCCTTGAACTGTATGCACAATAGGTTATGTTCTAAAAGTAAAAAAAAATCATCTTTCAGTGAAATCATTTTTGCAGTATGAGAGCATTTCGTGACCATGTCCTTGCTATGTACTTAAAGCGCTTACGTTGAGTTTGTTAGCTTGTGTAGTCTTCTGTTAAAGTTTCCTGATCCAACTTAAAAGCATCGACCCGTGGTAAATAGGCGTTTTTTGCAAGGGGTCATGCGAACCTGGCATTTGTCTTCGTACAGAACCTGTTTTCCGTCTTTGACAAAATGTATTATAAAATTCATGAGAGGTAAATTAATGTGATCAATCTAGGGTCCAAAGCATTGCAGCACAAAAAAGCCTATTTCAATCAATCGTTTCCTTAAATCCTTATCCAAATACTCGACCATTAATAAAGCACGCATGTATTTTTGTGGAATATTAATAGAATGGAAGAGTAAAGACGTCACAAAAATCTATTTTTAGAATTCTAGAACTAAGACCTCATATCCTGAAAGAATACCATTAAATAACTTTAACTAGCAAAATCAGTTGAATCTGCTGCGACTCTACTGGGATATTACCACATAAGCACAGGCTTTCCCCCATCAAATCACTGTATTTTGGTCCTGGTTTCTATATCTATTAACCTGGCCAAAACAACAGTAATCCATTAGCAAAACTCATGCCACCCACTGACCATATCTCAGTCATAGTGTTCTTCTTGTTAGGGAGTCAGAATTCTTAAATTCTAAAGATAGATTTTTGATGATGTCACACTAAGCTACTTAATGTTGATTGACTCACCAGTTGCATGGCAGCTGCTTTCAAAGCAGTTTCAACAGGTAGTGAAACACGATCAAACAAATCTTTGCACATTTCCTCGAACTCATCACGTGTCACTTTTGCACGAAAGTCGTGTCCTTCAAAGAGATTTTCTACCTGCAATTAAGAAAAAAATTACGAGCCTGCTGACGATGCCGAGAGGTCATATATTAATATTGGGTGCAGGGACAAAGCGGGAGATGGGAAGTAGAGGGTTTTAAGATTAAATAACAAAATCTGCAAAACTGCAAACTTGACATCAAAGCATGACCTTCAGGTACAACATCAATTACTAAACTTTGCCTAAGAAAATCATCTAGCAAAAAATTGTTTATCATCTCCCTCTTGCAAATAACCTCTTTTAATCGACAATTTCGCTAGTTAAAAAACTCTTTTCATCGAAAATTTCGCTAGTTAAGGACAAGCCAACGTCTCTTCCCCAACACTGAAACAGTCCTTCTATCAAGGTGTATACCAGCTTGCCCGGAGATAATTTGGACAGTTCAGTAAAGCCTAGCCTGATATTTATAGAAAACTCTACATGCAATAGAATTTCGCAAAAGTTCTGCACAAAGGGTCTAAACTATCCTTAGAGACCATCTTACGCTATCCAGCAGAGTCTTTAACATTCATTTTGTAGCACTATCTCGACAAACACCCTTCGAACGAACAATATGAAGTTTTTGCGAATGTCAATGCCCTTTTTACTTAATTTTCAAAAAGAATAACCAACCCAATAGAGATAATATGTTGGATGGCGAATAGGTGTTCGAACATAAAGTGTTTTTTGCCTGCTTTCTGCATGAGTGCATGTGGAGAGACAAACATAACGTCTTTCATACACTGAAAAGAGATCTGACTTTTTCTTTGAAGTATCTCTAGTTGCATACCTGCGAAAAAGTTTCTGTATTTGCACTAAGAATCCTCTTGACTCTTGCTGCTTCCTTGAGCAGTTTCATTAACGCCCGAGGATTCTTCTCAATGTCACCCTCAGTTTTGATTTTTTCCTGAAACAACAAGTTGAAATTGGATATTTACTTTCTAAAATGTTAGCCGTCATAAAACTAAGCGCCATCGAAATGAAACTTAATAAAATACAGCAAAAGCACAGCTCTGACCAAAGTTTCTCTTAAATATACTGGAAATTTGCTAAAGAAAACACCATACCTTGAACAACTTTACGAGCTGGTTTCTTAGCCGGAACTCCATTTCCAAACCACCCAAGAGGGGGTCAAATCTGCAACACAGAGGAAAGATTCGCTTAATGTTAGCATTCAATAAGATAACTTGGCTGCATTTAACAGGCAACTATCGACGAATAAAGAAACAGGCTTCAATATCATTTGACCTCCAACAAATCTGAAAGCTGGAATTAAATTAAAAAGGAAGCTATCAAAACAAAGTCTTAATTTCCAATGTAAAATGACAAAAATAGTAGGTTGCAGGGTAATATCTAATTTTGCCTTGGAAGATCCAGTCTTATAAACAATTTCAAAACAATTTATACTAAAATGATTCTTTTACAGCTAGTAACCTAAATAAGCTGTTGTCTATCTCCTTTCAGTTAAACAAATCACTATTCTTCAAATTTGTTTTAACACTTGTGAGCTTAGTGATCTCATCCTGTTTGTGACACTGTCACACTTAAAACTAAGTTTGCCAATGAATGATCTAAACATGTTTTTGACATGCAATAACATATTTGTGTTTAACAAAATAACAGCCAAAGACGACGACTTCAGCTTGACCTACCCAACACCTTTTATAGCTAGCTGCGGAACAGTTTCTAAATATCCCCTGTCTTTGGTTTTGACTGTGCTGTACCCTACGAAATACAACATGCCATTACATATGTAGTTTAAAAATGATACACAGCTTCACTGCATCACTTTCATGCTAACAATTAACAGAATTCTAATAAAGAATAGAACGTGAAACATACCATTGAGAGCCCCGTAAATAACAGACTGACATTTTTTATATTGTCATACCATTGAAGCTGATTGTTGTATATGTTATCCTTTCAAAAAGCAACAGCAGAAGAAAGCCATAAGACAACAGCAGGGTTGCCAACTGACCGTCTGGACGGCCAAATTCCCCCTTTCTGTTCGTTTTTCAAAACTCTTGGCCGGCGCAAATTGATTTGGCCGAAGGAGCAAAAGTTGGCCGAATTCTGGCCGAGTGTTGAAAGCAAAAAAATACCATAGAAACGAAAATTTTCGCACAGACAATACCTAACATTTTGTTAATATAATCTCCAAATTGCAAATAACGAAATATAACATGCATGAAATTAGCATGAACAGAGTAGAGATAACAGAAAATTGACATTGAAAGCAAGTGAGAGAATTTGTGACATGCGGAGCCAATTTAATTCTTCAAAATTAGCCAAAATGTAGCAGTTTTTGTTTATTTGCTTGGCTGGCCGAATTTGGTCGTCATCCGTGAAATATTTGCCCACCATTTACTCCAAATATATGGCAACCCTGGACAAAAACTTGCTAAGAAGACTGTTTTTGCACTTACCAACAATGGTTACTGTTGTACTTGTAGCTCCCATATCATAGAACATCACATGCTGTTGAAAGAAAAGATGGCGTCTTATGATCCATATAAAATCATATTAATAGTTGTATCAAAGAAGAGACTATCTTGATGATACCATACTAAGGATGGCCTGAAGAGAAAACAGATTATACATGTAATGTATACCAATGTTACAGTATCTGGGTACTAACGAAAAACAAAAGCTCATTGAAAGTACCCGAAAATGGTAGGTAGTATGCAAAATATGGAGAGAATGTGGTACTTGAGGGAGGTCACTTAATGGAAAGAAAGCGATTATAAAAAGTTTGACAACCCAATTGTGAATTTCTGCCAAAATTTTGTTTTATCAAGACAAAGATATTGCCTAGCAAAATCGAGGACGCCGGAGACCACCCTTGTTGCCTTTTGATAGGAGGGGCAGGAGGGGCCAGAGTGTCCATTTTATTAAATTGCCCTTGAAACCGGCCAATTGTAATAATCATCAAATTCTGATTGTAGCGCTGAATTTATGGTGACATTTCTCAAAAAATTTAAAATAAATCCTTATGCCCATTTTCAAGATACCTAACGATGAACAAAATAAATTGGCAGTTAGTAGAATGAATTATCAGAAGCCGGGGGTTATCTTTCAAAGGCCCTTTTACACAAGCTTGTCCCCCTTGTTTCTTGGTCGTTCCGGCGTCCCTGAGCAAAATGCGATATATTCATACCCAATGAATGAAAGTGAATTAAGAAATTCTTGAATTTTATAATGCTATCGCATACTTCGTCATTGACTTCATAGTAGCGCTTACCGGTGCTGACTTACCGTTTCAGTTGAATTGAATGAAGCTGCTCTAAAAATCCCATAATTCAATGCAACTGCAAAGGAAAGCATTGTACTGTTTATCTAATTAGAGTATGAGGTATTCAAAGAGTAACAATACCAAGCAGCTGCAGAAACTAGGGTTTTTGTAAACAAACTTGCCAACATCACCTGCAATAGCTCACCATTTAATTTCAATCTTGACAAAACTAGGGGGTTAGGAGACCTTATTAGTCACTTGATTAAGCAACATAATAGGGTCTCTTAGACGTAATACTCAATTTTCAATTTGTTCAATACTCTATTAGAATAATTTCAACCAAACAAAATAAGTTTGAATGCGGTATAGCAGGCCATAAATAAAGAACTTGGCAATATACTTTTGCTATTAAAATATGTGCCAGTTTTGTCTGATCTTTCGATTATATCAAATTTTAATATCTTAAAAACAATAATCGATAGAAAGTTTGATATCTTCAAAGATCTTTTCAGGAATATTGAATTTTGATATATTTTGTTATCTTTAAAAAATGAAGTAAATCAGTCCAGTCGGCGGTGATCAGTGTATGAGTATCCTACAGCAAGCAGTTCTAGCTATCTTCAACGGGGTGTCACACCCCACACTCCCCATATAGCGACGGTATGAATTGAAGGGGAGAAAAATCTTTAAACAGCCAGTCCATGGTTGCAGAAAATGAGCAATGCCAAAAATGCAATGAAACTGAAGAATCAGTACCTGCAGTATTATCGTTCATCAGTTGCAGTACATTGAGCCCAACCATTTTCGCAGAGCTGCAATAAGCAAATTTGGCCAGTAAGAAAAGAAACAATTACTTGTTAACCAAAAATGATCGAAAACACTTCAGGCAACCATTCATGAATTAAAAAAGCTAGCAACATACTTCAATGCAAAAAAAGAGCAACTGTAAAACTTCTCTGATGTCTCTACTGCAGTTGAAAACGGGAAAAATCTGTTCAGTATAATATTGACCTTTGTTTTTTAATGGCCTTTTAATGGATACACAAGAAGTTCAGCTCTTAGCGGTCTTGCTAAAATGCGCAATGAAGAAATCTGGAACAGGTTACAAAAGAAACGTGGCATAAGCTCTGGTGAGACAAGACTGTATGTGCAGTAATACAAATGCTTCTTCACATGAAGGAAGAAGGGTGTGTAACAAACATGCTCAGGCTCGTATCCAATATGACAAGCAAGAAAAGCATTTTCGACATAGGAGTTTTACGTACTCTATCAGAGCCTTCCTTTCGGCTTGGGTATAAAACGCGGAAACAGTGAGGACAACATCTTTCATCGGATGATCTAGAAAAAAATGCAATAAATCCTAGTACATTTATGGAGAATAAAGAAACACATTTCTAGGGCTTTTCGTGTATTATCTTTCAATTTCACTTTACTTTCAACACTAGTTGCAACTTTCTTAAACGCTGATTCTTGAAAAACAACATTTTTGGATTTGTACAAATAACCGGAACCTGGAAACTAATGTTTACAAAATGAATTCCCTATGAAGAAACCTGTGTGGTTACTGATGTAATTAATCGTTCTCGCAATTTCAAATGCATTATATAGCAACACGATCCGTTCATATCAGTATCAAACAATTTATTTGTAAACGCGATCTCGACAGAACATTCCTATATTAATATCAATAAATCATAAATAAAATCAGACTTAGATCAGATACAGGGTGGCCGAGATGGGGGCAGGGAGGGCAAATTGCCCAAGGACTTTGAGATCTAGAGGGCTTCATAAAATTGTGAACTTCATTTGAAGAAGGGAATAAGTCAAACGTTACAAAAGTATGAATAAATAATAGTAAAACATTTTAAAAAAATTGCAAGAAAGTGACTGCTAGAAATATTCTGAAATCTATTTGAAGCACGTTGTTGTTGCAAAATTTTTTTTCAGATTTGCTCCAGGGCCTCAAAACTTTTCGGCGACCCTGAAAATCCCTGCTAAAAAGTTCTGAACACAAATGTCAGTTTTAAGGGTAAATTCAGTCATCACATTTCCCCCTAGGAAAAATGATCTTTTACTGAAAACGTTGTAAGAGATAAGGAAGTACGTTTCTTCATGTGGCTTTCATGAACTTTGCCTAAACTATCAGCTTTGTTTTGGCTTGAGGAAGGACAGATGTTGTAATATTTGGGAAAAGAAGTGAAAATTATAAAAATTCGACGCAAATTGTTGGGTGTTCTAAGAATTTTGGCAGGCATTAGAGTACTTTTGACCGTTTAGTTTCGATGACCAATGTGTCACCTCAGCTCCAACAGGAATACATGATAATAAGAGCTACAAGGACGGAGTAAGTTACTACACTATGGAAAAGAGACGAGAGCATAACGTCATCTGAAATAATCGTAGCCATCAATTCTGAAATACAATCTCTTGAATGCAGAAACAAATGGTTGTGTTTACAGCTGCCATTCTTCGTATATATCTAAGAGTATATAAAGAGACTTTTCAAGCTATTTATTCGCTTCTTCAATGCCAATCAGATAAAATCCTCGCCTATCACAGGAAAGCATCTCCTTTAAAGACAACATTTATCATATCCACAGAAACTAAAGCCGGACATAAATGATATTTTAATCATATACGCTATATACCTGCAAAGTTCTCTGCGATTTGTCGAGAATTATTCAAAATCATTGCCATCAGTTCTTCAGGACATAATTTTTCAGTACTGTGTGAAGGAAAATTCCAAAAAAATATCACTATCATGCCTCAAGGTGCCTACACTAAAAGCTCATTTTAATAATCTTAAAGAATATTCTTGAAAAAAATGTAACGTTTCATTTCAACATCAGCTAAATACATTTGCAAAAAGTGAAGAAAGACAAAAATCATGCAGTATATAGAATATTTTTAATTAACCTTAGCAAATAGCAGATGAGCAACAACAAGCAAGTACAAAAGTCAGTGACACTGTACTGTGACTTATGTACATACAACATCATTCTTTCTAAACCCGTTTATGCTGTGAGCCCTTTTAAGGTAATATCATTTCTTCCCGCTTTAAGAATAGGTTCTCCAAAACACTCCATCAAAGACTGGAGAGATCAATGACTCTGTACTTTTTAGTCTGCTATATCAACACTTTGGATCTTTATAAATTGTGACCCATAGTCCTCCTCCAAAGTTTCAAAGAATTTACCTGGTTGTCATGCCCAGTTGACAGAATATGCATGGTAGAAGAGTTTTCAACCGTTTAAGGTGAGAAATCTATTCAACTTTAAAAATGTGTGAACTTACTCTGATGTCTTGAAAAGGACAGTTCCTGAAAAAATAATAAAGGAAGATTTCATAAAACTACAAAGGAGAAGAATCCTGCATGAAGTAAGAAATTGGAAAGGTCAGATGCTGATCAAAAGTTTAAAAAATTATGCTTTGGCATGAATAAAAAACTACATGGAAATAAAACATGAATTATTTGCCTTCATCGTGGATATGGTTAGAAACCCTGGGTGAAAATAAATGCACCTTTTTCCAAAACTTTTAAGCTAAACAGAGTGAAAACATTCCTAGTAAAGAGAAGTCTAATCTGCCAATGAGGATGGAAAGGAAGATAAGATAGTAGAAAGACAAGAGTCATTTGCAACACCTCCCTTTCCTTAATTTTATTGAGTATTCTACATTGAGTTTATCTTATAATTCAGTACGAGTATAATTCAAACCAATGCTTTTTGAGACTATGAAGTGAAAGAAGAACACAATGTTGAAATAAATAAGCCTCATGACACCTAAGATAAATCTACCTCTATGGGTGTTAAGAAAACATGTACCAAATCAAAAGCAATACCTCTTTCTTCATCTTTGACTAAGTTGTAATGGGGAAACCTGAAACAAGAAGGAAAGCAATTCTCTACAACGAAAAAATCCATGGAATTAAAGCACTCTTCAAAACTTTTCTTCAGTCACTTCCCATATCAATATAAAGCATTAATGTTAACTTAATGTATATTTTTGCAACATCTCCAGTGAGACATGCTTGCTAAATTTTGTTACTGGCACCTACATCTACTGAAGCTGTACCATTACCATTATTCTGTTTCACCATCCTTATGAAACACAATATGTAGACATGGAACACAATAGTTAAAGAATATCTGACATTATAAATGCTCTTATTAAAATCTCTTACCTTGAACGATATAATTCTACATTAGCATTTTCATATTTTTTTCCTAGCAGATGTGTGAGATATAAGTAGCTGTTTTCTGGCTTCTTCACTGCCTAAAATAAAGGAATTTTGATACTTAATTACTGAAGATATAAACTTTCATAAAGTTGAAAAAGATATAACCAGGCAGGTTATCTCATGGCAAAAATCTTATCTCATATCTAAATATATGAGGCATATTTCAAAACATATTAAAAGGGACAGTTGCCTGATGATCACATTAAGTCTTAAACTTGGAGTAGCAAATTTGAACCATCCAGTTTCATACAACAATATTCAGTATTCAGTAGGCCAAGGCTCAAAGGAGAAAATTATTTCCCACAATTACATTGACTTCTATTGGGCCAAAACCAAATTCTAGTTTACTCTCCAAAAAGTTGATTATCATTTGACATGGCCAAATAACGCAACAAAATGATCAGTTGACTTTTTGAAACTAACTTTGGAGATCTCTCTGCAGCTGAGCCAGTTTTTTGTTCTGTTTAGGCTTGTTAAGCCTTCGTCAGAGCCATAAAATCTCATATATTATATCAGTATTCCAAGGCTGATATTTGAAAACACAAATATAAAGCTTAAAGGGAAACTAATAAAAGAATTTTCGAAGGAGCATCTACTCACAACTCCAAGTGCAGGGTCACTAAAATGGCGTTCATCATCTTTAAAAGCAACAGCATTTGGAGTTTTCCGCCTGGATTCTCTGAAAATTGAAATGTTTATAGCAATAAGAATTACCATAAGTCCACAAATAAGCTGCCACCTTTGAATAAGCTCACCTCAAAAAAGCCACAATCCTAAAGAAATTCTTTTGAAATAAGCCGGCACCCACCCTCAAAAAAGCCCCCAAGAGCAGAGGTACCTAATACAAATATAAAGGTAAGAAAATATAAAGGAAGCTTCATATAAAGGAAGAAAATGTTCCCTGGTAATATGTTTTGCTGCTGCTAAATAAACCCCCCCCCCCTAAAAAAATAATATACATAATATACATATATCTGAAATATGCAAAACTTTATCATGCAATCCTACACATATTCATCTAAAGGCATTTGGATTTAAGTTGTAATAAATTGTTTTTTTAAAGGAAAGAAAATTGCATGTTTGGTAACTTTTGAAACTTGTGGAAATCAGTTGCCTTCAACTGGAATAGCACCATTAAAATTGAAGGAATTTAGGATTAAAATGCTAATAAAAAATGTAGTCAACTTACTTATTTAGAGCAATCTCCATGGGAACACCAGGCTAAAAAATTGCAAAATCTTTGTTATAAAAGATCTACCAAATATTCATAGTTCAAAACAAAACAAGTATGACCAAACTTTCTCTTAGAGTGAGGAGAGTTGCAAGTTCTTTGTATTTCCAGAGAGGTGTACGAATTGTGAGGTGTGGTAACATCGAGAGGAAGGACCAGGACATTGATTGATAAGCATAGCTTTTCAGTGTCCAAAAATTACCTTTGGAAGCTAGGTAGCAAATAACACAACACAATACAATCATTTGCCTAAAATAAAAAAAATTAACTATATACAAAACTTTGCACATACCTTAACTATTGCTACTTTAATCCATTCACTGCCAAGATCAATTGACATAACAGCAATTGATTCTGGAAAAAAGTTTATGAACTTTTGCTATTTGGTTCTGGTTATTTCATGATATAAGCTATATATCTTTTACTTTGATGCAAAGGACATATTGTCATATTGTAGATAGTTAATCATGTTTGATAAATTGTTAAGTTGAATTTGCTCAATTCAACAGATTTTACCCAGCCAATGATAACCAAAAGACCTAGTGTCTCTGGTATTAATGTATGCACCATCTTTGAATTGGAGGAAGGGCAGATTTTGCATTATACTGTGAGCTACAAAGAACATATTTAGGGGTATGTCTTAATAGCTGCCAGAAATATCATAGGCGAAAGCTATTTTTAAACTAGGAGGAAACAAACACCACAAAAATGACAATTACATCCTATTTTTCAAAAGCTAAGATGTCATTATAATACAATTTATACATACCCTTTATTCATGATATTTTTACTTTTCTAAATTATTTCAAAAAATTTCCAAAAACACTTATATAGGTCTTTAATTTTGAATATATGGCAATGAAAAAGTATGATTATAAGCTGGTAACAGATTTTTAACACTTTGCTGCAAACTTCCAATATTTACCCACTCATCATTTCTGGTATGTCTCTTGTTTACAACTTATACTTGCATCAATTTAATTTGCAATAGGCCACAACATCAAAATATATGCAAAACACAAAAATTTTTTTGACTTGATAAATTCTTGTTTTTATGTTTGATTGGTCTCTTTGTCCACTACTGAGAACTGCACTGAAAAATCAACATTCCAATGCTTTTGATAGTTCTAATCAATGGTTTATTAGTGATTGAGAGTGATGGACCTTGGAAGCAGTTAAGAGGCTACTTTTTCTAATCATATGCTTTGAGGCTATCATAAAGAGTTTAAAAAGCGTTATTTTCTTATTTAATTTAGAAGATCATGAATTTTTGATGAAATTAAACAAAATAGACAATGAAAATTCTGTTAGTCCTCTTTAAAGTCTCTGTTTATGAATTACCTAAATAAACAGCAAAATAAAGGACTGAAAGTGGTAGCAGAAATATGCCATTATCTTAATATATATGAACTGGAGGCTTATGTTGTAGTTCAAACTAAGCAAATGGTATAAATTGTTGAATCATTAATGTATACTAACCTGTCTCAGGCAGTACCACTAAAAGTGCTAATAATGAAGCTAAAATCTTGGCTAAAAGTAACTTTTCCCCTAACATTTTTGTTGATCAACAATTTCTGAAATGAAATAGAAGTAAATATTAAATTCCCACAAATAATTTAATACTATAATATTAGCAGATAATTCATCCTATGATTTAAAAACAAGTAAAGCATGTATCAAGTAATCATAATAGTTGTTAAGGTGCTGGGAGAGGTATATTACTTTTACAAGTTTTAAATGCAATCACTAGAAGGTCATTCATCCTGTCCTATCATACTAAAATTCATAACTTCCTCAAACAAAAAATCTGTTGTAAACTACATAATTCGAATCTAGGTCAAAGCCTCATCAGAACATAATTGAGATGGTCTTACCTCGTTTTCCTATTAATTGGAAGCAGTTGTGTGACTTTATTCTCCTCAAGAATGTCATCAACACACTGGCCTAAGTTTGTCAAAACTGAAAATGAGACCAATGGAAATTTCTCAGCAAAACTTAGCGCGGCGAGTGCTGATTGGTTGAATGTACCACGTGTATCAAGGATCATGGCTATCGTGTTATTTCGTGAAAGGTGAGTTTTATACCAGTAAAAAGTGGCCAAATCTTAAATTTTACCCAATGGTAGTTATTCTCAAAAAGCTTTAGATTTATATGCTTAGGTAAATTTTTATAATTATTATTATCATTAGGTAAATCTTTGTATAATATCATTAAGCCAAATATAATATTTCAGAAATCGTTAATAGCTTTGAAAAAAGCCAACATTTTACAACTTTCTTGTCCTTTGAATATTAAACGTCAGAAAAAAGCTCCGAAAAAACAAGACTGAAAATATAACAGAACAGAAAATCGTTCTTAAACGTAGCAAAATGATTTTAAATGTCAAAATATTCTTGGTATTGTTTTTCTGGACTGATAATTTCAAAGTTAGTTGATAACAGATCTGGAGAAAGCCCCGGGTTCCCGAAAGGGCCCTTGATAATTTCATACCTGTGTAGGGTAACACAATTCCAGTAAATATTAGGTATCCAGTTTAAAATATTTAAAATTAAGTCCAAAATATTAAGTATGAAAGATTAAACATTAAATATCAAATACTAGATATTACGGGATTTGTTGTTGATTACAATATACTACCAACATATGTGAACAAGAGGATTCTAAAGAATTCAGAGAGCAGAAAAATTGATCTCATTTTCATTCAACGGCAATATTAAGGGCAAGTTACTTCACCACACTGTGTTTGCACCTTCTAGGGGTGCTGGGGGGCTTGAGGGGCTGGGGGTCTGAAGCCCCTACTATTTCTCAAACAGTAGTTTATTTCGTTTATAACAGTGTACTAAATTAGAAGGAATACAATGGGCAGCCCATCCCTCCCCCAAATATGAATTTCGTTCTGATGGCACTGCCTTCGGTTTTAATTAAAGAATTTTTTTATACCACAGAGGTTATCATTTTAAGTTTGTGTACAGGGAAGAATAGTGGTGGTGTGGTTCAGCCTTGTTGGATTCAGGCTTGTCGTAAGTTTTGTCGACGAGGGAGCGATGCATTTATGCATACATTCTGAAACCTGGAATTTGTATGATCTGCTGGCAACGCATATAGCCAGTAATTTACAGCTGACATTAGGAGCAGCAATGTCAGATAGACTTGGGTTTGTGGCGCAAACACAACAAGAAAAATAACTGTCTTAAACATTTTAGATATTTGCAAACGTTCAAGTTATAGCGACATCTATGCTTGTAAGTATTGTTAACATGAAATTAAAAGTTGAAATGATTTGAAAAAACAGTTTTTGACAGTGTACAATTCCAAATATTTTGATCTCTTCTCGTTGTTTTCTAGACACAATTCCTAAAGCATCCCATGCTTCAGCCTCAACTTTCACATTGCTCATATTTCTCACCACTTTGGTCTCCTAGCCGGCTCAGCCCCAGTCTTCCTTTTGTCAGGGGCGGATTCAGGGACGTTCAATGCAATGGAAGTGCATTTCGTTTTTAAACTGATTTAAATCTTTAAAAACCAATGCTACAAGGAATTTATTTGCTCTCTTATAAAATATCATCTGCGGGCAAATACCTTGTGGGACATTCGTTCCATGATTCCCCTTTTTCTCTCAGCTGTTTAGTCAAGATCCATGTATTTACTTCGTGTGACTTTGAGTTATACCTCACACCATATGTGATGTTAAATGAGAGGATTCGTAGAACCTCAGGGTTTTGATCATTTGAGCCATTCTTGGCTGTAGCAAAATTTGGTGCTTGAAACGTCCTTTTTTCTAGTTGAAGGGTGAATATTTTTGCTGTTTCGTTTAACAGAGCTCAAAAACACCGAGCATCTTCACAAGTATTTGCCATTAGCAAGTGTTTTTGCATTTCTTGTATCTTCCCCTTGATATTTTATTTTGCAGTTACCCTGAAAATGTTTTGAGCACTCCGAATACTAAAACCAAAACGAATGATCCAATGCCCAAGAATGATCACAGACTTCCAAAACCGTGTTACTTTTTGTTAGAAAATCATCGACAAGCCCCCTCCCCCCTTCAAAAGAAAATGGGAGTTTCTGCAAATTGTATTAGCTTTTAACAAAAAAGGGGGCTGTTTCAAGAAAAAAACACAAGAGGGGGATAATTTTATTGGCTTTGACGTTAACCATAAATGTGAGTATTCCGAAAAAAGCCTTAAAAGACTCATTTATTGCCAAAATTTAGTCCATATTTCCAAAACGGCGATGCTTGCAAAATTTTGGTTTTATTTGTTTATATGGTTTTGTTTATCAGATTAAGACTCAATACAATAATAAAGATTTGTTGTCTATGCGAACAGGGTCCAAAAATGACACTAAAGCTCTTTAAAGTTACTTGGTTAGCTTTTATAAGAATATTCTTATTTCCTCAAAGCATATCCACGCCTGGAATCTCTTTTAAAAAAAGTAGTCTTACCAATCACTCGTATTAACATTCATATGCTCATGCAGCCATGACGTAATCATTATGCAGTTATTTCCTATGCAAGACATAAACTTTATCCGCATCTTGCGATTATAGAAACTTATGGAATTTTATATCTGAGTTGCAAAGATACATCAAGCCTTCTCTGGAGATATGGCAGATGTTGGGTTAACGTAGTTTCAAAATATTAGCAATAACTTATACCCTGATCAACAAAACTAATTGCTGTCGAGATGCATCAAAGCACTACTACAAAATTAAGTGCTGCATGACATCTATTTGAGATAGTACTTTTTCATGAATAAGAGAGTTAAAACAGAATTGAAACAAGAAACCAACCAAAAATAAGGCGCAAATTCTTATTTGAATTGATACCATAACAACACAACGGACCAATGCAGTTAGATTGAAAACTGACAGCCTTCAAGAACGCTTTCCGGAGTTCATACAGCTCAGGATATTGAACAACCAAATCATATTTCTTTACGTTGCATCTTGTTCACATTGCTTTCAAAATTACTATAATAAAAATCACAAAGTAAGCTACCAATATTTGAAATTACAATACCTTGAGGAGCAAAGAAAAAGACTTGAGCAAGGGTTTGATGCAAATATCAAAAACTACGAAATGATGCCCTTATGCTAACAATCCACTGAATATAAAGGGAAATAGCAAAGTTCAAGACGAAATAAAAATCAGGCTGTTTGTTGCGCTCAAAATAAAAGTTTACGTGACAATAATGATTGCAAAAATGTATTCACCTAATTCCTGGTCCATCTGGTATTGGGTTTTCGTATGACTGTGGGCCTGCTACTGTTTAAGCTCCAGCTTCGGCATCTTTTTTCAGCTTCTTGCTGCTTTCATCATCCATTTTAAACTTTTACATCTATAGGAAGGATAAGGAATTTACTTCCAAAAAAATAAAACATATATTCAACTGCCATCAGCAGGGGCGTACCTACCGAGGGGTGTGGGGGATGGTACACCCCCTCCCCCACTTTTGGAAAGTTGGTCGGTAAATTTTACGGATGGTCGGTAAGTGTTATGGATTGTGTATCTTGATAACACGTGGAAGGATCTCATTTGCTCGTTGTTTCTTCACAGGACAGACTTTAGAACAAGACACCCAATCGTATAATGAAAATCTTATTCGATCTAAAACAAGTTAATCATGAATATAAGTAAATACAAAACGTCTTACAGCGGCTATAAACTGAATAATTGGAATGGAGACTGAATACAGAGGTACAATAAAATAAATTTACTTACTTATGGTGATGTCTCTAAATTGTCTTCGATAAACTGGTTTCTGGTTAAATACTATTCCTGGTTAGCATGCGGTAACGATCGTGTCCTATTTTCCAACATGTGAATACTACTAACTAAAACTAATTTTCATAAGAATAAAGCACAGCGGGATAATAATAATGTCCTGTAAGAATATATAATCAACGAAACATCCTCCGCCCCCGATAAGGGCGTGGTCCTTATAAAATATGTAAAGTTATTTATTCATATCCTTCTGCTGGGCATATAACTGTTACCTTTGTCACTGGGCGACTGTATTCTCCTGTTGCTGTTTTTACTTTGACATTGCGCACTCGTCCATCAGATCCCGAGAATTCTTCAAGGATTCTTCCAATGTTCCATTTACCTCGGATTGCGTTACTCTCAGCAACAATAACTGTGTCATTAGGTTGGAGATTGCGGCGGTCCATGAGCCATTTCTTTTGTGGAACGAAACATCTCGTATCCATCGTTTCCAGAATGATCTGACAATTTTTTGAACAAACTCTACCCTTTGACGTGGATCTTTAGTTTCTTGAAATGGGCCTTGAGGTACTTGTGGGGTAGCTCTTCCTAGCAGGAGATCGTTTGGACATAAGTAGGCTCCATCATCTGGATCATTTGGAATTCTTCCAATTGGGCGTTGGTTCAACAAGTTTGCAACTTCCATCAAACAAGTGTATAATTCAAAGGGTCTCAAAATTTGTTCACCAATCGCGCTTTTTAATGCTCTTTTGCTGCTCTTTACAAGTGCTTCTGCGCATCCATTTTGGTGTGGTGCTGACGGTGTGATCAAAATCCAGTTTATACCTCTCCCTGCACAAAACTCGTGAAGTTGGTCAGTGTCGAATTCTCCTATCATCTCTCCTATGCACCTATGCGAATTCCCCTATGCACCAACCATCTGTGTTCCATTGTCACTCAAAATTACTGCTGGATAGCCTCGAATGCAGAAAAATCTTCTCAGTACTTGTAAAAATTCCATTGTAGAACAATCTGTTGCTAGCTCTAGGTGAACTGCTCTTGTACTCAAGCATGTAAATATGACACCATAATGCTTTGCCGTTTTATTACGTCCAATTCTAACATTGTACGGTCCAAAATAATCACATGCTGTGTAGTAGAATGGTGGTGTTTGCGGTGTCAGTTATATTGCAGGAAGGCTTCTCATTTGTTGTTCTTCTGCTTTGTGTGCCAATTCTCTGCAGAACACACACTTGAATTTAACAGATTTGCTTATTTTGTTGCCTGTAAGTATCCAATATTTCCTCCTTATCTTTGCTGTGGTTGTTGCAACTCCGGTGTGTCCGTGTTGGTGTACGTGTCTAGTTATCAGCAGTGAAATCCTATGATAACTTGGCAGTAGGGCTGGATGTCTTGTCTCATAAGACAATAACGCTTTATCTGCTCTGCCTCCAACTCTAATAACCCCATTTTCGTCAACAAAAGGACTGAGTGACTTGAATTCACCTTTCTTTAAACGGTTATGTAAGCTTTTTTGTACATCTTTGATCAGAAACAACTCTGATTTCTGGAGTTCTTCGGGTTTCAGTGGTCCATATTTAAATGGTACATGACATTTCAGGTGTCTGATATTTTCAGCTAATCTTTGATCCATGCATAAACTCGTATAAGCTTCGGCCAATTGGAGACTGTGCCATAATTGATAACATTTTCAGGCTTTGTGTTTATCGACAAACAGACTTTTGTAGCTTGACGACGTTCACTGTCTTCTTTGACTGGTGACGGAATAGCTTTTGTTGGCCATAATCCTTCCGCAGTTAGCAAAAACTCTGGTCCGTGCATCCATCTTCCGTTCAGTTCATGTACATGACTCCCTCGTGACAGCTCGTCTGCTACATTGTTTTCCCCAGGGATGTGTTTCCACTGGCTAGGGTCTGAATTGCTTCGAATCTCTTCTATCCTGGATGATACAAATGGTTTGTAACTGCGTGATGGACTTTGAATCCAAGCTAATGTTATCGAGCTGTCTGTGAAGAAATCAACATCCTTGAATTCGATCCTTGATTCTTCTTGAATCGTTTTTGCAAGACGTGATGCAAGGACAGCAGCTTGTAACTCCAAGCGTGGTATGGTTAGCTGTTTTAGTGGTGCAACTCTTGTTTTGGCAGCAACGAATCTAATACCAAATTTGCCATTCTCAATCTTCTGTCGAAGGTATGCACATGCTCCAAAGGCTTCTTATGACGCATCTGAAAACAAACACAATGATGGTTTTTCTGTAACATCTGTTGTTAGCAATGGTCTTTTGAAAGAAATATTGTTGAGCCCTTTCATCTCTTTAAACAGTTCAATCCATTTCCCTCGCATATTTGTAGGAATTTCTATATCCCAATCAATTCCAGTCTGCCATAGTTCCTGTATTCCAATCTTAGCTCTGATAATAAATGCAGCAGCCAATCCGATTGGGTCGTAAATCTTTGCAACTTCAGACAGTAGTCTTCTTTTGGTTAGTTTTATCTTCTCTGTTAGATACTTTTCTTCATCAATGAGTTTCATCAAGTCAGAGTCAACTTTAAGTGACAGCGTATCTGACTTTCTGTTCCAAGAAATTCCAAGTACTTTCTCATCTGCTTCTTCTTCCAACATATTGTTTGCATCTGACTCTACTGTATGCTTGCTGTTTTCATGCAGTTCTTTGTTTGAAATCCATCCTTTGACTAGGAAACCTCCGCTCTTCAGAACAAAATCTATATCCTCTGCTAGCTTCTTTGCTTCTTCTACCGTTTCCACTGATTCACATATACCATCCATGTAAACATTTTCTGTCAGCACCTTTCCAGCTTTCGGTTTGATTCCTTTACATTCTTCTGCAGTCTTTCTCAAAGCAATCTGTGCCATCACTGGAGCTGGTTTGTCCCCAAATGTAAGAACTGTCTTGACATAAACATCAGGCTCTCTGTGTGTCTCTAAATTACGCCAGAGAAATCTGTGTACATGCTGATCTTGTTCTGGTATCAATATTCGATGATACATCTTTGATTTGTCACCAATCAATGCTACTTCTCTTTCTCTGAAACGCAGACTGACTCCAAACAGGTTATTCAATAAGTCTGGGCCTTTCATCCAATAATCGTTGAGTTAATGACCTTGAAACACTGAGGATGAGTTGAACACGATTCGGACAGGTTTGCTTTTCTTCTCTGGTCTTAGTATTGCATGATGGGGGATGTAATGCATGGGGCCTTTATATACTTTTAATTCGTCAGTTGTCAATTTACGTGAAAAGTTAATTTCCTTCAGTTCTCTCATTTGCTTATAATAAGCTTCTGCTTGTTCGGGTTTAATCTTCAATCGACGTTCCATTGATTCTAAACGCTTCACTGCCTGTTGTTTATTGTCAGGTAGAAGATTGGGATCCTTTTTCCATGGATATGGAACTAGCCATTGGTTTTCCACCTTAACACACGATTCTGCAATGATTCTGGCCTCTTCCTTCTCAGTTTCATTCAGTTTGTCTGCAGTGCATATGCATTGCTTCATATTAACTCATTGATTCCGTGGTCCAAAAAGCAGCAAGGTCAACTGATTCTGTATACTTCACATGAAGTATGCTTGTTACCTCACATGTCTCTCCTGGTCTTGCTCCAAAAAAACCCATCCAAGTGGAGACTGTCAGGCCATCAAATGGCCAGCTTGCCTTGTTTTACCTGAATGCATGAAAGCATCATCTATGCCGATTAACAAGTCCACTGGACCACTTCCTCTTCTCACCTTTTCTGCTTGCAGTCCGAAAATTTCTTGCAGTCTTGATGTGTTGACAGATCTAATACCATCACTTATTACTGGAATGCCAATTGCCTTGACTGAATACTGTTTGTGGTCATTGATTTGGGAAACTGTAACGGTATATTTCTTTGTTTTTAATGTTTCTTCTTCTCCACCAGCTTTTGTAATGTTGACTGATACATCTTGACCTTTAAGTCCTAGTTTTTCAACTGTATCAAGCTGTATTTGACGTATCAAGCTGATTTGTGCTCCTGAATCTAACAATAAATTTCCTCGATTGAAGAAACCTCTTGAATTGGAAATGTTTACTGTAATAACTGGAAGGATTGCTTCTCCGTCATCAGATGCGATGGCAACTCCGACTCCTACTGTGCCGTTTTCCTCTTTGTACAGAAGATGATGATGGAAACCGTTGCAACGTATACCATTTTTAACGACTGGACATTGCTTGCGACGGCTACAGTTGGCGGCTTTGTGATCTCTTCCAGCTTTTTTCAGGCAGCTAAAACAAACATGATTCTCTCTGGCAACTTTGTGACGGTCATTCACATTGAGCCCAGCAAACTTTATACATTGATCTGGCCAGTGTGAAGAGTTTCAGCAAAGCCAGCATTTGTGTCTTGTTAGTATGTTGCGGTTGCTGCTTTCGCTAGGGACATGAGTGACGGTACGCTTGTGAACAAATGTTGATCTGATTGGTGCTGTAGCACGCATACGAGACTTCATCTCCACTGTCATCCATAACATTAATGCTTGTAAAGTTGGAACTTTTTTCTCTTGCTCCAGGTAACGTGCCCATATTATTCTGTCATCAGCACACATTTTTTGCTCTGTGATTGAAAGCATATGACTATTGTCAATATCACTTGGTATACCGACTTCCTTCAACGTGTTGTAGCATCGTTTGACTACGTGCACTAAATCACAAAAACGGACATCTTCACCATCCTGCAGTGGTCTGAATTTGGTAATATCTTGTGTGATTGCATCTGATACAAAACGAGGGTCTCCATAAATAGCATCCAAATACTCCCATGCTGCATCATAATCGGATCCAATTCCTTTAATCAATTCCAAAGGCTTATCTTTCAAACAGGTACGTAGCAGTGTAATGGCGTATCTTTTGGTGTATCGAGCCTCGATTGCATGTTTAAAGTCAGAACGAAAAATTGCATATTCTCTTACATCACCTGAAAATGATGGAATTTTTTGTCTTTGTCAACACTGCCCTCACTTGTTTCTCCTTGCATCATTGACTGCATATTTGGAAATCCATCAAACGGTTTTGGGTTTCCACTCGGGGGGTTCTCGCGAGAATTTCTTGAAAATACTGACGCTGTTTCCGATACTCCGTCTTCGTCTTCGCTTGAAATTTCCATCAATATATCAATACATTGCTTTGCCTTAGTTTTAATTTTCATAAATGAGTCCTGGCATTCCGCTAACCATCTTTCCTCTACTTCATATTCATCGTCATCCTCGATTAGGTTTTTAAACTCCTCGTGTTTTTGCACTAAAAGTTCAAACGCTCCTTTACATTTATCCAAAAGTTCTTGTACCTCGTTTACCGGTCTTTCATTAGCGATTACGTGATCTAAAGCTTTCAAGGCTCGAGTAAAAGCTCCTTTCGCAGTTCTTCGGTCGATTTTACCCCGTTTCAACTGTTCAGCTTCCGCCATGGTTCCTATCACTATTCGCTCGGTTTACAGTTCTCACTTTCTTCGACAATTTAACATAAATCGAATGTATGTTTCTTCACAGGACAGACTTTAGAACAAGACACCCAATCGTATAATGAAAATCTTATTCGATCTAAAACAAGTAAATTATGAATATAAGTAAATACAAAACGTTTACAGCGGCGATAAACTGAATAACTGGAATGGAGACTGAATACGAAAATACAATAAAATAAATTTACTTACTTATGGTGATGTCTCGAAAGTGTCTTCGATAAGCTGGTTTCTGGTTAAATATTATTCCTGGTTAGCATGCGGTAACGATCGTGTCCTATTTTCCAACGTGTGAATACTACTAACTAAAACTGATTTTCATAAGAATAAAGCACAGCGGGATAATACAAAGCAACTTGTCAGCATAATAATAATGTCCTTTAAGAATATATAATCAACGAAAAACTCGAAATTGACAAGACCATATTGATGAAACAGTTTAAATTCACAATATATAACTGTAGAATAAATTATACATTGACTAGCAAGATTTGAATTTTGGTTGGTATATTCACCCGTTTACAGCCCCCCCTCCCCCCACTCCAAATCTTCAACGTACGCCCCTGACCATCAGTCTTAGCAAAGCAGCAACGGAATGGATTCTGATTTTACCAGAAGATTGCTCCGTCCTGTTGCCTTAGGCAAAATATTCATTAATTTATTTACATTTGAGTAACATCAATATTATATTCAGGCAACGTAGCAAGAAAGCCTTTGGATATAAAACGCCCAGTCTATATATACACAGGTTAAGAAATACCGGGTGCTACCTCAATGATTGAAAGTGTATTAAAAATGAAGGAAAAGAGAAAAATGAAACCGATGACACAAATAACACCAGAATCACAACAGCCCTTCTTTGGAGATCAGAATTCCAAATTGATGCAAACCACTCCCTATAAATAATATGCAACCGGAAGATCCCTTCAAATAACGAAAAGGCGAAGGGAATTTCCAGCAGCGCACACAGAAGAAAATACAAGATATACGTAGCAACCGGGAGTTCCCTTTAACCAAAAAAATTGCCGCGCTCATGCTACAAACAGACACGCGGACACATGAAACATACGTTTCAAGGACAAGCAAACACAAACGTGTACCAATACAAAAGACAGATTTGCAAGATAGACATTTTTTCGAAGTAGTGTGAAGAAAATCTTAGAATGAGGGTAGCAAGACGAAGAAATCGTTCAATACTAACTGGGAGGGGAGAACATGAGGACCCTGTTCCTGAATTTGAAGGTAAGGAAAATTCATACATTATCAAGACACGGTTGACGAAAACCTTCTTGGAGGTCTTCCGCAACTTTTTCTTTGCTATTATTTGTCAAAAGCATTTTAAGATAATGCCAAATGTTTGAGTTCAAATTTACGCGCCAGCCTGTCCGACATTCAAGAAAATACCGCTGATCGAAATGGCGAACAAATTTAACCATTATTTGGCATTGATGCCATATGTCATCATTGGCTTTAAAGGGCCACTCCAGCCCAAAAATTTTTTCTGAGATTTTTGCATAAATTGGTAGTTAGTCGAGAAAAAGAAGCTATCGTGAATTTTTTTTTTCGAAAAGCTTAACTCGTTTTCCAGATATAGACGCTCAAAGTTGAGAATCACCGTAAAAATACGACAAAATTTTTTTCGGAAAAAGTACCTTGTGACGTATGAATGGGACCATTGTTTCAACATTCGGCGCTATTGTTATATGTTCGCACTGAAATTCGCACGACTCGGTAGTGGCTCGGAAGAGGCGATTCATGTCGGAATCTCGGTTGTCGTTTTATTTATTTTCCTTCATTGCGATTGATGTTCAGCGGAGGCTTCCAGCCAACATGGACTAGTAATTCGACAAATCAAAGATGGAAGCTTCAACCTGAACGCATATCCTCATCTTGGCAACGCAGCAAGCTTTTTAATATGGAATGCTTCACGAATTTTCAGATGTGAATGGATTTCTGACCGAAGGCATTTCTTATCGTCGTGTCATCTCAGGAATTTCCAGGGAGCTGAATAATAATTGATGTCTCACCGCATTAGAAGAAGAACCCCATTCACAAGATGGAAACTTTCCCGTAAGTCACAATTCATCCTTATTATCATTTTACTATGTTGAATGTTAGGCCAAACTGCAGGGTGTAGAGGTTTGGAGGGGGTTTGGGGATGGTGTGACACGCACCCCCTAAGCAAAGCAATTTGCCAGGCTTTGAGAAAAACTTCGTACTCTAAATACAAGTTTTCTAACAGTCTTGTGAACTGTCCCCCAAATAGTCAGAAATGTGGTAATATGAAAAGTACAACAGGGGCTCTCAAGCAAAATGTCACATAAAATAGTACCAAAAGTAGAAGTTTGCTCCTCTTTTGTACCAATAAGGGGGCCTGAGCCTCCTAGCACTACATCCCTGCCAATGATCTGTGCACTACACCTTTGCCCGAGGTATAGATGTGTAAAATTTCCCAGGGTTTGTCTGATGTTTCCCTGAACCCTTTTTCTTCATGTTCTACCATGTTCTGCCTTCAATTTTGGAATTCTGCCTATTTCATCATAGAATTGATGCACAATTTCAAAATTTTGCCAGATCAATATCCAGGGCAAAAGATCTACTACTCCACCAAAGAAAAAACATGGAATTTACACCCTTGGTTTTGGAAAAAAGATGTGTCATATCCTCATTCTAATGTTTTAAAGGCAGAATTGTTTATATTTGTTAAAATTACCTTTGCTATTCTAGCATTGATTCATATAAGCATGGCCTATATCATTTAAATTCATCTTTGTGTTACTTCAAGTTAATATCCTTAGATGCTATTTGCTATAGTAACAGTGGTTGCCCTTTAACCCCTAAATTTCTCTTTGATCCTTTTAAATATCTATACTCTGAATGCCCCTGAGTGTCCAAGTTTCTTTGATCATTTTATGTTTTAATATGACTCAAAAGTAAATTTCACTGGTATGTTAGTATTTATCCCTGTCAACCTTATTATTCTAGGCATAAAAAGGTAACAAACTCTTTTATGGTTCAGCAGAAAGGATCTTGCAAAAAAATGCTAGCTGAAGGTTGGAGATTACATGCATTCTGTTATCTGGCTACTGGCTTTGTGGGAGTGATAACTTGCCCCTCTCTTCCATGCAAGAGTTACCACAAAGACCTCAACACATTATTCTGTTTTTGTATTAACATTTTTACAAAGGAGACTATTTTTAAAATTATCAAAATTTTATATATAATTTGGTCATATCTATATAATGTTTGTGAATCAACAGTTATTATTTAAAACTAGTAACAACCTATAGGTATTTTCTAGAAATTTTGCAATAGATTATTGTTTCATGATACTTTTATAAGAACATTTCTCATGTGCAATAGAAATAACAAATTTCTAGATAGTTCACTGGCCTGATTGTATAGATATTTGAATATATTATTCAATGTAGCCAAGTATTTAAATACATCAAACATGTATTTATTATTCATAAATATAGCAGGTTGAAATTCTGACAGCTTAAAGAAGCTGACAAGGCCCCTGTAATAGCTTTAAGGTTAAATACAAAAATTATATTTACACAAGTATATTGAAAAAGTTGAATTATTAATATAATCTCAAATCCCTTTTTTGTTTGTATAAAAACAAATTTATAATTTTTGAAAAAGTTGTTTGACTCATGACTAATGGTAGGTTTTTAGTCTTGTCTTGAAAGTTTGTATACTTTCTTGTCCATGCCCTCGATTGTCCTGGTTTATTTCTAATAAGTCATAGTCATGTTGATATGAAGCTCTTTATCCTAATGAATATGTGGTATCAATTCATACAGCTTTCATTCCCGGTATACTGGTTTTGTTTTGGTCTTTCCTCTCGAATTAATTGCGCGATGATTTTTTCAGCTGTTGCACTAAAGGAAGAGCTTATGAAAAAGCGCGAATCTTCTTTTTAAAATCAGGGAACTGGCCTGCCAATATAAATTGCTTCAAGAGCAACATTCCACGAAAGTCTGTCAACATCCTCATGTCTCTGTCTCGCTGGCCTACTTTGACAATTTGACTTCTCTGTCAGAAAGATTCGTGCGATAAAAAACTTCCATATTCGATCAGAATATCAAGACTGATGAGCGATACTTCTCTCTTTATATCGATTCCAGATAAAAGTCTGGCCTACTAACAAACATGCCGCTGCTAGGCCCTGTCTGCCATTTCGCTAGGTTCTCGTTGACCCTTTGGACAGCCGATGATACTTGCCGCGAACTTACCGAGGCCTAAAAAGCCTGTGACGTCAATCCGGAGATCTCCGATAACACGGTTGAAAAACAATTCAACTCAATGACCATTTTACAAACGCTAATAACTACAAAACGGTTAGAGATATGAAAAAAATAATAACAGATTCGTTTTCAGGAGGTCTGATTACATCGTGTTCTGAAATAAAAATTTTGGGCTGGAGTGGCCCTTTAATGGTTTTTTGTGGTAAGCCTCATTGTCAAAACGAGGTCTTTTTTGTGTCTATCGTTGACTAATACATGAAGCACTACACTCACGAGGAGAGGACTGGTCTACCTAAACTTTCTTTGACCGATTTTTACAACGTGTCTCCGGAAGAAAAGTTACAAGGTGAGTTCTGCCTTAACTTGCCTCCATGTCTTGTCATCATTCTGGTCACCTTTATTCTCTTGAAGATCATACTTTTTTCTATTAGCTTTAATAAGTGGTGATGGCTAAAATTTCTCATCTGGCTTAAAATACAGGTCGATATATTTATGATGCCATACGGCATCATTGCCAAGGATTGGTTACCTTTCTCGGTTGATCAGCTGACTTTTATTTCATTGAAATTGTGTAAAATCGAGTCAAATTATGAGCTTATTTGATTGATAATCCAGATCCTAAGGAGATTATTGAATTTCTACTAATATCTTGCATCTTGTGGAAGAATGTTTACAGGGAAATTGACTTTGGCCTAGTTATGAATATGATTCCTATGATGTTTGCCATCTCTGGATATGCCAGAATATCCATCAGCTGTTATGAGTTTGGAAACGAGCCTGTTTGGAAATTTACCTTGTAGTTTTTATCTTGATATTCTTATAATATGTGAAGTTTTATATTACTGGTCTAAATTTCTTGTTATAGATAGAAATGAACAGAAACCAGTGTTACAACTTTGAGGATGCTTTGAAACTAATAACTGCTGATGATTCGGATGTATCAGATTTCAGTTATGATACAGATACTGAACACCTCAGCCAAATTTTAGCCATCGAAGATCAGGAAGCCAAATCTTCAGATGAAGAAGAACATGATGAATCAAATGAAGAAACTTCTAGGAAGAAGCATGTTTATCGTTGGAGGAAAATGGATGTTCCACAAATGAATGATGAATTCAAAGGAAACTTTTCAGAGCCCCCTGAAAACTGGACACCATATGACTATTTCAAAAAAATGTTTACTGATAAAACTGTAAAACTAATAGTGGAGCAAACTAACCTATATAGTGTGCAGAAGACAGGCTCAAGCATCAATGTTACTGAGGATGAGATTTCTTCATTCATTGGAATGCATTTGCACATGGGCATTGTGAAATTGCCATCATGTACCAGCTATTGGGCAAAGAATCTTCGGTATCATCAAATTGCAGATGTAATGCCACTAAAGCGCTTCACTAAGATAAAGAGGTTTATGCATTTTGTAGACAATGACATGTCAGAGGGACAAGCAGACAAATTATTCAAGATAAACCCCATTATTGATGCAGTGCGTGATGAGTGTAGAAAGATTGAGCCAGAGGAATTCCAGACAGTGGATGAGCAAATCATTCCATCAAAAACAAAATATTCAAAGATACGCCAGTACAACCCAAAGAAGCCCAAGAAGTGGGGCTTCAAGAATCTAGTGCGGGCAGGTGGATCTGGAATAATGTATGACTTTTTCATTTATGCTGGGAAGGATTCAAATGAAGATCCACAATACAATCATCTCTCAAAAAGTGCCCAAGTTGTTGCAAAGTTGTGCAAGTCACTGCCATGTCACATGAATCATAAAGTTTTCTTTGATAATTGGTTCAGCACAATGGAACTGATGCGCTACATGAAGAATCAAGGGTTGTTGGCTGTAGGGACAATCAGAGCAAATCGCCTGCAAGGTTGTCCACTTCAATCAAATAAGGATCTAGAAAAAAATGGAAGGGGTTCCATGGACTATAGGGTAGATGCTAATTCTGGCATTATAGTTGTAAAATGGGTGGACAATAGCACAGTGCTTTTGGTTTCCAACTATGTTGGCGTAGAACAAATTGGTGCCATTGAGAGGTGGAGCAAAGAATCAAAGGCCCGAAAAGATATACCCTGTCCATACATTGTTATTATGTATAACAAAAGTATGGGTGGGGTAGACTTAGCAGATATGCTCATTGCTCTGTACCGCATTGAAGTGAAAACCAAAAGGTGGTACATTAAAGTTTTCTGGCACCTTGTTGACATTTGCAAAGTAAATGGATGGCTTCTTTACAGGCGCCATAGCAGACAGCTAGGTTTGCCAGCAGCAAAGCAAAAGCCTTTTCTACAGTTTTGCACTGAGATTGCCACAGCTCTTATAAATATAAAGAAAGCACCCCAATCCAGTCGTTTAGGACGACCAACAAAACACCCAAGCACAGAAGCAAATTCCCATGGAGGAAAGAGAGCAGCACAGCCAACTCCAATTAATGATATCCGATATGATCAAACCGGACATTGGCCCCTTCCATCAGCTGATAAGAAGCGATGCAGAGTTTGCCAGTCATACTCAAGAATGACTTGCGAAAAATGCAAAATTGCCCTTTGCTTGATTACCAGTAGAAACTGTTTCAAAAAGTTTCACACAGACAAATAACTGAATTTCCTTTAATTTCAATGATTAATTGTACAACCAATATTGCCATTGTAATAGTCTTTTGTATTTGATAACAGGAGATTGAAATTTTTTTGAACATTCTATCACTACAGTTTCTTAACCGTTCTTGGCAATGATGCCGTTTGGCATCATGCTAATATTTCCATAAAAATTAAGATAAAATTAAAAAAATTTTTGATTTTCTGTTATTTTGCAAGGAAATGAGCATATAAAATGTTTGAGGAATTTTTCTTTGCTAAAATGATAATTTACCAAATAAAGGGTTAAGAGTGGTTTTGGTACATTTTTAGAGACAAATATGAGCAATCAAGAAATTTTATGAAAATTTCATCGCAATAACACTTACAAATATCAGGCGAGGTACTTTCCATTCAAAACAGTTAAATAACCAAGTAGGTCTAGAATCCTTGGTATTGAAATTTGTGGCCTCAAAGTTGCAGCGAAATTTTATGTCCTGCTTTTTTTTAGGAGTTATGTTTTCCCATCTTTTTCGATAGGTTTGACACCAGAATTGCCATAATTTGACCAGCAAAAGTGTGTTTAATCAGAGTTTGAAATTAGGTAGTGCTTGCGAATCAAGGCCAGTTTGTGACGTCACAGTGATGAGTCTGGTCGACAGCAATCAGAAAACTGCGGTTGTACAGAATAGGTTATAGTGAGGGAGATATGAAGAAGAATTGTGCAAATTGTGATACAAGCACCAAAATTTCAGAAAACAACAAAGTTTGATACGCTAAAAAAGATGTGATATAAACCCAAATCATATCTTGCCCATCAGATCCATATTTAGACTGGGGTACTGAGGTCAAGACCCCTAATTGTATCTTTGGTCATAAAGGGGAACGCCAGGCCATAGAAAGTTGAAATTCACAATATAAAGGCAGTTTAACGAGCCGAAAAAGATGTAAAATAAACCCAATTCATATGATGCCCCTAAATTCTATTTTTAGACTGGGGTACAATTTTCAGTTCGGGTCCATATCCTATCTTTTTCAGCGTATCAAACTGTCCATTATTGCAAAGATTCATGCCAGATTCATTTCAATTTGCCCAATTCGACCTGACTCGTTTCGCCTCGACTCATCACTGTGACGTCACAGCGGGAAATAAAATTTCGCAACGCAACTGCAAAATATGCATACTTTGACACTCAATAAAAAAGAACCATTTAACTTATCAGAATTCTGTTTTTTGTTTAAGAACAAGGGCGAGGGATTCAATAGATTTCTTTTAAAATATTGGTTCGATATCCAATCTTTTTCTGCATGTCAAACTGCCTTTATATTGAGCATTCCAAGTTTCTATGACCTGGCGTTCTCCGTTTGTGGCCAGGGGTCTGGACCAGAGTACCCCAGTCTAAAAATAGAATTTAGGGGCATCATATGAATTGGGTTTATTTTACATCTTTTTCGGCTCGTTAAACTGCCTTTATATTGTGAATTTCAACTTTCTTTGGCCTGGCGTTCCCCTTGATGACCAAAGGTACAATTAGGGGTCTTGACCGGAGTACCCCAGTCTAAAAAGGGATCTGATGGGCAAGATATGATTTGGGTTTATATCACATCTTTTTTAGCGTATCAAACTTTGTTGTTTTCTGAAATTTTGGTGCTTGTATCACAATTTGCACAATTCTTCTTCATATCTCCCTCACTATAACCTATTCTGTACAACCGCAGTTTTCTGATTGCTGTCGACCCGACTCATCACTGTGACGTCACAAACTGGCCTTGATTCGCAAGCACTACCTAATTTCAAACTCTGATTAAACACACTTTTGCTGGTCAAATTATGACAATTTTGGTGTCAAACGTATCGGAAAAGATGGGAAAACATACCTCTTAAGAAAAAGCAGGACATAAAAATTTCGCTGCATAGACACTTTAATCTGTCGTTATGACTGTCTACTGCTGATTATTCTTTATTTCAACGTTATAAATTTCAACACAACTGCAAAAAATCTTGAGCACATTGGGCAATATGAACAAGGACCGCGGAGCATATTACTGATGGGGGGGGGGGGCTGAAACATTTTGGGGGGGGGGTAAACATACTAAAAACTTAAAACAGGGCGATTTTTGTATGGTTTTCAGCACATTTTTGAAATCATGAAAGCTAAAGCCCCCCGCTTCCATGGTCCCTGAATATGAATGCTGTGGATGAATAGTTATTTAGAGGTAACAAATAATGTCTTAAACAGCTAAACAAAATTCTAAAGTGTTGCATAGATCAATTTCAGTAAAGAAGATTATTTGACTTTTATGTGCCACTCTTTGTGAAAAGACGTTGTAACAATTGAGAATACGAACTTACAAAAATGAGTGGCTTCATTCTCTTCGCCTCCTTCTTGCAAAAGTTCAACAAAAATACATCATATTTGTAGCGCAGAGAAGAAGTCCTAACCATAGGTCTCGTTATTCTAATGTACTGTAGATATAGAGAATGTTATGCAGCATCTATCGATAAAAAGAAAAACTGAGAGGTTAACAAAGAATAAAAAGTTGGTAAATATAAAAAAAACACTAGGAAAAACCTAATTGGAATACATTCACATCCTTATGCTTATAACTGTTTGTAGTGAAATTTCTTTACCAGCAACAGATCAACGTATTGTATTGCTAGCATTACAATAAAAATGCTATGACGAAATCATTCGTTTTATAGTAAAGAAGCTGATACGAAAAAGACCTCAGCAAAGACAACAAGAACTAAATAGGTAAGAATTTAATGCTAATAACATGCTGAAAAAAAGTTTCAAAATCATTTTCAAAAAACCAACGGAAAATACGTTACAAAAATCCCTATTGACAACAAGCTAGAAATTCTAAATTTAGTTTGTGTTATACAAATATTGGGTATATTTGACAACCAAAAAGATATATGACATTTCAGCTGCATTAACAGCTAGTTTATGTCTTCAAAAGCAAAACTAATTGAGCAAAAGCAATTTCCTTGTTACAATCTTTAAAGTCTTGCGCAAATCAGTTTCATTAAAAAATACTATTAGACTTTTTCTTGGACTTAAGATGTTGTAGGAATTCAGAATATGACGTCACAAAAATTTGTGGTTTGATTGTCACCCAATATCATCTAGCAAAAAAAGCAATAATGCTGCAAACCATGTAATATTATTTGCAGTTCGTATAATACAGACCTGTTTCTTAACATAACAATTGGGCTGTTAATCGGTTCTTTGCAGCTAGACGTCAAGTGCTTGGTTACCACATAGAAACGCCATACTGGAGAACATGCGATCCAACGGCCTAAACGTAGACAATACGATCGTCGTATGCAGATATGACGACAATTTGGTAGAAATTATCAGTCACCCTCAACCTAAGAGATAAACAATGCATTCAACATGGTTAACATCGAGATATAAGTTTATAAGATTTCATTTAGATTAACAAATAGCGTTGCTAGCATTACAGAAAAACTGCTATGATAAACTGTTCCTTTTACAGAGAACATGGTGGCAAGAAAAAGAAGCCAGCAACGACAAAACTTAAAGGAGGGTGAGGATGGAGCGATAGTAACAAAACTGAGATTTTTTACGAAATAAATAACAAATTCCCGATTACTGTCAAGCTTAAAAGAAGAATATATTCCGCTTCTTATCACTGCCGTTGTAAGATTTTTGAACACTGATAAACGAATGAGTTGAATAGCATTAAAATAAACTGCTATAGTAAATATTTTCCTTTTACAGAAGTCATACTGGCAAGAAAAAAACCCCAGTAAAGAGAAAAAAGGCAAGGTGGGTGAGAATTTAGCACAAAACATTCTGAGATAGTTTTTAAAATTGTATTTACAGAAAAGCAACCGAAAAACGGCAACAAATTTTGATTAATGCCAGGCTTGAAAAACACAGAAATGAATATATCCTGCTACTTATAACTAACTGTCTAAAGGAAAATTGATTTTTGAACACTGATAAACGAATGAGTTGAATAGCATTAAAATAAACTGCTATAGTAAATATTTTCATTTTACAGAGGACATACTGGCAAGAAAATAACCTCAGTCAAGAGAAAAAAGGCAAGGTGGGTGAGAATTTAGCACAAAACATTCGGAGATAGTTTTTTAAATTGTATTTACAGAAAAGCAACCGAAAAACGGCAACAAATTTTGATTAATGGCAGGCTTGAAAAACACAGAAATGAATATATCCTGCTACTTATAACTAACTGTCTAAAGTAAAATTGATTTTTGAATAATGATTCACGAATGACTTGAATACCATGCTATGGTTAATATTTTCCTTTTACAGAGGACATGCTGGCAAGAAAATAACCTTAGTAAAGAGAAAAAAGGCAAGGTGGGTGAGATTTAGCACAAAAAAATACTGAGAAAATTTTTTTATATTTTATTTACAGAAAAGCAACCGAAAAACAACTATAACTTTCCGATGACTATTGTTTCCGATGAGCGTAATCCCGATATAAGGAAATCGGATATAACGAAATTCCCGGAATAACGAACTAAATGTCTGGTCCCTTGGATTCTGCCTAACAAACTCCTTACAAATTCACTCGGTATAACGTGCGAACCCGTATATAACGAACTTCCCGGTATAACGAACTAAATGTCTGGTCCTTTGGATTCAGCCTAACAAACTCCTTACAAATTCTCTCGGTATAACGTACGAACCCCGGATATAACGAACCTCCCGGTATAACGAACTAAATGTCTGGTCCCTTGGATTCTGCCTAACAAACTCCTTACAAATTCACTCGGTATAACGTACGAACCCGTATATAACGAACTTCCCGGTATAACGAACTAAATGTCTGGTCCTTTGGATTCAGCCTAACAAACTCCTTACAAATTCTCTCGGTATAACGTACGAACCCCGGATATAACGAACTTCCCGGTATAACGAACTAAATGTCTGGTCCCTTGGATTCTGCCTAACAAACTCCTTAAAAATTCTCTCGGTAAAACGAGTCCCGGATATATCGAACTCTTGTTATTACAAACCAAATTTTAGGTCTTTTCATCATAATTACCATCGATATAACGAGCTTCTCATATTTGTTTCGTCTGTTAATTTTATTTATTAATTTCCGATGTTCGTTTATCACATTTTTGGGAGAAATCATATTTGTTATCGGCAAAAAATGTTGGTGATACATTTCAAGCCCTGGCTGATAGACCAAGAGCACGAAAAAAAAAGTTTGATTGCGGCAGAAATTACACTGACACTTACGAATACTTTCTTACATATGAGACATTGGCAATGAGCGACGAAAACATTTTTTTTGGGAGAAGCAGAAGAAGTCAAATAATAATTTGAAATAATCGAAGACATCGTTCAGCTATCTACTAGATGCGAAGTGATACCAGCTTTGCCAATTTCTGGGCGCCAAATTTCAAGAGGAACATCAAGATTGTCATTTTCGATGATTTACCATTAGAAGTATTTGAATTTAGTTTGGTTTTTTGGAGTTAAATGTGCACGGAAGTTGGAGATGCCCACAGAAGGTTTTTAGGCGTGTACTGCGAAAAGACCTAAGAAAACTTTTTCTCCCGGTTTAACGAAGTCTCGATCTAACGAACTATTTTCTGGTTCCCTTAAGAGTTCGTTATTTTGGGATTCCACTGTATATCCTTTTCAATTTGTCTGTCTATAGCAAGACTTCCTTTTGGGGCACTAATTAATGAGTAAGTTTGCTAGCATTACAACAAACTGTTATGATTAATCCATTTCTTTTACAGCGGACATACTGTCAAGAGAAAGACTTAATCCAAGTCAAACAAAGACAAGGTGGATGAGAAAAAACGATGCAAAATTCAACCTATTACAACTGACCTTCAAGGCAATTCACAACACTAACTGGCCTACGATTAATAAACTCGAGCTGCAAACTTGTAACAGAGTACTGCGAAGTAGTAACGAAACTCGTATAAGGCCTCCTGTATAAGGCATTCACTAATAGCATCCTGTATAAGGCCATCACTAATAGCAGATACTTTGAAGATGCCGCTGCAAAGTGCTTTAATGCCTTACCTGGATCAATAAAATCTCAGTCTAGCTTCACGACATTCTGTTTTAACTTAAAGAAGCATTTATTTGACAAAGCAAGCAACAAATTGGACTAAAAAACATTATTTCTTTTTTTTATAAATATGTAACTGTTCTTAACTTTTAAACTTGTAATTTGACTTTGCTTTTAATTTTAGAGTTGAAGAGCCACACTTGTAGTGGATATGCTTGATTGTACCATTATTATTATAATTATTATTATAATTATTATTAATTATATTATATTATAATAATTATTATTATTAACTTCCCGAATACTGTAAAGATTGCGATCCAAAAAGTATTACTTAGGCTACTTTGGCTACCAATAACTACATCCGCGATGTTTCTGTTGCTTTAAATGCTTCTCCGTGTTCTCAAAATTAAAATTCATAAGGTATGGTTCCCCTGAACACATATTAAAAATATATATTGCCCTCTTAACACTGCTTAACAAACTGCTAGTGTATAAAGGACCCCTTGGATTTATGAACTTCTACTGTTACGAACTAATTTCCTTTTTCTCTTCAAAGTTTGTTGTTATTATGGGCGATACTAATCTAAAGCAAATACATCGATCACTGATAACGTCATTAACGAAACATAAAAGAAGACGATAAAGAGGCTTTTTTAAAAAATTTTTTCTGATGCAATATGGCAAAACCCCTTGAATGGGAGGGACTGAATGCAACTGCTTGGCTATGCCATCTTTAAATCCTGCACTGACAAAGTCAACAAAACATCAAAACGACAGCCAGTAAGGCTTTTAAGAGTAAGGGTAAGGCTTTTTCTTACAGTTCACGATTGTCAGACGTAGGTTGCTTTACAATAGAGATGTACAGCATGAATTGATAAGCAAGTAAGTACTTAAACACCTTAGAAAGTACACATTTACTGCACTATATGTAAGTAAAGTTAACAACTCATTGCAACATATACTAGAAGTTAAAAATACGCAAACTTTTGAATTCAAAGGCTGGATAGTCTGAACAAATCTATTTTCATTTTAAGCTTGCTAGACGTTCTGTCATTTCAAAAAAACTTGTTGGTTTAATTTGGTAAAAAGGCAGACCTGTTTAAACTGAAACAAGAAGATTGACAACAGTTTCTAAAGTCCTAATTAGAAACGAATGTAAGAAATGCAATTCTAAATAAATTGAGCACACGAAGACTGAACAAATGCAAAAATCTTGTCAAAAGCGAAAATGAAAGACAAAACTTAAAATCTGTATAACATAAATAGATTATTATAATCTGGACAAAAATAAGGAAGCAGTAAGAGGCGGGAAACAGGTGTAGAAAAAAGAGCCACGCCTTAAAATGAGGCTAATTCTAAAATTCATTTGGCTATTTAAAATACTAGTGTTAATGACAAATCAAAGCAGTTTGATTACCAAGATAAAAACTGGCAACGTTAAGACAAATTAAATGCACCACTGGAAGAGAAGTACCTTGAAAATTAGCAATTACCTACAACACTGAACTTTATCAAAAACATGTTTTTTGGTTTTTTCCAAATTTTCATCGTAATTCAAATAGAGGATGGAGTCTGGTGCAAAATCTCAATGCAGCCAGTCTCGGATTGTCTAAAAACCCGCAAGGATTTTGACTTTGGCAATTCATTACCCCTTCCTAAAACATTTCAAATATGCTCCACTTACATCAAATAAAAACGTCTAAATTTTGAAGTTTTAAAGTATGACAATACTTGATATTGTCACTGTGTCAATTGAAATAAGGTACCTTTAATGTATCTGACTTATTGTCACTGTAGGTTGATGTCAGTTTACTATGTTTGATCCGTAATCCATCCATTACTAAAGGCTATGATTAATGTTATTTATCTTAAATACCATCATGGCCTTAAAAGCAACATTTGAGAATAACTGGCAAATAGCCGGTAGAATGATATTTTTTAAACAAATCGTAATCATTATGCATAATGAACAGCTTCTTTATATAAGAGTATATGGGTACAGAAAAGGTTGTTCCACAATTACGGCACTGCAAAAATGGAAAACAAGATAACACAAGCTACGTGTTGGTGGTTTTAGCTGAAAAGCATTTGGAACAATCAAGTATATGACATTAACACACAAGATGAATGAATTTCGATTCCCAACTGTTTTCTAAACAGTCACTAAATTACTTAAATTATCTTTACCAGTGTTTTCAAGCGGATGATAGAACAGGTGAACACAAATTTAACAGTCTTGTTTAGGTATGCCAAAGGAGTCTATTCTAGGCCCTGTTTTGTTCAACTTGTATGTTATTGATTCACAAGAAAAAGATCCAGCTACTTTGTTTTCAATGTGCTCACGATACAACTATACTTGCTTTGCTCATGAAAGGCCAAACGATCTATCTTTCTTTGACACTGCCTTGAATGGGGACCTTGAAAAGTTTGTTTTTTGCCTTCATCTAAGAAATCTTGCTTTAAACCGAAAGAAGGCAATGATTGTCGTTGTTTGTCTTAAGCAACTTTCAAAGCATCACCGTCTCTAAGACTACAATCCAGTTCTAAAGATTTGGTAGATTGCTTTGAATCATCTTGATTGAGCATCTATTATGAGACTCACAACGTATGGGCAAAGTAACATCTTTGCGCTTCTTTATCATGCCCATACAATTAAAATTCAAAACTCCACGCCATTTAAACAAAAAGACAAGTTGCTGAGATGCGCGTTCTGTCAAATATGTTATGCAGAAGCTCAGTAAGACACTTGTGACAAAAGGTCAGTAGAGTATTGTAGCTCGAAACACATTATTTAAAACATTTAAGTATATAAGTATATTAGATTTTTAAAACATAGACCGGTGACTATAATTTCCTAATTCAACCAGGTTCAATCAACCCGGTGACAACCTTGAGGAAATCCTTGCAATTCCTTTTTCAGAAAGAAAAAAACTTCTAGTGAAAACGAATGAATCGTCAAAGTCATTAATTGCATCTAACTATTTGAAAATATAAATCTGAACTGCAATGCGAAACAATTTGATCAAGCTAGATTTGTTAGTTATAGTGCAATGAAAATACAAGATTGTTGTGAAACCTGAAGTTACTTACTCCAATTTTCCGAAAAGGAGGTTAGACCAGCATGGCCCCTTTTGCAGAAACTTTCAAATCAAAATGCAATTACAATACAAAATTGTTGTGAAATCTGAAGTTGCTAACTCCAATTTTCCGAAAAGGAGGTCAGACTAGCATGGTCCCTTTTGGAGAAAGTTTCCCGGGCCCTTTACTTTTGCCACGCAATCACTGCATACGCATCTTGATGTTAGGGAGCCTGTATTTAATATCAGAGTTGTCAGGCTACATTGCTATCAGATGCAATCAAGCCTTCTCTGAAGATGTGACAGACGTTGGGTTTACGCAGTCTCAAAACATTAGCAATAACTATTCCCTGATCAACTTACTCCAAAACTAAGTGCTGTATCACATTAATTCGAGATAATTTTTTTCTATGAATAAGCAATTTGAAACAGAATGGAAACAAGAAAATAATCAAAAGTTACGCCATTTATCTTACTTGATTTGGTATCATAACAACACAACAGATCGTTGCAGTTAGATTAAAAACTGACAGTCTTTAAGAAAGCTTTCTGAAGTTCATACAGCTCACGTTATTGAATAACCAAATCCTATTTCTTTGCATTGCGTCTTGTTCACATTGTTTTCAAAATCACTAAAAAAATAACACAAAGTAAGCTATCAATATTCAAAAGTACAATATCTGGAGAAACAACGAAATAAACACAAAATTTACACATTGCTTTAAAAACTTGAGCGAGGCCTTGATACAAATATTCAAAACAAAATGAATATAAGATTTTAATCCACTGAATATGTTATCGCAAAAGAGATTTAAACCTATCAAATTTGAGTGAAATTGCAAAATTCGAAACCAAATAATATTGAAACAAAAATGTTGGCAAAAAACATTCACCTTCTCTCCTGGTCCATCTGGTACTGGGTTTTCGTATGACTGTGGGCCTGCTATTGTTTTAGCTCCAGCTTCGACGTCTTTTTTTAGCTTCTTGCTGCTTTCACCATCCATTTTAAACTTTTATATCTATACCAAGAACATGGAATATTCTTCATAAATAAAGCATAATATCTTTCACTGCCATTAATTTTATATATCATATAATTTACACTCAAATAACATCAATATTTTATTAAGGCAACGGATCAAAGTAGCCTTTTGATAGAAATCGCCCAGTCTACATATATAAAAGTAACGAAATGTTCCCGGTGCTACTTCAATGATGAAGAATGTCTTAAAAAACAGAAAAAGGAAAAAAAATAAAAAATAGAACAACTTACCGATGAAACTAATAGCACCAGAAATACAACAGCTCTTCTTTGGAAATCTGAAGTCCGAATTGATATCCAAATTGGTGCACACCAGTCCTTGTACACAATATGCAACCGGGAATTCCCTTCAAATAACGAACAGGCGAAGGCAATTTCCAGCAGCGCAATGCAGAAGACAATACATAACGCATGCGCTAAGACATACGGCCTCCCTCGCATAAATTTTTAAACATTAAACTGATTGTTTGAGTTGACATTACGTGAAATTCAAAGCAATCGGAAATTCCCTTTGACCAAAGAATAGCCTCTTTCTGGGTACAAAAAGACAATGTGGAAACCTTTCAGTCCAAAGCGAGGTGGAAAATAGGGGGGGGGGGGATTTGTTTTTAAACTTTAATTCCTCTGCGTGGCAAAAAAAATGTTTTAGTAAACCTAGAAGGTATGAAGCAGTGGCAGAAAAGGAACATTAAAAATACGTTCTAAGGCCAAGCAAAACACAATGAATACTTATACCAGAAACAGATTCGCAAGATCTACTGTTTTCGAGAATAACTGCTCCAAAAATCATCGAGTAATGGAAGAAAGCAGGTTCACTCGAGGAAGAGGGGGGCGACTAGCTTTTGAAAATTTGTTCAGCGGAGGGGAAAATGTTATCCCCAGATATAAAAGGAGCGACAAGCTGAAAGTTTCTGCAGACACGCAATACCTGAAAAATACATCTAAAGTACAGTATTATCATCCAAAGGGAATCAATATGAGTTACGACAATCCTTCTCCGGTATGGGGCGGTAAGCGAAAGTTAAGAATTATTAAGCACATCACTAAATGCCTAAGAGAATATTCGACAAAAACTTTAAGATCTTCGGCTACATATCTTAGTCTATTTTTTGTACAGAAATATTTTTAGATACGGCCAGATGTTTGAGTTTATGTTACGCATCAACCTGCGCGAAATTCAAGGAAATACTGCCGATATAAACGACAAACAAGTTTAAGAAAGGTTTTGGTACATTTTCAGAGAAAAATGAGAGCTATCTATCAAATTTTAAGACGATTCTATTGCAATAACACCTTAAATAAGCCATCTCATGTTTTGTGTTGCGCCAGCCGAATCTCAAGCCAGCCGAATGACGATAAACCTGTAATGGCCGCATGCGAAAAGCAGTTAAGTTGCGATAAACGAAATTTTAGGCTATGAAACGGAGTCATAATTAAGGAACTTGGAATTAGAAATTAAACTGACATGTTTAAAACGTTGAATTAAGTTTACATTCATGAAAAGGTTAACAAACCATTATTAAAACACGGCTTCATTAAACTGGGCTTGGACAGGGCACCTCAGCGACAGAGCGAAGGGAATTCCCCTTGGACGACATCAGGCGAGCTGCCTGGTATTTTACTTGACTTGAACTTTTATGTTTAGTGAATAATTCAGCATTAAAAGCAATAATGAAATGAATTTCCCATTGCAACCTATACATACTTCTGTTTAAAAGATGAATTTATAGTCAAGGATAAAGTATTTCTGTTGTATTAGACTTCAATGTGCAAAAATTAAAGAAAAATTACCGTGATTTAAAGATTTGCTGCATATCTTTTCTATCTTTCGCAAACCAACTTCAGCAAAAGAAAACTAAATGCCTTCAATCTAGAACGGAATGTAAATGCATCAAAAGTTTGTCCACAGCGAAATCTGACAATTCATTATCTCTTACAACTATAAGGTCACACTATTTGTTACTTTTAGTTGAGGACATAGTATATTACCCTACTGAATTGATGGTTTGCTACAACAAATATTAAACAGTCAAGTAGGTCTGGAGGCCTTGGTATTGGAATTTGAGGCCCAAAATACGGCAACGAAGCAAGGGGAATTTCCCTTGGCATCTTTTATAAACTGGCTAAATTCCCATGGCCAACTGTATTTTTTAAGAAAAATTGTTCATGTTATCAAAGCAGGGATTTTCGACGAATTCCGAAGGTTTCCTTTGTGTGGATTCAAATTTACCAACGCAGTTTCCTCTAAGATTTGTAATGAGTCTACGTTCCAGAATTCTTCAAGGATCTACACTGAGGTGAGAAATATAAATTAAGATTTTCATTTCATAAAAATAATGATAAGACCGAACAGCTAATAACACCAATGTTGTAATTGTGATTTTCAACCTAAATATTCAACCTATATGAATTCATTAAAAGAAACTATATAAGGAAAAGAAAGTTACATTATCTCCTCAAAACTTCCAAAAATTTACCTTTAAGCTCCAAAAGAGAGAGGAAAAATATTCAACGAGACACAACAAACATAAGCTTCTATAAGGCGTATTTCTAGTTAACAACTAAAAACATTGCAAAGTGTCTCAAAATGCAGATATTATCTCGATTAGTGAAGTTGCAGACAAATTCATTATTGCAGACAAATTCATTATCTCTAACAACTACAAACTGGCACAATTTGTTACTTTCAAGTAAAACTAAGGTGAGCTGAGGATATAGTATATTGTCCTACTGAATTTATGGTTTGCTACCAAAATTTCTAAACAGCCAAGAAGGTCTGGAGGTCTTAGGATTGGAATATGGGGCCTAAATTCTGGCAACAAAGCAAGGGGAATTTCTTTTGGCATCGTTTATTAACTGGCTAAAATTTCCATGGCCATACCTTGAACGAACTCCTTCGCAGATATACAAACGGACAACTGTACTTATTAAGCAAAATTCTTCATATTATCAAAGCAGGAGTTTTCGACGAATTTGGGAAAGGTTCCTTTGTATGGGCTCAAATTCTCTTTAAGCTCTGTATTGAGTCTACGTTCCAGAATTATGAGGACATTGACTGAGCTGAGAAGGATAAATTAAGGTTTTCATTTCATGAAAATAATTATGTATTTTGAAATGTCCAAAATGCACAAACGTGCTGAATAACCAATTTGTAGGATGAAATATGAAATTTCCTTTTTAAATAAATAGATTCTAAATTCAAAAACAGTGCATAATAAGTAAGGTAAGAAATTTTATTTCCTTCGATGTAGTTTGGAGGTAGCTAGGAAGCCTTACTGTTAGACAATGTTTGTGCATCAAAGCAAAAAGAGGCTTGCCAGAGAGTCTTAAACTGCAACAATCATAAGCATCAAGAAAATATCAGCATCCAAAAATCAAATTTTCATAGAACTGAACAATGCATATTGGTTGATAATGGAGAATAAAATTACCTACAAAGAAAACTGTAACGGCGTTTGTAAATGATCCCGTACCAACGCTTCATAGAACCATAACAGATTCATTCTCTTTACAATAATTAGGCCACTCTCAAGACGTCTGCCTTGCTGGAGATGATATCACCCAAATGGTCTGACTGTGTGTCAGTAGGCCGCAAAACTACTGGCAGGACAAGACTGGTAGCTATCTGGAACAAAAAGAAAAAATTCAGCTTGTATAATAATTCAGTCGATTTTTTGGGGGTTCCAGCCTAAGGGCCTCTTGCAAAAATGAAATGTTTAGTGCTGACAACGTCTTGGTTCAGTTTTAGACTTAGCTTAAGTTAACGTAGGCCATGTCTCACAAAGGATATATTGAGGAGTAAAAACTAAAATGACATTGCGGTTTTTCTTACGAAATAACTGTAAACGAAATTTCCCCTTGAATCTTTATATTTATTTTAGGGATTTTAATTCTCTCCTTGGTAAAAGTTTTGAAAGTCATCACTGGAAACAAATATAATGAAAATAACGTATTCAACTGAGCAGGCACCTCGCGCTAGCTAATTTCAGTAATTAGTGTTACTGCTTACATTGCTAAAGTTCTTTAAATATGAAAAATCATTGCCAGTTTGCCTTTTTAACAAGCACATGCTTGAAAGATAATGTAATCGAAACGAAACGAATAGGCAAATACCAACATCTAACCAGATGAGAAAAGAAAGGGACATTGAATAAAAAACAAAGAGGAAGGACGACAGTGAAAGGGGAATGTGGGAAAACTAATGTAGAGAAGGGGATAAGACAAAACTCGCCCAAGAGAGTTATTACTGGAAAAATTTCTTTTTGATGAAAGAAGGTCAAAAATCAGAAAAACTTATATACCCTTGACGAAAAGTATGTTAAAAGTATCAAATATCCAAAACATGAAAAGAAACGGAATCATATGTAAATGCATCGTTATGGTAATCTAATGTTGATTTTTTTAACAAGCAAACATAATAAATTCTGGCACGACTACAGATATTAAGGGACACATCTATACAAAAAATGCGGTTACACAATTATGAATGAAAATGATGTGACTCTAAAGTAAAAAATGAATTTTTGAAGAGTTAGAAGAATAGACCACTAATTCATAAATTTTGCACAAATCAATTTTAATCGCCCGGGGTATAACTGGCGTCGAGATTTTGTTTTGCCCCTCTATGCGAAAAGACGTTGTAGTAATTCAGAATGTGACGTCAAACAAATGAGCATATGGTATAAACAATCCCAACGGATCGCGTATTCAACTCAGTTGAGAGTTTGACTGCGCAAACTCTATCTAAGCAAATCTAAACACAATTTCAAACACACAGTCTATACGAAAAAGTACGTACAGGGGATTGGATATTTGCTATTTTGGAGCTCCGCAGTGAAAATCAGTAAAACTACGATGAATAAAATCATCATTCTTGGACAATATTGTGTAAATAATTTGCTATGAAGGATAGACACATTATAACTGAGAAAACGCAAGAGAATGGTACTAAAGGTGAAAGAGCCGCTAAGTTATTGCACCTCTACGAGGGCGTATTATAGTCCTATTTCGAACCCGTCGAGAAAATTTCTCAAAATTCAGACGAAAAATACCGGTTGCTATCTTCGCGCAAAGATTGAAATTTTCATATAAAAAAGAAGCGCCCCATGTGCTCTTTTAGCCTCTGTGTGTACTTTTTGTAAATCGAAAATGAGACGTATGCAATATTGAAGACAGTATGACATGTCCTTGTACTAGCCTACGAACGCTGTACTGATGCACTATCGATATCCGGGGACTTGCTGTTTTGAAATCCAAAAGGCCGGTTCGAAACTTGAACAAAAGAGAAAAATAAGACACTCAGTGCAATCATATAAGGTTTATTGTGCCAGAATCATGAGTTCCTTTTTTTTTTATACTCAAAAGCATGTTTTAGAGAGGAAAATTGTTAGAAATTTGATGAAATTTATCGCTGCGGCCTATCCAAAACAATTGGCGTTGAGGGTGAATGAAAACTACTGTCTTTTGTCCAAGTACTTTTCCACCTGAACCCAATGTGCCCAAATACTTTTCCACCTGAACCCAATGTGTCCCATCAATGATGGCACAGAAGATACGGATCACTTTTTGCTGCATTGGAATTTTGCAGAGAACAGTGACATAACTTCTCACTGCTGTAAATGATGTGCTCCAAATTTATGAAAGTTCTGTACCTCAGCACAAAAATAATTTCCAGCTTTTTTATACAGAGATAAAAATTTTCAATTCGAAGCGAAGGTAAACTTGAACTTAACGATTAAGTTCATTTTGGATAGAGAACGCCGGAAGCTAGATATCGATTTTCCCCCTTAAATGTCCCCATACTCTCAACTTGTCCAATAGACCTCTTTCACGCGGCAGCCACTAAGATATAAAAACGAGGCTAAAGCCACAAGATTCTCCGGTCTACTGATGGCGGAAATGGAATCGTTTGATGGTGTGTTTTATATATATCTTATTGCTCAAGTAGTTCTCGTAGTTTTCTGTTTTATGTAATAGCTATTGGGTAGTCATGCTATTTGGCTCTCAATGGTGTCGTCTTTATAATCTCGCCTACATACTGCAAATTAGTAGCTTAATTCTCATCCCCCTTTATCTTCAAAATAGCAAAGATGCATCAAACCATAACATGCAATACTTTGAATCTGGACAATGCAGACATATCACTTACCATAAAAATTGGCCTCGTTATTCTGATGCCAATATGGCAACGTCGCGTAGAGTTTATCAGTCACCACAAAACTGAGAGGTAAACAAAGCATTAGAAAAATTGATAAATTTCAATATCTACGTACTAGGAAAAAGGCCTAATTGCATATAACCAGTTGCTTATAACTTTGTAAAGTAAGAATTCTTTTGAAACACAAGATAAAAGAATGAGATTGCTAGCATGTGACAAAATCATTCTCTTTACAGACTACCCGCAAAGACGAAGACGAAATCAACAACCTACTTTCCAACAACAACGACAACAAGGTGGGTTAGAATTGAGTGCTAATCAAAAAATTAAAAATACTCTGACATTATGGTAAATTTCTATACAATATGTTGATCAAAAGCGAATCGCAACAAAATTACAAACTCAACTATAAGAAACAATGGATATGGAAACTCTTATGTTTAAAGGAATTGAGTCATGATAAAAGAAGAGGGTATACCCAAACGTACCCAAATCCGCAAGAGTCATGATTTTCGTGCTGCGATGCTATTGGTTAACCTGGAACTGGTCACATGAACTCACTTCGTACTGATTTACAAAACAGTTTCCATCAATAGCAAGTTGTCAACAACAGATGCCTATATCACATGAAACTGCAGTGATCACGCCGAAATCAAATGACCTCCTATAGAAATGGCCTATTTACCATGACTATGTACCAAAAAAGCACCCACATATGGCTAAAAATCCTCTTTTTTGAGATAAAACGTTGTTCAAAATTGCATTTTAAACCGTAGCTCAGCCTCAGCCTGCTTTTAATTTGTTCTTAACTTTTGACCAGTTTCGAGGTTCGTGTTCTTATAAAATTGTCCCTTTTTGCCTACACGTGCACCTTCTATGCTCTAAAGCAATCAATATTTTTTTGTTTCTGTGTGCTGTCAAACGATTGAGTTGTGGGCGCTATTCTATTGTAAAAGTTTGGTCAAACAGGTGAGTTGAGCCCTAATGTCACTGTAGCATGCTGTAGCTAGGCAAGCATTTTGCAACTAATTTTACCTTGTTTTGAGCTTTTTTTAAAAAAAAAAGAAGAGGAAAATCAGAAAGAAACTAACTTTTGGAAAGTAGAAGCACTCTTGACTTTAAGGAAGAAAATTTTAGCATAAAGAAGAAAAAAATAAGGAAATCTCGTTTTTGGAAAGTAGAAGCACTGTTAATACCCTAATGGTTCTTAGCTAATACGTCAATGATTACAAATAGGTCTTTATCAAATTATATTCAAGACATATTGATAAAAAATATATCAAAAGGCCTTTCTTACATTTTTTATTATGAAATACGTCGAGGCCTCCTGACTGAAGAGAACTGCAGGCAACTGTTTGGCCAAGCCATCTTTAAATCTTGCACTGACAAAAAGTCAAGAAAAGATCAAAATGACAAAGTATAAAGAGTTTAGTTCAAAACATCGAGAGAAGATTATTGAAGCTACTGAATTAAGTGAATGAAGTGAATATTACTGATGGAAGTATTTGACTCAACATGTCAAAGTTCCTTAACTATTTGCACAGTATTCTTATTTACTCTTTACCTGACGGTTGCCAAATGATCGCAGTAAGCATGAAACTCGGAGCAGAAACTTACAACCATCCTTTTCTATACACCAATTGCGTGTACAGCTCTGCCTATACGGCAACGAGCATTTTGCAACAGACAGGAAAACAGTAATTTTCACTACTAACTTTTTTAATATGACCAGAAATCACATTTTGGCTTTCCGCTTTATTCAGAGGAAAGTCAAAATGCAAAAGGTTAAGTAAATCTAACTGACCATGTGGCAGCTATTTTTTCTTATTTCCTTTTGTCTGTTTCTATAATATAAACTTGAATTATTGTATGCCTTTGTGCATGTTTTATACTACCTTTATATAGCATTACGGTACCTTATATTGGATACAATGGAGACAGGACAAGGTTGTTTCTAAATATTCTTGAAGGAAATTTATATATATTTATCTCGGGTGGTAGGAGTACAAATCGTTTCATGCTATGCAAGGCATGTTTGCGAATGCAGATGTTAATGTTGATTTAAAGCTAGCTGATAAAAATGACTGAAGATAAAGAGCTTCGTTGGTGTTATGGAAGTACTTTAGGATAAATTTATATTTTAAACATTGAAGAGTCTAAGCTACTTGCACTAACAAGTATCCAATGTATACTTGTAAACTATTTCCAAATTCAGAATTATTTCAAATCGGCGTTTGTTCCATTCAATGAAAACTTACAAAGAAATATAAGTTTGTTAAAACAGACGTTTGTTAGTTATGATTATAGAAGTTTTATTCAATGTTAGCTGACATGCTGAAAACTGAAACAAATGATATACTGTACAGTGAAATAAAGAGTGAAAATCATTAAGTATCTAGTAATTGCAATTCTTAAATATACAAGATTGCGTGTGGTACAATATAACGATATAGTATCAATGAATGTAAATAAATTGTACCAGGAATAAATCATTCTTATCGAAATATCCCTGAAAAAGAACAAGGTTCTTAATTCACTTATTGCTAAACTCAATGCATGTGGGTTCTTTGAAAATGCCCTGGTCTATACTTATCCGTATGTAAAACGCCGCAAATAATCAGTTGGTATTAATAGCACTTAAAGCTCTTACCAGACAATCTTGTCTGTTGTACGTCAAGGCTCTATTCTTGGTCCTTTTTTGTTTAACGTATACTTAAATGATCTTTTCTATTTACAAAACACGCAATGCTACATAATTACGCGGATGAAAACACAGTTGCTTATTTTTCAAAGACAAATCCTGCTCAAGTTTGGTTAAAGAAAAATCAATTGATTGCAAATTCCAAAAATTCCATGCTTATATTTTAAAGAAAGATAGGGTAAATACTTGTTGAATAAATGGTGATATTTAGGAAAAACAATCAAACCAGAAGAAACTGGGAAACTACTTCGAGGTCAGATTGACTATAAACTGAATTTTGAACCACATATTTAGAACTTTGCAGAAAAGCCGCAACACAGCTCGGATTCAAAGAGAGAGAAAATTCTTGTTCGCAGCTTTGTATACTGTGTTTAATTTATTAAGCATCCGGGCGTTTATAAAAGTTTTTGGCTTTTGGAAGGGATGACTATTGGAGAGGGCCGTTTATTAGAGTAGCGTGTTTATCGAAAAAAGGTTTTTGCGAGAAGAAATCTTTATTTTCAAATCAAGTCTGAAAAGTGCAAAAATCTAACCAAAAACTATTTCTCTTTTTTCACTTCAAAATTATTTCTTTATCATCTGAACCATTTGTCGGGGTAATCGACAATATCGATAAGACATTTCTTATAAAAACGACATAAACACTCTTGCAATATTTCTAATACTAGCCCTGGGCGTTCATTGGAGGATGGGCGCTTTCTCAACAAATTCGACTTTAAAGAGGCGTTTATTTGAGAGGAGTGTTTATTAGAGAGAGAGGGCGTTTAATAGATCAAATATGGTACTCAAATTCTATATACTGTCCCTTGATTTGGTGTTTTTCATCAAGTGCCTCCTTACAGAGAATTGACAAAATACAAGAACGCGCGTTAGGACGTTGATATAGTGAGTTACTTTCCTAGTCAAGTTGGTGCACAATTCATATTTCATGTCGAAAGTCCTTCATTTATGCAGGATATTTTCAAATTAAAATCATCAAAATTTTCGTTACCACTATCGATTTGCGTCATCATAGGCCTAGCCAAGAAACGTTTTGCTCTACTAATCAAAGGTACCTTGGCCCCTCAAACTTGGAACAGTTTATCAAATCAGGAACTTAAAACCCCTTGATCGACAATAGAATCCGTTTCACCGAGAACTGGGCTGCGAAAGAGGAGGTAAATAGAGGGGCTTTAGTTAGACTATCTTAGATCAATTATTTTACCTTGCCAAATTAACTCAAGACAGCTGATAACCTGGATATTTTTCAAAGAAAATGATCCAAGGATGGGATGGTCTTAACAGTAAAAGTAATGAATGTAAATACAAATAAATCTATTAACCATTTGTGAATATTATTGTCTATAAACATACCATTTTTTCATGAAGAATTTTGTAAAATATTTCTTTTATTTATAGCCTTTTGTTCATCGATGTAGATTAGTTTTCTGTGTACATTTTCGCAAATAAAAAGCTATAAAATAACATTAACAAAACGACAAGAAGCTGTACAGTAACATTTCAAAAATCTTTCATAGACGATCTATGATATATGAAGCTCTAAAAAAACATTTCGAAGTTTAAATAAAAGTTTTTGATTACCCACCTCCTAGCTTTTTGATGACAGCGAAAATTATCGTTCATTTTGTGTACTTCTTCAACATCTTCAGACTCAAATAAGATTTTCCTGGCGCGACCCTAAAAAAAGCAGATCGTTATAAAATGTAAACAGAAAAGATTTCGCTGATATTTGAAAAAGATCATTCTACTATATGTGAATATGCAAATGAGCTAAAAACGCTGATATTGCTGCTGATCGCCATTGTTTTGCGAGCCGTATCTCCTCTCACGCTGCTGGTCCTATTTTGCTCAATTTTTACGGGTTGGTCCACTAGGGGTTCTAATATTACATGGTGAGCTTCGTTTTTCGATTTCTGCCTTGGTTTTTTCGATATATAACATTTTTCTTCGTTATCGCGTTGCCATTGTACATCGCTTCTCATTCGTATAGATTTTAGTGAAGAACCCTTTGTCAACGTTTTACAACAGCTTTCCGCAATCCGCAATATAGTATTTTTTGTTATCGCGTTGCCATTGTCCATCGCTGCTCATTTATGGAAATTCTATGGGAGAACCTTTGTCAACGTTTTTCAGCAGCCTTTCGCAATTAGTTCAGAAGTTTTATAGGGCTCATTCATATCTTTTCAGAAAGTTTTCAAAACATTTTTCTCTCTCTCTTCAGCAGCGATATCTATGCTCCGACGCCAGTTGAAAAGTACGGAGGGGTTGGCAAGGGTAATCAAATAAAGACTCATAAGAAAAATTCTGCACGAAAACTCTTTTCTTTTGCGAAAAGCATGGCCGCATTTTCGAGCATCCCCACATGTAACCAATATTAAACGAGCCCCACAAGGGCTAAAAGAAATGTAGTGATAAAAAACTTAATCATTGAAATCAGAAAAAACAGTAGAGCTTGAGGGGGTAACCCGTGAAAATACATAAACGAGAACAGCGAATAGACCGGGGCTCGCAAAATGTATTTAAGCAAGTTTCAAACTTGCCTCGATATTGCAACCGTAATACATTAAATCTGTATGCACATTTCAGTGAACGGGAGACTAGCTCCCCTAAGAGCCCCGCTACGCGCGTACCCGATAGCCGCGGCAAGATTTACAAATACCGTAAATCCGCGAATTAACCCCACTCGAGTAAGCCCCCACCCTAGAACTAAAAATTTCAATAAGCCCCCACTGTTACCGTTAATTCTAGAATTGGACCGACCCCCTTATTTTGATGAATTTTTGCCATCTGAGGTTTCCTTTGGCATTTTCTTGAATTGCCACAAAAACTCATACTTTTGGTAATAATTAATTAAAAGCTCATAAAGAAATTCCTACTAAAATAAACGAGATCTTTTAATAATTTCTTTTTAATGTCTACAATAATTTTATAAGCCCCTCCCCTCGTATAAGCCCCTTCCCTCGAATAAGCCCCCATCCAAAAATATCAAAAATAAATAAGCCCCCAGGGGGCTAATTCGAGGGGGGCTTATGCAAGGGGGGCTTACTTAGGTGGTAAACCATTAAAATATTTAAACGAAGAACACGAATAGACCTGGGCTTGCAAATGTTTTGAAGCAACTTTCAATTAACGGAAGACTAGCTCCCCTACGAAGCCCGCTACGCGGGCTTGCCAGTGGCCCTACGGCATGGTACATAGATTAGCCTCGGAAAAGACAAGAGGTGTATTAACCTCGATTTGAAAACAATTGGCTCCGCACAGGTCACGTGATAAAAAAATTGCTTGCACTCTTTAAATTCGCACTCCTGTGACTATCGCTAGGAAGGGGGGAGCCTCTACCCCCTTATTATTTAAGGCTCCCCCCTTCCTAGCGATAGTCACAGGAGTGCGAATTTAAAGAGTGCAAGCAATTTTTTTATCACGTGACCTGTGCGGAGCCAACTGTTTTCAAATCGAGGTTAATACACCTCTTGTCTTTTCCGAGGCTAATCTATGTACCATGCCGTAGGGCCACTGGCAAGCCCGCGTAGCGGGCTTCGTAGGGGAGCTAGTAATGCCTAAGATTTGACAGAAGCAAAGCTTTGGAGTTTCTACCATGTTTCGTTACTCATCACCAAGAAATGTTGTTGATCAAGATTTTTCGAAACTCACCAATGTTTTTACCTCTAAAATCATTATCATTAAGCCCCGGCCAAACGCTCTCGACATTTCACTCGACAGCGCTCGACAAATGTCTTGCTCTTTCAAAGAGGGTTGGCCAAACGCTCTCGACTTTCACTCGACTTTTGACTCGCCTTTTGACTCGACTTTTGACTCGACTTTTGACTCGACTTTTGACTCGACTTTTGACTCGACTTTTGACTCTACTCTTCACAAACGAGGCTGTTGCCTCGAGCGCGCGATTCTCCTTGAAAAAGCCCGCCACTTTTGTTCTGTCTGATTCTGATAAACATGAAGCTAAGTAAAAGAAAACGTAGAGCTATCGCTGCTCTAATTGTGATTATTCTCGAAGACGAGAAAAAGCCAAAAAGGGGGGAAAACAAGGGCTTGGATGAAAACAAGGCTAATTTCCCAAAATCCCAAAGACAAGGCTTATTTTCATAAAATTTGATCAATTTCAAAATATCTGCATGTGTCCACTTTTTTTGTTGGGGAGCAGATTTCTTCTTTCTTTCCGCCTCTTAGTTCTGTCGAATTAGTGGCTTTTCGTTTGCGAGTCTTATTTTTTGCTGCTAGCATCATTAATATTTTCTTGGCTTTATCGTCTTGGCTTTCTTGGCGATATCTGAACGTCATCAACGCCCTCGAATTCCCCTTCGTCGCTGCCTGAAGAGCTAGCATTGATCTGTCTTTCTTTGTTGATATCTGAACGTTCATCGTAAGTGAGGTCGAATTGACTGAAACTTTCCATCTTCAAATTATTCGAAACAAAAAACAGAAATCCGAAGATATCACGTAACAAAATAAACACAACTTTGGCGGGCAAAATTCAGATATTGCATATTGCGCATGCGTTCATTCACAAAAGTCGAGCAGATATCGAGAGCCTGGCCAAACGCACTCGACAACCTTCGACAACACCTGAAACAATAGAAATGTCGAGCGTTACCACTCGACAATTTTGAACTTGTTCAAATTTGTTTCGACAACGCTCGACAAGGTGGCCAAACGCTCTCAACATTTGATTCGACAAAATGTTGAGCGTTGTCGAGTGAAATGTCGAGAGCGTTTGGCCGGGGCTTTAGTTTAACTCGCAAACCAAAATTAGCAACGGATAACAATTTGATAGATCAAGAAATTTACTTATAATTTGGCTACGGGAAAAAGCACTAGCTTTGGGAGGCACAAAATGAGCATCCCAGTTCTGATTGTCTTTTTAATACCCCCATCCATTTAAAATGGGACTTGTTCCACAAAGAAGTTGAATGCTTCCAGCACAGAAAGCTGCAAACAAAACAGTTTGGGATATAAAAGTATAACTCGTACGTCCAACTCCTCAGCCAGCTTCCAAAACTATTTCCGGTGGTTTTGTAGTGCAAAATAGCGAGGTTTCTCAAAAAATTAGCAGGGTAAAACAGTTTCAATTCAATGCAAAAGAAGGGCTTGAGTGCTATTGTAGTGGTTGGATAACTACTCTGGCAAGTAGATTGCTACATTAGCTTAGGAGCACCAAGCAATTGCATAAGAAAACAATTAAAATGTTTAAAGTAAAACTAAAACTTGAAGTATAACTTAAAACATAAAGCAAAAAATATTAAAATAGGAACAAACTGAACAGCGATGATGCTTTGGGACAAAATCATAATATATAGAAAATACAGGAACAGGAGGAAAAGATGTTATTGATACCATACCAGGTAGACTAGTTACGAGGTGTTTATGCCTGCTTGTTTAGAGATTGGGCAGGCATAGGTGGGGTGTTTATAAGAAATTACCTGAAAAGCGAGTGCTTGGCAATCAAAAATATCCTTTTTTTCCTCAAAGAAACCTCATTACTCGAATCGAAGAAATTAAAACAATAATTGAATTTTGAAGGAAACCCAAAACCTCGAAACTTTATTAAAGTCCATCATTATGATTGGCTTGTTGGCATTAAATATAATACAAAGAAACATAAACCAGTTGCCAGTTGCTAAAACCAGTTGGTAAACTGATAGCAAAGGCAATTCCAAATACTGGTTCAAAACAAACAGAAACAAATTACAACCATCAAATCATAGGAGGTTATTAAACACAGCTAAGAAAGTCGAATAGACTAGGCGAAATAAACGGTTAAGTCGAATAATATTGTAACTATTGACGACTCAAACGTTCCAAGAAGCAACTTACAGTTCTCGCACGTATTATCCAAGTGGCGGCTCTCCTTTATTCTATTCCTTAGTTAAACTTCCTCTCTGTCCTTTCCAGAGTCCTTATCTACTACAATAGCGTGATCAACAAAATTGCGTTTTCATGGATAAAATTAGAGAAAACGACACGGTTTTGTAACAGGGTTCAAGCTATCTAAACGAGAGAATAATTCAGATGCTTGAAAAGCTTTTCATACACAGTCATCGTTGTTTCAGATTTTTTGGTTCTAAGAAAGGAAAAGGCTATCTCTTGACTATGACTTACAATATAACTCTACCCTATCAAAAATACAGACTTTTTATTCTAGGTATCGATGTTTCTGTGACAGACCTTGACCGTAAGTCACACAGACGTACAATAACCCCTTCAACTACGATTGAAGTCCTTGCAAGTGGATTCAGAGGTAAGAAGACATTTATTACAAAGGTGCAGACTAAGGGGGGCTTTGGGGCTTGAGCCTCTCCTGACGAAAGTTCTCCTGGGAAATAGGAAAGTTAGCTATAAATATGCTAGACTAAATTTTTATAGTCATGATTTTATGCATAAAAATCATCTCAAAAGATTTAATCAAGATCAAATGATGATGATAATGAAAAATGTAAAAGAAAATCACCTTAGACAGGCAAGACGCAACTGAAGCCCCACCCCCTCCCCCACTTTTTCAAAGATAAATTTTTTCACTGTACTTTTCTATTATTTAAAAAAGAGGACGAGCTGTTTATATACTGATTTATCTTATTTGATCTATTAACTAACATATTTTCGTCATCTTTCTATTATTTGTCTACTTTATATGTATATTATTTGTTCATTGATTCAGTAAATCACAAAGTCTGACGTTTTATATCACAAAATTTATTATTGGTCTCCCATCATATGATGGAATTTTCCTTTCTTTCTCCATCTCTTGTCACTAGAGCTTTATCATGGTTGCTCCCTCCCCAATTTTTTGCAATAAACAACAATAAGTTTTTTCTCAGAAACGTCAAATTATCTAACCTGAGCTGAACGGTATAGTATTTTGTTAAATTTTAGCCAGGGAGATGCCTATTTCGCTGTTCTAGTTCGTTTTCGTGTTCGTAGCCCCCCGTGTTCAATCTCGAGTCGCCGTCTCAGTTAGGACCCGCCTGTAGGCCTTTTCTAACTTCGGCCATCGGCAGCCTCTGCGTTAGTCTGCGCCTATGATTTATAAAAAAATCGTATTTAGTGGTATGTTTGATTGGCTTTGAATTATTACGTATGTAACTATATCATTTTTTTGGCAATCGAGAAAGAGCAATTCAGCATCCAAATCTATTAAAAGATGTCACTTGTAAATACTTTATACAGTGTTGGCCTTGGTGTTAATGAAAATGATTTGATAACAACCAAGCTATGTACATTGAAGTCTTTGAGGCAAAAAAATACTTGAAGGAAACGACATTTTACAAGGGCCCAGTGATTGCAAGGGCCGCATTTGGAGTGCATTTGGTAAAACGAATTCCAGGCTCTATCTCAATGAGTCAATATTTTAAGGCACACTTAGAAATGTCGTAAAAAACACTGGTGCATCCAGTGAAACTATCCTCAAAGATGAAAAATGGCTCTTGAGAAAACCTTGACAGAAATTGATTTAAAATAATTTCGTCAAGGTTTCTCACAAGAGCTATTGATCTCAAACTAGGTGATGATGTTATCTATTTTCTAAAAATATAGTACCTATTTACCGATTCCAAGAATAAACATCAGAATACAAAGCATAAAAAAATGACAATTGCTACACTTCTTCTTTCAGAGTCATCCCAAGACGTTTACTTTGTTCATTGTGGGAATGTTTTGACAGATCTAAGTTTACAGAGGGTCGCCAGAGGCAAGTAAAACAGGAGAATAGCGTAAATGTTCCGAATTTAGTCAGAAATTTACCACTATAACGAAATGGCTCTGTTGATCAAACTGTATGGTTTTAAATAGTCATAATCAAAATCCATTAATGTTTTTATTGTTTACATTTACTTGTAGTGATTTAAATATTGTAAATTAGGCCATATTCCTACTTCATGCCATCACCATGACATCCACCTACGTCATTCACAGCATCACCTAGCACAGGACATTCCCTTCACCATTGTACACACGTTCACACATCTATGTCAAGCTGATTTCTATCCAAGTCTAGATCTTTCCTTCTCCATTAAATCATCATTACATCATCCTAACTCATCCTTAGTCAGCAATTTGATTTCTGTATATAAGTATCTTAATTTGTATAAAGTCAGTTCAGTTCAGAGTTCAGTTACAACCACGCAACACACTGTCTCTCTTACTGGCTCCGTGTTCTCTGCACGTTAAATAAGAATCGAAGCGAACACCAACGATGGAAAGTCACAGGATATGATAGGAACCATTGCAATTCATGCTACATAGTATCGTTCCTATATACTTCTGTTTTATAGTAATTTGGAAATTTTAACAGAAATGGCGAGGCCAGCAACAGCCAACTGTGTAAGAAAATCTATGGCTTACTTTCAAATGCATACTTGACTTAGATAAATTTGTTTAAAAGCAGGTTTGGGAGTAAAATTGTTAATTCAGCTAACAAAAGAACCAATAATTCACTGTTGAAATCAACTTTACTTGCTTAATAGGTAAAACATTACTTGTTCGTTCACCTAAACCTGTTAATATTTTCTCACATCTACCAGGTAGCACAATTGAAATGAAGAGAGGTGGGTGAATAATATATGTTTTTTTAATATATCTATTTATTATCCGTTGAGGATAAATGATATATTTGTTGTATCCTGCTAAAAAGCTATATTACCAAGATAACGATAATATCGTCTTGATAACGAGTACATGCTCGAAAGGTCGTGTTTTTAAGAATCAAACTGTTTTATTTTCATTCTGGTTATTTGCTAACTATATTATCGTTATTTTGGATGAAGTAACACAAGCAACGTACATATTTAATTATATAATACCAAGATGTTATAGTAATTCAAAATGTGACATCACTCAAATAAAAAATGAGTAGCTTCATCCTTAGCCCCTTTCCGCTGTAAAAGTAGTCGTTTTCAGTGCAAAGGCGATAAATTGTCAAGACGTTTGTGAATATATTGCCAGGTTGGCTAGAGTTGTCACAGATCATCTATTTCCTTGTTATTGTCATCTCGTTTGCAAATCAAACTCAGGGCTTTTCAGTTTTGATGTAAATATGACCATTAAAGCCTAGACTCAGTACTACAGTTTGAGTCAAGCAGGGATGGCGCCAGTGAGTGAGTCAAGCTGTAATGTCAGAGTGCCGACAGTGAGTGAACCACCCACAAAGATGTAATATAACACCATTTCCGCTGTGGTAATTCTAGTTCAAAAGACTATTGAAGTTATGAAAGTGCCGACATTGCTTAAAATATTTCAAAAATTGAAGTGCCGACGGGGGGGCTCAATGAATTTTTGGGGGGCCCCTGCCCCCCCCCCCAAGCACCCCCGATGGCGCCATCCCTGGAGTCAAGGTCTCGTTGCAACAATATTATGAGACCGTTTTTGGAGGTAATCTTCAGAACAGTATAATGAAAAACAATTTATATGAGAAGTATAGCAGAAAAAGATAACTGAGATATGAAATCTCCATTGAAATCAGCACGTTTATACTTGCATAGTGATCAGAAGTTTGGAACATTATTTTACCATTTTAAAACACATTCTCGTAAATAAATTTACTTAGTGTAACACAAGTTTTAAATTGAAATGTTTTTGCAAGGCAAGTCAATCTTTTGCTAGTTAACAAGCTTATTTCCATTAGATCAAATAAATTCTATAAATTCGATTTTAAGTTTAGAACTAAACTAAAAAAAATAAGAAAAAAGGGTGAAGAAGTAATCAGTACCAATTTGTTACAGCCCAGGAAGCCGTGTTATGCTGTTGCTTGTTACTTGGATACTGTACAGGTAACAAGCTTGAATGTTACAGAAAGACGTAGAAAGTTGCATAAAAGCAACACATCGGCCTCAGACATGTACGGGATATTTTAAGCATTTGATACGCTGTTTAACCCAAACTGAACATCGATGGACCGATGCCTATTCTGTTATAACAACATATTCTTATATATCTTGTTAACAAGCTTGAAATGTGACAGAACGACGTAGAAAGTCGCATAAAGGCAGCGTATCGGCCTATTTTATGCTACCAGTTAAAGCTAAAGTTAAAGCTATTTAAATGCAAGACATAAAATGTAACTTTTTGCTTTTAACATGAAATTTAAATTCTAGGATTCGATGCATGGTTGAGGCAACTTGATGGCACTTACATCTGTATAAAGATTACACCATCACTTACAACTCGTGAACTGGCAAATTGGTTTCGGGGTAAGAATAGATATGAAAAGCGACATTCTACACGGCATGCTTGGTTCAGGAGCGGACTGGTCCTGGTAGCTTGGTGATGATCGCCACCCGGGCCCCTCAGAATTTTAAAAAGCGGGCCCTTCATAAGGAGAAATTTTTGAATTTAAGCATAAACCCATAACGATAAGCTTTAACTTTGGTGGTTGGAAACAATGGCTATCCAGCCTAAATTCTTTGGTTCCGATTAAGGTTATGCAAAACAATATCAACTTTAAGATGTCGTGAAATAAGTTTTCTAAGTGACCACACCTATTTAGGGCCTGGTCACGCCCTACAGGCTCTTTCAGGGCCACAAAGCTACCCCAGAAGTAAAGTGACAGTTCGCCCTTAGCTTAGTTTATCTTAACAATATAGCTACCATATTTAGCCGTGTATAAGAGGCATTCTTTTAAAGTGCCTTCCTAAATCCATGCTGAAACTCTTAGAAAATAGCTTTTACCTAGGCATACAATGTATAGGATGCATCTCCATTTATCTGTACTTTTAAACCATGCATATTTCAGTGACAAAGTGAAATAAACTCAAGAACACTAAAGAACTTACTCTTTTGAGTAAATTCTTTCCAATCCTACGTTTGTGGCATTATGTTTAAAATTATGAAATAGAAATGACAGGTTCTTCTTCTTCCTTTTTTTAGCTTTCTCAATCATTTCAATTACCAAATTCTTCATTACCTCTTAATTCGCCTTCTTCCCAGACAACATCATCCTTCATTTTTTGAAAGCTTGGATATCATGTCCTCTGGAAGTCATCCCAGGAATTTTTTATCCAGAAACTGATCACATCGATTTCCACAGGCATCATCTTCCCACCCTTTCCAAAAATGTGACTGTCGCTAATCATACATATTGGCCAAAGACTTTTTAGACTCTCTTTGAAGGGCTGGTATATGCATACATCTAATAGCTGTAGCATTGATGTCATTCCACCTGGAATCACACAAGCTATCCATACATACATCCATCCATCCTTCCATCCATTCATCCACGGGGGAATAGATTCTGTTGAGTTGCTGGCAGTATCAAAGAATATGGCGTTTGATCACCAATCATGCTAAAGTCAGACAAGAAATTTTTCCACAATTTGACAGCATAGCGAAAAAATGTTTTTCTCTTCAAGGTCTTTCGGCAAGCGTTGTGTTTTTTTCGTGAAACTGAGAGAATGTGCCTTGTCATGAATTTGATGTCATGATCTCTTGCTATAAATTTTGCTTTCACACGGACGACTCTTGATAAAATACCAACACAAGAGTTGCGTTTCTTGCGGTACTGCTTTGCAAGCTTTTCTTCCAGTTCAAGAAACATAGCGAGTTTCCCTCGATTAGCAAGATTCGACTTTTGGACCATTTTCAAGTGTTCGACTTTTAATTCAAGACCAGCAGGATAGTGGGTTGTTGCTATAGTAGGTTAATGAAAGTATTTTGGACAAATAGTCTGCCTTGGGTTGGATATTTTTACAAAAATGAAACCTGTGGCGAAATGATTTTCTTGTTCAATGAATGCAACTGGTTTCCCATGTGACAATGATTTGTTGCTTTGGTTTTTTGCTTTTTCCGATTCATTGTGATATTAACAACGACTGCAAATTTCTAACTTTGTACAGGGACATACTCCCTGTACAATATATTGGGTAAAGCCCCCAGTTCGGGGGTAAAAAAGGTTTTTGTCACATATTTCTCTTTCGAGTTGACCTAATTTCCTAATTTCCTAATACCTAATTTCCTGTAAATGTTAGTTTATTCGAATTAAGAGACCAGGCCCTTTAAGTATCATAACACATCTCCATGAAAGAACACTTTACCTCAAAAGTGATGGGAAAATCAATGTTACCATGAATTTGTCGCACCCTCAATTAAAGCCAACAACAGCTACAAACAACGGTTAATCTCATACATGGCGAAATGCAATATGTTTCTATGTAACTTTTGAAAATAGAGAAAGAATAATCACTAACTTGAAATTACCAAAAGATGTTGCTCATAAAATACTTTATACAATGTTGGGTTCTATACGAATGACAATTATGTGATACATTGAGGTCTATTTACTTGCAAGAGGAGGCAATTTCAAGGTGCACATTTGAGGCAATATTGAGTACATTTGGTTAAACAAGTTCCAGGCCCTTTCTTAATATGTCAGTATCTAAAGAACATCTAGCTTTGTGGTGCATTTAACATTCATATGTGTAAGTGTTATAAAAGAACACTGATGCATACCAGTGGAACTATAAACTGCTAAGTATAAAGAAAAAAATGATTATTAATAGTCAATTCCAGTTCATGTGCAACATTTTAATGCGAAAACATTAAAAAAGTGACACTTGATATCACTTTTCTTTTAGTTTCACCTCAAAAAGTTGGCTTCCATCATCAAGGGGCTACTTTGACAAATCAAATCTTTCAGCAGGTCAAAAAAGGCAAGTATATCATTTGATGGATAAAATATTTCTTCTTTGCTAACACCTAAAGGTGCTAAAACTTTTTCATATTTACCAGGTAGTGTAATTCAAATTAAGAGAGTTGGGCAAATATTTTTTGCTGTTGAAAATAAAAGAAATATCTATTTTATCCTGCTAAGAAAACTATATTGTATCAGTGGCGGCCTGGCAGGGGGCCGGGGGGCCAGGGCCCCCAGCTAGCTTTTTTTTATAGGGGCGCCAAAGCTTGTATAGGGCGCCGAAAACTCAAAATAAGTTTGATAGTACCGACTTGTCTGGCTATTAGGTCTCTAGGAGGTCAGCAGAGACAAAGAAGACGCCTTAAAATTCAAAACATTCTCGGGGTGCACGCCCCCATACCCCCTAGAACAGTCTCACTTCAGGGCACGTCTTTGTGTCCCTTTAGTACTGTATTGTACAGACAAAACATTTGTAGAGGTCACAACACTCAGTGGGCACACAGATATACTCCGAAGACAATCTGTGTTTAGGGTGTCCGGACTCATGCCCCACCCCCTTCTAAGGAAAATTTTGAATTTCAATGAGTCTCCTAGGATCTGCTGGCCTTCAGAGACTTAATTAACAGACAATTCGGTTGTTTAATTGCTTCATGCTATATTAGTCCGTCTGTTATCACAAGTCACTTCCACGAACGTGCAGTTTAAGGTGCACAACATAACAAGAAAAAACGCTAAAAAGTGCATTCAAAGCTAAAACATAATGAAACCGGCTCTTATTATGTTTCTTCAAAAAGGATAATTAAACAGATTACTGTTAACTCAAACATTGACTTCATGTTTCTCAGAGACGCCGGGGAAGGGGAGCAGGGGGTCAACTGCCCCTGTTGCCTTTTGATAGGATGGGCAAGGGAGGGTTAGAGTGCCTTTTTCATTTAGGTGCCATTTCTTGATGTATGAATGAAACCGGCCATTTCTAATAATCAGATAAATTTATATTTTATTTTGGTTGTAGTGCCTAATTCATGACGACATTTCTCAAAACTTGTAAAAAATTCCTTATGCCAAAAGATAGCCAATGTTCAGGATACCTGCAGAAGATCAAAATGAAATGGAAGATATGAAGTAATAAGTAGAAGCTGAAAATTATTTTTCGAATGCCATTTTTCTCAAGCATGCCCCCTTGCCCCTTGGTCGTTCCAGGGTCAGGTTTCTTTTTCAAAGGCTAAACATTGATTTTGACATGAGGTTTGGTCGGGCCTAACTTTCTTAACGCTTGCGTTTTGTTTGGTCTTTAATAATATTTCTTTAAAGTTCCATGCAATATTTACTTCATTTTGTATCAAATAACATTATTATCATCTCTAGCACCTTTCACTTGTGTCATAGTGAATTAAAAGATTTGTTAGAAATCGCATTTTCTAGCCTTATGAGTAGCTGGAATTCTCCACTTATTGGCTAGGACCGACTCTTTCCATTATTTGTTACCCCAACACCCCTAATTTGCAACCTGACTGTAAGTTTTGTTATATGTATGTTTTGAGCTTGTTTAGTTGCTCTCCCCTCCAAAGTGCCAAATGAACACAACAGTTACAAAAAAAACAAAACCCTCATTTTACCACATCGTACGGGTAACTCTTGGAATTTCCCCAAACATATTCTTGACACATTTTTATTTAGTTTATCTGCTTGGATTGGCTTCGAAGAGACAGTCAATTTCATATGCGAGTCGGTCCAACTTGTCCTGACACCCCCATGAAAAATTATCATATTTGGGATCCTGTCCTCACGTGGGGGTCAGTCTATCCTTGAGAAATAATGTTTAAAAATATAAAAGCATTACCAGACTGTCAATCTTTTCAGAAAAAGACAATCGTGTTAGTTATAAAGGGCGCCATTTTGCTGCTGGCCCCGCTAGGCGCAGAAAGGCCAGGCCGCCACTGTAGTGTAAAGATGTGATAGTGATTCAAAATGTTATGTTGCATACATCATAAATAAGTAACTTCAACTTCAGCCTCTTTCATCTTGTGAAAATAATCATTTTCAGTGCAAAGGTAATAAGAACATGAAGGGTGATAAGGGAACTGCTAAAGACCCTTGTCAATAGGTTGCCATGTTGGCTAGAGTTGTCATCGATCACCTAATTTCTTGTAACTAGTTTCAGCAGGACATGTTTTGAAGATGTTTTCTTTAACAGCAAAATGTGCTGAACAAAATGGGCTGGGGGGAGGAGGGTGGGGGGAACTATCCAAAAACTTGAGCGTTTTTTGCCAGCCATGGGGTTATGTCTGAAATGGGACATACTTTGTCAAGAAATCGCCATAAAATTTATTTGACCTGTCAAAAAGAGACGACTTTGACATTAAATGAGTCAGTCCACAGGCCAAGACTAATAAGGTATTATTCCTCAGCAAAAACACCCTGAAATGGCTTTTTTGATACAAGTGATGGGGGTTTTCCCTTTCCACACTTTTAAATAATAATGATTGTCAAATAAGGCCAATGAAAAATCATGCAAATTGCAATAGACATACAAAACTTGCTAGAAATGCACAATTTGGTACACTAGTAAGGAAACAATGCAGACCCCTTCAAAATATGCCCCAGATGCTATTTTAGACTAGGATACTAGGTTCCATGTCTTTACAATAATTATTATACATTGCTGCAAATTTGATAGAAGGATGAAACTTGTTTGATACATGCTGATTGCAAAAATGCACAGTTTGATATGCTGAAAAAGATAGAAAGCACACCTGCTGCAAAAATACTCCCTAATGCTATTATTAGATTAGGCCAGGGTAATAGGTTCAAGAATACTTGAATGGATATTTCAATAACATTGTTATGCAAAATGTGAGATAAGCAAGAAACTTTGCAAGAGCATACAGGTTCATATGGATAGAAAAATAGGATGAAGATTTCTTGAGTTCTTGGTACCATGCTCCCTGGTATGATTTTTAGACTGATGCTTTTGAATTATGGTCAGGGAAGTTTATCAAAACCCTTAGGTCTGGATTCTAAGCTAGAGAGACTAAGTCTAACAGGAATTTAAGCTAGAGAGACTAAGTCTAACAGTCTAACAATACATAAATACCACTGACAAATCATAAATTACTGTTTACCTGTCTGTCATAAAGTGCTTGATAGCCCATTGACAGAGCTGTACATGCTATTTGGTGCAAGAACAGTATGGTTCTGAGCTGCTACTTAGAACCATTCACAAATAAATCAAATTTGAAGTAAAGTATTCCAAAACAAATACAAACTTCCTAGATAAAACAACAAATTTACAGAAAAATGGAGGAATCACATGATATCTCTTACAGGAATCAATAGACACCTGTCATTTCTTATATTTTTGGCATTTGCTACTACCAAGCTTCTAAAGATAGTTTTTAGGACACTGAGCAGCTTCTGCTTTTCAAATTCAATTCAATTCAATTTCATTAACAAATATACCTAAATACATTTCAATACAGAATAAAAATAATTAACATAACATTACAATAGTTATCCACACATCTAATAAACTAACTTAAACATAGAACATTACAAGACATTATGTATTTAAATATATTTGTCTAAGGAGGAGCTCTCTAATCGAGAGAGGGCCACCCCATCTAAAACCAAAAAAGTGAAATTTTTTCTTTAAATCAAAAGAGAAACCAGAAAGCCTCCGTAGAACATTGGAAGAAACAAGGACTTAGAGACTAAGGAGATCCTTATAGACAGGGAATTTTTAACAACAATCGAGCAAAGTGCCTAACCTTAGTTTTTGCTCTTGATTTGGGTACTTTCAGCCTTGCTGAATATTTTAAGCCTTGGATACATTTTTGTAACATAATAGAAATCACGTGATCGATGACGTCATTTCCCCCGGTCATTAAAATTTTTAATTCTTTTTTTTGAAAAATCGCTCCAACCATCTTGTTTGGCATTGTAATAGGAGCAAAAAGTTCTAAAGAATAAACTCTATCAGACCTGCAGATAACGAGTTATTGCTATTTAAAGTTTGCATGACGTCATCAAAATGGTGGTTTTGTAGTTTTCAAGCATGTGGAATTCAAAGGCTCATGGTCATAATTTAGGTTGCTTCACCTCGATTTTGAAGTTTTTTTACCTTTGTGTTATTCGGCAACTCAATAATGTCATTTGAGCTGATATATTTGCACGCCTGGGAAACTAAGTATTGAACAAAATGCATGCAAAAGGAAAATGTTCTAATAAAAATTTTTCTTCAAAAAAGCTATACTGAAGAGGAGCTTTCGTCAGCAATGAAAGACCGTCGATTCGTCAGCATTGTCGCTCGGCAATGAACTCCAACTTTTACAGCAGCTAGAGACTGCAAAATTTAATATTGCTCCTATTACAATGCCAAACAAGATGGTTGGAGCGATTTTTCAAAAAAAAGAATTGAAAATTTTAATGACCGGGGAAAATGACGTCATCGATCACGTGATTTCTATTGTGTTACAAAAATGTATCCAAGGCTTAAAATATTCAGCAAGGCTGAAAGTACCCAAATCAAGAGCAAAAACTAAGGTTAGGCACTTTGCTCGATTGTTGTTAAAAATTCCCTGTCTATTAGGGATTACCTCAATATTGATGTAGAATATAACCATTTATGAGAAATTCTTTCAGTTTTGATTTGAAAATATTTAAGGATGCTTAAATTTTAAGGTATGTTGGAATATCATTCCAGAGTTTAACACCAAGATATCTAATCGACCTGAGACCATTCATGATCTTGGTCCTTCCACTTGTCCTTCAAACATGATCTTGGTCCTTCCGCTCAATGTGACCACCCCCTTGTGTGATTGCTATGCCTGCAACAGCAGAGAGCTAGAAAATCTCTTCACTCTAAGTGCTTCCATGTCAGTGACTCGAACCACAAACCCTTGGATCAGTAGTCAGCAACTTTACCACTGAGCTATCTGCAACCCAATAATCTTGTGCAGTGTGATTCATTCTACCCATGGAGTTGCAAAACTGGAATCGTTTACAGCCGAGTATTACCTTATCAAAGAGTTATTGCTAATGATGAAGAGGTATATTCCTGGGTGAATTGCATTCACAGCTGTACTAATAGCCATCATTACGGCTTAGGATCTAGTACCCCTGTCAAAATATAGCATTTAGGGGCATCTTTTTGAAGATGCTGGTAACCCATCATTTTCAGTTTAACAAACTGTGTATCTCTACCAAATTTCATGATTCTATCAAAATTTTCATGACTGTTTCGCTAGTAGCCCTGACTAATATGACAATCCTTATTGAAAAGCATGGGAAGGGCACATCAAATCCCTATTATCTTGGCCTGTCGACTGACACATTAAAAGTGACACACTGACACATTCATGAGAACGTCTATCCCATTTCAGACATTAGCCCCTGGTCAAAATGCTTAAACTTTTGAGAGGTGCCCCAAATCCATCAAAACACCTTCAAAACAGGTTCTGCTGAAATTGGTCATGGCATTCTGGTATTTTCCTCTACTAATTAGCTTCTTTTAAAAACACTAACAAAACAATATATACAGACATTTTTAACATTTGTCTCTCAGTTTTTCACTTTTGCCATCACCTTTAAAGTAAACAACTTTTTAACATATTTAACAGGTGGCGGCATAGGCATGTATTTGAAATGAGGGTAAATATATTTGTTTTTTCCTTAAAACATAAAATATTTTACAATATATTTATCCTGCTAAGAAGCTTCTGCTTTATCTTGCATGTTATTTTATCAAATGTTAAGTTCTTTCTGTTTTGCCATGCACTATCATCACAGAATAGAAATGACCAGAAGGGTCACTACTAGACAAACAATTCAGCGCTAGTTTCTTCACGCATGCTTCACCAAAACGAGGATAGTACGTAAAACAATAAGCATGAACAAGGCACATCGATGAAAAACAGCACAATAATATGAGATAAGACTAAGAAAACAAACTCAACGATCCAAAAAAGAATTAAACAACTACTTAGCCCTGTATATTTTGCTTCATAACTGAAAAATACTGCTATCGGTGGCGATCTCACATCTCACAACTGTATTAGATGACACGGCACTTAAATATTGTTCCAAAACTCACAATCCATAACAAACTAAGCACCTCTGTGTTTTTATTCCCTCTACTTTTGCTTCATTACGGTATAAAGTGCTACCCCAGTGATATTCCAGAGAGCACAACTGTGATTGCGAAACATCCTAGCCTACTAGCCTCCTTTCATGACAGTTGGAAATGAGTTTTGTATGGACAAACCGCCCAGCGCCAGAAAAAATCTAGTAAACTTGCAACAAAGGATGCCAACACGAGTGATCCTTTTGGTCAATTCTATTCTGTGCTATCATCTAACTAGTTTCATGTCTGATTTGTTTATCAGACATGTCAACTGGAATGTGGGAGCTAGTCTTTATCAATTCCCTTGTCATGATTCTATGGAATCTAGTCCTTATAAATGTGGATTGACTTAGCCATAACAGAAGAATTATTTAACACAATTCAAATTTTGTCTTCTACAGACCACATTTCCCCCCTCACCCTATGTTTTACCATATGGAAGGTAGATACAGCAGTCAGTACAAGCCCTTGGTCCCAAAAAGTGCATTACTTGACTCAAGTTAACAGAAACTTAGCACTTCCCTGGTCTTTGTCATGATACATAAATGTTCAGGTAACCCTGGCCTCAGCTATTGAGAACAACACTTAGCCAAATAACACTAGTGTGTGTGTAGGAAAGGAGCTATGGTGGTTGAATAATAAAAAATAAAATCATAGTCCAACATTTACCATCCCTTTGGGCCATATGCTCTTGGGGGCTCCCAGACTGTAAAGTATTTTTTCTGTGGGGGAACGCCAGAAAAATAATCTTAGGATAAAGGTTATCTTAGGATAATCTTAGGAAATAGGATAAAGATTATAATAACATTGCAATACTTTATGATCACCATAAAATCTTGCAGTCTGCAGGGTGCTCAGATCCCACTTGCAAACAAAGTTAGGAGGGTCATCTTTAATTTGCAAACAAGTTTGAGAATTTTCCATGGCAAAGAGCGCCCAACTTTTGCAATGTAATTTTATTCCAAGGTATTGTCACACTCCACCCCCACCCCCAATAACCAACTGTAGAAGTATTCGCAGAGGTATCAAAATTTTTAACAAACTAGGCGCACAACTTCCATTGTAACAGACTAGGCACTCAAATATCAAACTGGGACTCCACCGTAGGGGATTACCCATCAAATATCCTGTATGCCTGCTGCCCACAGCCTTGATTGACTTTTTTATTACAAAACACATGGGTTCACAAAAAATTGACTTGCAATGGCAAATGCAATTTTATTGGTTAACTACAATTCTTACTTATCATATTTTGATTTCAGCAGGTGAACGAAAATGATTAAGAAGATGAAAAACGGACATCATTAGATTATAGCTTAGCATAACAACTGTACGGTTACTGCGTAGTTTTATACTGTTATATTGTATACACCGTCTAAGAGGGTAGTTGTATCTCACCATTTCAGTTTTAATGTGCAACGCATAACCAACGCTCTGCTACTTTGCTCATCGTCTGCAAGACATCGAAAGTTTGTTAGTCTCTGAGGAGAAGGAGGCTTCACTGGCTAACCTCCTTATCATGGTTGCTCATTTTGAATGATGATTTAGGGCTTCTACAGGCCCGTTAGAACCGAGGGCTGGGGGGTCCCCAATAATTTTCAAACTGTATTATGTTTCCTTTATAACAGTGTACTGAATGAGAAGGAATACAATCGGCAGCCCCCCTCCCAATATGAATTTCGTTCCGACGGCACTGTTCTATATCATTGATTTTGAATCAGATCCCGTTTACACTACACTATTTTTTTATACAAAGAACACACTTTATAAGAACACTGAGGCTCGATTTACCCAAAGAACAAGGCTAGAACATGCTCATCTTCAGATGAGAAATTTGAAAAAACAATTCGCATTTTGAAATTTATGTCATGTCAACAGAACAAAACAATGCAGTTTATAAACATAAAAACATTTTTCAATCTGGTCTGTGAAATGTTACGTCTTAGAACCTAAATACAGTATGTAACTGGTACCCAGGGTAGTAACCCAGGGTAATCGTCGAAAAGTTAAGAACATCGAGGCTCGGCAATTATCTGGTTCTTATTAAAAGAGTGTAGGGGATTTTCAGTGGCGTCGTCAGCCTACAAAAATTGGGGGTAGACAAAAGATAATTTCCTCGTCCACGCCCTTCAGGTTTTCGGGAAACGTATGGAAAACGCCTTTTTTAGTATTTCTTTTATCAATTTTCGAAATTTTCTGAAAAGCAGCATTTTTCTCAAGCAGCATTTTTCGCAACAGGGGCTTTTTTGCAAGCATAAATATCAATATCGATCTGTTCAACAACCCCCACCCCAAATGTTTTTTTCACTAGACTTCGAGTTACTAGAAAATCGGCCTTTGGGAAAACTGGGATTGTCATATCCACCCCAGTTCATGCCGCGGCGAAGCCATTGGGCTTTTTATCCGGATATCAAGTGAGACGTTATAAAAAATAAATTTGTCACTTTCAAGAGGAAGAGGCATCGCCAACAAAAGATCTCTTTGAATTGGATTGAAATAAAATAGCTCCAGCAGAAGACATTGCCACATCCCTCATCAAATCTCAAATCCGTTCTTTAGCGGCGATTGGCGAACTGTTTCTCTGTTACTCCCAAAGGCATCAAATGCAGTGCATCGAGGCTTAATATAAGAGTGAAAGGATGAGCCTTGAATAAAATAAGTAAGCTAAAATAAGAATACCTAGTGAACAGTGAAATTGAATTCTACAGCTTCCCTTGTGAAATTAAATGGTATAATGTCATTTGATCATGCTTTCTTTAGGGTTTTTGACTTTTGATCATATAACCTGAACAACATGATTAATGATAACCTTTAGGTATAAAAATTAGAGAAACATTGGCCAACTCGTAGGGGTGTTGTGGCTAGGCGGGAGATTGCCCCATGGGCCCCTTTCAAGTGAGTTTGTAAAACCCAGGAAATATTTCATGTGTAAAAAATCCCTCACTAACATGTAGACTCAAGTCCATAGTTTAGGATTAGAGACTTGGAGGTCAACATATACAAACATGACCCTGTGATAGGGATATGTGAAATATGAACAGGGCCACTGAAAGGGGGACAAGGAGGGGCAATCTGCCCCAGGGACTTGAGGTCTAGAGGGCCCCTTAAAGTAACGAATTCCATTTCAAACACTCAACTTTAGCGAAACGAATTAAAGTGTGTTTTAAAAAATCATAAAACGTTATGAAGGATGGCAAGAAAATGACTGCAAGAAACATTCTGGAATGTATTTCAAACTAATACAAAAGACGTGGCCGCAAAAGTTTTCTGCTTGCTTCGCTCGCAGTGTACGCAAGTTCTGTCCCATTTATGTTTGTATTAAGTGCGTACTACAGCAATGACTTTGTTCCAGTCTTAAAGAGACTATTGTTAGAGAAAAGGAGGCACGCTAAAATATAGCAGATGAACCTTTAAAAATGATAAAAATTTGTATCTTTCTAATATTTCATAGGTGAATGATTTCCAGGCGACTTGGGTTTGTGAATGAAGATGTCATACAAAAGACCAGGCCCCTTTATGATCATTTGCTCCCTGCCCTTTTCTGGGTACCACGACGCCTCAAGCCAACACCCATATGCAACCTCAGGCCTTTATGAGTGGAGACCTTTTAGAAATACGAACATTAGGAGGAAGAGTAGAAGTCTTCAAGGAGAGAGGAAGTCCGCAAGGCTGTTTTTCGTGGGGAATTTTCTAGCGTAGAGTCTAATTTCGCAGATATTCCAGCCTAAACATATTTAAAATCGGGAGATTTTTCATAGGTTTTTGTGAAATATACGAATTTAGCCCATGTACAAACATTAATGCTCACGAAATTTGCGAAAAAATTGCACAAAAATCAGCTCTTGCAAAAATTTACTCCCTTCAAACCTTTGGTAGGTGATAAGCTTGAAAAGTAAAGCATAATTTATCCATTACATCTATATTCAAATCTCAATCAATCAATAGTCTCAATTAATCAGCATAATAGTCTTACATATTACGAATCAATATTCTCTAAAAATATGAAAACAATTTTCTATAAAGCGAAGATGAAAAAAAGAATTGAATGCATTGGAATTAGGGTTTTCGATGAAAATTTCGAACAATTTTCTGAAAGCGGGATTATGGGAGAAGAACTTTCAAATTGGGAGACTCCCGCTCAAAATCGGGAGTTGGAACATTTGAATTTGATTCCGTGGTTACCGAGCTATCTAACGCAAACCAAATATTAACAAAACCGCTAGGACACTGGCCATTCTGCATCTCTTGTAGCTCAGTCTACGACGCTACATCTTGGTTGCATTCTGTTGCGCAGACACGTAAATGGCGGGGAGGGAGAGAGGTGATTTTTAAATTCTTTTGTTTTGTCGGAAAAGTTTACTGTATGCGGAAAATCATACGTCCAATGGTCATTTACGTCAGAGATAAAGCTAATGCTGTAAATTCTCTAAATTCAGAAAGGAAATGGTAGTACAGTATTATGTTGAGGTTCCGTTACAATTGGCTTGTTGTCAGTCGCTCATTTCTTATCCTTCACCCTTCCACAATATCCGTCTATCCAACTCCCTTTATGTTACAAGAAAAATTTATGCTGAAATTTTCAAACGTTCCGACGCACACATGGTAAGCTTTTTATCTGTCATATTTTTATGCTGTGCTAAAAATAATTAAAATACAGGATAAACAGCAGTGGACCTATTCCAAGCTGTACTGTCGAATTTCATGAAGTTGAACCATTAAGAAACCAAATTGTTGACGATCTTCAATGTAAAATTGAAACTAGTTTAACTCGCACCTCTTTTCACTGAATGTCTTTTTTACAAGGCGAAAATGTTCGTCCAGCATATCAAACGCATTTTTTAAAGGCATTTGAAACAGAGAAGTTGCTTACAGCCACATGACCCCCAGCAGTGACCAATCAAATTGCGCACAGAGAAAACATGTAAAGAGTTTCCAGTTTCCTCCTTTCTGCAAATCGGCGAAATCTTACAGCAGCGCACAATGTTTTCAGGCTCTGATCAATTTGGCCTAAGATATTCTTGGAATTCGCTGTACTGATGCATGTAAAATGCCTTGTTATAACTGTACCAAGGATCAGTTACATTTGATGGTCGAATGGAAACACGCCCTTATCAATCACAGTTACATTTATGGAAGCCAAAAAATGATAATTCCTAAATAGCTTAACTTTGTCTAGAATTCAAAAATTGGTCATGAACGAACTTTTCGAGCATTTTGGAAATTATGGTTAAGACAGATATCGGTAATTTATTGTTATCATAAGTTGTATCGCCGGTCTTGAACACAGGTATGACACGAACAACTTGTAAAAAACCTGTAAAAAACTGTAAAAAACCCTTTCGATTAAAGATAAATTAGAGATTTTTGTCAAAGGTTCTATACACGTTTTGGGTGTATAGAACCTTCCGTATAAAAAAATACAAGCAAAAATTTACCTTGGTGAAACCAGAGATAAAGTATAACAGACAGCTGTGATGGGAAAGAAACTTTTCTTTATTTTCTAACTTTATTGCTAAAAAATGTAAACTCTGGTACCCGGGGTAACAAGTAATGAACCGATAATTTTCAGTAGATAGATTATAATAAACGAGGAATTAAATTAACTTATAATTCGTATTTGCGTCATGAAATAAGCTGATGTGATTTTACATTGAAAGGATGAAAGGCCTAGAAAATTAATTTTTTTGTCATTGTCCTTTTAATGGATTTTTCTAAATAGCACCACTGCTTTTCGTGAAACAAACGTTTTGCTATATAAATGTATATACAAGTTTTGTGTTCTACTACCTCGCCACATAATTTACTTAGAAGTTCTTCGTACAGAAATAGGTTATAGCCTTGATTCTTTTCTACGAATACAACAAAGATAAATCTTCCTTTCTTCTTGCCCATTTTTAACTTGAAACAGGTTTCAAAAACATAACAATTATCTCTAAATTATCTTAACATTTAAAAAACAATTATTTCGAAAATCCATTCATTCTTTGATCATTCTCTTTTAAGAAAATCATAATGAAATAAAACATTAAAGGATAAAATCTTAGAAGAAAAATGGATTGCTAAAACATTAATAGCATAGTAATACTAAATAGTAGAGACAGTTGTCATTTACTGGGTTTTAAAGGTTCTCCAAAACTTTATAATCGATAATGGGAACATCAGAAGTACTGCTATCAACTTCCTCCATTCCGCAGGTTGGTATAAACATATGCTTTCAATCCAACAATATAACAATGTTGGGGAGGAATTAAAAAAACAGTTTTATATTTCAAAACCCTTTCCAAGAAGAGGAAAATTGACACAGCTCTGGGGTACTCCTTCGTAGCTAGGGAGAGGGGGGTTACACCTCAAAGCTTGAACAAATTTCTCAATATTTGTGATTTAAATCAATTTCTTTCTTGGATTATTTCATTAACGTTATCAAGGAATAAGAATTTACGAGAGCAGCTTACTTAGATCGTTTGAGCGCAGCTGAAATGGGTAGAGTTTCGAATTGTGGAAAGATTTGCTAGAGGAAAGATTTTGGGGTCCTTTATTGATTATTTGTTGACGATGGCATATTGTATCGAAAACGTCGATTATCTATTTGGAGGCGAGGAGAACTTTAGGCTTGGAAATCTGCATCTAATTATTGTTACCTATCTTAAGTTTTTAACGGTACAATACCCATTTTTTTAATTCAGTTATAAAGGATAGGGGAAGATGCTTGGTTGGTATTGAATGCTACATAAGCGGGGTCGTGTTTTTCATTCTAATCTCGTCCATCCCTTTCCTTTGTTTCATCACTTAAACAATATGCTGGCAAGTAGGTGCCATCATTTTGTCGTAAGATTGGGTTTGGATGGGTGTTTTCTTGAGAACCTAAGGATGTATAGCCATTGTCATACAGACTGCAATACGGCAAACTGAGTGTCCGTATGAATTCCCAAACTTCCTCGTACGACCAATCCAGAATAGGCAAGATTCTCATAAATCTGGGCCAACTTTTGTCAGTTGGTGAGAAAGGACGCAGTTTTGCCGAATATGGGTCATGACGTCGAGTTCCCATTAAGCAAGCCTTTAAACCTGGGCGCAGATTTTGCAGTTCCTCGAGTGCTTCCTTCATACCCTTTTGTATCACAATTAAGTCGAGATTATAAGAAAGTGCTGTCTGTTTGATGAATTCCTCGGCTTCAGGGAAAGGGGCCTCGTTTTTGATGTACAAAGCAGCAGGCTTATCTTGGAACCGAGGGTACCTTTTCTTCAATGCAACAAGCCAGAGATGCAACGCTACAGTGCAGTCTTTCCCTCCATTAAAACCAATGCAGATTTCATTTAGTTCATATTGGTTGAGTGCTTCACTTAGAGCAGCCCAGGCACACTTGACAGCAGACGAAAGGTGGCTGTAGTTTGAGGGCAACAATAATTCTTCAGTTCCAATAACAGCTGCCTGATCAACTACAAAACAAATGATAATGACATAATGTAGCTCGTATATAAAATTTCTCGATGGGCACTATATTATTTATGAAAAGCGCCCTGTGAATTTACACAGGCTTTGGATTCACAATGTTTCATCAAAACATTAGAGCTGAACAAAAGATACTAAAACAACTTATTTTCTTCGGTGAAACCTTGTGTGGTCTACGAAATACTACGTTCCATCAGTTCAAATGAAGACTTTGTGAAGCTCTACTTATGAATTTTTCTGCCAGTGTGAAGGTCAGTTTTGTTTTTAAGATGTACTACTCAGCGGCGGCCGAGCATCAGGCAACAATGATTCAAGAAAGATAACAGTCATGGCGTGATAACGCTTGGAAAAAATTGATACTGACATACAATATATTCGATGATATCAAGGTGTGCTTAAACATAGGTACAACTTCTCTTTTCCCTCTCTTCAACTATAGACTTTTTAATTATGAAAGTGTAATCAAAGGAGAGTTTGGAGTTTCTGTTGTTTCTAGCATATCTCAGGGGATTAGGGGTGTAACACAGGACTGCTTTGTAGCAATCAGCATGAACATATCTGTAAAATATGGATTGGTTGGCAACATACCACCAAAGGAAAGGAGGTTGGTTGTAGAGGTTTTGTAAGTCTGGAGTTGTTGATGAGGCAAGTATTGAATGGCTTTTAAACTATTTCTGTTTATTAGAAAAAAATATGATTGAGTTCTGTATGTGCCTGGAGAACCTACACGCTCTAGAAATGAATCCAAGAAGAAATGTGAGTACTTTCAGTATTAGAAGAAATGTGAGGATTCCAATGATAGTTATGATTTAGAACGACCAGGTTGTGAAAAGGAAGTAGAAATATCCGAACCAGTACTATTTATGGAAACAGAAGGAATGTCATGTCAGTGCTACATTTACATGAAATCATTGAACCCAATGAGATTGTCTTTTCCCACTTCTCAATTACTGCAAAATCATTAGTAAAAAATAAATGCTGGATATACTTCTTTGAAGGGTATTATTTATAACAGAGTCATGTTGTGAGAAGAAGATGATGAGCTCAGATAAAAGTCATCAGCAAAAGAATGAGCACTTGCAGAGATAGAAGAAAGAAAGTAAGTCTTTGATGAAAAAGATGAATAAAACCAGAGATATGACAGAACCCTGAGGAACACTAGCACCAATTGAGTGACGACTGAGGAGGTAACCTGCAACTCAAATGCATTTCACCTGTCAGGAAGAAAGTTGCAAATCCTCTTTATGAAGGTGCTGTGCCAGCCATACATATAGAGTTAGGAAAAAATTGATGAGTGTTAACTAGAAGAGCACCAGTAGATCTTGGTAGCCAAAATCCTCCATTTAATGGTTGCAGTAAGTTAACAAAAGATCAAATCTCACACCAGGAATGTTAGAAATCCTAAAGCACCCCCTACACATGCCACTGAGAAAATGCAGTCAGAGTCTCTCACAAAAAGTCTAAAACAATCTACAGATAAGAGACGAATACTTATACCTAATTAAAAAAAATCAAGAAATCTGCTTGAAAACTTTCCCACTGCAGTTGTTTTTGATTGTCCAGGAGACTTTTTCCCACACATCACATTTCAGACACAGAGGTCAATTGAAAACTTTTCACAAAACAGGAAAAAATATGACTTTGTTAAAGATCTTATTAACCAACAGAGGTCAGAGTGCACTGTGTTACTTTGGTACACCTGGAAACATTAACTGATCTAAATTAACAAAATTTTTAGATCAATTTGCACAACTTCCATTTACATTTTTCCTTGATATTTTCCTTTTCCTTTCATCCGTTTCTCAACATTGTGGTGCCCCCTATGGCTGTGATGCCATAAATAAGTGCTTAGTCTGCTTAAGTGTTAATACAGCCCTGAAGGGCAGTGTTGACATAAGTAAATAAAAGTATTTGATTTGCTAAGAAAATATTGATAAAAGGCATTAACATGACACACTATTTTTCAAAAGTACGCTTTTGCATGTTAAATACGTTGCCAACATTTAGAAATGTATGTGGTTGGAAGGAAATGAACTGCAAATTGGTTTTATTGTTTGTTTAAGCACCTGTGTGATCAGAAGCAGCTGCTTGTGCAAGAGGGAGGCCTGGCAATTGAACAACTTATTCAAACTACACACATCCATTATAAACTTGGCAGAGAACTTGCATGTAATTGTATATATACTGAAAAGTAAGGATTTGCACTATTTGATTTGCAAAAAGCATACCACAAACTGCTTAGAGCTCACACATTTTGCTTGCAGGTTGCAGCTAAATCAGATTGATGCTACTCACTTGGCAGAGAGATGGAATAAAACATGCCTTGCAGCAAGAATAATATAAAACCTTTGAAACATAATCTGTAGTTGCTAGCGAGATAAAAACTCTGAGCAACCATTTCAAGTATTCTTATTCAAATACACTCAATTTTTTTAAAGAAACAGGTTATAAGAAACGGTAGGCTCAATTTTTTGAAAGTTAAGAAATAACCCTACCTAAATTGAAAAAAGCTAAGAAACTTTTTTAATTTTCCAAGTTGACACTAGAAACAGTCTTGACATTGAACATCACTGTATATAGCAACACTACAATTGACATGCAATTTGCATTCATTCTCAGTAAACTGCACACTCAAGAGGTTTCCATGTAAAAATTTGTTTTTAATTAATAGAGTGTGGGAAAATAACCGACCCGAGCGAGGCTTGAACTCACGACCCTTGACTTTGTATGTCAAGTGCTCTACCGCTGAGCTATCGGATCGCGCTTTCAAGCCAACACCCAAGGCCGAGTCATTCACCCGCACTGGCCCTCTCTTTTACCAGTTACATAGGGGAGCCATCGCAGCTACATCACAAAGTGTAGAGGACCTGAAGAGTGAGAGAGGCTATTAATTATCTTTAAAAATCCTGTTGCCTGTAAATTCGTTTTTACTTCAACTTGACTAGGAAAACAAACTCTACTTCAACTAGGAAAACAAAATACCTTGATCATTTTGTTAGTTTATCTCTGAGTGTGAGTGAACTATTTACTTTTCTTTGGAAGCATGTTTAAAAAAATTCATTACCTAAGAAATTTGCAAGAAACCTTTGATAGCAAAGTGGCCATAAAATTAAAGAAACTGCCTACCAGCACTGGACCTTTATTTCTTATAAAAAATATGTGTATGCCTTTGAAAACCATATATATATATATATATACAGATTGCAAGTTACCATATGGTTTCAAAGGACCTTTGGTAAAAAAGTTATTGCGGTTAAAAGATGGATTACTCACCCTCTGTAATGCTGTTGAATCTGCCTGCTCTACATCCTGGTTTGAATACTTCCTGATAGGCATCTCTTGAGTTTGGGGAAAATTTTTTAACTCTCAGTATAGAGCCATTTGGCAATTCTTTTACTAATAGATTATAAGCAGCTTCTACCTTTGCTACCTCTTCAGATTCTAGGGTAACTTTCACTTTGTAGCTTTTTTCATCTACACATGGATACGAGCCTAAATGTAAGCACTCTTTGAAATTAGAATCAACATTAGTTAAAGCATCTGCAATCTCAGATTCACCAACAGAGACATACAATTTATACAAGTAAAATTTTGTCTCTGGAGCATGAAACATGTGGCTGAACCTGGTAAAAGACCTTTCTAGATACTCTGGAATTCCTGGGAATATGAAGACGTTATGCACAGTTATCAATGGAAAACTAACTTCAGCATTGTTTTGACCCTCTGAATGAAACAAAAGGCTAGCTGATTCTGGCAATAAAGCCATCTTCAGTATTGAATCATTCACAACAGTTTTGTCTAGGGCACAAAGCTTTTGGAGAACATCGGACATTTCTGGATGTCGCTTAAGGGGTTCCTCAAAAGCCTTTGCAACTCCTGATATTGTAACATCATCATGAGTTGGCCCGATGCCTCCTGATGTGAAAACAAAGGAATAATTTTTGGAGAAGTCCTTCACTTCTTGTGCAATTTGTTCAATGTCATCGGAAATCATTGAAACCTTTCCTACCTTTACACCAAGCGACCAAAGTTGAGCAAGTAGAAAGCTAGAATTTGTATCTCGAGTGTGTCCCTTCAATATTTCATCGCCAATAACTATGATCCCCGCTGTTTTTCCAGCCATGATCGAGTAACTGATCTGGAAGGCACCAAGTGATCAGCAAATTTATTTCGAAAACAACGAATCCAAGGAAACGATATCAGAACCAACCTATTCACAGTGACCAGTGTTTCACATTTGCTCACTGCCCATTTGGCCTCCCTTTTCGCTCCACCTCGTTTCTGATAAAACTCGTTGCCATGAGAGTCATGTCATGACGTTTTTGGCCCAGTTCTTGAAATTCATTATTTTTGGACCTCTTTTGGTCGAGTTGTAGTACTAAAAGTTCAGGAAAAACTTCAGAGTTGGGGTAAAAATACTTCTTTGTTTAATTAAATGCTGGAAAAATTTGTTTGGTTTCAAAAAGAGAGAATATCTAAAAAAGATTATTTGATAAAGAAAAATTCAAAAAGCACGAATCACGGAATCAAAATTTCAGTTGCGACCACAATGAAGTAAATACTTGCAAGACAACTTTAAATTCAGTGTAATAGAAATATGTTTGAAGACTTTTTCAGGAAAGCTCAAATGAATGTAATAAGTAAGAGAATCTTTCTTACCAACACAGATTATCACTGGCTAGGTAAAACCCTGAAAAAATTCATTTGTGTTTATAGCTACACTTTTCCAAACATTTCATACAATTTGTTCTCTTTGTCTATGTTAGGTGAGATTGTCTGTCTAGGTGAGATTTGGTCTAGGGCTCTACTGAGAATTTTTAGGATCTTAGAAGTCTTTGTATCTCAGAAAGGAAAAGAAAAATCCCAGAAACCTAAAAATCACCAGTTTAATGGTTTTATAACAAAGCTAAAGAAGAAAATATCCTGAAAATTTTTTTTGATAAACATTTTACAAGCGGTCCCAAATACAACATTAAATTGTCATTGGATCAAATCAATAGACATCGCAGTACCCTTTTTCAGAATGTGTTTATCTTTTCGATACCAACAGTCCTTTGTCCAAATTTCGGCCCTCTTGAGAAAAAATTTGTCAAACCAAAGCAAAACTCAACTGCCAGAGAGTTCGTGTGAACATACCATGTATTGTGATTGTATTATTGTGTTGTTACTGTCTACCGTTACATAAAAAGACACAGAAATGCTCACGAATGTTACAAAGAATGCCTATGTCGATGGTAGCATTCTCAGAGGTATGCTTTTACCAATGCTCTTACCAATTAAAAAAGAGTAGGTGCTTTGTCGTCACAGCTACCGCAACTAAATTTACACTAGAAGGTCTTTTTTAGGATTTATATGATCAACGTCTTTCCATTCCGGATATACGATTTTCAAAGGCGACAGAACAACATCAAAATGTTCTTTTAATTCTTGGAACACAAACATGTGACCTTTGTTGTTGAAATGCAAACCATCATTGAAGAACTCACGCCAATCCTATAAAATAATTTGGGACAAACATAAAGATCTATTGAGATTGAAAACAAGTGGATAACAGGTAAATTTTTACCATGAAATTCCGAATATAAACCCAGGGCTTATAACGGTTCAAAGACAGATTTTTTTAGGGGGGGGTATATATTTGAGAGGGATTCATTTGGGAGGGACTATAAACGGAATTCATTAGATGTCAAAAGATCATGCAAAATCAGTTTTTTCAATCCTTAATGAAAAGATTGGTCATGTGAAAAGATCGGTGTATGTGTGATGTTTTTATTTGAGGAACCCGTGGCCTGTAAATCATACCAGTTTCTGCACATGTGGAAGTGAATCTAGCCAATCACTGTGCCAGATCGAGGGGTTTTCAACTTTGGCGCGAGAACCCATAGATTTCAAAAATCTAAAACATCAAAGAATACTGACTAAACCAGGGGGAGTTTCTTTTCTGTAAACTGCAGTTAAATGTAAAGTGATTTTGTATAAAGATTTTGTATATTTCTGTTTTATATAAAGATGAGCAGTAGAAACGTTAAAGGATTAATGTCACAAAAAATGAAAGGTTAAGCAATTTTAATCCATAAACGTTCATCTGATCTTCTGTGATTTAATGAAAGGTACTCACTTACTCGGGGATCTTCCTCTAAATATCTTGCGTACAATCATGAAATAAGGAAGAAAAATCAACACATGGAATTCGAAGATGTGATGTCTTTGAATTGCTACTTACTTCCTTTTTCAACATATCTTCCCAAAGGTTCACTCTTCGCATATTCATTTCATCAGCGATTGTTAAACATGCATTCACATATGGTGCTAGTTTTTCTTCCGAAAAAGCGACTGCAAAGTCTGTAGGAAATAGTTGAGAATATGTTGAATTAGAATGTTTATGTTGAAAATAAGAAAAGAAAATGGCATTGAGGATAGCTAAAAGCTACCAACTACGTCTAATTGCAATTTTTGTGATGTTGAATTACTCAGAAATCTAAAAATGGCCTTGAAAAAGGCAACCATTTTGAGTCATACTAAAGCTTTTCGTCTGACACTTTTCAGATTATAAAACGTCGAAACATCACATCAAAAATCCCTACTAAACTTATAGGTACACGAAAAAAAGTTCCTTTTTGTAATTCTGACAGGTTCGGCGTGGCCTAATCGACAACTGTTAGAGGGGGTGGGATGTCAGTCTGTTCTACCGGCAACAGCTAACTTGTCCAAAACAATACATTTGAAATATGGAGTTCTTGTTAAAACAGTCTCTTTGGTAGCCAATTTAGGATGAAAAACCCTAAAATTCTCTGTCTCCCTTTTCCTTTTCTGTTGCGTCTTGATATTGAAGTTGACTCCAATCAGATATTTCTAGAAACAGAATTCTTGATTTCTTTTGGTGTTGCTTGCTGGGAATAATTGTCTAAATGTTTGCAATCATGAAGGCTCATCTGATCCTACTGTTTGGTTCTACAGCTACAGTTAGATTTGTTTTGCTTTCAAATAAGAAAGATCAAAAAAATGTAATGTAATTGTACAGTCTCAGAAGATGACAACTAGTCTCACTAGAGGTACATCAGTGCCTCTTCTGCTACGATAAAAACTAACTTTCCATTGCAAAGAAAGTAGATAAAACAGATTACACATATCATAAAATGTCAATTAATATTCTTTGTTTCCAGCCGAAATAAATCTTTGATACAGCTATGATGACTCTTTTTGGAACAGAAATGAATTTGTAACTGTGTAGGGCCGATCTAATCAAACAGGGTTTCAGTAAATCAGGCCAACCGAGAGCTTGTCTGGGGCCCTGCGTAAAAAAAAGGGTGGAGCCCGTAATAACGTCATGAAAACTGTGATTGCTATTGCTGTTATCTTTTTAGGAACTTTATTATAACTTCCAGGCCACTCTCAGCTCAGGGCCTAGGGCAGTCTGCCTCCGGTCTCCTCTCGGCGGGCCTGTATGCAAAGGTGAAGTTACCTTTCTCTCTTGCGTATCCTGTCCATGCGGCAATGTCCATGGGTGGAGGAGTTACCAGAATTATTCTTTCCCTAGGTACACCATAGCTTTCAATTTTGGAAATAATGTACTTAACATTGTCTTTATATTCGTCTAGTGGAACAGCTCTGTCATCTTTATCCTCCAGAACAGCATCATTAGTTCCAATTAAGATAGTGGCAGCATACAAAGATTCATTTTTGTGACCATCTCTGTGCAGGAGATTCGGTAAAATGACTCGGCACATACGTGATGTATACCCACTAAAGCCACGATTCAAAAAATCACACTTCCTTTAAAAAAATATTGTAACCTTGATAAATAAAACAACATCTTGATAGCTGGTTTATGTCTTAAAGTTCAAAATGTAAACTGTTAATACAAGGCCTACGCCATGAATTTGAAAGTGGGAGGGGGCAAGGCCAGCAAAAGGGGGCCAAAGCTTCTTTCCCCTTTTACTACAGCTTTAGAACTACTTGCTTTGCAAAAAGGTGGGGGGGCGTGGCCACCCCAGTCCCCCGGTGGCGTGGGCCCTGATTAAAGGAAGTTTAATGTAAACCCATAATGAAATGCAACTGTGGCTGGCAAACAACTTCGTTGCAACAACTTTTCAAACAAAGATGTCTAGTGTTGAGCTTTTGTATCATCGATTACTGATGCTTAGTTCAACTTCGCATAAAGTCCATTTGGTTCCTTGTAATCTAATACATTAATAACAATTTCATCTTAATTTAGTAAGCTATGAGCACGCCCCCCCCCCCCCCTCTGTAAATCAGAAGTTAGATCAGACGGGTCAACTTGTATAAATATCTTGAAAAAAAATGAAACCTTCAGCATTTATTTTTGTTATTCCTCCTCAGTCTGTTTTGTTGAATCGACACAATCGCACGCACCCATGCATGCAAGGAGTAGTTAAAGATTGCAACAGACAGAAACTACAAAGACTTGCTGTTAGGATGTAGGCTTTTGCCACTGATCAAATAAGGTTTGCGTTTTTGATAAATTGCGTGCGCACCAATACTTTTGGGCAGTGCGCACGACACAGCAGAGTTTGAATATTAAAAGTAATTATTTTTCAAACCAAGTATCTAGAGTTCTCGACCAAGAGGGCCTTCAACTGCTTACAGTAATACAACGCTATACAACTTTCCTTGAAATACGCAACAGTAACAAGACCAGATACGGTACAATATAGATGATTATGTAAATACAAGTTGAATATTTTGCGAATAATTCGAAATACTGATAGGATTACATAAAGTGATTTTTTCTTTTTAAATTACGTTTTACAGAAATTTCCCAAAAGTATTGTAGTATTACAATCTCCTTGACTCGTTAGCCAAACAAAAAATTTTATCTGTTTAATGAGATAGTACTTTAATGAGATAAAACTCAGTACATTTTTTCCAGACGTATTTTGCGTTTTCCCCATTAGAAAGGAAGCATGTTCATGGAAATGGATTTCAGTTACAGCTGTTAAAATATTGATGATACGAAAATATAAGCAAAAACCTTTTCTCTAATGGTTTTTAATTATACGGAAACGCCTTGCTTCTTTTAGGAGCCTATTAGCACTGACCTTAAGTTCCGCTAGAGTAAACAGTTGTAAACCACCTGTTCTGCTGTTCTGCTTGCTTTGAGAATAACAGAGATTACTTTGGACTAAATAATTAAATGGTCTTCCATCATAAGGCCATTTAATTAAATCGTCCCAAAATAAAACACTTCTCAAAGATAAAATTCTGTTTCACAGGACAGCCCCTTCCATTAGGCTAATTGCATCGCCAAGAATCCAACTTTTCAAAATATGTTTTTCAACTATCCAACTATCCAAAATATGTTTTTCACGACTTTCACGATATGTTAAAAAGTACTCATTATTTTGCATATTGTATAATTTTCTTTGGTTTTTCTCAACTTTGGTTAGCTAAACCACAGCAGTGGTAGTTGGTGCAACCCTTTTTGTTAATATGTAGTGTAAAAATAAACTTTTGCTCTGATGAAGCCTTGTAAGCCGGGGCAAAATAATATCTCTAATTTTTGATTTAAAAAAAACATTTCGTGTTTATTGTGGTTTTTTCACAGCATGTTGCAGTGTTCCATATTTTCAAGCATAACTAACATACCTTTCGAAATACTCCATAAGCTTTATTGCCCAGCCACCATCATGAAATCCTCTCTAGAATAAAATTTTAATTGGGTAAAAAAACACTTATACTTGTTGCAACACCATTGGGCCAGTGTGCACTCCTGTACTAAGGCAATAGGTTAGTTGGCATCTAGCTGATGAAGTAGTTTGCAATTGTATTTTTTATTTGATAATGTTTGATAAAGGACGAGAGCCTATATCAAAGTCCTAACATGGGAAAAAGGGGAATGGTTAAGAAGAGAGGGAGGAAATATCAAGTACATTGATTTTATGTTTGAATTTAGGGAGGTCATAAGACTCTAGAAAGGGGGATAACTTTGGGACAAATGTGGCTAATGTTTACATGAAATGCATTCTGGAATAAGACTTTAATTGAGGGGTGCAGGAAGACCAAAAATCTAATATTAACTATTCAAGATGCTATTATAAAACCAGTTGCTTGGCGTTGATAGATAATTGGGAGGCTGCAAAACCAAATTGCTAGAACAATCCTGTGCTTTAAAGTCATTAGAATATTAAAATGTCTTTCATCTATAATCTAACTTACTTGAAAATCTTAGACTTTAAAGTACTGTATTTTTGTTAGTTTGTAGCTACCATGCTACTTTTGAACATACCCAGTGTGAAAACTGGCTATCACTGACAGTTACATACAAGTTTAAGGACTGAAACTTGCAGCTGAAATTCTGTCGCTTCTAAAAGACTGAACACTTAATGGCTTGTTCTTAGGGTGTTCTTGGGGTGTTCAGCCTGTTGTTGGAGTGTTCAGTCTTTTAGAAACAACGGCTGAAATTCTACAATTTTCGCTTCACTTGCAAATGATGAAATTATTGCTGCTTGCGCAGGCCTTCCTGGGAATACATTAGCACAAGTGTGGCATTTCGCACCCCGAGACTGTTAGCGTACCGAAAGCGAGCTTTCCAGCGTGGGCCTTCGGCAAAGTCTTTCATATCAAAACTGTAGCTCCTTTGAATGATGGATGCCTGATGATCTGATATCGATATTTCACACACAACTTGCAATAAATATTTGTTACATATTGCTTATTATTGTGGACTTAAATAGTATAGCCTAAAATGTCATCGTTACCCCCATTTCAGGAAGATGGCGAGCTCCTTTGTGACCCCTTTACTTTTTTTGCTGAAGATGCCAAATTCACGAGGTAAATCAAAATAAATTACGGCACAAATCTAAACTGGAAGCTTTTTTTTAAATTTAACTTAGTTTACCATTCGAAAATGGTATTTTAGAAACATTTGCATGCTAACACAGGTCTATAATAAAAAATGCGACTTGGTTTTCTCGAACACTTGGCTAGAAGACGATTGTAAATTGTCGTATAATGATGGTTTCTGCAGCCTTCGATATAGGAATGAAATTTACCGGACTACTCCTAGCCCGATGCTACAGTCATTTGGTCCGTGTTTCATTGCTTTAAAGTGTCGTCACAACAGCTCTTCAAAATGATTACGGTGACCCAGTACGATGGAAAAGACCGGTAAAACACATCAAAATAAAAAGCGCAAAACAATTTCTTGTTTTTTGTCACCTTATTAGTTTCCAGCGCTTTGGTTAAAAAACAAACGAATGATTACAAAAATAGGCGTGCGATTAAACACACTCCTCGGTGTAGGGAGGCGTGTACCAGCGCGTGCGAGGGCGATCGCACGCCTTTCCTGGGAAGGCCTGCTTGTGTGCAAAAACCTAAATAACTTTTTCATGGTTTATTTTGGTCCCAATTGCAGCTACACATTTTTTTATAAGAACCAGTCCAAAGGTAATTTGCCACAAGAGGCATCAAATTCAGCTTCAATAATCAAAAGCACTGACAATTAGATGTTGTTGCTCTGAAATGTCTTTTCTAGATGTTTTGGTGCAAAAAGAAAGGCCTGGATTTTTTACCAGTGTTTATAGAAAACCAACCTTTTCTTGGCTATATATTCATTGGAATTCCTTTAGTCCAAAAGAAAGGAAAATTGGCCTGATAAACTTTTTAGTGCACAGAGCACTGATTACTTTTCTAAGAATACACTGGGTTCACAGCTTGATAAAATCAAGATAATTCTTTTGGATAGTGGCTACCCTAAAGGTAAAACTTTGACCTGTTCCAAGCAAATTGCTAGTTTTTGTGCAAAAAAGTTTGGTAGTGAAAAATTCCCAGTATATTTAAAAATGCCCTTTATTGGTGATGTTTAAACTAAATTTGAAAGTCAAATCAAAACGACCATAACATATTGTTTCTCCACTGTGGCCTTTAGAAGGTCATACTCCCATCTATTCAAAAGGTCTGTGCTCCTACTAAAGATTATTGGTTTATGAATTTTTGGATGGACGCGAAGCTCCGTATGTAGGATACGTATGTAGAATAATCTAAGTTGATAGAATAAAACAGCGTGTTCCCATGAGCATCAGGCCAAAAACAGTTCTGAAAAGAGAACAGTTGTGAGGTTTTTGTAAAAATCAAAATGCCCAAATAAATTGTGATTAGGCTATAGCCTATAGGCAGGGCCGCCGGAGCCAGGGGGCCACGGGGGCCACGGGGGCACAGGCCCCCCTGTTTGCAAAAAGTATAAACAAATGCCCCCTTTCGATAAATAGATTGCATGTATTTTTTCAATGCGAGTTATTTTGCCTTTAGAAACAAAGTAAAATAACATAACTCTGGGCGTTGTTGGAGGACCATTAACTGGAATTTCCTTAAATTTTTACTTGGCCTTGATGCAAAAAAACTCAAACCCTATTCTGTGACTTTGCCAAAATTTTTTAACCCTTTTCACTGAGAATATTAAAGCTTGTGCAGGGATTTTTTATACCGATTCATGTTAGAACCATCCCTTTTCTTAAACTTATGTCTAGGCAAGTTAAAAAGCAGAGTTCACTAAATTTGATTTTAGCAACAATCCCTTATGGTTCTTAATATATACTAACAAAATCAGGCAGCTGTAAAAATATAACTACAACATATTGCTTACTTCATAACATTGTGTTAAATTTTTTTATGAACATGAAAAAGTTGTGTCCCTTCAATGAGTATATGCTGGAAAAACGTAAACAAAGACTTAAGTTTCTTATCTACGATTAGAACAATATATATGACTAGATGCTAAATTTGTTGTACTTTCTTAATGCCACCGATTTACCTAAAAAATTATCTGTAATATCATATCAGTAAATTCCTTCCCTTTTGTGTTTTCTCTGACTGATTATAAAAGCAGATTCTATGCCCAGGAATTCTAGCTGTCAGACCTTCCTTTCTCAGAGTTTTTTAGAAGTCAGATGTAATACATTTGACCAACTCACTGAGCCTGCCGGGATCAAGTCTAAGGAGAGTTTAAAACTTGTTTCGTTCATAAGACTGATGAGATAACCCTAATCAAAGATGCAAATTAAACTTTCTATGGCAGTGAAGAATGTGCCCGCACCTTCAGCCGATTGCGTAAAGATGACTTAAACATAAAATTGTGTAGCTTTTAAAAAATATTCCATGGAGGCGAACAAATTATGTGCTTTAGTGGCGATGGGAAGGCTCAAATACCAAGGGGGACTAAATTGTTTAAATGTACAATCAAAAAAATTAAAATCATTATTCGAACGAGCTTTCGATAATCATAGAGACTGAAACTTTGCTTGAAAGGGAGAGGGATTGGAATTGGCATTGAAATATATAAAGACTAAGAATTCAAAATTCCATTCAGTTCATATTTTGGGTTAGATTCATTGGTATGTTGCAATAAATTTGAACATTTGTTTAGTATAATTCGCCTGCCACAAGTATAAGAGAAGGATGTGTGCTTGCTTCTTACCCGGGGCCAAATCCACTTACACTGCAAACTATAAGGAAAAATAAGTACAGTGTATTGTAATAGAGGTATAAATCATACATGGAGGTACAAATCATACATAGAAAACACTCTCAAAAAACTTTGAAGGCCATGAGATGGGAAACTTTACAATTAATTATGATTATAGTCAATAGAAAAACTATTGTCAATTTTTTTCTATTGAATATGTTATGTTCAAGAGTGTGTGCTCCCCAAATTGACTAAATAGGCATGTCTACTTTCAGCGAAGATAATTCTCACTATGTCCAACATGCCTCATTTTCTTATAAATTTCTAAATTACCATGAAATCTGTACCATTTTTGGCACTTACTAATGTTTCGAAAAAAAGATATGTGTGCCCTTTTTATTCGTTTTGGCCCTCCCTGTTCAAACCTGCATCCGGCGGCCCTGTATAGGTCAACATTTACTAAAATTAAGTAGCAAGAAAAACAATCCATTTATTAAGTAGCCCTTTACTGGCTACTTTCAAAAATTTGCTGACACAATATTTGAAAAAAGGGTGTGAGAGTTCTTGTACAGCAACAAACCTTTTTTTCTTTTTTTTTTCTTACCAGAATATCCTGTATATTAATTTTTGTTTATCTTATGTAATTGTATGTTAATTAGCTTAGGTTTTTAGACAAGGCACATTGTAAATCAGTTATTATCTTTTCATTACTGAATATTCTACCCTGTGAAAATAATTAAGAATAAAAAATAAAAATAAAAATGAATTTTGATCTCAAGATCGATCTCTCATATAAGAAAATTGATGTTACAAGAAGTCAACTGATTAAACTTTTGACAAGTCGTTCATGATAACAACATGATTGTAATTGTTATATTCATTTTATGCATTTTATCTTGTTCTTTTTCAGTGTTTGAAAATAACTTTAATTTGGAAGAATCTGATGGAAATTTCAGCTGATCTTTACAGATTTGAAATTAAATGTACAATTCACAAGCAGTTTTGATTTTGGACAAATATTGTTTGCTTGATTATTTAGTACTGGCTGATATTTTATCAGCTATGCTATGTTCAAATTTTGCAAAAAGGCAACAGAGAGGTTATAGAGACCCCTGGGGTAAAAAAAGAAAAAATGCAGATCACCTGCGAGCAGAGCGAGCAGAAAATTTGGCAATTACGGCTCTTAGATTAGCTTAAAATACATTTTAGAACGTTTTCTAACAGTAATTTTGACAAGTTAAGCGGTTATCAAATATCCAACAAAAGCCTGAAATTTCTGACCGCATCGCTGTTTGAGGGGGCCCAAGCCCACCCCCCATACCCTGACAATTTCTGCAACTGGACCAAAAGTACTTTAGTATGACATGTTACCGCTTTTTGCGCTATTTTCAAATATTTATTTGTTCTTAAAATATTAGGATGCAAGCAGTGCCATCACTAGCTATTGCGATCAAGGGGGATGATTCAGGTCCAATTTGACAAGAATGGGGGTGAGATATCCTTTATATAAGACAATTTTGAAAATTTACTGACCAAGCACTTCTAGATGGCATGCAAAAATCTCTTCATTTTTTAGATAGAATTTTCTTCTATCGGTTTCACAACCTTGGTCAAAATTTTATTACCTTAGCCTCAGCTTTTCCTAATTTTCTTTAATTTTCAACCAAATTTAAGGCCCTAGGCAGGCATATAAAATTGTTCTTATAAAAAGACTGTAACACATCAAAAACTCTTGGTCCCACTGGTATTCATGGGCAAACTCATGATGCATGTTCCTGTCCTGTCCTTTTATTATGTAAAAACATATCCTGATTTTTATGTCTTAAAGGGTTGAAGCTGAGCTTGCCTGTTAATAAAGCTTTTGAAAATTTCTTGAGAAGATAGGTAGACGTAGAAGATAGTGAATGACCTGCCATTTTCACCACCAGCAATAGATCAAGATCCTGCATCCCGCGGTAGTAGAGAACATTCTAGCAAGAGAAGTGTCGCAAAATATTTAGCCATACAAAATCGGGTGCGTTTTATTTACAAGAAACCAATAACATTATTCGGTACTTAATTTGCTTGGTTTTTGAGATAGAAGACCTACTGGTGCTACGCTTGTGTAGCAAGCATGATATGATTCATAAAAAATCCGTCGTCACGATATATGATAACGATTGAAATTTAGAGTTACCTGAGTTAGCGAGTCACCAAAGAGTAAAACTTTCGGAAAGTAAGTGTTAAAATCTAATCTGTCATTTTCTTTGCCCTCCATGTTTCGTGGCAGAAATGTGATATGTAGCGTTAACCAAACAGCTACTACCGCCAGCCGAGATAGGCCCATTATTGATCACATGCCAGTGTTATTGTTGCTGTTGTTGTTGCCTATCAAGGTGCTGACACGGTCACGTATTTGTTATATTTACCTCTAAACTTGTCTTCATTACTTTGCTGATTTCGATTAATTAATCCGTTTCTGATGGCTGTAAATACGCTTGCTTTAAAACTTAAAAAAAAGTCGGATGCATTGACGTATTTTTCAATCATTCTCAAAACCGTGGGTATCTCTAGAAATTAAAAAAAGGGGCCCCGCAGTCAGGCCAAAACGGGTAGCATTATAGGAACGCTAAAATGTTGCAAGAATTGCTGTGGTCCCTATCTTGTATCTTTTGACTTGCCATCGCTGGTGTTCGCTTCGATTCTTATTTAACGTCCAGAGAACACGGAGCCAGTGCGAGAGACAGTGTGTTCATATATACAGAAATCAAATTGCTGACTAAGGATGAGTTAGGATGATGTAATGATGATGTAATGGAGAAGGAAAGATCTAGACTTGGGAAGAAATCAGCATGACATAGATGTGTGAATGTGTAAACAATGGTAAAGGGAATGTCCTTTGGTATGTGATGCCGTGAATGACGAAGGGGATGAATGACGAATGAATGTGAATATGGCCTATTTTACAATATTAAAATCACCACAGTATGGCTAAGCAGTGGCGGATCCAGCCTGGGAAAAGTGGGGGGGGGGGACAAAAGGTGTGTCAGGGACAACGCTTTTTTGGATCACGCCCTTTTCCTATGTTTGAAACTTTTTCTTCTGGAGGAAACATCTGTTGTCTCCCAAGAAATGTCATTTACGTGTCATTTCTCATCAGGTTTGCAAGACTTTCTGGACTTTCTGGAAAAGTGGGGGGGGGAGACTAGTCCATTCCCCATTCCCCCCCCCCCCCCGTGGCTCCGCCAGTGTGGCTAAGATGTCAGACCGGTCTTCCGCCGATAGCAGAAAAACGCAGTAAGGTTATGTTTCAACGTGCAGAAGGCAAAAGCCAAACAAGAAAATTGTGTTAAAATAACAAACAATTAATAAGGAAAAATAATAATAGAAAAGGTGAAGTACTACGATAAAAGCCATTGAATGGGTAAAAGTACCCCTTGAATGTTGTAGAGGAAATTTGCTCGGACCAGGCAGCAAATAGTATAAAGTTGTAGATAGTAAACCTGTTTATTTGTCTTAGTTGGTTGAAAAACGAAGTGGTTACAAAGGGGGGGGGGGGTTCAGAGGCCACAACGTTCCTCAGACCCAATGAGCGACAACTTTATATGAGAGGAGGGACGGGACGCTAATTAATGTTGAAGTCTAGCGTAGTCATCTATAAATTGTTTTTGTTGGAAGAGGTTGCTCCATATTCCACATGATGACCGAGCGTTCCTCCAAATGAGGTGTCGTAAAAATTCAAGCGTTTCTAGATCACAGAGACTCTAAGCTGATGAACTTGAAATTCAGTTATGAACGAAGGAAAGCATAGGAAGAAGCAGGCGGGACTTTAAACTGAAATTGCATGTAAAACAGAGAGCATCTGGTAATATTGATGATTGTAATAGAAAAATTGTGGTACCAAAAGAGTCTAAAAAGGGCATTTGGTTTGGTTTTCTTTGCTACAACTAGGTTTCTTCTGAATTAAGGAAAAAGTTACAAAATATTTAATGGGAAAACTACAGGTTTGAGCTTATACAAAACAACTATAACTGCAATACAAGGAGTTACTGAAGTGTCGATCTGCTCTCTCGATCTTTCATTTCAAAAAGGAGAAAGACAAAAATAATGCAATGATCTCGGTAGCTACAATCGTCGCAAGATAAAAGCAGGGTCGCCAAAGCCAATCCAATATTTCTCACGAAACTGTCTGTGTTCATGAATTAGACAGCTATACGTAGGCCTTTAAAGTCACGGTGTAAAATAATGCTTCGTGATCCGACTACACCGAGGTTACAAAAACGCACCCAGTCTCAATTCTGTCTATAAGTATCGGGATCTTTATTCTGTTCATATATAACTTTACAAATTATGATATATTATATCAAATGCTTCCGCTATTATCTGGGCACACGGCGGTATCGTTCATTTTGACGTGATCTAAGTAGGTAGAAAACACAAAGGAACATGACTGCAAAATCAATTTCGTGATTTTCATAAAAAGCAAGCGAAACCAACAAAACGTTAACATGATTTACAAACAGAACATTTTAGACCCGTTGTCGTTTTTAGGAAGCCATATACTTTCAAACACCCATAATTATGGTCATGTTGCGAACACAATTTTCATTACCCGAAGAACATAACATTGAAATTCTTTCGATCTATAATATATACATATAATTACAATTTGTGAATATTTCAGGAAAAACAGTACATTATTCATCGGGCTTCGTATTCATTTTCAATTTTACCTTCCTTTATTCGTTCTTAAAGGCTCAACTGGATATTTATTTGAGTTTTCATTTTCAGCCTCGTTCGAATATTCATCATCACAAATCTCCTCTTTTATTACCACATTACCACATTCATCTAAATGGACAACAACTCTCCCAAGAAGCTCTAATTCCTCTTCATTTAATAAGGTTATTCCACTTGACAATTCTTCGATATTTTCTTCCATTACCTTTATCATTTTCAATTCATTTTTTGAAAATTCACCGCGTTTTTCTAGCTCCTGACAAACACTTGAAAATGCAGTTTTTCGTTTAAGCATACGCTCTTTTTGAGTACCTTCTTCCTTGGTATAGTCAGTTTTCTCCTCTTTAACTTGCATGCATTCATCTTTGGCCGAATCACTTTTATTGCCTTGCAATAAATTTTCTCTCTTTGGCAACACATTCGCAACGGCAATTAGTTCATCTGTTTCTACCATGCATGTTTTTGTCACCCTCTCTTTTTTAACCGTTTCTAAAATCATATCACCTTGCTTTTTGGAATGCGACAGGTCATTGCTTTCACCCTCTGAAAACGGCTCACATGTATCATTGGATTTTTCTTCAAGTTTGATTTTCGCCTCTTCAGAAAAATTTGACAACTTTTCTTGATCATCACAGTAGGTCTTCTCACGCAACTCATCAAAATTCTCAACTTGATCATGATTAGTATTACCAGCCCTCACATCGCATCTTGCTTCCATGGAAGATTCACATGGCTTTTCCCACAGGTCAAGACGAGGTTTATAGCCCCATATTTTTTCTTGCACTACGGAAAGTACTTTTTCTTTCGCTTTTTCGGTAAGATCTAACTTCTTGATATTTTCAAGAAGAATCAACGCGTTTTCGAGGCATTTACGTGACAACAGTCTACGGACAACAAAGAGTAAGCTTGCCCGGCTATGGTCAGCAGTATACCTCAAAACTTCAAGAAGATCCCCTTTATTCTCAAGGAGAAGCAGACGTGTGAAATCTTTATTATATTCCTTTGAGCGAAGAATTTTGAGGAATTCTGATGACATATCGGGATGATCCTGCCCGGCTGTGTTTGATCTTTGGAAATAATTTGTAGAGACTTTGCACTCTGGAAGCTCCGACATGTTATGTGTGTTAGAATTTGTACCTTGTCTGCTTTTGAAATCACTTTTGCTCTCTTCATTGCTCCTATAAGCAGCATTACTCTCTCCATTGTTCGCATAAGGTACCTGGATATTCATTTCAGGACTGGCCTCTTCTTTGACCGAAATTTGACTGGGAAAATTTTTGTGCTTGCTACCATCATACTTTTCCTCGAGAGATAGATCTTGTGCAACACTGGCTGACTTTTGAATTATTTCATTATCGTGATTTGACTTACGCTTTAAATTATCTGTTAGGATTTCAGAAGGTAAATTTTGGCTACAGAATCCCTGACGGTAGTGGGGAAAAACAGGATTTGCAGGGACCATGTCAGGGTTGACCCTGGGGAAGACATTCAAGCCGGGTATGCCCTGATCATGGAAAATATCATTTCGAACAGGTCCATTACAGGGAACGGTAGGAAAAATGAATGGAATATCATGTGTCAACTTCTGCCTTTTCATAGCTGGTTGTTGCGGAAAATATCGAGAATCAAGCATGGCTGGATCAACCCACGGATGTGTCATTACTTCTTCGGGTTGGTAAGGCAGCTGAGGAGCATGCTTAAAAGATACGGAATCAACTGGTGTAACCCAATATCCATTATAATTCACACCATATTTATGCTTATGTTTCTCTTGCAGATAATGATTAAACTGCATCCGTAAAATAGCGTTGCTGGTCGGAGGAAAAGGTACCGTTACACCAGGGTGCAGAAAATCAGCACCCTCTTTAGGGTTTCTTGCGATACCTTGTCTCCTTAATGCTTCATCGTACTGCATGGACTGTAGAAAGTGTCGACGAGGGTCCATCATTGATCGCCCTTGACTTGGGTGGTATTGAAGCTCACTTGACATTTGTTTTCTCGTGTGTTCTAACGAGACGATCGAGCTTTGAGAAAACTGCGGTCGATTAGGATGAAACATGGGTGCATCTGGACTAGTAGATGGCTCCTGAACCGTTTTACTGTGAACAGCAACAATTTTGGGATATTTTCCATAGTCGTATGCAAGCCCGACAAAACTGCCATCTGCTTCCATTTTCTGGTCGACGGTCTTGCTTACAGAGTTGTCATTAAAGGGTTCCACTACAGAACACGATCAGGCTTGTGGCCAAGTTGATTACCTGCGGATAAAGGATACTTGTGTCAAAAATTGCCGTAACAACTAAATAACAACTTGAAGGAGAGATTTTGTAATCTACACGCCTATTTACATCATTGGGCTTTGACATTTTAACTGCCTGGTAAGCAAAGCATGTTATGACATGAATTGACTAGAGACATTGAACGTGCTCTTATAGCAAAGAGTTTGTAGGGCAGCATTTCTTTCTAAAATACTTCCATAAATGGAGACACGGAAAAAACAATAGCAACATTAAGCAACGACAGGAAGCAAGTTTAAACCTGGATCATAACAGTACAACTTCTCACTAATTCTAGACGTGGCTAATCTGAAATCATCAAAGTTAGTTAAAAACATTTATATATATCTGGGACTACTTTATGTGCGCTTGTATTGCTGATGATACAAAGGTGAAAACGAGACCTATATATCTGAAAACGAGAGTCAATTACACACAGACATGGAAAACAATCAGAGGCTTGTGTTTCTTGCTGCGTTTAACATGCCATGAATATGACTTCGTTCTAGCGCAAACGCGACCTAAAAAGGTCACATAAATTCTATGACTTTGGGAGCACATAACAGTCCTGTACCTTTCTGTTTTTATGCTGTGAGTCAAGTGGAAATGACACGTCTGATTAAGTTTGTAGAGATAAACGAACTTGTAGATTAAAAAAAAATCAACAAGTAGATTGTTAAATTTGTTTTCTGTTTTTACAAATCAATTGATTCGAAGAATGTGTAAATAACTCATGTCCCATCGGTGGAAATCTCAAACCAACTTTAAAAAAGATAACAGAGAACTATATAGCTTCCTCGACTTGTCCTTAATGGTTAAAAGGAAAAACAAGACATTTGCTATGTGACATTTTCCAAGTTACCTTTAACATAGTTTAATTGGTATGGAATGTATTTATTAAAGCTACTCAAAAGCCACTTATACAAAAAGCTAGGTAGAGAACAGAAGGACACCAAGCTGGATTTTCTGACATTTTCTTAGATCAGCAATTTTCTTCTCGGCAAGACCTCGCAAGAATTTGAATCAAATGGCTGTGTTCCCGTTGTAGTTAAGTTGTGGCTAGAATAAATTGATTTCCTGCTTGGTTTGTGCGACAGATATGTCAAAAGTGAACGGAAATGCTTCCATAATCATCATTCAATTCCAGTAATCAAATCTTTTTGCCATTTGTGAACGTTTTTTGCTCGCAGTTCCAAATGCCGTCCACCATCGAAGCTAGGCCAGCCAAAGAGAGCAGCGTATTCCGTTAAGGCGCGAAGATCAATTGTTCATATTAGCCAATCATTGAGGGGACAGATTGCCATTTAATCTGTGTCTTTAGAACAGAGAATCCGCGAGCTTCACGAAGTTTAGTATGACATGTTCCGGAAAATGCGCCATTTCAATTTTTTACGTAATTGGATACGTCGGTTGCACTTAACTCATAGCTGTCACGTTATTATCTCCGCTATGAAAGACCGGGTATTTGCTAAACCTTTTCTGTGCCTAATTTTCTGAACTTGAAGTCGCAATATGTTGTATAAGGTATTAATCATATCAATGAAGATACAGTAAAATAAAAAAATCAATAATAGTTTATTTGATGCAACTTATGATAAAATATAATAAACTATGGAAACTAATAAACATAGCTCTATAAAATATTTCATCACATTGGCAGTAACTTTCAACTGGTGCTTTCTTACTTGTAATACCCGCACATACGACTAATGGCTGAGACAAGAGTGACAAATAGTTATTTTCCAATTTTAGGGAAAACGTGTTGCTCGTAAACTAACCATAGTACAAAGAGACAGTTGGATTCCAGCTTGCTTGCGCGTAAACTAATCGCATTAAAAGGGACCATCTAGAAAAACAGAGTGACAATGACAGATGCAAAACAAATTAATCGGTGACAACACAAAGTAAAAAGGTTGACCTTGAACACTGAAGAACGATACCACTACCAAACAGTTCGTGACACCATCACAGAAACAAAAGCAGGCGTCGTTGACCTGCGAAATACCTTTGTCAAATTGTATGGGAGAACATTCCCGAATGACTTACTGCGTAGAAGGTGTCCGTTCGAATTTCAAACCTTTGAAATTTCTTTCTTATGAGACTCCCTAATGCCAAAGTCAATTGACGTATTTGTTTATCGCAACAGCACGATTGACGATATTAGACACTGGGCAGTCCAGTATCAGAAACGGCTGCTTGTGAATATGCCGCAGTCAGAGCTCTGTTGGCCTCACCGACAACTCTATCAATGTAACTCTAATTAAGTATGAAGAAATTTCACATTATCTAAAAAAGATACGCCGTCTGTTTCTCACCTTGAACAAGAAATAGCTTGATGTGAATACCGAGGAAGACCTTGATCTTCGACGATTCTTGACTACAGGAAGTTCCAATAGTCTTCTGTTTTAAGCCACCAATGAGGTGTTTATTATAGACTTCCGGTTCGCAGCCTCAAACATATTTTAAACTGCGGCTTACAGGTTAAGTTTGTTCGCGGTTGCGGCCCCTGAAATAACGGTTTGCGCCTTTCTAAAGAAATTTCAAGCGATTTCTGTAGTGTAGCTATGGATACTGTAGTTAAATAGAGGAAGAGATTCCTAGGTTAAAGTTAGAAGAAATCGTAGATTTTTATGTAGAAAACAATGAAAAATCTTTGACAGCGGTTTGCGGCTTCTTTGGCCCTATGTGGTTCGTGGCTTTTGGCCTCCACCCAATCATCATACCAAGAACACAAGGACCACCGGCCGGGATTCAGCTCTTCCTGCGGTCATGTAATGCCTGTTCTACTGCTCTTTTGATGTATACGCTGAGGATACGCTGCATACTATGCCAGACAAGAACGGGAATAAAAACACACTGTGTTTTCCGCAGTCAGTTTTTACTTACTTTGATTTAACCGGCATAAAAATTATTTGTTTCTTTAAGCTAAAATGATAAGGTTGGAAGCAACACTTTCTCAATAATACCTTGCCACACCGTCTATTTAAAACGTGGCTCAGATTTCTTCAGTTCCATTCAAGTTGGAAACAGAGCTGAGATTCCATTGGCTGCACGAATCTCATGGGCGACAAATTGGGATTCAGTCAAGTCATTTTGATACAGGTAATTTTTACTTACAGAAAGCCCTTTCAGAATGGTAACGGCTTAAAATTTTCTTAGAAAATTGAGAAAACAACAAAAATGGCAATCTGTTTTCAGTTCTTAAATATATAGGCCTTCGGGTTGTTAATAAAATACCCAAATGATATTCACACGCAACTTTGCATTAACCCTCCATCCACTGTGGTACTCTCATCACTAAAAGCTACTAAATACTTTTCGAAAATGGCTTTGAAAAAAGCAAACATTTTACGACATACTAAAAGCTTTTTCGTCTGACACTCCTCAGAGCATAAAACGTCAGAATAAGGTTCCGAAAGAACACAATGGAAAATATATACCCAGTTGTGGATCGAAATAGGCCAATCAGAAAGACGCAAGCACAAGACCGTTATAGTTGATCAATCAGCTATTTTCAAAGCCATTTTCAAATTCTGTACCGCAAAAAAATTGTTAAATACTTTTTCGCGTATAAGAAAATCTTGAATTCAATTATTGTCAAAGGTTGATTATAGTTCTTTTGTAATGAATGTGTTTTTATATGATTTTAAAGGCACTTTATCCGGACCCATGGCCATTTAATTTTCCCATTGGTTGGAATAGACCTATTGTTACGCATCCAATAAACACGCTGGAAAGCCTATTGTTAACTTTGAACAGTCGACTAACGGGCCTTTAACCTAAATTCAAAAGAGTTACATAGAGTAAATTCCTAACTAACATTATATAATAACTAACAATAACGTCTGCACACCAAAAACGTTACAATCTATTACACTTCTGACCCTGTGTTTCTGACGATTTAAACGCAGCTAGGGTTTTTGCTTTGCTTCTTATGATTCGCTTATGGATGTTGGGGCTTCTTAGGCTACATTCCATTACTCCGTTTTCAAATGTCTCCGTTTTCGGATGATCTTGAACCGTTTCCATTGCTCCGTTTTCACCCAGAGAGCCTGGCACGAAAACGGGGGTGTTTCCATTACTCCGTTTTCGTTCGTTTTCATTTCGTTTGTTTGCATTCGTTTGAAATCATCAGAAACTGGCTAATATTACGCTTCTACGTTCTTAATGTAGGTCCTGTAAAGCCAAAACAATGCAAAATATACTCCGTAGAGTATCTATAGCTATCAGTAACTGAGACATGGATATCACTGCATTTGAAATTTCCATTTTACTGTTATTTTGCAAGACTCAAAAGCAAGAAATGCAGAAATAAATGTTTACTTTGATGTTGGCGCCAAGTTGGTTGTTGTTGTTGTGGCGTTTTCGAATGACTCCGTTCTCGTTGTTTCCGTTGAAAACGATGCGTTTTCAGATGTCTTCGTTTTCAAACCACTCCACTTTGAACAGTGTTTTCAAATGTCTCGTTTTCGATGGTTTTCAATGGAAACACCAACCCAAAAATGGAGACATTCCACTCAATTTTCATACGAAAACGGAGTAATGGAAACGGGGCCTTAGGCCAACACAGAGAAATCTTTTATATACGTCACATCACATCAATCAATAGGGAAGACAAGATGTCAGTTATTTCAAAACTGGCATGTTACATAAGATCCTTGGTTTTGCCACAAATCATTTGCTGTTACTGCGGTATGCAGTGGTATATGCGTCATAAATGGTGTTGCCAGAGGTATTTCGTGCATTAACCTTTATCTTCTTCTTGCGTAAGCAAACTTAATCCGTTTACGTCAGTCACAGGAATCTCACGGCAGGAGGATGTTTTCTTACACTGGAAACAGCACTTCCGGTTGATCAATGAACGAGAATTTATAGCAACCATGTTAGCTTCGTTGCTTCATTTGCTTTTGTTTTATTCCGCGTACTTTTGATTAATGATACGATGCGGCTGATATATAAGCGAAAGACTATGAGCAAATCATTTTACGATTTTCAGGTTACGGAAAAAACCACGAGAGGTGCTAGACTGGGTAAACGGGCTTTGCAAACTGTTGTACTCCAAAAAAGTCACGGGCTTAATTTGCAGATTAGGTATGATGCAGCAAAATATTGTGATTTATAACAAGTGGACCATTTAATGGCGCAAGTTAGGAATTCGCAATAAAAGCGCTGTTCCCACAGACTCTTCTTCCAGTCAGACGAGAAAAATATTCATGCCTGTTTCCTACATTTTAGGTAATTACTCCAGTAACAACCGAAAATTATATTTCTTAATTGCATTTGCAAATTCCAAGCCCATTTGTCATTCTGTGAACATCCATGTGATAAACATTATGTATTCAAATCTAGTGAAAAGGAAATATCGAGCTTACTCGACCACGGGTGAATCAGGGTGATATCGATGTTAATTGAGACATTAACGATCGTTAACTTTTAACGGTGTTGATAAACATATACCAGTGAAACCGAAAACCCAGTAATCAACGAGACACGCATGTAAAACACAGAAATGCCGGGGGGGGCATTAATTTACGTTAAGAAAATATGGGGGTGTTAAATTCACACAAAGCAGGAAAAACTGCCACTGATTCACGTTAAATTTGATTCATTGACTAGCTTGATTAATTGATACATTTAAAATTGGTTCCTTTTCATCGATAGCATTAACAAGTTATAAAAACAGAGAATATATACCTAAAAACGCAAGGGTCTTGATTTTCGTGCTGCAATACTGGATACCGATCGACTGAAAATAGATAGTTTGCGAAGATCGCTTTAAACTACGGGGATCACACCGCAAGCAAATGACTTCAAGTTGAAGTCAACTATTGACCATATCACCAACTCCATGCCTTTAAAAACCTGTTAAAGTTGATACAAATACATTTGCATCTGGTTCGAAGAATAGGATTTCGTTATCCTTTCAAATAACCTTTCTTACTGTTAGTTTGACAATAGTGTGAACGATAATAAACACTGACATGAATAAATTTAAGAGATTGCATTACGGAACTATTGAATGCCAGCGTTACAGGCGTATTGATTTTCAAAATAGCAATCTTTTATAAGAACTTTTCTATCAAAGCAGGATACTGAGACGAGAAGATTTCGTTACACTTAAAATAAAGATATCAAAACTGACAAATTCCGAAATTAATCTGAAAAGACCTTTTATTTCAACGCACGTAACTATCACGACAGAATTTTCAGTAAATATGTATGTATTTAAAGCTCTGCCAAGCGACCATGTTGATTTATGAGCTCTTCAAACGTGAATAATTTGCCTAAAATGCAGTCCCTGAAAACCATAAAACAATAGGAAATGATAATAAAGTTATCAAGTGTAAAGCGGCCGCTTTAAATTAAATATGTAATTATTGTGGACTAGTTCAAAGACATTATTGTGGACAATTGAAATAATAATTGTAGTTTGCAATGAGGCATTTACGGAAATGTGGTGTTTGTCGCTTGTCTCCCTGGAGAATTTCACGCTGAGCCTATCTCCGCACCAACGTTGTTTTATTTACAATGCCGCCTTCTATGTTTCACACCTCTCAGTCATGCTTCGATCTTCGCGAAATCTCGATCTTGGAAGATATTCCAACCGTGCTTCTATTATTTTCGTTAGAATGTCAGGCCCTCAAGTGGCATACCTACCGAACTAGTATATGCAGAAGATGGGTTTATTTACCAGTGTCTACCCCTAAAGTTACAATTATAACAAACAAAGAGTTTTCTTCGGCGTTTTGATAACATTTTATATATTTAGGATACGTTTAACTATGTTTTCTGACAATTCATTTCAGATTAACAGTCGAGTTTCTTAAAGTTAGTAGAAACAGACTTCGAAATACCGACATTTTTCCAATTTTAAAAAATCTAGCTGTTAATGAAAATTTTAGGGGGCATATACCCCCTCCCCCATGTAACACAAATGCGCAATCCCATGCTGGAAATTATTTAAGCGGATATTTTTGAAATGGTGCTATGATCAAAGTGCAACTTTATCAAAAAAATTTATCGAGAACTTGTCTTTGGAGATGTTCGCGCGTGAACTTTTAGCTTCACTCTTGCTTCAGTCTGAAACCTACCAGGCACAATGTAGCAGAAAATTTGATTAGCCAAATCCAGACTGCTTTGCAGATGGCAACTCCGTTCTCAATCATCGAACTCTTCGCATTCAGCCAAGAAGAAACCAGTGTTAAATGAACATGCAATTACCTCGCAAGACGCACATTTGACTGATCAACCCCAAGCCACAAATATCTCAAAATGCTTAACAGAGTCACGAAACAAAACGCCGAAAAAGGCGAGCACAGAAAACGACAAGCAAACAAACTGCAACACGAGAGAGTTTAGTTGCGACAGCTGAAATCAAAATATCACAAGTCACAACACAGTCTTGGATTTCCAGGATAAGTAAAATACACAACAGTCAATCAAAGTAAGATACACAACACAGACAAGCGCGGGCCAACATGCAACTGCGGTAAGGCGCAATCTTATTAAAAATAATAATAGATATCTAGACGCATAAAATACTATACTCTTTCTCTACCTTCAATGTGGTCTTCTGGAAGCTTCCTGGCATCTGTTAAATATCGAATCTTCACTTCAAGGTTATTTGGCTTACTACAAGCAGGTCGTGATTGGTCGATATGCAAATGAAAAGTGTGAAGGGGTGTTCGTACCTAAGTGCCTTTCTCTGCATGACAAGTCTCCGGAATTGTCAACAGCACTCTTATGTCAATTGGACGGAACAGCGATATTTATGCTATTTGTGGCAACGAAAGGAAATGAAGACAACCAATTAAAATTCCTGTTCAGCTATTTGTTCGGAACGCAACTTTAAAACACCCTGGAGACATTAGATCATTGACTAATGACAGCTGATTGTTCGTAATTTAATTCCTTTGGGATACTTCTATCATTTTGATATTTGCTCTGAAGAAGCCCCGTATTTATTGTTGTTCATTCTCGTCGCATTGCGGCGTTTCTTATTTGCTACATTTCGATATTTCTCGTCAGTGTCTTTGGAAATCGAAATTGTCTGGCTAACAAAACACAACGCACACACAAACCCTGCATCATGGTACATGCCCTCCCAGCTCCCAGGAGTCTTCACTACAGAATTAGGGACATGACCCTCCCCCCCCCCGTCACATTTTGGCACAACGAAAGGACTTATACTCTTTTTTATAAGAACGCGATTTACAAGAACATCGAGACTTGATTTTGCCTAATTGATAAGAGCAACGTGCCCATCCTAAAGATGTAAACCCACTCCCGAAAATGATCCGCGGATAGGATCTGGATCAGATCGAGTTGGTCTGGCCCGTTTCGTTCGACCCGCAGTCTTTTCGGATTGGTACGTAAATGACATCTTTTGTAGTCCTTGCCCAACGGGATCCTTGCCTAATGACGCAGGTGTTCTCTATTATTTGAAGATTTCCTATTCAATGTCGATCATCAGAAAACTACTGTACCGGAACGATTGGAAAAAGGTTGAAGCGATTTTACCTGAAAAACTGGAAGAAAAACAATGTGTAGACAAAATTGAACAAAACAATGCATATTTAAAAATCATCGGGTTCTTTTAAAAACGGAGTGAAATCGTGAGGCCCGGGGGACATGACCCCCACATTTCTGCAGAGCGATAAAAATATTGAGGTAAAAATAAAATAAATGTACTATATCATTCTGTAATTAACGGTGCTTTGTAATCCATTAAATATGTTCTTTAACTTTAGCTAGGCTGCTATGTCTTTGAACATTGGAATTTAATCTAGGAAATCGGTCATTGTCCAAGTTGTACACCGAGTAACAGCTTGGCCTAGGAAATAGATCGAGAAACCTGATCCAGATTAACTTGGTGCCGTGCCAGCACAAATTGACGGAGTTTCGTTTTTTCTATGGCCTAAGCTTGGCAGCGAAGGTCTAATTTTTAACGAAAACGTTCTCGGAAACATTACAAAAAGAGAGAAATCAGCTGTTGAAGGAAAAGAAACAGTAGGAAAGAATACTTTTGAGGATATGTTTGTACTATAAAAGGAAATAAAATTTTGAAGTTTGATTGTACCGCTAACCCATCCCTACTAAGAGAATCTAGACGCAATTTTGGGTACTTTTAAAATCTAAAAAATGTTTCATTACAAGATTTATTATAAAGGTTGTTCTAAAACTTTGCAAGACCTTTCCTATTTGAAGTCATCTTTACAAAAGACGAGACTATGGGACATATTGATAAAACAAATCTTAAATATATTGCCTTGGGTTTTCCTTTAGTCAAAATCCACTTTAGATGCAATTTCTGGCCACCTCTAAGACACCATAATTCAAAAAAGTTTCCCAACCCTTTCAAGACTTTTCATGAAATTAAAGCCCACGCCTGTTTCATACGTATGCTTTCAATTCTTTCTATGACAAGTCAAAAGATTTTTTGAGAACTGTAAAATTAAATTAATTATTGCTGTTGGAAATTATTATAGTTGCCCATATTAAATATGGGCAACTATCTGTTAGAAAATTGTCGATTTAAAATTTTATTGAGGGGAGTTTTTCGTGGCAGCTTTTTCAACTTTTAAATTTATTGAAAAACATAACCTTAATTATACACATCAAATGTTCTACCTGAAGTATAATATATTTCTAGAGTAATGTTTCTCATACTTTCTTAAAAAAAGAGTTTCTTCATTATCATTTAATCAATTTTAACTTTCGGTGTCCTATAATGAACTTTTGTATGGTAGGAAATTTTCCAATAAAAGTTTAGGAAGGATTTTCGCTGATGCAAACAGTGAGATTCGTCAATATATTGTTTTCACGTGTTCATGAAATTTTACGTTTGTTTAAGCTTGGTTTCCACTATGAGTTAACGTGAGTTAATTTGAGATAATTTTGTGATCCGAGTTGGTTTAAAAATTATCTCATAGTGGAAACGCTCATGAAAAATTATCTCATGAAAATTAACTCGTGTTAACTCACGTTATCTCATGAGCTTGGAAACAAAATTTTTTGATTTCAAGCTCATGAGTTAACTTGAGATAACATCTTATCAAAAGAAGCCGATGCGTGGGAGGGGAAGGTGCTATAATTTGCACTGAGGTTCTTACGCAACGCACTTGCACTGAGTATTACTTTAGATGTTGAAAACAGTTTTCTTTACTAAAAAAATTAATTGTGAAATAAGAGAAACATTTTCTCATTTCTAAGATCCTTTTGCAAGTGGTCGTATTCACCAAACGCATATCTTTTTTTGGTAGACTCTCCGTACAGAAAACCTTGGCGCAGATCGCGAACGGCACTTCTAGCAAAAAATATTTTCCTTCTAAGTATTCTCAAAAGCAGAAGTAAAATAAGTTGTTCTTGTAAGACGCCCGCCATAGCTGGAAGACTCAAATAAAATGTGATTTCTGAAATTTCAATACTTAATTCTATCTCAAGTGGAAACCGAATCGGTACATGGGTTAATTTTGAGATAGCTCGCGTTATCTCACGCTATTTCACACTATCTCAAGTTAACTTGAATTTAGACCATGAGTTAATTTTCAATTTAGCTCAGAATTATCTCACGTTAACCCATAGTGGAAACCAAGCTTTAATGACGACCAGCCTACAAAATAACTGGGTGGTCAAGAAAAATTAGAGCTATGGGTTTTTCTGATTGTCAAGAAGAAGTTTCCTAATTTTTCTGTTTGTCTAGAACTCGTTTCTTATTTTATATGTAGTTCTAAAATTGTATATGTGTAGTACTGTTCTAAATTTGCATTTGTGTAGTACTGTTCTAAATTTCTTCCCTCTCAATTTCCTTTTTGCCTACTTGCTGTCGCCATTTAACGATCCTTTATATACAGGCCCTTATCTTAATGGCGTAATTTTTTATCGCTGTGGCGGTTAAAAGACTGACGGAATAGGGCCGGTGCTCAGACCCGTCGCTAGCTATTGTGCTCAGAGGGGCCGACAAAGTGGGTGACCTGTCCTGTACTTGCCGACAAGTTTAGAAATTTGCCGACAAAAGAACCCCTAGATGGCAAATACTCCTCGCTTTTGCAATGGAAATTACAGGGGAATGTCACGACTCACCTGCGTCCGGTGATCAAAAAGCGACGGGCCTGCCGGTGCTCAAAATGCTAAAATACTGAAAGTTTGGAACAAATAGTGGCGCTATTTTTGCAAGTATGAACAAATTTGTTCTGCTTGTTTTTCCAAGTATAAACAAATTTTGAAATGTTTTTGGAAACAGATTAGATAATTCGACGAGGCCAAGGTTAAAGCTCACTAGTCCGGATAAATGTAATGATATCAAGTCCTCAAGATTGCAAAATTGTTTCCTAGCATTCACTTAAATAGTGAAAAATTGCAGTTATCATCGCTAAAGTTCCCTCCTTTTATCAATTGCGAATCTGCTAGCGAGAGTGCTTCGGAAGCCAAGAGAAGAGACTTCCGCAGTCCGCACCGAAGTTAACGCAAATTGTTGCCATGGTAAACATTCTTTACTCTGAAGTCAATTCCATTCAATTCAATTCAAGAAAAATATGTAAAATGGCGGCTGGATGAAAATTGGATTTTTCACTATACGGCGACTTTCGCGTGATCTTGCTTTTAGTCTCATTTATTAAGCACTCTTGCCAGTTTAAGCGATGTAAATTATACAGGTGCTGACAACTGATGCATTTAGAAAGAATCGTTTATAGATTTATTCAATAATACAACCAACAGTTCTCGCTCCACAAGCAATGTTACCGCAAGATGGATGACAAATCTTTGAATTTTGAAAGGTGCAGTATAATTATTGTTGCTAATTAATAAGACGACTTATTCTTCAAAGCTGTTTCTACTATCAGTGACAATAATTAGGTAGTGACCAGAAGCCGGACTGCAGTGTAGGACAGTTTCCAAGAAGACATCTGGTGTGCAGGTCAGGAGTATAATTTCAAGGGTGCTTGCAAGTGCGCACTTCAGTTTTGCATATAATTTACACAATTATGCTAGAGCCCAAGGATATCGACAAAGATAAGTAAATGGGCATGATTAATAGTTATTTTGTATCTATCAAACCAATGCAACATGCAAGTGCACACTATGTCGATCTTGTGGAAACACGATTCTTTATTTGCCCTAAGCGTTTTAGGACATACCTACTATATGTCTCAAAATGCCACACCTGTTACCAGGTGGGCAGGGACATTTTAAAAAAAATAACTCGGGTCTGCACACTCTGCAGTCTGGACCAGAAGAAGAGCAAACAACTTTCAAGCAGACAGCTTTTAAGATTTACCAGTTCTTTTTTCTTATTTTATCCCTATCACAAAACTGAAATTTTAACATCTGACTTATAATGATTAAAATCACTTTAATTGAAATAACTCAAAACATATATACGCATAATATTTTTGACCCTCTTGACCCTATGTTTTGGCATAAATCTTTGCTACTGCCCATACCATCCTACATTTTCTGGGACATACTGCCAATTCTTAATGAGAATGCAGAAAATGCCAACTTATTCAATGTTTCTACTTTCAAATGAACTTTTATTCTAGGAAGAGAGAGAAAGATGCTGCTGAAACAATCGAGAGATGTTGGTGCTCTTACAGAGATCACCAAATGTTTAAACTCCTCAAGTATGCTATCTGTGCTGCAGTATGTATTATGCTGAGTTAAATCAATTTTTTAAAACATGATTTTTAACAAGGATTAAAATTTTAAGAATTTTTAGCTTTGGCCCATGAACAATGAAGCTGGCAGTGCTGGCTGGTTTTCAACTTGTGTAACTCTTAGATCAGCAAGATTAATTGGGAATTCTTAATATGCAGATTGGCAGATTCTGCCCCTATCATTTCTGCAGTGTGTCAAAAGCAATAAGGACTTTTGTTGTTAGCAATAAACAACAATCAACAGAACTCTGCTTTTGCATATTTGAGGTTAATTCTAACTATAGCTTGAGTAGCACTTTTAATTCAATAAGAGATTAGAAGCTCTATTGTAAATACTACCAGTCTTCACCAAAGAGCTCCTAATCTGATACAAAATTTATGAAGTTATGAGAATAATGCACAAAAGTATCCAAACAGACCCTCCTTTATGCTACTTATCATAACTGCTTGCAGTTGATTTTGTGACAAAGCCTCTAATTTAAGTGCAGAAGAATTTTTTGCTGTTGTAATGTTTGCATTTCCTAGGTACCTAATCTGATTATTGTTATTGTTGTGTTATTTATTGAACAATAGTGAATATTTTCCAGATTAGGAAATGCATTCAGTCACTAAGTTCATCCACATGATTGAAAGAGTACTAGACTAAGAAATTTTTTGATGATCTTCATATATAACAAACTCTGCCAAAGTTTACCCTGCCCCACAATTTATGGAATTAAAAAATATCAGCCTGAACATGTCTAGTGACTTGTGATAAATCACAATTATTTCAGAGTTTGTTATTTTCTAATTCATTCTATTAAACTAAGAAAAACTGCATTCATTTAGTATCTAATTACAGTTCCACATAAGAGTCTTTCATTACCCGGTGAAAAATCTTGCAGGATCCTATAGGATCCTAGAAGGATACTAGATTGTTAGGAAAATATCAGCAAGTGAACATGTCTAGTGACTTGTGCCTAAATCACAACATGTAGTTCAGAGTTTGTTATTTTCTAATTCATTCTATTAAACTAAGAAAAACTGCATTCATTTAGTATCTAATTACAGTTCCACATAAGAGTCTTTCATTACCCGGTGAAAAATCTTGCAGGATCCTATAGGATCCTAGAAGGATACTAGATTGTTAGGATCCTGGACAAGTTCCTACGAAAAATTCTGCAAGATCCTGTGTGCATAGGATCTGATGCAAGATCCTATGTAAGGATCCTGTAGGACAAAATGTTGCAGAAAACAATAAAAAAGTAGAAATTTGCCAAGTTTTTGGCATTAACACGGGGGGCTCAGCTCCTAGCCCTACACCTCTGATCTTAAATGCATATCAATCAATTTCATGGACTATTGATGCAGCAAAGCTCAATAAAAACAAAACATGTGCATCATAACAATCTCTGATGATTGTATATACCACACCCTTAAGTTTAGCTGTATTGGCTGAAAAAATTTCAAAAATCGATGACGAGAGAACGCTGTATACAACAATTTCAGATCCATTTTCGGAATAAACAAACATAACTTTGAAGTAATCCTTGAAGCAAATTAACCTATTGGTCTCAGAAGCTTTTTCACCTGATTCTCATTCTTCAAAAGGGGCGCACAATTTCTAAAAGGCGCCATACTTGCCTGAACTCGTCGAGGGAGGGGCAACTGCCCCTAGTTGCCCCCCCTTAAATTTCTCAAAGGCGCCATACTTGCCTCAACTCGTCGAGGGAGGGGCAACTGCCCCTAGTTGCCCCCCCTTAAATCCGTAACTGGCCTTGGGTATGCTCAGGCTATCAATTTTCTTTTTTATGATTCAAAAAGTTTGAAGTTTGTCTAAAAGACATAAAATTTGTCCGCCATAACTAAAGTACCAGTTTTATAACGGAGCAGCTTTATTACTGCACAAAACCGTTATGTCACTGCACAAATTGGTTATCATTGAACCTATGTTGTCATGTAAATATGGTTATAGAAAACGATGTTTAACTGGAAATATTTTTCAAATAACAATTTTCCGGTACCGCACACATTGCTATTTCTCTCGTTGGCCTTAACATGAATTTATTTTCTGTATACAAAATGGATCTATCTCACGTGGAAAGATTATGTTTCGTGAAATTCAGCTGTTCAGCTGCTTGTAAGACAGGTTTTCGAAAGACTACAAGTTGGCAAAACACCTTGTTCAGATCTCCTTTTGAAAATTTTGCGAAATCCAAAACCTTTTCTTTCCTCGTTTTCTATTAACTTGCATTTCTTCGACGCCTTCATCTTTTGACTGGAATATACACTGCCAGGAACAAACGCAGATTCGTAGGAGCCATGCTGGATCCATGCAGACAAGTGGCGGGGAAAAGAGCGCTCTTTTCAAATCATAGGAAATCTCACTACTTTTACGATGACCCTTGTGACAATATAACATTTTTAATTCTACGATCCTTAAATCATTTTAATGATGGCATTTTCATTTGGATTATAAGAAACATTAGCGACACGGACTAAAAAAATTATGTTTCTGATGATCGATACTCTAGTAAAAACCAGGTGTTCAAAAACTTTTCACTGTTTTTCATTTCAGGCTATTTGCATGTAGCTATGTTGCTAATGCTACTGTTCAGGAAAGATAGCTCTTTTGATGCAAATTCAGATTCTTATGACGAAAGTAGATGGCCCACAGAACAGAAAACATGCATTTGCCTTAATGTCTTTTGCAAGGTGTTCAACAACTGTTCACTGTTTTTATCCAGGCTATTTGCATCCATGTTGCTAATGCTACTGTTCAGGAAAGATAACTCTTTTGATGCAAATTCAAATTCTTATGACGAAAGTAGATGACCCACAGAACAGAAAACATGCATTTGCCTTAATGTCTTTTGCAAGGTGTTCAACAACTGTTCACTGTTTTTATCCCAGGCTATTTGCATCCATATTGCTAATGCTACTGTTCAGGAAAGATAGCTCTTTTGATGCATATTCAAATTCTTATGACGAAAGTAGATGGCCCACGCAACAGAAAACATGCATTTGCCTTAATGTCTTTTGCAAGGTGTTCAACAAGTGTTCAGCTGTTTTTGATTCCAGGCTAATGCCACCCCCTGCATCCATGATGTAGAAAACCTGTCATATATCATATATCATATTGATTTAAAATTTTGCTTATGCTGCTGTTAATAGAATATAACTCTGTTTTTTGTTCTCAATGTTATTAAACTTTTGCACCTTTTTTCTTTTGCAAATCTGCAACGGTCAAATTTTTCTCTGAATCCCCCCCCCCTGAACTGCTAAATTTTCTTTTTCAATTTCATATTGTATGTTGGAAAATTTTGCCAAACTGGCATGATAGGTTGTCGTTTAATTTATGAAATATTGTTGTTTAATTTAGCCTTTTAAATGACTTACCGTCTCGTGTTCAAACGACGTTTATGCGCATGAAATTTTTTGAAAGCACTTTTGAATCTATGATTCAATTTCTAAATAATCACAAAATAATTACAAATTAATAAAAAATTAATCACTCTTATCACTAGAAATCACATTAATCACACACAAAACTGATTTATTCGCCAATTAATCACTAGTGATTATTAATGTCGTACACACCTTTTTCAGAGTGATTTTCCCCTCGATATACAGGATCCTGAATAGATCATATACAGGATCCTAAACAAATCCTATACAAGACCCGAATCATGTCCTACAGGATCTATACAGGATCCTATACAGATCCTGTACAGGAACCTGCAAGACTTTTCACAAAGATTCAAGAAATACATAGAATCCTATTAGGATCTTATAAGGATTGCTTTTATTCTTATCAGGATCCTGTAAAATCTTATTAAGGTCGTATAGGATTCTATAAGATCCTATAGGATCCTGTACAGAATCTTGTATAAGATCCTGTAAGATCCTTTACCAATATCCTGTGAGGATTCTGCGAGGATCCTATACAGGATCCTGCAAGATTTTTCTCTGATTAGCCAGTTTTGTCGTTTGGGAAAATGTATGCTTGACAAAAAAGTAAAGAAAGTAATCAAGTTAAAACTGAAGCAATGCAAAGTGTGCACCTCAAATTATCAAACTTAATACCAGATTGCTAATGCTATCTGTCCTGGTTAAGCCATTAGCCTGGCATTAAAATACGAGGAAAATTCGCTACTTGTCAGTAAAGCTGTCCTAAAATGCAAAAGGAAGCGATAGGTGTCCACTAAAGAGATACCAACATGTGACCTTTTAACTTCAATACATACTATTTATATGGTCACAACTCTACTTGCAAGAACAACTTAAAACCACGATCACACTTTGATAGCCATTTCTATTGTAACCTTTTAAAGACTCTACTCTTCTTCTCTCTCGTGGGACTAAATAAATAAAATTGTTGACCCATATGTCCATTTTCACCAAATCAGTTCTATTAAAGAATTTGTCTCACCATCGGGTGATTTTAAATTGATAAGGAGTCATGTATGAAAGAGGAGATGATAAATGCTGTGCAACACATCGCTTTAAATTTTTATGAGTTTTACATGTATATGTTCAAATTTTTAAAGCGTCTTTTTTGTCTTGAAAGGAGCACTCTTTGACATTTGAAGTCTTAAGAAAAATTTCACCAGCAGAGGCTGACTTACTACAGGATCCTGTTTTTCAACCAAAGGTGAAATTTAGGTAAATAGAAATAATTGATTTTCTTTTAAAACACTTCATGATTTTACAGCAAGTGGTAATTTTCTCATGCAAAATTAACTAAGTGTACTATAGTGATGGCAATATCCTATTTTCTAGGATTTATATTTGTAGAATAGGAGTAATTTTTAAGTAAGTGAAACTTATCTTTCTTGTGATGACTCTGTAGTTCCAATGTCCCTTGAATCAACTATATATTACATGCTCTTACAACCTTACAAAAGTTCCTCAGACTTAATGTATCAATCAGAATATTGTATAAGCTTATCTTTTGATGCTGAACCAAAATAAAATGAAGATGGGGAGTATTTCTATGATTTGGTGATCCCAAAAATCTGGAAATCTGGCTCAGAAATTGCAATTCAGTTCAATATTCGCAGTTGATCTGATCACGTGTATCTCTAATTTCTCAGGTTTGCAGGTTGTGACTTCCCTCCATACATAGTTTTCAAAGTTTACATGCAAAGTTCTGGCAAAGGCTTGAAATATATCAGTGGAAAGCGAGCTATAAGACCAGCTTCTGAGGTAATAAACATTTTTTCATGCGATTATTGTGGGAGCTCCCATTGGCATAGCAAAAAATACCCACTTAGGAGGCTTAATATATATCTTTCAGAGCATTAGGGCTTCATTAAGACAGAACTGCTCAAATGAGCCTGAAATTTGATAAATATTGACTATCCTCCCAGCCCCTATGTCTCCCACACCACTGGGATCTCACTTAATAGCATCACAGCTAAGGTCATGTAACTGCTTTGATAATCAATCATTCCCAATAAATAGTAATGATACAAACAAAACAACTATATCCTTTGATTTTAATGTTATAACAGGCACTGCGGAAAAGGGGGTGCTGGGGGCTATAGCCCCCTCACTTTTTGCCAAAATGCAAAAATTCAACAATGAATCACCAGTCAAGCCTCTTTTTATTCAGTTTTAGCTCCCCCTTTTTAGACCCACAGTTTTCTCAACGCTCTGCGATGCCTGTATAATGATTGCAAAACATTATAGAAACGTTTATCAGCATATTTGAGTAATTTCTTTGTTGAATGTCAGCCGTTCTAAGGAGAAATGTGTAAAAAGATTTTTTTGTAAAAGCCAACAAAATTTTAACTATAGATAGATTCATAAATCCCTGTGTTAATATCGTTGTACATGATGCATCAACCATGCCTGTTAATAAAAATAATTTTGAGGTATGCGGAGCACTGTCTCCTGCTAATTTTCTATCATTTAGGCTGCTGCAGATGCATGTAGGCAAATGGGAAATCGTAAGTTTTATGATCTGATGCTACAAGATTTTTGCCAGAGTAAACAAGATAAGATAACCGATGAGTTGGATGTGACAAATCTCAAAGAGTATATGCAGGTTTGAGTTTAAAAGCACTGTATGTTTGGTAATCCATTTTTACTGAGAATAGGTTGAAAGCCTTGAGACAAGTGGCGCAGTAAAGGGCACCTTAGTTGGATAGCTAAGGGCCACCGACAAAAGGGAACCCCCGAATTATTTTAACATCTTCCATGTTTTTAAGACTTTGCTTAACTTCAACTAATTTAAAAACCTTTCAAAGATCTTTAACTGGGGCTTTTATAATAAATCTCCCCCTAGATAACGAGAAAAACGTCATTTTTGTATCTTGCTTTTTGTGTTTGACATGCCATACACCCTTGGGACATTCTTGGGACATTCCTGCAATCCATAAATAGGGCCCCGCCTCTGATTTTTCCTTAGAGCCCCACATGGTTCCGTTGCGCCACTGCTTGGACCCCTTTTATTATTCCTTACCCTACTTTAAACATGTTGATTGCTAAATAACTGGACTTCTCATTTTCTTTGGAGTTACAATAAACTTCTGCAGAACATTGGCAATTACACCGCATCGTAATGGAAAAGCTATCGTTTTCAAAACGTGTACGGTCAATTATATGTATTTCATTGTGCTCAGTTTTGAAGTTGTTTTCCTTAACATTTTGCTATTATTTATTAGCCTTGACATTGATTTGTTTTTAGTATTTAAAAAACACTGACGAACTTCCAGCAAGCCTAGGAGGAAAAGACAATTCATGGAGAAAATTATCTTTAGAAGGTTCAAACAACAGTTTTTCAATCTGCTCTCACATACATTATAAATGTGTTGTAAAGTTGTTGATTAACTCGATGGGATACACAACATATTCGTTAAAGTCTGTTTTGACCCATCACGTCCGTCTTTAAGATTGTGTAGTAGAAGCAATCCTTTCTATATCTGATAAAAGCCCTACGAAATAAGCGGAGAAAACGACACAGGTATTGTGCCGTTATAAAGTTATGGGTATCACTTCTTATTTGTTGCTTTAAGTACAAACGTTCCAAATTTTTATCCCATTGAACATCGATCTGCCGAAATTTTTAAGTGAATTGAGGTGATGAACAAACAGGGCCACTCACTAATTTTACATCACCCAGACACAAGCGCCAGATTCTATCATTATATGGCAATCATTTGATTTTCCATTTCGAATGAAAATGTAATGGAAATTTTCTGATTGATTTTAGCCTTGCCACGACAAAACATAATGTACGACATTATGACATTCGTAACCAGCGGTTATGCCTCACCAAGACTTACTTCAGAGATGCCACATTTTGTTGCCACTAGACCGAAAACACAAGAAACTCAGCTAGAAATGTTGCACATGATATCCAGTTCAAGGAGGTACTATCTTTAAAGTATTCATGTCTATCTTGAACATCGCCTTTTTGTATCAACGGAAATTCACGATTCATCATTCTTGTGTTCAATTACAACATATTTACCATATTTGATCTATTGAACGCCCGGGCGTTTATTAAAATTGTTGGCTTATAGGAGAGTTGACTATTAGAGACATGATGTCTGTCCTTGAAACATGATATTTCTTTATCATCTGAACCATTAGTCGACAAGGGCAATGCGTAACATCAAAATGTTTTAATGGTGAATTATTTTCTGACATGGCTTCTAAAAACGACGTTAAACACAAAATTGCTTTTTTGCAAAATTTCTAATAATAGCTCTGGGCGTTTATCGGAGAATGGGTGTTTAATTACCTAGTTTGGTTTATGGTGAGCGTTTATATGGTAGAGCGTTTATAAAAGAGAGGGCGTTTAATAGATCAAATACGGTATTTCATTTTAAGTGATTTCTTTCTGGTGTTTTAACCTCAAATAAATCCAAAAAGTTAATCTTATTTTATTAGAATTATCTGGAACAGGTTTTGAAGATTTCTTTTTCTCTCATCGTAGGTTTAAAAGGTTAAGATGATTACATTGAACTGAACAAGTCTATTTTATTCTATTTTATTCTATTTTTTTGCGTTTTAGCAAGTCAGTAGTAAAAGAAAAACTGTCTGGAAGGAGAACCAAGAAAGCAAGAGAGCGTGTTGCGAAAATGAGGAAGATGTACGGAATAGATGGCAAAGAAACACCCGTAAGCCAGTGTTTATTATTCACAGTTTAATTGATAAACAATCCTGCGAACTCTTGCAAGTGTTTCTGGACAAGGCTGCAATTATAAAAAATTTCTTAGATTCTCAATATCATAGGGCGTGGGAAGTTTTAGAGCTACAGGCGAAATTTGAGACCACTGAAAGGGATACACAATCAAGTTAAATGCTACACACACACCCCGTAAAACCCCTGAAACGTTTTATAGAGAGGTGGTAACAGTGAACTTATGAACAGTGAAATTAAGAAAAGAAACGTACGTTAGAAGGGGGCGTTGCAAAAAGCAAAGAGGCTTCAAAGTTTTTAGCCATTAAGGTTTATTCACATCGAGATTTAAGTATAAACCTCACACCAGATTTACCGTTTATTCTGCGCTAGGAACATCAGTCAACGGTGTATGATTCTGCTGGCGTCAAGGTTAACGAGAAGTTGCAGTTGGTGGAGGAAGATGATGACGTCATTCTTGGTGATAATGAAGACCTCGAAGACAATTGGGAAGGGGAAGGAAAATCGTTGTACGAATGGTCACAAAATCTGTCTCTTGAAAATGCAAGTTTCATGAGCCCCTAAGGCAAAAGTTTGAAAATAAAGAACAGATTAACTTATTTTAATATACTTGTATTTGCTATCAATATTGACTATGATTATTGTAAAGAATACAAAAGAATTACTGTGATGTGCTTATCAGCTTTCCATCATTGGTTTGCAAATTCTATGTTCTTCGGGTTCTTCTGAAAGTAAGGGTATCAAGATTTATAACAAAAAGGCCGTATTTTGCAAGGAATTGCTAATACTGCACGCGTACTCGCTCGTACAACGGATCTGAACCTGCATGAAAATTTTGTCTCAGGTCACCGACTTTTGGTTACGGAATTATGTCAGACTTTAAAGACTAAATAGTCGCTTCTGCAAAGATTTTATCCTTATTTATTAATAATTTGACGTCATTGGCAGGGAATATTTGGCAATAATTGGACCATCTGAAGCTTTGTCAGACAGTGAGCAGCCGCATATTTTACGTTAGAAATCCCCTGTGGGCAGTGATGCCTTCCAAACAACCAGTCTCCTTGCATTATACACAATATCACATTATTCCTGTAAAAAAAACCCCTTTTCATGTTTCAGAGGGCCTAGAGGTTAGGTTCTCAGCCGCAATTGTTTTATCTTGTTTCAGGTCATCTTGTTTCTCAGTCATTTATAATCCAGATTTCTCTCGTGTATTGTGCCATGACATGGAAGTCTGAATGAATATATTGGTTGCGGTTTTTGGCGACAAAAGTTGACAAATTTTACACAAAATTTGACGCTATAAAAGTTGTCAAATTTGTCAAATCTAAAAATCTGCCTCTCGCTATGAAAGTTGACACGTTTTGTCATTGTCCCTCGCGCTGAAAATAGAAAACATTTGCACACTTAAAAATTTGTCTCTCGCGCGTAGAAATTAAAAAATTCTGCACAGCTCAAAAATTTGCCTCGCGATAAAAATTGACAAATTTTCAGAGCTCGGAAACCTGTAGCCTGCAATCTGCGCACAGGCTTGGAAACCTGCCCCTTGCGATAAAAATTAGCAAATTTTGCACACCTCAAGAAATTTGTTTCGCTCGATAAAAAATTGCCACGTTTTGGACGACTCAGAAATCATCTTCTGTGGTACAAAAACTGGCATATTTTGAACACCCCAACCATCTCTCGATAAAAAAGATACATTTAGCATATCTCGGAAATCTCTTTCTTGCGATAAAAATTGATGCATTTCGAACTTTTCAGAAGCGGCATTTTGCACCTAAATGGGCCTATAAAGATTTCCAAGACCAGAAAAGAATCATCGCCTCTTTTAGCAAAACGGAGGGTGCCAAGACAAAGTATAAGACATACATCTGCATCTTACAGCACGTCTGCCTTTGAACCCCAAAAGAGAAAATGAACACGATTCTTAACTTTGGAATCTGTCTACATCAAACAAAAGGAAAATGAAATGAAAATTTTGAAATGAAAACGTAGTCAAACTAATCCGTTTTTGCCTCGCGTTCACACTACTCTGCTATGAAAGCGGAGTCGTTTGAAAACGCAAATGAAAACGGTTTAATTTGTTGAGTGTGTTTGTGTAGTGTGTTGAGGATTCGTGAACGCCTCTTCTCAATAATGAGGCCACCATCAGCGTTTTTGTTGGAGCAGTGTGAAGACTTACCGTATTTGAATCGTATTCATTTGAAAACGGATAAATGTGAACGGACTGCATTTTCATCAACGAAAACGGAGCGATTTCAAATTTTGCGGTACCACCACCACCATCATCATCATCATCATAATCATCATCATAATCGTCATCATAATCGTCATCATCATCATCATCATCATCATCATCATCATCATCATCATCATCATCATCATCATCATCATCATCGTCGTCGTCATAATAATGATAATAATAATAATGACAATAATAATAATCATCATCATCATCATAATCATCATCATCATCATCATCATCATCATCATCATCATCATCATCATCATCATCATCATTGTAAAAATTAATTTATCTAATTACATTTATCGTTGAAGAGCCACTCTTACATCACCTACTGGCATTATTTGAGTGGCTCTTCTTACAAACATACCAAAGGCTAATTTGATTCGTAACTAGCATGTCTGACGGGAAAGTTGAGCAAACTGTGGCGGTATGAAAATTTTGATCCATAAATGATCAAGACAAAAGGGACAATGCGCAGGAACCTAGTCTTCTGGAGGAGTTCCGAACGTCCGTATCATGAAATCTCAGTCAAAATTTGACATGCTTTTAATTTTACTAAAACCATTCGAAAAAGTTTTGAGAAGTTAAACGTTTTAGGCCATATGATATCTTTCCATTGATAGCGAATCGCTAGCATTTGACATGGTGCAATATAAAATCATCGAAGGTTCAGCAAAGAAGGAAGGCGATTGAAACTTTGTGGACTGATAACCACTTAAATGAAATAGGATCAGAATAAAAATGTGAAAAAGAGATCTTTAAGAACTCGATATCATAAACAAACTACAACAATCTATACATAAATAATGACGAAAATGATTTTTTAATTTGTAATAAAAATCCTATAGGTTTATTACGTGGAAATAACCCAGTATGTTTTTAAACTGAAACCAGAGTCGATAAATGTACCTGATCTCTGGACCAAGCTCACTTTGTCATTTTTTTCGATGAGTCTTGCACACGTCTCCGTTATTAAAAGACAGTTAGACTTGCTCATTCTCGATAACTTGATCGTCGTTTTTATGACATCTCCAAACACTTTGTACTTGAGTGTCTCACTACTATCTCGCATGATACCGGCCACCCCATAGCCACAGTGTGCTGCTACACGAAATCGCAGACTCAGGCTGGGGTTGTATATAACCTCCAGATTCTTCAGTCTTTTCAAAACATTGAGGCAGTATATGACAACAGACTCTGCTTCGACTGCGCTATTTCGGTCATCTGAAACTGTTTATAACGGAGATTATTATTAATCGCCCTGTTGCAGAGTGATCGATCCTAAATATCAGAGCTATGCATGCTTTGGCTGTAGAACACGATGATGCTTAGTTGGGGAGCTTCACAATGCGATAGCCAGACAAAAAAATGTGCATCACGTGTGCGGTGATCGAAGGACTATGATAAAGCCGATGCCTTTATTCGCCGCACACGAGAAGCAAAGTGTATCACTAGTGAACAAATTTATAAAAATTGTTTGATATTGGAAACTTTTTGCCATGAATTTTCTAAAATTTCCCGCTGCATACGGGAGCGTTTTGCTCAAGGAAATTGTCATTCGTGGCATTTGGCTCAGAAAAATGCTCTAGTGTGCGCCTGGTTTAGACGTGGAATGGTCGCACGTTTGCAGCGGAGGAAAAAGATAAACATTGCACATGATCAGAATTGCGTTCACTCAGGCGCAATACCAAACCAAATCAGGTGGAAACCCACGATTGCACTTGACGAAAAGAAAAACATTTTGCTTCTGGATTTTTGGTGTTTCGTTGTTTTTGTGATTCTTTAGTCCTTTGCATATGTACGTTAACGGTTATCCAGAATATTTGGTTTTAATCTTCAAGGGCAAAAAGAACGATTTATTTACAAGCACAAAGAAAACTATAGGTATTATTCTATGTAATGCTTAAGAATTATTATGTAGCTAGTATGAATGCAGTTGGCATTGTCAGTATATAAACACAAAACTATATAAGCTCATTGTCTTACCTACGATAAAACTATTTGATGTCATATCGATTTCTGCGAAATCTAATCCCAGTTTCGTTGCTATTGCTGAAAAAGATTTGAATATATAATCCAACAGACCAGCCAATTCATCTGGGTCGCTTTTAGATACAATTTCTTGGAAGTCCTCTATCTGGAATGAGGCCACGGATACACACTCGAGTGACGAGGCATCAAACTGGTCTCCGTCGCGAATTGTCATGTAGATATCAGACGGAACGGATCTTCTAAGCCAGTCATCTGCCTTCTCTCTTTCTTTCTCTAACATTCTAGTATCATACGAAATGTACTTTTCTAATGTCTCCGTTTCTTTCTCAAGCAGAAATGCCCGTTTTTCCATTTGGTCACCTTTTAGAGGTGCAATTATTCTCAAAACAGATTTGATGTGGGAGAATGGTGGCCTCACGTCCGGGTCATCTGACCAGGCACTGTCCAGTAAGACTTTTAATATGCTTTTGCCTGGCTCTTCTTTCGGTAAGTCGTGAAATTGGACACGTGGCCGCATGATCTTTGCTAAAATGAATTATTGTAACAATTAGGGAAATTGTGATTTTGAAACAAATTTTGAAGCGAAGTAATAATGGGCTTGAGAAAATCTAAATAAACAAACTTGACGGGAATCGCCACCAAAAACTAGATACCATTCAGTATTTTAAATCAAGCAATGTTTTCTTGCTAAAATGAATATTGGTAGGCTTTCTTGATGATATGTTTCTGGGAATTTAAAAGGCAAAGGTAAAGCAATTTGAGCTGAATTTTCATAACAAACCTTGTTGTGATAACAAATCTTGCCTAGCTGTAGGGGAACCAGGCCTGATCACCTCGAGGTCAACCATTGGCTCTCTTAGATGGGCAACCGCTTCAATGATATGTTGAACTGACATTAGTTTGATTTCACTGTACGGAGGTCTCCTTGTCAGGATTTCCGCCATAAGAATGCCAAAGCTATACACGTCACCTTCAAAGCGAACGTGCCCAATCTGATCAATGTTCACAATCGCAGGTGACAGGTACTCTGGAGCGGTCCACAAAAGGCCTGTAAAAGTGAATAACAGATTATAGTATACATCCAGTCTTATCTCTGGCCAGCAAGATTGTCTCTTAAGCGTTCAAACACGCTTGGAATCAATTTCTTTAACGTTCAACTTGTGGACACAGACTGCTTCTGTCTTATAAACTCTTGTGATAAATCCACTCTATCTGCTTATTTTGCTCTTTCAATAAGCTGAAAAATTCATTTCAAAGCTTGGAACTACATGGTTAGGAAAGCATTTTATTGGATCTAGAATTAATGAAAGGGAATTGCACAGAGATAAATGGAATTCACTTAACTAGGCCCTTGTTTACAACTATTTCGCGTCACCTCTTATCGGAAAGGTAGTAACCACAAATTTCAAACATTTTCTATAATATCAGCCCCCATTAAGATCGTTTCATCCACGGAGCCTCAGTAGAAACATTCTTGTGGAGGAAAGAAATCTAAAAAACTAACGAAGAAATCATAGATGAGGCCAATGTTGTTCTAATATCTACCATCTGATTCGAATTTGTCAGCCAATAATCAGTGAAGCTCTTCTTGCAACTTAGTCCACATTTCCTTATATTGAAATATTGATAACTATCGAGTCTAAAAGCCCTCCATTAAGCTTCAAAAGAAAAGTCTAGCTGCCATTTACAATTGCGCCCTCCTCCCCAGTTTTCGCGCTATAGTAAAACCTAAATCTCTGATATCCAAGGTGTAAACGTCTACACCATCAAACAAATTTTTTTTTTGGCTGAAATTTTCTTACCTAATAGTCGTTGGATACTATATGAAAACGATTAGGTCTTGGCCTTGATACGATAAGTTGATAATGTGATTGACCAATCAATATCTGAAACAATGAATCACATAAAACTTACTGTTGAAATCCACAGGTGTTGTGTTTTGCTTCTGTTGATTAGCATCTTGATTATAGTAGCCATATTTTCTCGTTATTTTCGAATTGATATTACTCTCGAGGCTCTTTCGTAGACTTGGTAGGCCTATGTCAGTAATCTTTACTCTCCAGCCTTTGTGTAGAAGGCAGTTTGTTGATTTTAATCTACCATGTGTCAATCCACAGTTATCGTGTAGAAACATCATACCTCTACAAATGTCTTCCATGAAAGCATACTTGATTTCCAATGGCACATCAACATTTTCAGCATGAAGGGTGTCATATAAACTTCCCATGCTAGCGAGTTCTGTTACTATAGCAACAAATGGAGGGCCTAGACAGACAGCTTTGACCTTCTCAATGTTTATATGATCCAGCTTTTTAACCTTCCGTATCTCTACTCTAATGTCAAGAGACAGTTTAATTGGCTTCTTCTTCCAGCAGGTTACAAATACACTCTCGTCTCTTAGCTTTGCTTTGTAATAATGAGTGTATTCATCTTCTCTGACAAGTGCCTTACAACCATATCTTTGTCAAGGTGCTGCTGCTCGAACTCAGTGAACGCACCCCAGTCGACAATCCAATATGTTTCATTATTGTCTCCGACGTTCAAGTTGCTGTGACTCGGCCGGCAAACTTTCAAAAGGTAGCAAGTAACAATTATAACTACCATTAAAGTCCCGAGACAAGATGCTACCAATGCTTGAAGTACCGTGGCTTTGTCACAATACACACCTTCGTATAGCCAGTTGCATTCAAGACAAGTGCCATCACCTAATGCCCCATCATTACAAACACCATGTTTACATCTGCTTTTGCAAATTCCAGAGCAGTCTTTGCCGTAAAATCCAGGCAAGCATTCACAGGTCTCAAATGCAACGCATCTGCCTTTCTCAAATGAGCAGTGGTGGTCTACACAGTGAGGGAGGCTGCAATTTGCCCCTGTCCAACCAATTTGACAGGCGAGCGAGTTATTGTCATGAGCTCCTTCCCTTTGATTGGCAAAATATCTTAAACCTACCAGTCTTTGTAGCTTACGTTCCTGAATCAGTGACAACATACTGTCAGTTCTAATTGTCTCACTTCTGTTTGTCAAAATTTGAATACTTTCTTTTATGGATTCAGCCCCATCTAGGATCATGTCTTTGAGCAATAAAGCATTTAGACCACTGTTTTTGTCTTTCATAGCAACAGAGTCAATACTTACAGTGGCATCCTCTATGTATGATGCAAGAGGTGCTGCTGATAAAGACGAATAACCATTGAATACCATAACACCCCTGAATGCTGCACCGCAACTAACTGGCCTCAATTTATAGCACAACCTCGAGCCAACGCCATACTCAAATGTGCCAGTCCTTGAGCCAGATATCCATGTATATCCGTCTTTTGGGCTGATGCCTAATTGTACTGCAGCTACAAATAGGTTAGCGGATGTTGCTTCGTCTACAATAAAATAAATATTTGTCTTCTTTTTTGATAAGATTGTTAGTGTTTTGGTTATATCAGCTACACTTGCACGTTCAGACATTACCAGATCCTTGGAAACAGCGATTCTGAACTTCATCAAGTAATATGCAAGGCTAGGTGTGATTCGAAGTTTCTGTGAACGTACTACTACCACTTCTGTTATATTGATCTCTTTAATGCTCTTCAAGGCTATGTAGAATCCGCTGGTATATGTGGTATCTATTTGGAGTGTCACTTCGTTTAAGACGTTTATTTGATCTGCATTAGTTTGTCCTGTCAAGAATGGAATGTTGTAGATACCTGCGAACGAGCTTAAAGTTGTGCTTATTTTACCAGCATTTGGGGCTATGATACTATGGAACGTGTCAGGGTCGCTTTTTTCTTTATCTTTGAAGTCCCTGAGCTTTTTAACAACATCATAAGCATGCTTGTAAGCAAATAGTGACAAAATGATATTCCTTTTGGGTCCAACATAATGAGTATTTAACTTTGTCTGAAGAAGAAGCAGCTCAGTCTTAAGTGAAGGCCAAGCCTGAAGTGTTTCATTGTCAACAAAAATCAAGATATTTGTGTTTGACAATATAATGCAATTGACGGAGGCATTTACGATCTTTCTTGATGGAAGCATTCCTTTTATTTCTAGCATTCCATTCACACGCATATTGCAATCCTCGCCAGGACAAAGACTTCCACCATAAAGCGCTATACCGTTTGTAGAGTTGAAAGAATTTTGGGTGGCAAAAACACTGCAGTTCGCTGCAACTGAAATGCTATAGCTGACAACGGAATATTCTCCATACTGAATTGAGCTGTCGTTAAAAAGCATAGATATTTGTAAATCAAGTGCGTAGTTGGCATTGATAACACAAGTCTTAGGTTCCAGTAAAAGTTCAACGTGTGTCGAATTTGTAACCAGTGGCTCGTAGTAACAGAGATGATATCGCATGACCTTTCTGTTTTCTAGACCTGTAGTAAGTAAAACTATAAAGGGATGAAAACCAAAGCCAACACTATACAGGTCAAAATGAGCTTTCCCAATTTCAATATCTACATGCTCTCTTGAGTTCTGCGTATTTTCAACTTCGGGGCATGTGTTCGTCGATGGAATCAAATAAAATGGCATTGACGATGGAAGCTGCAGTTTGTCAGAAGATGTGTCATTTCTGCAACAGTAAAAGACCTCTGTGAAGCAGCAGTTGACGTCACTTGCATTATAGTTGATCTGGGCTATGAAGAATGAAAACAAGACAATATTAATAAATAAACTCTGATGAATTTGTTGACGGTATCATTGGAAGATTTTATAGAAATTATTATAGCATATTGTCCATTACATCAAGTAACTTGAGATAACTTTTGGCCTTATAACCACGTATCTAGATTAACATTTGAAACATATTATTTTACTGATCAACAAAAACTATTGGTTTTGATGTTTTCGTTTCAAAGTATCATAGAAATTTGTTGAAGAACATTCGTATAAAAGTAAATACGGGACAATTTGAGCAAATTAGCAGAACGCAGAAAAGAGACGGTGGATTGATAAACTCACTTTTTGGAGAATTTCCATAAGAATGACTCCATGAAGAATTCCAATTGGAGCTGTTTTCAAAAAATCGTATGCTCCCAGCTTGAAACCCCAACGGGCATTGCTCGCCAACTTTGTAGATACAGTACTGGCCTGCTGGAAATGAGGTCCCCTGCCGATCCATCTGGACAGTCTTCGTGCAGAACTCTTCAACGAAGAAACGAGAAGAAACCGTATTCAGCAGATTTGTGCTTGAATCCAAAGATTTGTTGTTGCTTTGTATAATTTTGACGTCATGCAAAACATAACCGTAGTCCCACTGACTGCCTCTTGGGCAACCACTCTTTGGTTTTGGCAGCGCATAAATAGACGATGGCCAATGTATATGCGAATCATAAACTGTCTTGTCAGTAAACGGAGTGATTTTAGCATTTTCTTGCTTTAATGTTACCTAGAGAAAATAAAAGAAATAAACATTTAAATAAGCAAAGATAAAAATATGATTTCAAAACGTCGATTGAGCGGAATAACGCTCCTTTTCCCACAGAGAAACTTTTGAAGTTCGTTTCAAAACATCATTTATATCATTTTCAAACTTTTCCTGCAGAATTTTGACTCTTTCAAAATGGAAAGCGAACTACCGCTGAACTTTGAACGCCGGAACGACCAAGGGGCAATGCAGCAGACTCTTTCTCTAGCACAAGGGAATATGACTGTAGTTATTACGATCCGAGAGTCTGAGTTTCATAATTCTATGGAATTATCTTATCATGTGAGAAAAAACATACATAAAAGTTAAGAATATTCAACGTACATATAAGACACATATCAGAGTATAAGAATATTGAACAAACAGCAAATACAAATGGATACACAAGCCTACCTCTTTCCCTGCAAACGACCTCAGATTAATGCCATAAACTTCCATCCGCAGACAAAATCTCTTTCCAGAAGCTGAACAGCTGTCACCTGAACCAGTTGGGAGAACGCGCAACTTACGAGAGAGAAAAGGCTCCGAAAATGTTACATTTACAATATCGTCGCCATTTTTATTCCCAGTAAAGGTTTTAGCTGTACCGTTAACCGAGTAATCAATCCATTCATTTAAAGGAGATAAATACGACACATTAAAGAATGTGAGCCAGTAGTCACAATCCCTACTTTGAACGCCTTGTGTTGCGACCATTGTAACTAGAATTGTTTCTTCAAAATTGACCTCAAAATATTCTTCACCAGATATGTTAAATGAGCACCATCCGCCTTGAGTAGCAGTGCCAACGACGTAAGGTTGACTCAACCTTGCAAACCAAGGTCGATATTGGATAGGCTCGTAATCAGATTTGTAGAAAGTCGAACTCGATAAATCTTTATTCTTGATTTTGCCATTTCCAAATCCTATTTCTTTCTCTCTGGATTTTGACCGGCATATGTACCGCTCATTGTCAGCGCAATTTGAGGTCCCAAGAGAACCATTTACAAATGTAACCGGACAGAATGTCAAAGTGGAGTTGTTCCTGGTATAGCACGATTTGTTCTTCGTATCCTGTATAAACAAGTTATCGTAAGTCCAAAAGTCGTTCGTCGCGTTTGCAACAAAAGATGATGTTGTGTTTGACAAGCTGGTCCCATAAAAGCTGCAAGTTTCTACTGCACCACAATAGTCTGATTCGTTGAAACTTTTCCAGCAAATTGATTGCTGCGACACCCAAGATTTGGGACATAAATATGTGCCAATGAACTCCCCATTAATTCGGAAAAAAGTGAAACACATTAAGCTAAATATCAAAGTTCTAAAACTATCCACTTGCATTTTCAATACCAACCATAACCATTTAATCGGTTCTGTAGTACAACAAGTTCATAGGTATCGTCGAGTTCATCTTCAATAGGAGACTCTGAAACACATGCACCGTCCGGATATATCAGTATGATAGCCAAAATGTTTGCAATTAATAAGCAACAATCAACAAATAATAAAGACACATACCGTCTTTTGATGAATCTCAACTCATGTGACGTCAAATTTCACAACGCATTCACGGGTTGGTATTCTGTTGATGCAACAAAATCTGGCGTCAAATAGCAACAATGGTCACTACAATAAATAGCAACAAGGAGTGAAACACCACGGAAACAAAACACTACACTCTCTTTTTTAAAAGAGTGTAGTAAACCAGATAATCTTTTCTGAGGCTCGATGTTCTTATTTTTTGGACAATTTGAGGCTCGGGTGTTCTTAATATTGCTCTCACTCCAACATTAGATTTTCGACAATTACAAACATGCTATAAATTGTTCCTAAGACCACTATATAACAATTCTGCAGGACATTTTTAGTGGCTTGGAGAATATTTTCAACAAAATTTTGTTTTACTTCTAATTTTCACCTGAAACAGGGCATGTTCCTGGAAGGGTTATCAGTCTTTCTCCCTAATCTTCTGTGTCTGCCAAATACACAGTTTACAAACCATAAATAAGAACAACTTAAAACATACCTACCCCCCCCCCCCAGAAGAAAACGTGGAAGAAAAAATGTTTGAAAATTACTCTCGCCTTGACAAAACAGAGCGATTTTGTCATTCAGACTCGAAACTGTGATTTGGTAGACTTAGAAACAATTTATAGTATTCTGTTAAAGAAAATTCAATTTCGAAATAAAAAAATCATTAAAAACAGGCTTATAACCAGACCCTGATTTCAACGGAAATATTTCCTTTGAAATCGAGGCTTGGTTATCATGCTACACCAGAGTGTAATCCTCAAGGGCATCTTGTTTGAATTTCTCCGTCAAGACAAGTTCAAAATCACTTTGTAACAGTCGTCTGGTTGCTTCAGTTACATAATGAACATTTTTAAGTGGTTAAAATATAAGGTTAAGAGATTTTCATGACATCATTAAATAGAGATTTCAGGATTTTTGAGTGTTTTGGGAAGTTCAACATCAATGCATATATATGGTGGATTAGGAATAGGCGTCGGTGTCGGTGAAGAACCTTTAGGTGACGCAGGTCTACAAATCATGTGAACGAAATCGATGCCAGCTAATCAATGCAACTGGTGTTTATTTCAAGCAAAATGCTGTCAAATACTTGTAATCAAAGAAAAAGAACAATAGAAATGAAAGCTTAATGAAAAGCGGATGCAAAATTCATTCTGAACTTCATTAGCAAAAAATTTAACCATGGGAACTTCCAAAAGATAGCTGCTCGAATTCTTGATTAAACGTAGAAAATCTTTTCCGTTACGAGCGGAATGTCATGACCTATAAGATTATGAAAAGACTCTGGGACCTGAAAGCCTATGGGACATATGCTAATTTAGATCTTCCTACTACTCAACAAATAATACTAAACACCTGATGAGATTTGTGAGCTACAGGCACTTCTGACACATCTGAAAACACCAAAACATTACTCTCTAAAGGAGCAGCAATCATTAAGTTTTATAGGACTGCAGCTTTTTCATTCTTGTGGGTTTTATCATTATAATTTGATGTTATATATTTTAAATTGCTAAATGGTTAATTTGTACATAAATTATGTGAAAAGAATGAAAATGAAAATGAACGAATGAATACGATGGGGTCACAAAATGCAAGGTTCCTCCACTTCAATCAAAGAACATTTGCTAGGAGAAATATCACGCCAAATGCCTCTCTGAAAAGCTAACATTTGAAATAACAAATACGCTATGAATTTACTGTTAGCCACTGTGGAATAAGAATCTTCAAGGAGATAAATTTGAGCTTTATATTGTTAAGCTCGAGATACAATATACAAATATTTTAGATATTCATACTTGAATAAAACTATGAAAGATGAGCGGGTCCCTATGCTCACAATAAGACTGTGCCTCGAAAGCGTTGGTTTCTAATTAGGCGATATATCAAGGGAATGTTGCGGTAAGATACTCTGGTTTTCGGAATCAGTTCAGAAAAGCGGTAAACATTCCAGAACAAAACAGGTGTTTGCATGCGACATGAACATTACAGATGTGCGAATAGGGAATCAGTGGGGTGTTGATGAAAACTCATTGTAGGTAACAGAAGCCTGAATCAAGAAAAGAAAATATTCAATAAAGAGAAGGTGGATGTAAAGCGGGATGTTTAAATGAGTAATTCAAAAATACAATGAACTCTAAATTAGGCCTCGCAAATCTTCAATTGTGAATTGAAGCAGATAAACGAATTGCTTGCGTTCATGATTAGGTGTCAGGACACTATGTATATTTCAATGTGATATCGTGATTCTAGACGTCAGTTATCGTCAATCTAAACATCAGTTCAAAATGCCTGTCGATAAAAATGGGATATCAGTCGCAGTGGACCACAGAAAAAACACCACCAAAGAGGATGATTCAGTTTTAAACGCTGCTGAATCTTTGACAGTTCATGCCTTTCCACGAATTTTCAACTCTAAGAATTGGGTTTTCAAAGTCTTCTGGTTTCTGATACTGAGCGGAGCACTGGGTATTTTAATTTGGCTAATATATCAACGTGTGGCTGATTACAAGAAACATGAGGTTTATATCAAAAGGGAATCAAACGTTGTACAACCGTTGCCTTTCCCAGCAGTCACTGTTTGCAATTCCGATCGCTTCTCGGGCATTCCAATGAAACAATTTCCAATGGACAACAAAAGTTGCAGTGATGCTACAACCAGTAAATCTACATAAAGCGTGTAGAATGTCTTAGTGGCTTCAAAGATAGCATTTAGATTTGGTGAAAAGATCCAGGGTTCCCAGACCAGTTTACGTCATCAAACGGTGCATATCCGTGTTTCACATTTAACAAAAACGGCAAAGCACAGCAGAATGTTTCAGGGGGTGGCAAAGGATTGGACATGATCTTCTTCTCTGACCCTAATGACATTTATCATTCACAGATGATGAATTTATCACGTTTTGATGACCAAAGACGTGGTATTCTCGTACAGATACACGACCCAAATACTGAGGTATCATTGGATCAGTCTTCAAGCATTACCATATCACCTGGCTACTTGACGGAGATCGTCATCAAAAGAGTGACAACAAGTAGAAAGAAGCACCCCTTCCCATCAAAATGCCACACATCCAAAACAACAAAGTACAAATTAATTGGTGGGAGGTACACGAGGTCAAATTGCATTTCATCTTGTTTTCAGTTGAAACTGCAAGAGGAATGCGGAGACATCATGAAGCCAAACAAATCAGCCACACAGATATTGTGCGAGAGCGATATGTACAGGAGACAACCAATTGAAGACTGTCAATGTCCTCAACCTTGTTATGAAGTCGCCTTTCCCAGAATCGTTTCTATCAGCGTCTGGCCTCGAATGTTTCAATTTGAATCATTAATAGATGATTTCTCTAAAATGGCGAATACATCCGATAACATGACGTTACAATATATGCAGAAGCGGTTTTCTCAAGTTAAAATCTATTACCAAGATTTGTTGGAGACAAAATTAAGCGAAGAGGAGCTGTACGGAATTACAAATTTGCTCAGTGAAGTCGGAGGACTGATGGGGCTTTTGATTGGTTCTTCAGTTATTTCAGTCGTAGAAATCATTTGGCTGTCTGGAATAATTATCAAAAAGCTGTTTCGTAGCGCTTTCTCACAAACAGAGAAAGAGCTAAAGGAAATAAGTACAATAAAAAACTCCGACATAGTTGTATACAATCGCACTGATCATTTAGTAAATGCAACTGGACTAGTTGACTACAAAGAGCTGATCGACTCACCTGGTTTGGCTTACAGTCGAAGACTCGAACAGACCGTTTAGATAAAGAGAAAGACGTAGAAAGACCAGCAATCTGGCTTCAGCTACATATCACAAGTTCTGTTTGCAAAGAGGAATTTTTCTTGGAGGTTTAGAGAGCTACCCCGTCAATATATAATCATTGCATGCCAGATTTTTTGCATTGCCAGTTTTGCTGTACTCAGCTTTCAAACACATTCATTGCATACGTATATCTGACTGTATCTTCCCGAAACTTCAGTCATGCAACCATGGCATTCTTCTGCCAAAGATTCGGAAATCAAATAAACTTGTTCAATTCATTCTGTTGAAATTAATCTAAATTTTACGCGAATTTCAAAGATTTCTCTCTTCGGATACTTCAGCCTTACATATCTATAAATAAATAGACTGCCTTTCCCGACAACAGAAGGTTTGAATGGTTTGTCACTGACTGTATTTCTTCCGAAAATCGCTCCGGGAACAAGTATATTGCTTTAACTAATCAACTGAGGCAGCCTTTCCACTTACCCGGGTTAAAACAAAAACGGTTTAAAATGTATCCGTTTTTAAAGTGAGTCAATGAAAACGCCAGTTTGTTTGAGCTTGTTCTAATCCGTTTTCGATCGTTTCCACTAAGCTGGGTTAAGATGTACCCAGGGTTAAAACAAAAATGGTTTAAAATGTATCCGTTTTTAAAGTGAGTCAATGAAAACGCCAGTTTGTTTGAGCTCGTTCTAATTCGTTTTTGATCGTTTCCACTAAGCTGGGTTAAGATGTACCCAGGGTTAAAATGAAAACGGTTTAAAATGTATCCGTTTTTAAAATGGGTCAATGGAAACGCCAGTTTGTTTGAGCTCGTTCTAATCCGTTTTTGATCGTTTCCACTAAGCTGGGTTAAGATGTACCCAGGGTTAAAACAAAAATGGTTTAAAATGTATCCGTTTTTAAAGTGAGTCAATGAAAACGCCAGTTTGTTTGAGCTCGTTCTAATCCGTTTTTAATCGTTTCCACTAAGCTGGGTTAAGATGTACCCAGGGTTAAAACAAAAACGGTTTAAAATGTATCCGTTTTTAAAGTGAGTCAATGGAAACGCCAGTTTGTTTGAGCTCGTTCTAATCCGTTTTTGATCGTTTCCACTAAGCTGGGTTAAGATGTACCCAGGGTTAAAACAAAAACGGTTTAAAATGTATCCGTTTTTAAAGTGAGTCAATGGAAACGCCAGTTTGTTTGAGCTCGTTCTAATCCGTTTTTGATCGTTTCCACTAAGCTGGGTTAAGATGTACCCAGGGTTAAAACGAAAACGGTTTAAAATGTATCCGTTTTTAAAATGGGTCAATGGAAACGCCAGTTTGTTTGAGCTCGTTCTAATCCGTTTTTGATCGTTTCCACTAAGCTGGGTTAAGATGTACCCAGGGTTAAAATGTGTCCTTAGCCCTCTACAATTTATATAAATCAGATTTAGATTATTTAAATTGAAACTGAAGGACGCACAGCTGTGAGAGAAGTCAGTTTTTCAACAGCAGTCCTTGAATTTTTTTTATAACGCTGTTGTTGTTGTTGCTGTTGTTGTTGTAGGTGGATCTAAATTTACCCGGGTTTGGCATTCCCACTAGCCCACAGATGAGTTAAAAGATACCCGGGTAAAAAAATGATTCACTTGGAGGCCCGTTTTTAAACTTGTCCGTTTTTCTAGTGGGTTAGTGGGAACGCAACGCAAAAACGGATAACTTTTCACCCGTTGTTGTTTTAAGCCGGGCTAGTGGAAAGGCTGCCTGAGAAGTATATCATATATACGGAGATTTTTGTTGGTACAAAAACTGTAGACCACTAAATATCTTTGAACGCTAGGAGCGCTGTCTTGATGAGACGTTGTCATGTCAATTGAAAGATATATCAGGTCACGAACGAGGTTATCGGAATCACTTGAGATGCAGGGTTTACATTGAAAAGTGAAGCAGGTGTATGTATGCAACAAGAGCCCTGCCGACAAGTGAATGTGGAATCAGTGGGTATTGATGAAAACCAACTGTAGGTTAAGCTGCGTCAATCAAGAAAATAGGGTATTCAATAAAGAGGGTTTGCACGTAAGACGGGATACTGAATAGTGCAATTAAAATATACAACAGACTCTGATAAAGATTGAAAAAATCTTCCAATATGAATAGATGTCGTAAAATGAATTGCCTGCAATAGTTATTAAGTGTCAGATCACCTGTGTATACTTCAATGTGATATCGTGATTATAGATTTCAGTTATCGTCAATTTAGAAATCAGTCCAAAATGCCTGTCGATAAAAATGGGATATCAGTCGCAGAGGACCACAAAAAAAACACCACTAAAGAGGATGATTCAGTTTTAAACGCTGCTGAATCTTTGACAGTTCATGCCTTTCCACGAATTTTCAACTCTAAGAATTGGGTTTTCAAAGTCTTCTGGTTTCTGATACTGAGCGGAGCACTGGGTGTTTTAATTTGGCTAATATATCAACGTGTGACTGACTACAAGAAACATGAGGTTTATATTAAAAGGGAATCAAACGTTGTACAACCGTTGCCTTTCCCAGCAGTCACTGTTTGCAATTCCGATCGCTTTTCGGGCATTCCAGTGAAACAATTTCCAATGGACAACAAAATTTGCAGTGATGCTACAACCAGTAAATCTACAGAACGTCAAGATATCGAATTCAATAAAGCGTGTAGAATGTTTCTTAGTGGCTTCAAAGATACATTTAGATTTGGTGGAAAAGATTTGCCAGGGTTCCCAGACCAGTTTACGTCATCAAACGGTGCATATCCGTGTTTCACATTTAACAAAAACGGCAAAGCACAGCAGAATGTTTCAGGGGGTGGCAAAGGATTGGACATGATCTTCTTCTCTGACCCTAATGACATTTATCATTCAGAAATGGTGAATTTATCACGTTTTGATGACCAAAGACGTGGTATTCTCGTACAGATACACGACCCAAATACTGAGGTATCATTGGATCAGTCGTCAAGCATTACCATATCACCTGGCTACTTGACGGAGATCGTCATCAAAAGAGTGACAACCAGTAGAAAGAAGCACCCCTTCCCATCAAAATGCCACACATCCGAAACAACAAAGTACAAATTAATTGGTGGGAGGTACACGAGGTCAAATTGCATTTCATCTTGTTTTCAGTTGAAACTGCAAGAGGAATGCGGAGACATTATGAAGCCAAACAAATCAGCCACACAGATATTGTGCGAGAGCGATATGTACAGGAGACAACCAATTGAAGACTGTCAATGTCCTCAACCTTGTTATGAAGTCGCCTTTCCCAGAATGGTTTCTGTCAGCGTCTGGCCTCGAATGTTTCAATTTGAATCATTAAAAGATGATTTCTCTAAAATGGCGAATACGTCTGATAACATGACGTTACAATATATGCAAAAGCGGTTTTCTCAAGTTAAAATCTACTACCAAGATTTGTTGGAGACAAAATTAAGCGAAGAGGAGCTGTACGGAATTACAAATTTGCTCAGTGAAGTCGGAGGACTGATGGGGCTTTTGATTGGTTCGTCAGTTATTTCGGTCGTAGAAATCATTTGGCTGTCTGGAATAATTATCAAAAAGCTGTTTGGTAGTGCTGTCTCACATACAAGGAAAGAGCCAAAGAAAACAAATACGATAAAAAGTTCCACGATGCAGTTGTATCCCGTTAAGTTCTACTCCAAATAATCCCGCCGTTTAATAAGTCGTACTGACTTTCAATTCTGTGGGATTTTTCTCTCTTACTCGACTAAAACTTGTATCCCAGATAAGTCGGACATTCGCAAAGGCAGACTATTCTCGTATTCTCTTTGAAGGCCCAACTTAATAGGATTCAGATGTAGCTGTTTGCAAGCACTGATCATTTAGAAAGTGCAACTGGGCAAACAGGGGCGGATCTAGAAAGTATTCTGACTGTCGCACACAAGGGTGTGGTCGGAAATATCATTCTTGACCACACCCATAGTTTTTAAGGATATTCGCCCCTTTCTCATTTGAGCAATCGACACGCACATTAAATTGGCTTTATTTAGAACGTTGTCAAACTGTTGTTTATTCCTTATCTGAGTTTTCAATTGATACTACAGAATCATTTGTGTTGTTTCTTAGCCAAGCGTAAAGCAAGAAACAACTTGAAATTCTTAAACGTATTGACACGGTTTTCCTTTCATAATCAGGCAAACATTCGAGTCGTCTCTCTGGATTTGTTTATGGTATACGATGACAAACCAGGCCACGCAAAAAATGAAAAATATCATTACAATGAATTTTCATAACTAACAAAATAGAACAAATGTACACAAATATTCATAAAAACCTGCACTAATAACTAGTATTTTTTAATAGCTAAACCAAATCAGCGTGAAAACATGTATTTTACTCCGAAGAAACCCCTTCGAATTCAGGGGAATACCCAAGCAAGTAAACTTTACCCGGAAATATCTGAAAGCTGATAAGGAACTGAGAATCCACATTGAAAAGATTCACTTTGAAAGTTTTGTCCAATTAAAAATTTCACTCTGCCAACGTCCTGAACATTATTTATTCGCCAGGGCCAAATCGCAGGTATCACCCCAGTCCAGGGCATTTTGACATTTGTAGGCCCTTGATCCATGAAGGAGGTAATGAATGTCGAAACTTGAAAACATCCCGTGTCGAATGTTACTCTGAAAATCTAGCGACCTTTGTCTTCCAAATTACCAGGTTTAACGTATTCATTATACATGTAGCCAGTCGACTCCATAACACAAAATTCCTTCTCGCCAGTGAAAAAATTCCCCATGCCAAGCATAAATAAGCTCAAAACTGTACCAAGCACGCAATGAGGACGGATTAATCTTTGCCCATTGGTGCGACCTTACTAAAAAAACATACTGTGCACCGAAGTTCGCACTATCTAGCAATTTCATTGGTTAAATATTTTAAAACAAAAGCTGTGCGAATCGGTGCGAACGTGCTACTAATCATACTGTGCACCGAAATACCCTAATCTAACTACATTGGTACCCTGTTGTTTTTCAGTCAGGATACTTTGAGATTTGAATCAGATTGAATCAAGATCGAGATTGAATTAGAGATGGTGTTTAAGATTTTGCTTGTGTTTATGGCCAGGTTTAAATCATGCATGATTCAGACCTTGGATCTTCCTGCTCCTGCACGGTGTTCAGTTGTCAAATATAACTAAAGCATAATTCCCAAGCAAATACACTTAAAACACAAATTGGAAATTTGCCAATAAGCGAGAATGTTGTTGTTAAGGAAAAACCTCTTTCGAGACGGATTCTTAGCATAAATTTAAAAGTTTGACTGTCGCATGTGCGAACGGTGCGAACGTCTAGATCCGCCCCTGTGGGCAAAGTAACTATACATTGGACACGCAATAACGTATTTCTCTCGTTAATTTACAAGTTTTCCTCTACGAAACTACCAATAAATAGACTGCGTTTACCGAGAACACCAGATTTGAAAGGTCTGTCCCTGGATGAAGCTTTTCCATAACGCGTCCATGAAAGCATGCATGTTGCTTTAACTTGTCATCATCTCTTAGATGTACCGAGTTTTACATTGTACACTTAAGTCACTAAATGCAACAATCTAGCTGAAGATAATCGAACAAATATATTTCCCAGCAAATTTGGGTTTCTTGTAGACACCACTACGAAATTTATAGCCTTCTTTTCCAACACATACAGCAAGACAGCTTAAGTTGTTTTTGCACCTCCTTGAGGAAAAATTTCAGGCCATCCCGCAAAGAAAGCAATTTGTTGTTAGACCAATGCAATATGTCTTCATGGCATTTAAAATTGATTTTCGTCAATTGTTTAACATTTCAGACACAAATAAATTTTTTTGATAACACTATGTCCTTTGAAAGCTTTCAGTAATTAGTTTCTAAACACAGGCAGAGCAAAGCTGCAATCTGACTCACAATAATCACCCGAACTAAATTCTAATCATTTTCATAAAATATGTGATTAAATCTACCATAATTCTCCCTAGATTTGTTCTCACCTTCTCAAATATGCTCCTGAACGATCTCTCTTCAGTCATTCCTCCAGTTCCACCTCAGCCTTTCAACACTCCTTATGAGCATCAAGCTGCTTGTAGTGATAGACAAAATTTCCAATTTAACTCTTGTTCCAAACAGAAGGGCATTGCACAAAGCTTAGGATCAAATTTCAGCTTGTCTACTTTTATTTCAGGTCACTCTCTGTTTTTCAACATCACCATTGAAACATCATCCTACAATATTCAGCAAAAATATAATTAAGATAATCACCTTGGAAACTTATATCCCAACCTTTTTCCTCTTGAGGTTTCTATCCAAATGCAACTTTGCTTTGATTGTAGGCTTTCAAGATATTGGTGTAAAATGATACATCAAACAGATGAATTCAGCCCTTGCTCAGCAATTAAACAATTCAAGTAGGATTTCTTTCAAATGAGGTTACAATCAATCTTGGTCCTCGGCACAAACTCAGCAAAAGTACATATATTGCCAATGGCTAAGTGATGTTCTTTCATGTTTGCTCAGGAAGATTGAAAAACCTAATCCTTTCTGAAAAATCCTTCAACATTTTTCTGATACATACAAAATGTTAATGGCATCAAATTTCTCTCAAACATGTTCAATTACACCCAAACAGATGGGAATTGATGATTAACTAATTTGCTTGTCTGCATTCCATCAAACTTACCCTCTGACATTGTTGGAGGCAAATTACTTAAAAACAGTAGCATAGCCAGGGTGGTCAGATTGTGGGAGGTGAGTTAAACAAGGAAAATTGAGAGGTCCACACCAGTTTGAGCACAAAAATGCCCTTTTTGAAATAGATGTTTGTCATTTGGGGCGCCCACCCTCTCTTGCCTCCCCCTTGCTGTGCCACTGCTTAAAAACTGTGTTGGCTTTTAATTTGGGTCTTTTTCTAAAAAGATACCTGGAACTGTTCACATGTTTTCATTCCAATTCTCTAAGTTCATTACATTAAAAAAATACCAAAAAAACAAAAGCCTTGAACAGGCAAAAATGAAATGCATAGGAAAATTTAACAGCAATAGTGAATGACAATTTTTATAACTGCTGTGCAATTTTCACCAAACTTAGTAAATTCATATTTGCTTGAATCATAATCGGTATCTTTATTATTGAAATAAATGTGTTGTAGGCAAGATAGATTTGTTAGAGGACACCCTTAGGATAAGGAATTGAAACAAAAGGGGTTAGCTATTGGGCATGTCCAAAGAACAATAGCAGCTAAATACTCCTGATACTGCAACAATGCTTAAAAATGTATTCATTTGCTTCAAAATGATAGTTGAAGACACATCCACAGGAACTGGGACTTATGCACAAGTTGAAATACCATGAAAGCTCTGTTAAGCCCCCTCTCTCTATTAAGCCCCCCTCTCTCTATTAAGCCCCCTCTCTCTATTAAGCCCCCTCTCTTTATAAAGCCCCCTCTCTATTAAGCCCCCTCTCTATTAAGCCACTCCTTATCAAACCAAACCTTAAAATAAGCCCCCACTCTCTATTAAGCCTCCCTCTTTTTAGCCTTTGCTGTCAAACATGGAAAACATGTGCATTTACTGGGTCTCTTAATGGGTGTGATGATAATAAAAATGTGTGCGTTAAGTACGGCCCATGTAAAGTCTTACTTGTGCACCTAAAAATCAGTCAAAATTTGTTTAGAAGATTTCCCAGGGTGATCAATTGATCCTAGTGATTTTGATGAAGATGATGACCTCATAATTGATTTATTAGACTTTCAAAGCTGCCAGGGAAGTTTTCTGAGAACATTTGTAAGACATTTTTATAACAAAATAATATACAAGGATATTTTCATAATAATTTTTACTTCAAATTTTTTATAAGCCCCCTCTCTCTAATTAGCCCCCTCTCTTTCAAGCCCCCCTCTAGGACTGACAGAAATAAATAAACCCTCTGGAGACTTAATAGAGCTTTTATGGTAATAAAAGTAAAAAAACATTTAAACTTAGACACTTAACTTAGACACTTTGATACTTTGACCACTTTAACATGAATTATTTTTCTGCAAACTATTTAAATGAAATATAGGTTAATGATAATTCAGCTAAATTTCACTACAGATAGATAAAAGTTGCAACCCTCAATTACCACTAAGCTGCAACATTTTTCTACATTGAAATGCTTAGAACAAATTAAAAACTTCATGAAAGTGGGTGAAATTTTTCCTTGAAACATAGTGAGCTTTTACTTGATAATGACACAAAATTTCAGAAGAATATTAGCCTTTTGTGCATAAGATTGACGTATAGACTCTTTCAAGCACGACAAAACGGACATGTCGTGACGTGAACAGTTCAAGGACAGAAAACCTGAAAGCAGCGTGTTCGTATATACTTTCAAAAACAGATAGAAGACTGTTCATGCCTTAAACTTACTTACCAACTTTTCGTAAGTGAAAAAATACAATCATTTCTTCGGCCAATTTCTTTATTTTCTCACTTCAGCAAAATTCACATTTACAGATACATCTATAGGCCTATATACACACAATTTATGGCTTCTTGCAATTATTTCACTTCAGGTATTTTTACAAAAAAGTTGTAAGTCTTTCTTAATTAGTTTGCAGTACTTCCTTCCTGATAAAGATTGGTCTTTGCTTCTTCCACTGAATATCCTCTGTTCTTGTCATGTTTCCGAGCTTGTCTTTCCTGGTCCAAAAGAACACCCTGATGCAGCCTTATGCGATCTTTTTCTTGTTCATTATGCACTAGCATAACGATGCCCGCAGAAATAGCAATGGAAACAGCTACTGCAAGCTTGCTCAAGATGGTCATTGCCACTTAATACAGCCGGATCTGATCGGCAAAAGCGCTTTTCTAAACCAGTGTTCAATAGAAGAGGCCCAGTTGCCAATATTCAAAATGGCCGCCAAAACAGTGGTGCTGTTGCTGTTGCTTCGTGTCAGCAACAACAACTGATCACATGATTTTGATTGAGTCTAGGAAAGGTGTATGCATAGGAAGCATTTTTGTTTGGTCAAAAAAGAATAGAAAAAATGGTAAGAAATTTGTTATTAATCATTGACCAATATGGCTTTTAAAGAAAATAATGTTTTTCGTATCTTAAAACATACAAACTTTCTAATCACTCAATGTATTATATTAAAAGTCACAAATCAGGCTGAATTTTATATGTTGATAATCTTCAAATCTGATTCATCAATAATTGCAACTTGAATATGAGCTGTCTTCTTCAGGCACATGTTCTAATGGGTATCGACAAGATAACAGACCAGCAAGGATATTTGGTAATAAGCTCAGATGGTGCTGTATTAGCTGTAAGTATATCCATGAAAATGTTTTATGTCTAAACCAAAGTCGACTTACTCATCAACCATTTAGAATAGTAACTTTTCAACAAAGTTGAATCTGAATATAAAGTTGAACTTTCTAGTTTTCTAGTACGAGTACAATTTTGATGTTGCAAAGCTGGGACAGTTTGAGTTTCAGTGGTGCGAACTGAGAGTAGTTCCAGAATAGGCTCAAATCAGATAAAGTATAATTTGCTAAAATTATTGAGGTTTATGTGTGGTTGACTAGAGATGCGAATCTTGGTATTCTTATGTCAATGAATATATAATATATGTTGACAAAGTCCTAGATAAAACAAAAGCATGACTGGATAGGTACTATATAGTTTTTAAACTGGAGACAAGTTAGCCGTAATGGCAGCTATGGGTCCTGACAAGTTAAAATGTACTCTTTGGGTGGAGAAGGGGGGTGGTACGTCCATATACTGAGAAACTAACACTAAAATATAATTCCATAACTGTGTAGAACATGGAAATCTGTTGAAGTTTCCTTCCAATTATGCCAAAGGTAATATTGCTTTAATATCCATATGATAAGAATTGTGCAAGGAGTTGCTTAAGGTATCTGGAATTCTCAAAAAACTGTGAAAATATTCAAATTTGCATTGGAACAATATTCACACACTATAAATTATAATCCACACCTAATTAATGATGGCAACAGGAATCAAACCAGCCTAACAACAATAATTAGGACACACACAAAAAACAGGCAGAACAAAATTGAGGGGAACTGCAATCTTAACCATAAATTTTGGGATATAAGTATAAATGACCAAATGTGAATTAACTGTTAGTGATGCAAAGCATGGTGCAATGCAATATAGATGATGCAAATATAAGCAAAGTGAAATATAATTGGGTAAAAAAGTCCTTGGAAGCATCTATGAGAAACTTGTTCAGGTCGTATTGTACATGGATGCATCTCTGTAAGCATATAATATGCTCTCTATGTTGCCCAAAATTTTACAAAACTTCTAAAGGATATATTGAATTGTCTTGTTCTGGTCATATTTATGCACACTTAAAACATGTTAACAGATAAACTCACCCTTTGTCAAATAGCAATGGATTTCTTTTAAAAAAAGTTTTATTTCCCCCTTTTTATTCTTTTATCATAACAAGTACTCAACTGATAGTGTAGTTTTTTCTAAGCAGGTATATATTTATATTAGAATTATTAGTATTGTTATTATTGCGTTGATTTTCTAAAAGGAGCATAACACTTTTTTAACACTTTCAGATAGTATTGAGCTAGTATGAAAAAGATTGATAAGAAATGAAGCAAAATTATTGTAGTGTTGTTATTTTAGTCTGCAGGTGATTTGGAGAATGACGAAAAGCTAGCAGAGCGCATTCATAGCATGGTACACACTGCAAGCAAGATTCCTTTGTCTAAAGACGGTAGCCAGTTCTTCAAACGGCTAACAGGTAACATATGCATATGAAAATTAGAATCAGTCTTGAAAGAAAAAACATTCCCATAAATTTTCCAAGAAGTAGATTGTCAGTAATCATACAGAAAAGTTTATAAAGAATCCATTTGCTTTTATCAAAAATCATATTATGTTTTGTTTGCTTTTTGTGTGAAAGTATTTAGGATATCTAAGCTCTAATTTTGGTTACATATTTTTGAAAAGGGGAAATCTCCTGCAAATAATATTTTTCAAAATTACCAGTATTTCAAAAGTAACTTTCTTACATTGTTACTGATTTCTGTTATGCTGACTTGTAGCAGTTTGTGGTTTTTTTACATTAGGTATGTTGTGTTAAGAACTTTTCCAATTTCAGTGACATACAAAGATTTCAATTTACTGGTAACAGTAAGCAACCAGAGAATATACACAGTGAAGAGGCCTATCACCAGGACTGAATAATTGATGACTTTTGATTAATATAAGAATATAATGATTATGGCAGGACTTTCAACAATGGCTTGTCATCAAAGTTTTGTCATTTTTGTAAAAAATTTTGTTTACAATAACTTGTTTGTTAAAGTCGTAGTTCTTTCAGTTCTAAATTCATCAATCTCTAAAGGCAGTTTTAGATTTTAAAACATTGTGCTATTAATCAAACTTTTAGCTTCTGATATTTGATTTTAATTCCCAATGTGTATGTTTTGAAAGAGGTTACAAGTTAATCAGGCTTACACTACAATATGGTATCAATAAAGTATTTATTATTTTTCTAAACTGGAACAACACAAACATACTGAAATCAATTTAGCACACTAGACATTGAGAACTGAAATTGATCTTTGAAACTATGATATACAGTGTTGAAATACACCCTAAAAATGAGGATTTAGACTGTTAAATAAATTCTATGTTATATATACTAACATAAAATGAAACTTGTAGCATACAAATGTTCATCAATAATTCAACAATCACTGACATACAATATTAAATACAAACACGATAAATGTTACTTCATGAAAAACAGACTTGATAACAATGTGAATACTAGAGTGTTACAAATAAGACAAGATCAGTTGATGAATAATTTTAACTTGAATATTATTTCATTACATTGATTTTGATTTGAACTAGCTGACCAAATCTCTTTGATTTCATTTAGTCAAATTCAATTTAAATCTATTCACTTATTTGATAAGTTTATTAAGAAACTGGCAGTTCTGGGAAGTACCAGAATGCTCGTAGTCACCAAGATGAAAATTATTTATGTTATATAAATATCATTTGATATTGGTCCGTTGTCGGCACAAAGTCATACTGAAGCAATCTTAGTATTTACACGGTGCAGCTTTCTGATACACAGTGGGCCAATGATAAAATAAGGATGAGTCGTCTAATAATTGGTTTTTGTATGCATCAAGAGCGCATCTTGAGTTAAAGAATGAAGGATACAGTCACACTTCTAGTCTTTTCTATGTAGCATCTACAATAATTCTTCTGGCACACTTGTTTCAGCATTCCACTCTTCAAAATCTGTGTCTTTAACTCCCCATGTTTGATTCTTCTGTTGTCATAAGCTATTCTGAACTTGAATCAACCTTGATATGATCCAGTGACAGGAACTGTATCAAAAAGCATCCCAAATTGCTCTTCAAAACTTCAAAAGAAAATAATTTTATGAGAAAAAGTCATGATTATATGTGCCATGATAGCCATATTAAGCCTGGTGGTATTCAATTTTTGAGGTTTTAGAAGGGGGCTTATTACAGGGGGGGGGGTGTCATAACAAAAATTAAAGATTAAGGTATTAAAACATTTTTGGTGTGTGTTTGATAAAGTTCTGTTCTTCATTAGCACCATCAGGGTAAATTGCTAAGTCTGATAAAAAACCAAGTAGGCTTAATGGAGAGGGGGCTATTTTAATATTTGTTTCAAAGGGGGCTTGATAGAAAAGGCTTAGTGCTTTTACAGTTGATTAAACTGGTACCTCTGGCAGATCTTAATACTAAAAGCCTAGTGCAATGTAAAAAATATGATACCATATGATAATGCCTCAATACACTGAAGTCAAACAAAGTATCATGGGAACTATCTACCCAGTTTTATTCAGAATTTTTTATGATAAACAAATCAACAGAAAAAAGCAAAAACAGATTGTGCAAATGAATGCATACTTCATCAGCTTCAGTATTCAAGACAAGCCCTTTAACAGATTGTACTGGCTGGGCTGCCTCAGTAAAAAGATAAACATGTCTTCTACATAGGTCGGTACAATAAAAATACTCTTTGCAGAATGATTTTGTTCAATACTCACCCTTCTAAATGATTCATCACAAATGGAAGCATCAAAATCAGCCATGCTGACCATGCTCATTTCACTCGGTGTAGGGCTCACATTCTGTGATCGTCCACCTGTGTGTGTTGCACTAGAAGAAACGATCTATGCTTTAGTGGCATTGAATTCAAAATACAAAAAAACTCATGAGTAACAACAAACATATCTATCTGTATTGCTGCTTGATTTACTAAAAACTTTCTGTTTATATATTTCAAACGGAAAACTTTAACATTCCTTTAGTCAAAGTAATATTATGAATTCACAATGTCTGTGTTCTGTTTCTCAACGTATAGGCAAGGGCTGTGCACTGCCTCTAAGGCCCTGACAAAGAAAGCCATGCTTCCACTGGTAGAAATTGGTTGGAAACAATTTCATGTTGTTTAGAATTCAGCTGACATCCCATACGCCATGAAGAAATTAATTTTAATATTTGAATTTGAACCAGACGGAAAGTTTGAAACGTTTGGCTAACAAAGGAAGAGCCCTTCACAGACTAGATGGCCTATTTCTATTTGTTTCAAAATTATTGACCAAAAGAATCCGTCGTGAAAGAAATGTTGGTTCCATCTAGGCAAGGTATGCAAATGCCTGTGGTCATACAATACACGTTAAACCAAATCAAATAAATCAAAACCAAATAAACTGCACTTGGAAAAAACGAATCATGATTGTTATTTTGTGTACCGCAACTGTGCTTGCAATCGCACAGGCCAAAGGAAAACTGATATCTGAAGTTTGGCTTGCGGCCTAAAAAGCCGTTAACACTGACCGAAGCTTTTTTATTCTAGGAGTTGGTTTGTAACAGTTTTCTAATGCAATATAATGGTAAAGTAAAAAGCATATGGGTGACCGAAATTCCTGCGAAAACGCTATTAAACCTAACTCCAACATTAGAGGTTTCCTTCCGCCCATATTTTCTTCGTTAATGCCATTAAAATGGTAGTGAATGTGATTGTTTATTTCTATGAAAAGTTATCGTTCTTCTAGTCAGCTAAAACTAGCGAAACAGTAGTAAGTTCTTGCACCGTAAATATAAAATTGCGAAAATTACCTGAAAAGATCTACTTAAATCGCCAAAATCATTAAACAGTATTTTCAAATCAATGGCTTTCTTGAGAGTTTGTCAGACCTTGTTGTTTGTATTTTTGCATGGGAGCTGCGAATCGTTGGTCTCATGTGTTCCGATCCACCGTCAAACCGTTTCATGAAACATCGTTACAATAATATTTTAAATGGATATAACTTTTTGTAACAATTTTTATCTAAAGTAGCTATACACCGAGCCAGCAGCTTTTGCCATAGATTGTGAGATCGAGCCTCCTAGCTGTGCTCATTTTTGGGATTTGATGCTGTGCTTTGAGTACCTGAAAATTGGTTTTGCAGATTCGAAAGAGTCCTGATACAAACGAATTGAAAACCCCTACCCATTAGAAATACATTGTGCAACCACCTTCACAAACAACATTTCTAGAGGCACGCGGGATTGATAGGTTAACTATACCTATCATGTGCTCGCGTTTTTTCTAACTGGCCTATTTCGATCCACAACTGGGTTGTTTTTCCCATCTTTTTCTTCCACACCCTTATTCTGACGTTTTATACTCTGGAAATGTCAGACGAAAAAGCCTTTAGTATGCAGTAAAAAAAATTTTCAAAGCCATTTCATATTTTGTACCGCCAAAAAGATGTTCAAACGATGTTTACTATGCCTCTGAATCTATGTGAGGTGAAAACGTGACCAGTTGTAAACAAAGAAAAGCCTTGGGGTGTACAAAGAATGTGTGTTGGAAATTCGATCGGTTGTAACCTGTTTTTTATGCTACAGCTTCTTCATTTAAACCGTAAGCCTGCTGTCATACATACCTTGAAAATGTTCGTCTAATTATTTGAGTCCTTTTGGGTGTTTTCGTCAAAGATATTGCTCTACCAACTCGTTTTGTGGTATTCTTTGCTTTTCTATAGAACAGTGGAATAAAATTTCAAGAACACGTCTAATTGTACTAATTGTAGTATTTTAGTTTTTTGTTACACAGAAATGATTCACATATTTCCCCACAATATAGTAACAAAAATTGCAGCAAATTAAAACTTCAAGTAACTAGAAATTAAAGACTGATGAGAGTAGCTAATAGATGTTTGTTTACAAAATAATAATAATTAATATCTCAATTGCATCAGCGAGAATGACAGGCTACAATACCAAAGCAAAAAATGATGACTTGAAATTGTATTTACGTTTGGACAACACCCATTGTAATATAATCGAGCAGATCTATATTTAGCATAATTCATAAAGAGGAAATCAACTAAGATGGCGATGAATAAAGAAATTAAAGGCAGTCTGTCCCTTATTGTGCTCAGCTTTTTTTTCACGGGAGTGGAATTCATGCATCGTTGAGCTTGATCGATAATTAAACGATTTAAACCAATCAGAGACAACATGGATTCCAGAGCCTGGTGTTCCCGTTGAAGTGAAGCCTTGGCTAGAAAAATTATGTTCCCTGTTTAGTTTTTGCGACAGATATGTCAACAGCGAAAGAAATGCTACCGTTATTATCAGTCATTTCTAGTAATTAAATCTTATTGCCATTCCCGATAGCTTTTTGCTCGCAGTCTCAAATATCGTCCACTACCGCAGCTAGGCCAGCCAAATCCGTTAAGGCGGGAAGACGTCTTGTTCATATTAGCCAATCATTGACAGGACAGACTGCCTTTAAGTTAACGTATTGACCCTTAAAATAACTGAACCTATATATAAAGCTGCTGCGATTAATTTTTGTCCGGTAGGTTTAAGCTATGATTTAAAAGAAACTCATATGATTTATAGACATACTTGTATGCACGACTCAAAGTGCCTCCACGTCTTCCTGCTCCATCAACGGCACTGTCTGACTTAATAAGTTTCAGTTCCTCTGGGTCTGCTACTTGGAGTAAATTTTCCTTTACAAAAAGAAATACATCATGTCTTGATTGTCTTATGAATCACAACAGAAGTTCAGAAGATAATGGCTACATAAAAGTTACAAGGAGTGCGAATGAATGATGTGATTCAGAGTCGGCCGGGTGAAATTCAACTTTTGCAAAGTAGCATTGCAGTGCTGTATCTATTTACAGTAAATGCACAAATTAAGGGCCTTATTGCATGGAATTTTAAGACATAGACTGGGATTTCAGCCCTCCTGCCGAGGCATAAATATTTACGATTACATAATAGTCTTAATTCTAGGGCTGAAAAATTTACGTCAAAGGCGTGTACTTAGAACAATCGGGACTAAGCAATGATAAGCAATAAGGATTAAAAATTCATCCCATGTATAGCAAGAAGGGCTGAGGTTCAAGCCTTATCGTATATTTTAACCCAGGGATGAATATCTCTCGTGTAGTTGGATACACAATTTCACAGAGCTGTGACCAAAAATAGCTGGAAACTCAACCCTATAGTTAAAGATTCTCTCTAAGCATGAAAAACTTCATCCAAGCATGAGTTCGGCACAGGACTGGTTTAATGAATGTCAAGCTTTTCTTATGTTTGAATGGAAAAAGGCTTGATGAATAACATAAAAAATAACAAAAGGTTTGATTGAATGTTGGGTTAACAAAACTACCTTTACTTTGTCACTGCTATACATATCACCTTAAAAAAATTTGCTAAAGGAAAGAAGGGTTGAGAAAAGGATGAATGTATTGTGTTTCAGTCAATTGTACTTTAAACTGCTAAAACAAAGCCCCTGATTCATGTATGGACTTATCCTGAATCACACAGTAAACTTTTACACTTGAAGGTGAACCAAATAGTTAGATAAAAACACTTTCAACACTTACCGTGTCTGGACAACAATTTGACTGGATTAGTGTTTTGACAAGCTCATCAAGCCAATCTTTCTTTTCGATTTCTCCTGATAGCTTAAAGACTAACATTCTCTGTCGAGCATCCAGCGGAGATACGTATGTTAGAGCAAACAGATTCTTGACTTCTGTTGTAAACGAATAGGAAGTGAGACATATTCATTTATATTCAAACAAACGCTTGTTACAATTAGCAAATCACAATGACTGCCAAAGGTCATTTACTGAAAATCTTTACTGGAAAATTACGAGCTCGAAGCGCTCGTTGAATTGCGCTCGTTGAATTGAGGACTGTTTTAAAAGGGTACTCATTTGAGGGGGCGCTCGATGTAGCAAAAAAACTAGATTTATTGAAATTTACTGAAAAGTAAATTGTTAGTTTCCAAGTCAAGGATAAATTGAATGTCAATTACTTCGTTAATATCGTAGCCATGCTTCCCAACATCTTCTTTAAAAACAGGGATGGGGAGCTGTTAAATTTTTGACTGTGTTGGGGAGGCATACATTTGAAGAAGGGGCACAAATTTGTGAGTGGCTAGTACAAGTAACATCAGCCACTTTTGGTCGGTTCTGTGAAGTACTTGTATATTTTCACGGTTAGAGTTACAATACAAAATAGTTCCTGATAATCACTATAAAATACTTCTTAACAAACGAAAACAATGTTTCATTAAGAGCTGTGTCGAATCATCTCGTTTCAGTTGTCACATTTACAAATTAAAAGAAAACCATGTTGATTTGCGATTTTTCAACTTGCACTTACACGATTTTCAACAATCTGGCAAGAAAAACGCAAGCAAAGATTGGTATACGAAAAGTTTATTTGCCCAACACTAAAAGTCAGGGAAGGCGCTCATAAGAAAAAGTATGAGAACTACCAATCGAAAACATCGCCAAGTATTCATGTTAGCAAAATGAAGAAGAATGAGAGAAACTGATAAGAACATACCTCCACGATCCACAATATCAACAAGTGACTTGATATGCGAGAAAGGCATGAATTCCACATGCTTATAATTACGCTGGGGTGTTTTGGTTGGACCAGGGCTTTTCATTGGAATGTTGTTAGTCGATTTTACACTTTTTACGCCTTTTCTTTTGGTTACCTGAGTATGAACACAGAAACTGTGAATAGTACAAACACTTGTTATAAGAATGCCTAATTTTTCGAAGAGCCTCAATATTTTTTTTTAATTTGAGCCTAAGATTATTCTTAAACTATTCTAAAGCAACATAAGATATAACCGGATTGCATTATAGCTCTAATGACTTCAAGGCCAGATACGTCTATTTCAAGGCATAAAGGGTGAAACTGGCATTTGTTTTCCTTCCAAAAAAACGCAAATCAACAAAAATGAATTATTAGTGAAGCTTGAGCCTTGCACTATTCCTAAATTTCTCTTAAATTTCAGTGATTTTGATCCTAAATATTCTTATAGACTTTATTATGATAATAATAAAGTGTTTAGAGCAGAGCAGATGATAGTTTAAATACGTAAATCAGTATGTTTGAAATCATTAAAACGTTCCTTAATAACATTCCATAATGACCTGAAGGGTCAATACATGGTCATTCAATCTTTCAACCTTGAGTGGCCAGGGTCTGTTACTGAAAGGGGGAGGGAGGCTCTTGTCAGACTTTGATCAAAAATTGAGAGGAAAAGGGTTGATTCAAAGTTGAAAAAAAAATGAAAAGCCAGGTAGTGATGAGCAGAAATTAGGGGGGATGTTTGCAACACATTGTCCCTTTAGAAGAGGCAAGATCGCATCTATATAAAACAATTGTTCATCAGGCAGTATGAGTAGAAAACGAATGGTCATGAATTGAATTTGTTTAGAAATCATTGTTATTTTGTTCGTTTTAAAGAGTTTGTGCAAGGATAAAAATGTGCACCTATTAAATATATGAATGCAAAATGAAACTAAAATAGACATACTTCAATGCTATCTGTGAAAAGAAACATTGTTAAGTTGTCTCCTTTTCCGCTGAGAATATCCGAAACTTCTGACATGTTGGCTTTCGATACCAGACGCCTTTGCGATGACAACACATAGGCCTACATGTGAAAATAAACACAACTTGAATAAACTTAAAAAGTTGTCTACAAAAGAGAATCGTGTTGTGTTCAGAGGTAGCTAACAATAACAAGAAAATACAATAAACAATGGCCATTCTTCATCTACACTAATATCAGTTTTCAAGAGCAACTTCATTTCGATTTTAGAACTTCCAGTAGACAAAGATTTCCTCTTCCGGTTGCAAAATATGTTAGACAAGGCACATCATCGAAATGTAAACATCCAATTTCTATTACAGACAGATGAAATGCAACTTACCGGGCAGCCCTCAACCTCCCTGATTATTTCAAACATTTGGAATTGTCCTTCTGTTTTTCGCCTGTCTTCGTTGATGAAACTGAAATGAAAATACAGGTTCATGTCTGAGGGGCCATCAGACTGAGCATGAAACTGATATGAGACTTTCTTTGAAGGTCCCTTTAAAGGTTTTTGTCCAAGTTTTCTTTATTTTGAAAGGACCGTAACATTCACTTACAATTCTTGAAGTAGAAAACAAGGAAGCAGTCGCAATTTACAAGTAATAAGCACGATAAATTTGCCTTTTATCCAAAGGATACACGTTGCATGAACTTTTTTAAACTTTTCTTGAATTAGAAAACCAAGACTGCTTGATTCGAACAGAATCAGACAAGGACTTTAAACGAAAAGGTCATCTAGGCTGACCGATTTGAAAAAATACGTGGCTATTATTGTTCCTTCTGAATTTGAAGATGGTGCAGAAAATGGGAGCATAACATGTGGAGCTGAAGTATACTTGTCAAAGATGTAGCCAAAAAATTAAAACAGAACTGACATAGTCGGTTCATCACATCTTGTCTTTGCGTGATGAAGGCAAAAGACATTTAGCTCATTAGGTATCAAATGTATTTCAAAGCACAGAAAGGCCACCTGACGGCACCATGAACAGGCGTGCTTTCGCTTCTAGTGAAAATGACAAACTGCCATAACTTTTTATACCACTTCATAACAGAGACCAAAAGGCAAAGAGAAACTCCATCCATTGACAACATCATAAATCATTCAACGATGGGGAAGGTACAAAAATCTAGTCATGTTGCTTTATGTAGAGGTCATTGGAGCGAAAGTTCTGGGACAGATTTTCTTTAAAGAAGCAACTAAAACCAAGCTTGTGGTTATGATATACAAGAATTGAATTCAGTATCGTTTAGCCCGGGGAACATGACAAATTCCAAACTCAACTTCTCTGATGCATATATCCTTCTCTGTTGCATTTATTTTTTAATAGAAGTTATTTCTCTTTGAGAATAAAATATGGGAACACAATTTGATATGCTTCTGTTTTAGTTTTAAGCATTTCACATTTACGCTCAGCAGTAAAGCCGAAAACTTTAGGAAAGATGTGGCCTATTTAGCAAAGACACTTATAAAATACTGTTTGTTGTTCGTCCTCTAGACATTTCAAAAATATTGCAAAAGCACATTTCGTGGAAAACATTCAACGCTTTAAATTAACAGCCACTACTTCAAGACACTTTTAATTGCTGCAGCTGCTTTTGTGAGCTGATCATGATCCGGGTTTGACGTTGGGGTCTTTTTAAGCAGGTCTAAAAGAAAAACAGAGATCCAAAACTGTAACTGGGACTCTTGAAAAAATACTGCTGGAAAAGTTAGCATTAAAAGGAAACAAAAAAATCCTCAAAATGAATGCTTGATCCTAGAAACTATTTTATGTCAAATTGGCAAAATGTGGGACTTATATGGCCATAAAACGAACATTCCAACAAGCTACCATGTCTGTGTTGTTTAAGAAGAAATTTATTGTGCTTAATCTTATAGCCAAGGTTTTCTATTTATTAGGTTCTATTTTGTGGCAATTTGTTGAAAGCCGCTGATATTATATAATGAAGAGCTATGTGACTGTGGATAGGCTTGCAGTTAGTAAAGTCGATAGTTAAGGCCGGTGATACTAATAAACAAGGCTACCTACCGTTTATTAAAAGGCTCATGCTCGGCAGTCTTTGCACAGGTCGAATAAGCAGCTCTGTAAGACTTTGACGTCCACATTCGGGTTTTGTCAGGCAGATCTATCAGCAAAACGAACTTATAAAAGTGGCAAAAACAATTTCGAAGGTTTCTTTTTAAATGAAGTAACATTAATTGTTTCGAAATAGCCAGTTTTAAATCTGTTATAGATGGTTTTTGTTCGATTTCATTGCAGTTTTTGGAAGAAGCAACACAGCAGAAAAATATATAAGCAAAGAGGGTCACCGCACAATGCTGCAAATCTTGGTTTTGTCATTAATTAGCTTGTCAATATGCCAGTACTTAATTGGGATACAAACGGGATCAAGAAAAGTAAGGGTGAAATTTATTTACTTGCCGAAATTTAGTCACTTTTCCTAACTATATTTTCGAATTGGTCATTTTTTCTCGATTAGATATTAAGCGTAAAATAAAATTTATATTTAGCTATTGAGTTTCACAGCGTAAATTTCTCTTAAAAGATACCAACAACACTAAAAATTACAACAGTTTAGCCTTAAAAGTAGAAAAGAGGAGTAAAAAATCGAGAAATATAAGTTTGGTAAGAAAAATCGGGGTTAAAGTAAGTTGGGGAAACATTTGGTCAATTCAGATCGTTCGCTTTCCCCAGATTTTTTCTATCTAAGCTATGCAAATTGTTAATATATCTATGCAAAATTTAAAGCATGGAGGCTCTGACCAAATTGCAAGCTAGTTGCAAACAGCAACTAAAACGAAGCTTAACGGAAAATTATTTGAAAAAAAAACAGTAAAATCATCAATCTCAATGTGAGATTTATATTATGACGTCAGCGCTCTGGTTTCTTTGAAAAATAAGTCGAAGGCTAAAGTAAGGAGATAGTAAGCACAATCCTTGATCTTCCTTGCGTCTTCTTTAATAAAATCATTTCTATTAATTTCTTTTAAGTAGAACACTTAAAAGAAAAGGACAGCTCACCTTTAGAAATGCATGAAACCTGGGTCGCTCTTCGTCACACCTCACAATGGTCTCTTTAGCCATATCAAAGTAATTGACAAATTGTGGATATGCCTTCGACATTCGATCGGCCTACAACAGGCAAAAAACTTAAATGTTGAATAGGAAAAAAGAGAAACCACACTTTTAGTAACAGAAAGAGTTAATATGATTTAAATAACCAGCCACAGTAATCCATTGTCAACATAAAAAACTGCAAAGTATGTCTAAAAATTGTAGTTCACCGAAGATTTTGAGCAAGTACCGAAGAAATATCTAAAGCACAAAGGCAAAGCAGAAATCTTACATGATCGACTATGATCTTCCCGATTAAGTTGTCTTCTTTCCAGTTTTCCATAAGTGAATCGATATCTTTCTAAAAAAATATTTCAAGAGAGGTGAAATATTAAGTAACTTTGCTGATGTATAGGTTAGGAGATACCGCAAAAAACTGCAAACAATTACAGTAGCATGGCTAGAGCAAAAATGACTATCTATGCTTGTTCGAAGCTAGCTCTGTCATCGAAAGAAAGATGATTATGAAGAAAAAGGTGCTTCTTCCAATAAGGAAAACTCAAAGCCCAATCACCAGACTATTGAGTGAATTAACTAATATTCTAAAGACTAAGCTTTTCGTACCAGTAGAAAAAATGCCTTATTATATGTCAAAAAAATTATCAAAACTACTAGGTCAGAAATAGAAAAGTTACGAAAATGATCGTGGCCAAGAAATTCAATAAAACAAATAATTTTGAGATAGAGAAGAGGGCACTTATGCTATCCAAAGTTAAACTGGTGGTTGATTTTGACAGTTTCTAATGTTTGTTTTTCGATATTGATTAATTATTTTTCAGCGAACAGCGTTGAAATGCTGAGAAGGTGAAACTGTCCTTAATATTAAATACTACTAATGGATTTAGCAGGTGATTCACTTACTAAAATTCTTTGATGTACGTCAACTATTTCAGGCAAAGATCCAAAAACAGTCTTTATCTCCTCAGCTACAAGTAGAGGTCCGCCCCTTTGATCAAAAGATTGTTCTAGTGGCTCTTTAAAAACCTAAAAAAATAATGTATCATTAAAAATTCATTTTGAAAAAAGGTCAACATCACTGAGGATAAAAGAGACGCGTGGGGCAGCTGTTAGAGATATCAAGAGAAGGCCTCATTGAGTGTTGAGTTTCATTAATCCTTTTAAAGTAGCACATGTTGTGGGCATGCTTTTGTAAAACTTAGCACGTTCAATAGATTTTGCTTTCCAAAGTTGATTTCTTTAGTATTCAGCTTAGAGCTAATAGCACGATGTTGCAAAACTTTGAACTTTTAAAGCAGTCCGAATAGAATTCGTATTGGTCGGTATTGCTCTAGATTTCTATTGGATGTCAATATCGAGGAAAACCATCCTTTTTAAATGTTAATTAACGCCCTAATTTTCAGTTCCAGAACTCAATCTACCAGAGTGAAAAGCTCTAAACACTCGGAAATTAATGATAATATTTCTTGAATACAAAACAAATCTTTGAAAGAGTCATATAAAAATAGCCCCAGTTTATGGCCAAAAGAAAAGCTAAAAATCAAACAAAAAATAAAATCTTAGGGAATCATAATCTGTTTGCTATAACTTGCTAACTTCAACACAACCTTACCTTGATTAGAGTCACAAGGGTGTCATAGTAATTCTTCTCGGTCTGTTGAAGTTCTAATGAAATTTGGTGCCGTGCAGTTAGTGGCACTTGGGCTGTTTTTGGTGTTTCCTCCTCGGCTATGTCTCCCTCACGAGAAATTTCTAAAAAGAGCACAGCCATAAAGTATTTGTTTCTACAATGTTTGGAACTAGACAAATACTTGGGCCAAGAGTTTCGTCCGCTACAAAACGGAGCTTTGAGGGGTATTGACAGTCTGAAGAGAAGAAGTCTTGAGAGTGTCAAAACAATTGGAAGCTGATGTCGAACGGAAATCCTTAACAAAGAGCTATCTAAATTAAAATATGGTTTAGACGTCCTGGAAACGGTGAACACTCGGAGTGCACTAAATCAACCCGATTCTTTGAACCCAGCTCCCAGAAAGAGCAGAGGAGCAGGATAAAAGGGTTCAAAATGCCAAATCTTTACATGCGAATGTTCACAAAGAGTTTCTTTAAATTAAAAAATTCTTTTACAATTCAATTTACACCTAGATAGTTCAATTCCCACTGATTTCTACCCAAAAGCCCTCTTGCGATTGAAATATCATGCCCTAACGATGTCGGACAACAACAACATATCTAAGTAGATTATGAAATAATTTTGCCATTCTATTCATATTCCATTCGCCGTTCCACAACATACCAGACCATATATGTTGTGTAATTAAGCTTGTTCTGTTACAAAAAATTCAAAAAGAATATAGCTAAGAAAGAAAAGTAAATTTTGCACATAAAAATATTCAGTGGCGTAACGGAGGTATATTGGGTCACAAGGGAAAAACAGAGATTAGGGCCCTATTTACGGACCGCAAGAACGTCCTATCCCATGGTGTAGAGCATGCCAATCACAATAGCAAGATGTAAAAAATGATAATTTTTATCGTTAACTGAGTTAAGGAAGAGGCTGAGTTATTAAATCTTCAATTAAAGAACTCACGAAGTTTTTGAAAATATGGTGATCTTGGGTAAAGTCTTAAAAAGAGGGATATAAAAATAATTTGGAGCCCCATTTGTTCGGGAACCCTTCGTTATCGAACTAAGGTGCCCTAAATTGCATTACGCCACTGAGGATTACTCCTGTTGACATGGCTAGGTATGCTTTCTTAAAAATTGAATGTTGAAATTCAACGTACCGACCATTGATCCAAGGGAAGAGTCAAGAGTTGTGGATGATAGCAAAGAGAGCCTGTCTTTGGTCCTTTTCCTGTTTGAATACAACGGTGAATCTGGTGACAATAGCTCGCTGATATCGACATTATGAAGCTTCCTTTTCTGACTTTTACGGCTTGCAGAATTGACATACGGCGAAGCATTACTGTCCTGAAATTTTGTTGAAATGAAAAAGTTTAGACATAGTAACCTGAAAATATAACCAAATCAACCAAGCTGTTTTTTATCTTACATTTTCTCCCACAACATTGAAAGACGAACGGGAATAGAAATTTTAAGAGGTATATTCACAAAGCCTGTTTAACAAGTAAAAGTAACACGAAAGATTCGTGTCTCACATTAACTGATTATATAATTAAAAAGAAAAAACTTACGCCATGAAACAGATACATGGTCTCATCTGCCCGCGCATCGATCTGTATGCTTGCCCAAAACCACTAAAAGGATCACATGACTATGTTTTAAAAAGGAAAAATCTCTAAAAAGTTCTTACAAGCGATAAAAAAGGTTGAACTAAATCTTAAAAGCGTGCTGAAGTTGCGAAACTTATTATATTTTTCTTTCTCTTGTTATAAATGTTTTTGGAAAAAGCACATGTAATGACTTGAATTGTAATATCTTGCTTTTTTTGATATAACGCAAAAAGTAATTTTCTCATTCTGAACAAAAAAACTGTCGAAAAAACTTTATGGATTCCTCTTAGTTGTATTAACAAATAGTTTCATTGTGATAATTATTGGAAGATCATTATCATTATAAGTGTTAAAAATAAATCAAAATTTTGCCACAATGCTTGACAAATTACTTGGAAAACCAAAGGAGTTTCAGTCGATTCTCGTTCTATTTACACTTTACAAGAAATAGCTTATTTCTCCACAAACAATATTGCAAACACCTTAGTTTCTAAAATGTGATTACGTTTGAATTTTACACTTCTATAGAGAATAATCAAACACTGTTTGAGAGGGGAAAGAAAACTGCTAATAGCAATGATTAAAATGCTTGTGGTGCTCCAGAACTTGTGACAGGCAGTGTAATACTTTTTCAAGTAAAATGCTATCAGTTATCTCCTAGGGACCTGGTAAACCGAAATTTTTTATATGAAGTCGATTTCTGTAAGTCCCCGATTAGACGAATTTTTCTCTAGCCCTTACTAGTTTAAAAAAAACTATCTTTTGAGTTATCCCTTCTTTGCTAAAATTTAGTCGGCAATTCTGTTTTTTCTTGAATGTAAACTGTCGTTCGCTAACTGTCATAATCGAAAAATTCATAATAGATTTATATTGAGTAAAAACTAAAAAATTTCTTGTTCTCATCAAATAGGTTTTATCAGGCACGGCACAGATATGGCATTTATATGATTTTTGGAGAAAAATAGAACTTACCTCTTGTTTCACGACTTGCAAACTCTTAGAAGCAGTTTCATTGGGTAATTCAGTAACAGAATGTTCCACAACCACATGGGTGCATGCAGGATCACCAATTGGTACAAAATTTGCACCTAAATCAAGAAAGATTGGCATCATCTATAAATTATTAGCTCTATTACAGTGGCAGAGAGTTTGATGTTTATTGGGAGGAACGGGGCATAAATTAACGTTGAATATATTGAGTTGTCTCTCAGTCTCCAAAATATCGGACAACAACGGACGGGCAATGTCTTTTAGGTCGTATTCCTTTAGGTTTAGGTAATTCAGTTAGATGGTTAACACCTATTTCTTACAACAAACATCCCGTAGGATACAGAACTCTCTGAGCAGGAGTCGCAACAGCCTGGCCGTTTCAGTGGCAAGTAACTTTTGTACAGTTAATGAGCAAAATCATTTTGAAGATTAATTGCCACCAGCAGAAAAGAAAGGGAGTCTATCGAAAGTACAACAGGGTTTGGGATCACTTCTTCAGGAGAATATTGGGTTCGGGCATTCGGGCATGAGTGACTGAACTACAACATTAACAGCTTTTGATAGATGTTTCTCTTAAACAAAAACTATTGCCTGACCAATTGTTTTAAGACTGACTGTTGGAGTCACTGGTAGTTTTATTCGAATTATATTGAATTAGAAACATGTGTAAATGTTTACAAAATAGAGATCGTTAGGAATATATCAAACCATTTTCTACAGCAGTCTCTTCCATATGCTTCTGCTCTTCTGCTGGGAAGCCGAGAAAACTGAGCTTGAGCCCTTGAAAAGGTCTCATCTTCCATTTCTCGATCTAAAACGGAAATGATTATATCCATGATGGAAACAATTTGACTGAGTTGGCCATTGCCGCAACTGCCAATACTGTCAAAAATTGATGTTATGTTGGATTTTATAAAAAATAATTATTATAAGAATAAAAATAAGGTACGTAAAAAGAAGCTACCTACATCAGTTTATAGTACGAATCGAAACCAAATATCGTATAAATACTTACGAAAATTTCATCTGTAGCCTTGAAATCTCTGAAACAAAATAAACGCATTTCAGTGAAGCCGAGGTAAGACTTTCTGTGGGCAGCTTTGAGGGTTGCTTCTTGCTGCTTCTGACATAACGTGGTGTTGAAGAAAATTTACCAACAATTTGACATAATTTTGATAGGAGTATACGAACTAGCAGCCCCTCAAGCAAACAATACCATAAAAGTCTATATAGACAGATCTAAGGCTGCAGTGAACAAAAAGCACCCCCATAGCTAATGAAAAATTCAATGAAGACCTTTACTCGCGGGTGGGAGTACATGAGTAATGATTTCCCTAGAACAATTATGCTGTTTGCTTTGTGGAAATCGAATAAACAAATGGAATTATAGCACACGCAATTTATAGAAATTAAATCGCAAATGAGAAATACACAATGCACTATTGGTCGTTGCAACATGACGTGATTTCATTGAGCACTGGGGGAGTAATGTTTGGGAATCAATGAATTAATTTCGCATTTAAGTTCAGGTTGAGCACGAATGCTTAACTGGTATTTGAGAAAAATCTTTAAAAAAGCGGAAGGGGTGGGGGCTCTATACTACCTAGGTGTTCGTCAACGTGTCGCAGGAGAGAACTTTCTCGCACCCTTTCAAGGAATATGATATCAAGAAAAATTTACAAAACGATTTTAAGCGTTTCTCCATGGCTTGCGGGAGAATCACAGAAAAAGTGTAAGGTTATACATTTATTGAATAAAACTCCTAATTTAATGCGAGCATATCAGAGAGGCGGGATTTTCAGAAAGCGGGCTTAAATTTTCAACATTTTCTCTTGTGTTTTGGCTCGGAATTTCGCATGTATTTGCATGTAAATTTTACGGAGTTGATTGGCTGTTTGGCCCTTGCTGTCATCAATGAATACGATAAGACACTATGCAGAATGTCCGAATAATCATTCACTCCAAACACATTTGCAATGCATTGGTTCTTTCCTGCAAGAAACCCGCCCTGAGCTACCCCAGCCCCCTCCCCTCCCACTGTCTTAAATGAATGAAATCTACGGGTTTTAACAACAGAACTGAGCTCTCGATATCGTTAAATGTGTAAAGGAGATCTGCATAGTTTTCGAATAAAGGTGATTAACGGCACGTGCCATTTGTTTATACTTAACATGTATCGCTGAGAAAATCATCTTAAAAACAAGAAATAAATCTTGAACTTTTCAGAACACCAAACGGACCGCTGTTTAATCCAATGGGAGCAGGTGAGGAATGGCACACCGCAGATTCAAAAGTATCCGAAGTATGTTGACGGTTAACGGTTCAATACATTGAACATTTGAATTTTCAAAAAAAAATACGACAAACGATAAACGTATCCAAGACTCCCTTTGATAAATTATTCTCAACCTCCATCATTTAAATGCATGTTATTTACTTGAGATGTGACCATGACCCTTGGCAAATACGCGAACAGGAGCAAAACCTAACACTTTTATTAGAATGGTGCTCATGGAATTTTACTACTGAGAGGCCCAACTAAGTTGAATATCAGCTTCTGGAACTCCACCAAAACTGTGTGTCCCTTTAGATAGAAGTTGCATATGTACAACCGTTAAACTGCTGATGAAATGCTGACATAGATCTAGCAGTTCTGTGATTTGATTGGTTTATACCAAGTTACAACCCCTCAAAGAATGCTACTTGCAGAGGTGTTGCATCTTGGTGCCATTTGGGCTAGGACCAACAATAATTTTCTGTAATATGAATAGCTACACTAAGGTGTTATGTGATTAACTATACAGAAAAATCATTCTGCCCTCTACCCATCAGGCCTTGTGAGGAGCAAAAAGCAGGCGCTAGACAAGCAGAGCACTTTCAGCTTTCTAGGTGCTCGATTAGCATCGTCAAATATCTTCAATAACAAAATTTGGTTTTTGCATTTAGCTTTAAGACAGCATAAACATGCTAGGTGCTCAACAATCAAGCTCCTAGAACTTTCTAGGCACGTGCAGAGGCGCTTGCCTTTACACAAGGGATCAGAAAGCTATCAGCTACCTAAACTATATCAGTTCTTGGGGAGCCTCACTCTAAAAGCCCATCAAAGTCTCAAAGAACTTATCAAATTTTCCTGATAGTAATGAAATAAATATATATTTTCTCACTTTTTTGTAAAGAAATACATGTCTGTACCCACATAACTAACACTATTAATACAAAGAGAAAGAGAAAAAAACATGACAATACTCACATATCATTTTTGTTCTCCCAAGCCTTTTCAATCCAGCTTGCACTCATAATGTGTGTCCCAAAGCTCAAAGCAGACTATGAGAAATCACGAAAACTCAATACAGTGCATTTACAAAAGTACAGAAAATTTATTGGAAAAATAAAAATTTGAGTCAGAAGAAGAAAAAAAAGGCAGATGAAGTGGCATAGCCAGCTTGAAATTAACTGGGGTGGCCAAAAAATGTTTTTCTTTACCATGCCCTTCAGACTTCTGGAAAACACGGGAAACACCTCTTTTAGTATTTATGATCTAATTCAAAATTTTTGGAATCAGATCAATTTTGATCTTTATTCTTGCAGAAAAGCCACTATTACGAAGAATGCTGCTGGAGGAAGTTGCTTTTAACTGATGACAAAAAGTGATGACAATAATATAACTTGTGGAAAAGATAACACTATATGAAGGCAATCTTGTGCTAGAAATGCTATGAACTTTGAGTTACAAAATTATAAGAAAAATCATTAAACCTCTCTAATAAATTTACTTTCAAATTGAGCTTTTGCAAGTCCTCACATTCACATTGCTTTAATAGTCACTTAAGTGCTGACTTAACCTACATAATTATTGAATCAAGCATGGTTTAAAGACACATTCCCTTTATGTTTTTCCAGGGTGGAATCCATGTGAAACTCATGTCAGATATATGCCAATAAACAATAGAAAGACAATGGAAAACCGTTAGCCTATGCCAGACATCTCTGGCATAAGCTACATAGATTCCACACTGGAAGTTTTAAAGATTTGAAGTAAGATTTGATGTGATCACAACAAGATTAAAAACACTTTCACATGTTTGAAGGAATGCTAGCTATTTGAATGTAAACCAGCAATGGAATAGCTTGGCCAATCAAGCAGCAAAACAAACCTTGTATTTCACTGAGCCTTGATATATACAACATGCAACCAAATGTGTAATTTGTCCACTGAATTCTTTCTTGATGCTTCCGCCCATGTGGTGCACAAGTCTACACAGCCTGGACATTTCTTCTTTACTTCTAAACCCAGTGAAACAAAGGCAGACACCGAACATAGCTCTGTTATACACAGGTCTGTGGAGATCTGGCAAGTCTTTTTGTATTCTGTAAGTAGATATAATGTATGGTGCCCCAACTATCAGACACCTTTTCTTGTGAAGTGTGGTGTAGATTTCGTTTCCAAAATCTTCACATATGAAATAATGTTTTTTTTTCTCAGCAGAATACTGGTCAAGTTCTTCTGGTAGTATGCATTTAAAATCACCATTGAGGCCCTGCAAGAGTACCAGAATTCAATTATGTCTCTTATACCAGCATTCAAAGTTAGTCAAAGGAGGAAAGGTCAAGACAAATATGCTTACTATTAGTCTTTATACTTTATATTCAGGATTGGGTAAAAATAATAAGTTTACATACGCGAATTGCTTCCAAGAGCAGTTTATCACTTAAGAATATTCCATTTGTCAAACAAAAACTCTTCTTTTCTGGTTGATCTAGAACGAAAAAAACAGTTTTGTAATCGTGCACAAATTACGAAGAAAAACAAATCATAATAAGAAAAAACTCAATCTTGCCACACGTGTAAATATGAAGATACCTAGATGAAAAATGTCACAAGAGTAATAGGAACGGTGCCAACAGAGTATCTAAACCCAAATTTTGTTGATTATTTCCTTTGGCATTTGCTTTATCTAGATAGGATATATTTGGGCTAATTTGTTTCATCAGGAAAAAATAGGACGATAAATTTGACGAAGTTACATCAAAGGTAACATGGACACCATCAGAAACTCCTTATGAAGGTTTGTAGAAACATATCTTACCGGAATCTGAATAAAGCGAGGTTACAGATGAAGCTATTGATTCATCTATTCCATTGTAGACTCTTGCAGAGGAAAGTGGCTGTGCCATTTTGCTGTACCCACACGAGTTTTCCTCACATCCAACCAACTAGCTGCAACAGGAGCAGGCAAGACCCCGTAGCGTGAAGAGACTCCTTTCGGGCGAGTGATTTCGTTCGATTTCAAAGTCTTTCAGCAGCATAAACACTTTTAAATAATGTTCTTTTCTATCTTACTTTCTGCATGAAATTCAATAAAAAATTAGCTCCAGTTGATACAATTTCTTTGAAACAACTTGCAATCGGTTGGCGGTTCACGATCTTCCGTTTGAGATTTTGAAATCAGCCGCATTTCAAGGAAAGGTCTGGGCACCACAGGGAACCAGTATCTCAAGTATCTAGAGTTCTAAAGTGTGACGTCATCAAAAACCTATTTTTAGAATTTTTGAATTTTAACCACATAGTGTAAAAGATCACCATGAAATACTTCCAAATATGCAAAATTGGCCAGATATGTCTAAAATCGGTTGAGATATGGCTAATGAAAGATTTGAAGTTTGCTAACGAATCACTGTTATTTTGGCTCTGTTCATAAGTTATGAACAGAGACCAAAATACAGAGGTCTGATGGGGAGAGAACCAATAAACATGTGGCCATATCTCTGCCATTTCGTAATACACTTGCCTGATTTTGCACATTTAGAAGTATTTCATGATGATCTTTCAGGTTATGGAGTCAAAATTCAAAAATTCTAAAAATATATTTTTGTGACGTCATCACTTTAGAACTCCATAGCATTTTCGGAATTTCTCTTCTTTCAAAGAAATTTCATACAGTTGTGATCAAACTCAAACTCTGACAAAATTTTTTTCGAAGTCCGCAAATGGTTGAATCTTTACAGTGACAATGTTAATGAATTGTTGCCAGTAATCCCCCAGTAACAGGTAACGGGTAAACAGCATACATACAACTGCTCTTCAAGTTGGCTTTAGCCAATAATAACATCAATGATACAAATTTTGAAAAATGCAAAAACATCATCAGAAGTATCACCGCTAAAAAGTTACCACGCCACCGGTGGGGACAGGGTGGCCATGGCCCCCAATTTTTTAGCGAAGCAATAAGTTTAAAAGCTGCAGTTAAAGGGGCAAAAACCTTGGTCTCCTACTTCTGCTAGCCTTCCCCTCCCCCATTCAGTGGCGCTTACCCTGGAGGGGCTCCAGGGCAGCTGCTTCTCCTGCCCTCTTCCAGAAGGGGCAGAGGGGACAAGCAGTGCCCTTAAATATTCACTCCTAAGAAAAGATTATCGAATCTTGTGTAATTGATGATTAATTTAGCCACACTCATAATTTTTCTTTCCATTAGAAATTCAAAAAAAGAAGGATCCCCCTTTTTTTGTTATCGGTCTTTGATAATATGAAATTCTTTTGCAGAAGACGAAAATAAACTTCAAAAACCAACGGTGTCTTGCAAGATACTGACTGTTTTGCCCATCACCAGAACAAGGATGTTCTAAAGTAAACAATCATTTGATTTACATCTAAATCTTTTTATTATTATTTTTCTTTCTTGCACCCTCAATGATTCTGCAACCATGGAGTATTGGGACTAAGCAGACAATTGAAGTCTTACAACCAGCCCATGTATGATTTTCGTAAAGCCCACAATTTTGAATAATGGCAAGGTCATTTAATACCCACTTGCACGGAGAATTTTGTCAACATTATGCCTTTCAAGATTTCTTTTCTTGGAATTCGGAAGATATTGTAGACAGGGCTTCCAATTTAAAATTTCTGCTCCCAAAAATTTTTTTCTTATCTGCTCCAATACTAGCACTCAGGCACCGCGGAGCGTTGAGGAAAGTAGGTGGTCTAAAAATGTGGGGGGGGGACTAAAACTAAATAAAAAGAGGCTTTACTGGTAGTTTATTGCTTACTTTTTGGCAAAATCTTTGCGAAAAGAGGGGTATTAAAGCCCTCAGCCCCCCTGCTCCGGCTAGCACTGTTCAGATCTTTGAATTGTAATATCGCAGGTATTTTATCCCTGAAAATTATTCTTCAGTTTTCATTTTTAGATGCAAATGTAACGTAAAGATATACACATTAAATGAATTAATTATCTAAAGGCAGTTGTCAAGTAGTCTGAAATAATAATTTGACGATCTTAAGGGCGTGGTCGTGGGAATGTTGGAATTGGTTGGAATACAGCAGACTACTGTCTTGACAACCTAGATTTGAAAACGAGGCTCGACGACGATAATTTTAGATGCCACTGTAGATGAAGATGAATTTACTGTTCTTAAATAAATATGGTGTTTAGAAAAGATCCTTGCGGAATAACATGTTTGGTTATAACTTACGGATGTGTGTTATACTGCGATTACTGCATAATAGACCATGTGATATTACCAACTTTTTCTTCAAGGTAAGGCCTGCTGCCTTTAAAATCTTCTCCGACTTAGGTAATGTTAGTTAAGTTTTAGCCTAAACCCAAAAGGCAAGATCATCCAGCTCCAGCCCTACTCTTACTCCATGATATATTCTTGTTTAATATTACTTTCTTAACTTTGTTGTAATGTTACTTTCCTATGTTGTAATGCTATTTCGTAAATGTTTAGAATAATTTATTTGAAATTCATTCGGATTTATTTTTTGAAAAGTTTAATATCATGTTTTCTTTTGGTTTTCAAGTTAATAGTTAGTTAGTATTCATACGATACAATAAACAATCTATGCCAGCAAAAGTGCAGACTTCAACATCTGTATATTCGTCATGCATCAGGATTTTTTATAACCCTTAACAAACCTGTGCGTAATAGACATATATTTGGTTAATGTACATTAATAGTATAGATAGATTAGAAGAAGAAAGGTTTTAAATTTTGATTGTCAAATAGACAACATTCTCAATTTCAACTGCACTTTGAGACTGTTGTCTGTTTTGCAGTCAATATTACTGTAATATAAATGCCCCCCTCTATTAAACACCCCCTCGAATAGACGCCCCCATCTAAATGTATTCGAAACACACAAAACATTATACTACCATGCTTCTTTAGCTCAACGTTACAGTGGGTAATTTTGCTTTTCTTTTGAAAAGTTCCTTCTAAAACATTTGAGTAGCGTTTATTACTTCTGGAACCAGCCTTATTTAGTTGTTACTCAGAGTTTCACGCTAAGTGCGATCATCATTAGATGTTTTTTTAAACATGCTGCCTATGAAGAGTAAAAAGATTCAATAAACATCCCCCTCTTTTAAACGCCCCCTTGTATAGACGCCCCATAATATCAAAAAATTTAATAAACACCCCATCAAAGCATTTAATCAAAGCATTACGGTATACGGCAACAACTATGCACACCAATTGATGCATGCCAGAGAGGTGGTGTCATATGCTTTTCTCCATCTAAATCATCTTTCCAATCACCTTAATCATCTTTCTATGGAGTGATTTTTCTTTGGATTTTAAAAGGAATAAAGATTTTATTGGATGAAAACACTGCATGCAATTAGCCATGTTATCTTTAGCTGTCTGGAAATTTATGATATTATATTTTTGTTTTTAAGCCTTTGGGGAGCATTTCATGCAACCATGTTCAATAGCTTCCTTTTTCTCCTTGCCTACTCACACTTGAAAGCCAGCTTCTGTGATCCAGGTATTTGATTATTCAGATGAATTGTCATTTTTGCTAGTTTTATAAAGAAATTTTAACTTGGTAATGGCCATATGCCCAAACTTGAATTTTTACATAATATGATAAATCAATAGTTATAGACCAAATTTTCCTTAAATTTCAACTCAGGATACCTCATCACTCATAAAGAAATCCATCCATTTTAAGAAAGAAATTATATATGTATAGAAATATGCTTGAAATAGTTTAATGTTTCAAACGATGAAAGGAAATCGTCAAGCTGAATGTTATTTCAACCTAATCTGAAGGGTATTGGTCACAAAATTTGTCTGCTTTTGTTGCTTGTATTGGGCCTTTGTCTTTTTGTTTGGCCTAGGGCCTCTGAAACCCCTCAGTGGCCCTGACTACAGTTCCTCTTTGCCATGTTACTTATATGAAAAGGTCTTGGCACCTAGAGGTAAAGAAATGTATCTGAATTTAGAGATGCATTTTATCCCGACAGTAACTAAACCACTGGAAAATATGTTGGATTGCTGCTAAGGTTTCTGGCCCTAATCTAACCTTTTCTGTTGCGTCAATGGAGCATGAAGTGTAGATAAACAATGCCTTGTATTATATCTGGTGTATAATTTTCTAGGTGTTGTCCCATTGCCATATGCCAGACTTGATTTCTCAGATATACAAAAAGCGAAAAAGAAGAAACCAAGAAAGGTGAATGTTTTTTAAATGCCTGGATTAGTCACTTTTGATTTAGATTTTTGTCTATTCATCTTTCAAAGGCAGGTTGATATTTATATAAATCACTATATTCTTGAAGTTTACATGAAGTCCTCCTAAATGAAGTTGCAAAATTTTTTGTAATATGGTGATATTCAAATGATTGAAGGAGTATTAATTTGGTTAAGCTACAGGTAGATGCATTTGATTAATAACGCTACATATATATTTGAGGCATCGCATATGTTTAATTTCCTTTTTTCTTGTCTTCTTTATATAGCTAGATAGCTTCTTGTTCATTAAATTTTTAATTTTTTTGCTGCATGTTTTAAATTTTGTTCATTTGAGATCCGATAAAATACTGTCCTTGATGCTGTATGGTAAAATTTGACTTTTAATGAAAACTTTTGAACCAGTAGTGTCATGTATCTACATCAAGTGTCAAAAGATTAGATAATTGATTGGCTACTTTGTTTAAAGATATTTGTGGTTACTGTCATTTTTGTCAGTTTAAAGATTGGTTCAAAAGACGAATTTTTTCTAAGGAGAGCCACAGTCCTTTCACAATGTACTAAAATACTCTTAATGTATATTTTGTGATTTTTTTAGGCTGAAAGTGAATGGGGAGTCTGCTCAAAATGTGAGGCTTATAAACCACCAAGGGCTCACCACTGCCGGTAAATGTATTGCAATTTTTGTTGCATAAGGAAAAGATTAAGTTAATTTACTTACATTTAATATATATGTCAGAATATTCAGTATGGTTTAATCAGTAATGGCTTATTACAAGCTCAGCAGAGTTTGTGAGGCATGAATTAGTTTGATCATATTCACAAAACAACATGCATGTTAAGGTAATTGTTTCTTAATTAAAATTTTCCCGTTAAGCAACATGAGCTAAAAGGTATAACATTTTTATACCATATTCCCAAAAGTTAATGCCCATTTTAATTCACAAATTTTGCATTTTCAACACAGTTCTTCTGTATTTTTAGTTTACTCCCCCTCTATGGTACTACATCTTGCTTCCATACTAATGAATTAATGCTTAACTGTGGACAACAGGTCACCTTTGACAGAGCTGTGAATTCCAAGTGAAAAAAGTAGAGAAAATGTACCAAAGTATTATTAGCTGGTCAGATATATTGATACAAGATGTTTTTCTGTAGGATATGCAATAGATGCATAAAAAAGATGGACCATCATTGTCCCTGGTATGTTATTTAAAATATTTTATTTTAGAAATGCCTTGCAATATTTGAGCTTATTTTGTACAACTCTCTTCTGCCTTCGAAATTTTTTATAAACATGAGTCAAGTTGTAATTTATATTCAGTCAATGTTTGAAAAATTACTGTAGAGGTTTTCTGGAACCTTTCAGCTCAAACAAACTAAAGCAAATTTTTTCCACTTTGAACATGAAGACTGTCCTGCCATATATTCAGAAATACTGTGTTTGTTACCAACAAAGAAGGTTATTATTTGAGAGTTTGCATCCGAAGTTGAAATGTAACTATGTATGTAGGGCAGACTACCTGTGGACCTGTGGACAGAATTTAACAACCCTATTCCCATGACCTTCAGGCGTATAACTTGATCTGAAACATAATAATCATCTTATATTTAAAAAGAATAGCCAGTTTTGCCCAGCCAGTGGTGGAGCTTCAAAGAGGAATTTGGTGACTAGTTGGCACGAAAAGCTGGCTCCACTGCTGCCACAATTTACAGTATTACCAAGTATCCATTACAGGATTGGAAAATCATTAAGCATTCAAGGTCATTTTTTCATTTAGGCATCTGTTGTCCTATCTATGCCAAAAATCCAAATATAAGCAGAGATAGTAAGCTTTTTTCACTCAGACTTGTCAACTTAAAATGTTTTAGCATATATGTCGATTGGTAAAAAACAGGGAAGCAAGCAAACGCACCCATTCTTCCTCACGTTACATTTTTTGATCCACACCTGGATGTGAATTTCTGTTATGTGACACTTTTTACTTCAATGGTTTCTCTTTTTCGTAATGTTGTCTAAATTTGCAAACTTTTTAGGCAAAATTTAAAAATGCTTTTAAAAAGAAAACTTTTCAAGTCAAAGTTAACCTTTTTGTCCGAATAGGGATCTGTCAGAAAGGCTATAGCCTAGAAAATATATACTGTTTTGAGTTGAGATAGTCAAGACAGAAAAGCAAGAACATGACTGTTAAGATTGCCGATCCAGTGCTTATTTCAATTATTGAATCAATAGAAAGAGACACTGTTTCAGTAATTGCAATAAGTAGATAGTGTGAACAACGACTTTAATTAATCTATTAAAATTTCAACAATTTCCCTTCCCTAATTCTTGAAAATCTTTTTCCATGGCAGATACAATTTTTGCAAAAAGAGATGGGTCCCTCCTTGGCCCCTACAAATTGTTCACCCTATTCAATGGTTTTTGTTGAGTCTAAAAACTTTTAATAGCATTTTCACTAAGCAGTTTTTCCATTTCAGGATAAATAACTGTGTTGGGGAGCAAAATCAGAAATTCTTTATTTTGTTTCTTTTCTACACGGGTGAGTTTTCATCAGTTCCTGTGAAGACTGATTAGACTAAACATAACATCTTTTGCTTGCTCTTTTAACAAAATAATCACATGCATTTCTTTAAATGGTATTTTTAAGCATTTTTCCAACAGCTATGAAAGTCATATTACTGTTTGTTACTACTGAAACTATTAATACTTGTAAATTAATATACTTAAAAATCCATGGTACTTACTTTTTTCTCAAAAGTGCTTTAAAGGTGTTTTTGCACCAATTTTGTAGGTATTTCAAGCATTTATGGGCTGTCTCTTGGTGTTTTTTCTCTGTTCAAAAGATGTCATGACTGTACTGATAAATACGAAATAGGAACCAGAATGTAAGTTGAAATTCCTTTTGTAGCAGACCCACCAAGAACTTTGTTCACTTAGAATGTAATAAATTTGTTTTTAATAAGACCCATTGGTGGCTGAGTATTCTTGTGTTTTTCAATTAAGCACTAGAAAAAATAATCAGGCAGGATGTTTTAAGTTTTCAAGAAGATCATAGGAACTTGATTACAAGGAGCTGTTTTAATCCCACACCCAGAGCCAAAATATCTTGTAATATTTTAACAATGCCAACACATTCCCAAACTAGGCTACTGATTCAATAGTAGAATACAGCTACAATTTATATCACACATCAACATGGTAACTTGCTCTTTTACCCATTACAACAACCTTTTTGTTGTGACAAAGCTTTTTCTTGGCTAATGGCAGAGCTTTTGTTTAGGTTGATAGCAGAGCTTGCCCCAACATAGGCAAGTTTGGCTTCTTATTTGATAGAATTAAATGATAAATTTGAAAAAAATTGCTTTATTAATCTTTTCAGTTCAGGCCCATAATTTTTCAATGTTATACTAGTTTTAATCTTCTGATGAAAAACATCATTAAATTTCTGTCAGCTTTAGGAAAATGATTGATTTTTTATATAATATGAGAATTTGGTTTTTCAGATTTCATGTCGTAATCCTGCTGGTTGTATGCAGTCTCTTTTCGCTGTTTGTCCTCTGCATTATGTATGACCAGGTGCATGTCTCTCACAATCATTATTAAAAAGGATTATTTTATGACTTATAAGATGTTTAATGTTGTTTGTCCCTTTTCTCTAATATGCTAAATATTAAGCATATAAATAAAGAAAATCAGTTTAATTTATCTGGCTGTATTTTCAAAATAAAAGTTTGTACTATAAAGGTTTTATCATGCCATCTCCATTGATCTGGCATGAAACTGTTTCCGTTTTATGGTCACTGCCCGGTGACTTCCTACCTATAAATTATTTTTTTATTATCTTGATCTATGCTTAAGACAATTATTATAATGTATTTTCATTATCGTAATTGTATCATAAGCTCTCCTATGCCTTATTTTCCAGATATATTCAATATATAATGATATAACGTTGATCGAGCAAGTGCAGAAGGAAGAAAGACAAAACAGTAAACCAAAAATGGCACTACTGATGGAAATATTTGGCAGAGGTAAGGAAAGTCCTCGCTTCACCTATTTTAAGATTTTCCTGGGGAACTTTGCCAACAAGGAGACTTTTACAAGAGGAAATGCAGCTAACTCTATTGTAATAGAAATGAACTCGTCTTTTTCAAACTATTTATTATACAAATTCTCAATGATAGATAAATCGCCTTTGGAATCGCGCAGAATTATTTTTGGTAGGTAAAACGGTGAATAACTAACCTTTCCATTTACACTGATGAGCCCTGCATGCCAAGGCAAAACATTAGTATACATTCAATTTGTTTTAAAATGATATTTTACAACATTAGTTTCTTGTCATTGTTTTGCTTTGTTCCTTACTAGAGTACCGCATTACGCATTGCAAGATTCACATAATCCGGGGAACAGGCTACCCGGTGTTTCTTCCTTCTCACATACAATTGCATAATGCCTGAATAGAGTACTCTCTTTGTAAAGAAAAGGAGCTGTTACTAGGACGTGTGATCTCATAGGACATCTGTATTGTTTTTATATTGATGAACACCCATTTTTAGTCAATTTATATGACCAAGCTGTAAGCGTTTTCTGCTCCTTTCAGGTCCAAAGATCTTGTGGCTGTTGCCATGCAGTAACCCTCGCCAAACAACGCACACGACAGATTATTCAGTGTAGAGAGAACGTGTTTGAAGTATATCGCTTTCTTCTTGTTTAGTTATGATCGAGAAATCCTATTTGTGCAGCCTGGCTGACTTCTAGGTTTTCTTCAATTTTTTGCCTTGGCAAATACGCAATATGGCTGGTAATGTAAGTAGCCAAAATTGGAATCTTTTGACGCAATGATTGGAATGGATTCCTGGCCCGGTTACACAGAAAGATATTGAGTCTTGTTTTCTTCTGCCGTGCAACGAAAGAACTCTTATTATATATTGCATTGTAACTAGTGGAAAGGTATTCTATCAACATAAACGAGAAATTATTTTTTCGTGCTGTATTATCCCATAAGATATGATCACATTAGCAAATAGGATTCTGAACAGATGGCTAGTTGGGTCTCGGCACAAGAGAAGCTGCCATTCCAATGACACCATGTGGTACTTTTTCGTGTTGAGTTGGAAACGATAGCATAAGTTCTACAAAGTTTTCAATTCTATTGGCCATAGAAAAATTTTCAACTTAGCTTGTACTCTTTCATCAGTTTGTCAGAGCCAGCCTTACTTTGTTATTGCAATTTTTCATACTTTTGTGATACCTATCTCAAAATTTTCAAAATAATTCGAATGAAATTTTGAACATGTATGGATATATGACAGAGAAAAGAAAACTTTTTCAATGGTTTCTGTTTCCGTGCTTGTTTTTAGAATATGTTTTTTGCATTGATAGACGTTTTTGACAAGAAAGTTTTCGGAATGAAATCTTATGCCCCAGATATTAATGAAATGAAGCTTACACATCAGCACAAACGACCAAATATTCTGTTGAACCTGCTTGGAATATTTGTATTGTAGCGAATGAAAGCCTTTGAAAACAAATATATCTTATATCTTATAAAAAGTTATGTATCTATTACATGTAATTTTAGCAGCTTTAAAAGTTATTTGAGCAGCTTTGAATGTAATTTTGAGGAGCGTTGAATATAATTTTTTCAGCGCACTTTTCTAGTATTGCTATTAGTCTATTAGTCTAGTGTTGTTGTTTTTTTATGAAATCTTTAATAATTTATGCTGATATGCACAAAGGTGTATTTATTATTTAAGGTCCATTTTATCAATCTGGGGCTAGCCGGAGTTTTAGGGGTCTTTCGTTGAATGATTGTAGATTTTGATTTATAATGCAAACATAATTTCAAAGCTAGGAACACATTTGTTCATCTTTAAGACTTAACTGCATTTCTAATGATTGTGCTACCATCATAAGCCCCCTCATTATGTAAAGTTTTTTCCCAATGCCCTATAGTTTGAACTTACACGAGAGATTAAGCGCTTATAGTAATGTACCTACTTTTAGAGAAGTTTTGTAGATATTAACCTCGAATGCACAGCCTATTTCTAGAAAATTAAAAACTATATAGAAAAAGTTTGTTTGTTCATTAAAGTAAAACGCTGATTGTTGGATATACTTTGTGTTGAAAGACTTTGAACAAACCGAAGCTGTTTGATTGTAAGTTAGTTGGACGCTTAAATTGGATCAACGGCATTATGTTAAAAATAATTTAAAACTCCATTCAATTTGCTTTGGAATGTAACTGTATCCAAGGACATAATTAAATGGTAACAAATACCAGTTTCATTATGATAATCTTCAGATATGATTATAGGCCATTCTCGTAAAGTAAACACATTAAATATATCGAGTGCGCTCAAACTGAACGACACTGATGTTAAGCATGTCGCGAAGACAAAATCTCTAGGAATAACTATCGATGGAAATCTAAAGTGGGATGAGCAACACAAATTTGTAAGAGGAAAAATTTGCGGAGGACTTCAGTCGCTTGAAAAATTTAAAGAATCTAATTCCCCAAAATAGCTTTGCAGGGCTAAAGCTATTTGGGGCAGCCTTCCAAAAGCTGAACTTGGTACCCTCCAACGTCTACAGGACCGAGCTTGATCAATGATTGAAAAGGCCAAATTAAAGGTAAACTGGACATGTAACTGGTTGAACGTTAAAAATCTCATTCGATTCGATCGATCGGCCATGAAATATAAGATAATGAAGAAATTAAGTCCAGAAAGCCTTTGGGTTAAGTCTCAGCAAAGATCTTTGCAATCAAACTATGCAACAAGGTACTGTAGAGATCTGAATATTTCTAGAATAAATACAGAACATGTGAGACTCCCGATTATTTGTCGCTTCAAATAACAACTTAAGGAGTACTTGTAGACCTGACAGATTCGTCTATTAAAACACGATCCCCTGATGGAACAGCATTTTAAGATTGTAATTATACTTCTTTAATTCAACGTATGGATTTATACTTAATTAACATTCTATAAAGGTCGCTGAAAGGGTTGCATCGTGAATAAAGAAATATTATTATTATATTATTATTTTGATATTGATATGCCACTGGGAGCATGGTCTTGGCAATACCAATAAATTAGACATCATTCTGACTTATAAGAAACTATTTTGGTTACAAAAATTTGAAAAGAAAAGCTTGGCTCTCTATTTTAATGATGTTACGGAAAAGTGTTAAAGTAGGTATCTGTGTTGGAGTAATTTAGTTTGGCATGAAAGCTGTGCCTGACTTCAAACAGACTTGAATTAGCCTACAAATCAGTAATCATAATGTCTTCATATCTTATTTTGCGGATAATGTTTTCGTTTTTAGTTGTTTTAAACTTCATCCAACCACGAAAACCAAAATGGTAGTTATTGTTCTTCAACCAAACTGTTTTTTCTTTGACATGCTTTTCATCTAATTCATGAAATGCCTTTTCGATTCTTTCAATTTCCTCATCCATCTCTGTCAAAAGTTGCTCTTCAGTTTTCTCCATCTGGGATAGCAAATTGGCCCCTTCAAAAATGAAAAACATAAAGGTAGGTTTGATTACAACATGCATTTATTACATTCGCTTAGAAATTTAAATATATCGAGAGCTTGCCTGCTTTCTAAGATGCCTCAGGCTTCAATTTTGACATTTTTTCTTCTTCAGTAAATCTACATCAAAAACGATTTTGGCTTCAAGGTATAAAACCCTGGCCATGGACGGACACCTATACAACGGACACCTCTGTACAACGGACACCTCTGTACAACGGAGATATCTATACAACAGAGAATTACATTGGTCCGAATGGTGTCCGTTACATAGAGGCTCCACAGTATTTCTACAACTAGAACACTGGCAACGTCCTAGCATACATATCGACCTAAACTCGTGAATTTCGATAAGGTTAAGAATTGTAGCTCAAAACATTGAAAGAAATAACCTACCTAAAGGCAAAACCTTCCTTAGTCTATGAGTCCTGGCCAAAGCATAAGTTCTCTTTGCCAGTAAACACACGAGTGAAATGACGATGATAAGGCTGCACAAGTATGTAACAGAGTTCTTGAAGGCGCTTTTGTCTTGAAGCAAACTAGTGAAGAGGCCCTGTTTTTTTTCTTTGTTATTGTCTGTGGTGTCCTGAAAGTAAGAAACCAAGAGAATGTAATTATTCTGGAACTACAAATCTTACCCGAGCATTTTAAATCAAAATCCAAAAAGGCACCACAGCATTGCACTTGAATAATGTAGAACGAATACAAGAAAAACCTGAGGTAGCACGTCACTAGAGACCGTAACGGATAGCAAACAATAACAATTCAGGGAGAATAATTGAAGCTCAAACACCCTGCATGAAATTAAACTGAAACTCTATTTAATAATCAAATAATATAATAAAACCATTTTTTTATTAATAAACTACTACAGAAATGTTTCTTGTACCTGGACAACTTTTCTCAACGCCTTTGTTTGTTCCAAGATCTGCACTTTCATTGCTTTCACGTATTTATCAATACGGTTTTTCATCACAACCAAGTCAGAGGCAAGCACTAGGCCTAGTCCATGAGGATTGCTGAAGAAACGAGCAATTCTTATGCCTTTTTCGTTCAAAACATCCTTCATTTCTACTGCTGGTATAGAAGCAACTATCGCTGCATTAACAATGCCATTATCCATTGCATGAACTATTTCACTGTTTGTCGAGAATGTAGCTACGGAAGAACCAACCAGATAGCTGTAGATATAGGCTTTGGTGGGCAAACTTCAGCATGTTCCGCGAACTGGGAGGAGGGCTGATTGTTTTAAAATATTTGTCAACCTTAAGCGCGGGTGGTTTATGTAACAGTCTATTTCAAAAAAGGAAAACGAAACACCATGTATGACGAATATTGTGAACGATGTGTACAAAAGAACGATTATTTTTCGAACCATTGCAGCATCTTCATACAGACAAAAAAATTTTGAAAGTCGTTACTTGCATTAATCTCTCTGTGTATTTATGCTTTCAGTTTATAAGTTGGCTTTATAATTGCAATACAGTAGAATCTCGATAGAAACCCTGATCACTCAAAATTTCGCTAACTCGAACTATTTTTGCACCCCCCCCCCTTCAACATTCCCCAATACGTTGGAACCCCTGATAACTCGAACTTTCGCTAACTCGAACCACTTTTATAATCCGCTTAGAGGTTCGGGCTATGGAGATTTTACTATAGCTTTGCTTTTTCTCCTGTAGCTTCAATTTTTATGTTAAATGATTTGTATGTTGTTTTAAATCAAAATATACTTCAGTAAAATACCAACAATGTACGTATCCGCCCATGAAACTTTCGAGATCGAATTATAATATCATTATGATGATAACACAATAATATCATGATGAATTCAATATTCATAATTATTGAGATTAAAAATATTGAATGTCTCCTAATTTGCATACCTCCATCAAACACTTTTGCATTTCTTCTAACAGCAAAATTGTATTGTGAGGAATTGGCAACAGTTGCAACCTATATTATTAATTTAGAATATTGATATATATGGCATTAAGCATTAAGATGCGTATTGTCAATCGTAATATTATAATTTATTGTCAATCGTAATTTATTGACAATATTTGCATCAGTAGGATTCCGTTGGGGAGGGGAGGGGTACCAGCCGCCGAAAGAGGCAAATTACAAATATCCGGACACGGCCTGTATACTATAAGAAATTCCATACCAAACAGGGAAGCCCATTTTGCCAAAACATAACGACCATGAAACATTATTTGCCTTAAACAAAACAGTACATTAAATGATAATATTTGGATACACTTTGTAGAAGCATTTATTCCTCGACTGACTGAAAAGAGAGGTTATTGATAAGATAAGAATGACTGTAGTAATTTGGAGTGATTGGTTGATCGATTTATTGATTGCTATGATTTTTTGTTATGATAGATTGGTTGATTGATTGACTTGTTAAAGGAACTATTTTTAAATGTGATTTATTGCCGATGAAAAACTGTCATAGTTGATTATTACTTACATAAAAAGAATTAGGGTTATTACGCCCCCCCCCCCACCACTTTGCCCAAATATGGTCTACATATCTCTTCTAAAAATGGATTAAAAAGCGCTAGGTAGGGGTAGATAATATTTCCTAAGCAGGGCCTCCGATGAAGGGGGGAGGGCCGGGGGGCCTTGGCCCCCCGCTACTTTTTTGCATAACAATAGAGTTTTTTTCAAAATCTTTTGTTATGGGTGTTAAATTTTTCCGTGCCCCCCCCCACTTTTCAACCTTTGTCGGAGCCCATGCTAAGGAAAACTAGCCTGGTACAAAACACTGAACGAGGCAAAAAGGACGTGGTCTCACTGGCCAGGCCCATTACTCTCCCACTCTGCAGTAGCTGGCACCACCACCGGCTAGAGCAATCAAATGGTTGACTGAATGAGAGGCTGATTGGAATGATTGAATGCATACTCACCGTTTTTCCATTTAAATTTGTGTCATATCCGACGAGGGACGTTGTCAATCCAGTTGTGATTATTCCCACCACCATTCCGTTTAAAACAGGCCCAACTAACATCCAAACGATTGAAACAAGCTTTCCATAATATGACTTTGGTGTTATGTCTCCATAGCTGAATGAAATGGAAATACCCTTGCTCAGGACAATTAAATTCAGTAAAATTTGGTCAAACGACTAATTTTTGACAGAGCAGTTCATATAACAAATTCTCAAATATTTCCCATTTCAAGGCTCTTTCTAGATGGCCAGATGGCTTTTAACAAAATCAGTAATGTTTTTCAACCGTAATTGCAGTATGCAAGATTACTCTTTATTAATAGAGTTACGTGAGAATTTAAAAAAAAGAACAAAAAAAGCAGTCCCTTAAAATTGTAATACTGATTGCTTACCCTACAGTTGTCATAGTGATGTAACCCCACCAAGCACCGCTACAAAGTCCTCGAATGTAGCTATCAACATTAAATTCCACAGGATTTTCTTTTCGTTCCTTTCGTAAAAGAGTAAAATAAAGCTGTTAGACAACTGTAATGGTAGGGCAAAAAGTGTTTAACGGATACACACTACCTGTAAAAACTGCATTAGGCAACCAAATACTCGTGTCTTGGCTTGATGCTTTTTATGGCTATCTTCAAATACCACCACAAGCTCTGCCTTTCGATTGCTTCTCCTGCCGTGATGGCTTTGGAAGGGGCTTGAAAATGGCCTCTGGAACAATTTAAAGAGTAGGGGAGGGGCAAACAATCGGGCAACTGATGAAAAATGATTTTCTACGAAAAACTTAGGCCATGATGAAAAGAATATAGCAATGAAAGCCTTAAGAAAGTGTTTTCGTTGTGGAGTGGAATTTCTATAATTCACTTCTACTAGGAGCTAGTGATAGCACCATTCCCCCAAGAATATTCAAACATTCAGTGTAGCAGCCATTTGAGAGTAACTCATTATGAGAGAATAATTACCAGAAACCAGAGCAATATTCCCAAAAGTGTTCCAAGCAGAATACAAACAGCCACTGGGGGCCATGCCGTTGCTATGATGTTGATCAATACTCTGAGCTTCGAGCTTTCTTCTTTGACAATCAGCACGAAGCCCGGATCTTCAAGAACCAGGACCTGTCGCAAATTTTCTTGAGAGGCAGATTTGCATTGCTTGATTAGAATCGGCATAAATATATGTGCATCATTGGACAATCTATTTTTGAGTTCATTTTCATCTGTAAAAATTGAGTTATAGTCACTGTAGCGTTTTTAGATGCCCGCTTAAAAGTCAAATATATAAGATCCTATAAACATTGGTATTTTCAAGTGGATAGAAAAGGCAGCCCGATGAGCAAAGATGTTTCAATGGCTTTCTAAATCCTTGGACAACTCTTTTGCTCCATACTTCTAAACTAACTGAAAATGTTTTGGCGAAGCAGAAAATAGTTTTAACACCATTGTAGAAATATCAATATTATGAACAAAAATAAAAAATCTTGTTACTTACTTTTCAGTCTTGCACGTTTTCCACTTTTCGTTTTGTTGAAATACAAGGTGACGTTGCCAAACATGTGATCGGCTTTGCCACTGCATAATCCACACTCATGCTGTATCGCTCCTTTGACGAAGCTGGCAAGAAGTCCTGACACTTCACTGGTTAGTGTACCATGAATATATGGTTTGCTTTCGTACCATGAAACGTATACATTTCTTGGGCAAAGACAAGTTTCTATAGAGAGCGACAAACGTTTCAGCATTTTATATACATACCATAGTGTTACTTTTAACACATTAAGAAAAAAGTGGCAATTATTGTTATGTCTCGTTATCATTTGTCTTTTCCATCATGATACTCATAGTCATAAAATGAATGAGTAAAGAAAAATGAAAAGGAACACTTGATTTAAACATTTGATTTAAACAGCTTTATTAAATTAACCAACAACTGTTTCTTCATTTCTTTTTTCATTTTTCACCTGAATATTACAATACTCGTTCCTCTTCTGCCCAAAGGTAGGTGTTGGCAATTCATGTAAATATTCCACCTGAAGGCCTAAAAAATGTTCCCTAGTCTCAGACTATGCAGTTTTAAGCCATTTTTGTTTCAAAGGGGAGTTGTGGCTTAATTTGACTCTCAAAAATGGTCAAAATTGTTTCAAGATCTGCAACTTCGGATAAGGTTATCAGCATGCAAGCAGTGCAAGTAAATATGTAATACTCACCGATGTAAACTGGGGGGCTAAAAGGTCCTGACCCAGCTGCAGTTATTCCTGCAACTTTGAACATCACTTTAACGTTTAAGGCAAATCCTTTTACGACATCAGCATTTGCATATTCTGGCAAGATGCTACAATGCTCCACCTCATACTGAACTTTTTCATCTGACTTTAAAACCACTGAATGACATAGTTTGTAGCCTGTTAGAACTCCATCTGTTACATTTTTTGGTAGCTCGCTCCACTGTACAAGGATGTCACCATCATTTGTTATCAGCGTAGCTCGAAGCTTTGATGGTGGAGAGGTTGGAACTAGAAAACGGTAAAAATGTGGTAGACAGTTATTAATAAGCTATATAATTAATATAAAAACTAATGAAAACAAAGCAGCCAAAGATAAACAGTAAAAGAAAATCGTATTTCATCTGCAAAAAGAAAAAACGAATTCCAATTTATATTTAGGTAACTTAGTACCTTTATTGTGTTTAATAACCATAATTAAAAAACATACATGCATGATCAAAATTCGTTCTTATAATTTTGATCGTGTATGTGTGTTTCTTAATTATGGTCTCATAAAATCCTTGGCCCAAAAACCCAGTGACCGAAAACATGAATTCCAATTTGCCATGCATGTAGGCACAATGACCTTTTGCCAATGAAGCAGTAACTTACCACCTTCAGCAGTTTTACAGTAGATCCAAGAGCTTGGTCCTCTTCCGGATCGTGTTGCAGCAGACACTTTCACCTCGTACATTGTGAACGGCTTCAAGTTTGTCAAACTGAAAAATGGCACATCACTTGGGACACTGACATTTTTCCAGTCTTCAAAACTTTTGTAAGATCTATATTCGATATTATAGGCAGATCGTATTCCTCTCCATTCATAGTCCGGCAGATGGTCCCATTCGAGGTACAGTGAAACAAATGATGTAGTTCTGCATTGAAAATTTCTGGGTGGTACTAAAGGCGCTGCAAGATAGCAGATAAAAAAGAAAAAATTAAAATATAGTCTATAAACAAATATATCACCATAAATGTTAAGGTGGTTGTCTCGTTCTCGAATAAAAGTATCAACTTCATTAGCAAAAGGCCTTGGACTATGGTAAACATTTCTTGACCTTCAGGAAATATAGAAGGAGTGGGCTTTAGATGTTGCGGAGCAATAACTTGGATGTTGCGGGTCAACCAAGTTGAAAACCTTGCAGAACCTACAGAGCAGAGCTGCCAGAATTTTCACCAATGGCCGCCCTTTATGCTCCTCTATTGCAGCGTCTTGACTAGCCGACAATTGATAAACTGATTAATCAATAATTATGTACAATGGCATATAAATCCTTAAATGACCTTGCACCTGAAAAACTAAGTAACGTTTTCGAAAAATTGCCTAAAAAAGAAAGAAAAGATTATAATATGGTCTATAAACAAATATATCACCATAAATGTTAAAGTGGTTGTCTTGTGTTCGTTTACAAGTATCAACTGTTATAGAACTGTTATTAAACTGTTGATAAACTGTTATTGAACTTCGGTAAAAAGCTATCATAATCATTTAATTCAAACATATTAGAACGGTGACGAGAAGAACATCACATGTGGGCTCTAGAAAATAGGCCGATTCTTCGATAACATGCCCGAAAATTTTGTATATTCCTTCTTTTAGAATCTTTTGTAAAAATTTCTCCCCAGCAGCGGCGAATGCAGTCTCCAATAAGTTTAATACAACATACTTCATTGATATGACTTTTACTTGCAACTGATAAACATATGTGAGCAAAAACGTTGTCCAGGGTTGAAAATGATTTAATCAGATCTGGAAAATAATGATGTAAAAATTTTTGCCGCCTGAGTATTCATTATCTAATGGAAACCATATATCATTTTACAACAAGTTTTTTTTCAAGAAACAGAAATGACGATCTCTAATTCATGACCGTGTCTAATTCATGGCATAGTATTGAAAGTGACTTTTTAAACTAGATCTAGTCCTGATTATAAATGTTTACCTACCTCCTTCAACAGTGATGCAGTCGATGAAATTGGTCGAGATTCCATTGCCATGCATAGTTGATGCAGAAACCCTGAAAGTGTGCAACGTGAACTGCTTTAGGTCTGCGACAGTATAATTATTTGCAAGCGGCGACTCAGCGATTCGCTCCCACGTGCTCTTGCCCAGTTCTCTGTAGTATATAACGTAACCAGCTATCTTCTTGTGGAATACGATTCTATCCCATTGCAAGCGTATTTCCGTTGGGCTCAGGCTTTGACATGTTAGCAATAACGGAGCACTGGGGGCTGTTTGAAATGAATTTATAGTTGATTACACAGTTAAATACCAGTGCTGAGAAGAAGGGGGTCAGGGGGGCTACTGACCCGGGGGCCCATGGCTTTTAGGGACCCATAAATGATGACTCGCTTAATTAAATTTATAAGTAATAATTCAGCCATTATCACATTCTCCATTATCACAACCTGTCAATAATAGTTTCAATAAGCCTAGAAATGAAATAATGTAGAAGTAAAAAAAAGTATTAACCCAAAAGATTTAAAAAATTTTTCAGTAAATTAACAAACAATTTCTCTTGATTAGTATATCTATTTAAGGGATGGTTGTTAAAGCTAAAGCTCATCTTCTTTCATCCTTGGGTACAGCGAAATCAAACTGAACGTCTCGCATATTTCACCAATGAAATGGATTCGCCTTTTCATTGCCTATTCATCTCTTCTATGAAACGATCAAGAATAACAATGTAGACATTGATCTTGCAATAACCAAGTACTTTTTTTGGATTTCACTCTCTTTCGGATAAAGAGAAATTTGGCTGATTTATTTTGGGCTTCAATACTTTTTTGGGCATTTAGCTCCTCAGCTAAACGAGAAGCTTCTTCCAACATCCCATCACACCAATCTCTTTAAATTTGTTCTTATCTGATAATAGGGTATCAAGGTGTTGCCACTCAGCATCAGCATCCAATCAGCATCGAATTGGAACAGTACTGTGTCTGTTTTGGTCCAAGTTTGTAAATTAACGTTTTCCATTTTTCCAACTATTTTCTAATGCATATTTTATGGCTAAGAAATTTCATTTTTATGCATTTTTATGGTATTTAGATATCAGTCATGTTCGAGTTATATTAAATAAGTCAATAGGAGTAATAGCCACCAGAGCAGATAAGCTTCCATAGCAATTTTAGCAACCAAAATAGCCACCATAGAATTTACAGCAAACTTCATCTACAAAATTTCCCTTGCTTTTTTCGTCCTGACCCAGGGCCCATAAACCCTCTATGTGGCCCTGTTGAATACTATTAATCTGTCAAATGACAAAGCCCCTGTGGAACTGTATCTAAAGTCTTTTGTCTGAAGGGGTGCCTCCGCAAGGTGTTTACTGCAGAAAATACATTCCTGTTCGTTTATTGAGGTTTTACTGCAGTCGTGTATATCAACTGTTGGTTACACTATTCAGGGCGCGTTTTGAAATTTGTTGTTGAAGATTAAAATTAATGACAGGTAAAGATGATTTCCGTGAACACTATTTGAATCGAAAGGTTTTTGTGTCTAGAATGCGCTCTGGCTACATGAATAATGGGTGCGTAAATGGATAGAGTATCAGTGAGTATTGTGCATGGATGGAATGCCTCTGAAGCACACTATCAAGGTCAAGCAAAGATTTTAGACTGATAACATAGCACAACAATAGGACAGTTGGGTGTGATTGGTTGAAAATTAAAGCAAGTATCACGTGGCTATCACCATTACGCGTTCGTTTTAAACGACTACCACTTTTAACAAACTCATTAAGCCTTTCTAAGCTACAGCGCTATTTATTCATCTTCCATTCGGATTTTTCGATATTTCTTTTTGGCATCTACATATCAGCTAAAACAATCAAATCACGTGATTACAAGGCATGATTTGGGATCAAAATTTCCTCCATTTGAAGATAACGCAGCAGTAGCTATATACAATTTGAGAAGAGAATCATACCAAGTAAAGATCCTTGCGGTGCATAGGTGGTTCTGTTAACATTACAAAGCTAGAATTGAAAGGAATTCAAGACAATCTATAGATTTCTGACTATTAAAAAAAGAACTTTGCTTTTATATGCAATATCATATCCTTCTCAAGATCAATGGAAGTAAATAAAGATATAGTTTCAACAATAGCTTCTAAAACCAATAATTGTCCAAATAAAGTTAGTTTTCTATTAACATATAAACATGTTTTAGCAGAGTGACCTGACTGAAAATCGAAGGCTTGAAACCAAAGGCTTTGGTAAACCCATTATTCATGTAAATAGGCATGAGCCACGCGTTGGTCAAACTAAAGACTCGCGATGTCATATCAAGCCACTTACTGTCATTTGAGCTGATTACCCAGTTTGAAACTGCCATTGAATTCAAATATCCCACATCCTCGATTTGGTTTTGGAATAAGACAATCCCATCTTTTGCTACACGCTTGAAAAAAATTGAAATTCCGCAAGATAAGGTGTCGTTGAAATGACAATCTACTGTCACGTTGTCAATGATATTTGAATTGTTGAAAATCAACATAACATCGTTCTTTAGTTCCGCATGAAGTTGGGAACGAAGGGACTGGTTTAGGCCTGTTGCGTACGTCTCAGTGGTGAAGTCCAACATTGCGTCAACTCTCAAAGCGCTGCATTCATGATGGTTGCAATAGAGGTACTCGGATTCAGCTCCAGGGCACGGCAGTCCGCCAAATTCCGGCGCCGGTGAGTCACATCGTCTTCTGCGCCATGATCGCCCAGAGTTACAAGGTTGATCGCAATAAGACCATGCTGACCACTGTGCCCATTTCCCATCCACTGCAAGAAAAGTATAATTGTACATAAGGGTCGGAAGAAGGGGGGAAGGGGGGGGAGACAGAATCTTGTAGATTAAGAATGTAACCCAAGAAGATTTGCTGAAAATGCAATTTTCCCGAAATATCTAAGGGCTATTAGTGTTCTGGTCTGTATTTTACAAAGTAAGTCAACCAGACTTACTTTGTTTACCCATCTAATTTTGTAGAATGGCAACCCGTTGCACTCATGAACTGTCCTTTTCTACCATCTTAATGTTATGTTTGCATAATTTAATTTACTCTATTAGTTAGCATGACGTGTTTAATTAGCTAGAAATATACGATTCTCGTGGTCGCTTGAAGTTTATCTCTCGTGCAGATTCATGGCCATTTCTAAAAAATTGTATGGTGTAAAGCTCTAATGCACTTTGGTTTTAATCCTTTCCGCAGAATTACCTGTAAAATGCCTGTAAATAAATCAAGCACGTAGCAAATGAGCCCAAATATATACAGAAGAATTCAGCAATGCCAATCTATTGTTTGCTACCTGGGCAGGGTCGAAAGTTGCATTCCATGTTTTCATTTGAAATCCCAAAGCAATCCAAGCCTCCGTTTCTTGGTGCCGGGTTATTGCAGGAGCGCACGCGCGTCTGAATTCCGCCAATGCATGTCTTGTTGCAGTCGGACCAGGATCCCCACTCGGTCCACGCTCCATTGACAGCACAAGGAGGCAGGCTGCATGGTTCAGTTTGCTTCAGGTAGTCATCACACAGATTATCTTTTGTGCATGCAGCATACCTACTTCTTGTTGATCGGCCACAAAGATTGGTACAATCGCCCCAGTTTGTCCAAATAGGACCACATGTGGTGACATTGCAATCCAAGCTTGAATGAATGGTTGCTGTTTCCAGCGTGACGTTACATGGCATTTGCTGTGTGCTAGCTCCTCTGCATCTGTTTGAAAGTACAATGGTTGCTTTGCATACTTGTGTGTTGTTACCGATACACCTAGAATCGCATACCGTGTACGGCGATTCTGGTGACTGGTAGCTATCTGTAATAAAACACAAACAAAAAATCCATTGCTCTTGAAGCATACACGCTGCCAAGGAGTAGTTAAAATTTTAAAACTACACTGAACTCGACTGATCCTAATGACCAGTCATTATGGCGGTGCAGGCCGATTTTCCTGACCTGGGAAGCAAATTGACTTAACGGTGTCAAGCTTCAAAATTACCAAATAAGTCTGATTTCTTTACGAAAAGTGCCTGGCAGTTGATCGCAACAAACACTAATAAAATATTCCATCAGTCATCTAATCAAAATAAAATTTAATAACAAAAAAATGATTTGCTTTTTACCATGGTAATTCTTAAAACAAAAAAGGATGGATGTTCATCTTAATATTTATTTACATATTTGTATTGACAAGAACGGATTGGGAAAAAGAAAAGTTCACAATAGAAAAGACTCTCACAATTTCTTCAGTAGGTAAAAGAAAACTTTGTTTGTAGCTGCTAACAATTCTTTATGTTAACATAACTTTTAACTCACGTTCATTTTTGTATATTTGAGAATAAGGGCAAATTTTCTTTTTAGTGTGTGAAATGGTACACTGGTTGGAAAACTTTGTCACGTAAGATATCTTTGTGCAAACTCGATTACGGCTTTGGACGCCATTAGAATAGTTTTGTCTCTGTTCAATCAGTTGACAACTCGACCATTCTGACCACTGTCCGTAGAAAGGTACTAGAAAAGAATTTTAAAACTACAAGAGCAACAATATGTTTCTTCCTTTAGAAATCTTAATAATTTTTTTATATTGAGGTTCGGTAGAATCCGACTGAATTTTGCTGATATCAGAACATGCTGCATCAAAATATTCAAGAATACTGTTGAATTTCCCTTCTTCTCTGGCAAAACCGTGTGGGTTATATTGCAGTGTGAGATGCAAAGGCCTTTCTTTATTTAATCTCAAATACAATCTAGCTTTGAAGTGGGGCTCATTAATTTATATTCTAAAGCAAGAGTGCAGCTTAGATTTGAGAATTATTTTAATAAAGCTTTAACAGTTCGGATACATACTCCACAAAAATTGTTTGGTAAGTCCCTTTAGATTAGTTTAAAAGGCAGTTAAAACAGTAATAACGATAAAGATTTAAAGCTCGTGTTCAACAGAGTAAAAAAGAATGCTTATATATAGAAGCAAAAGGAGCGTTAATACATACTGACGCATCTCCTCTTAGCTCTGCAAGTCTCGTTTTGCTGCAGAGAGCTGATGCAGCCAACCTGAGTGAAATTGAAAGAGGAGTCGCATACAGAGCTTCCATTCCTTATGCATGTTATGTTGCAAGTGTCTTCACTGTCCTTCAAAAAAGTTTCTTCTGCAAACAAGATGAATAATTATAAGCAGTGGCGCAAACTGGGGGTGGGGGCGAGAGGGGTTAAAAATTTTCAGGACAATAGTCATTTGTTCTTAAATTATGGAAAAATTTGACATCATCTTAGCAAAACAATATGCTAGCCCCCCCCCCCAATCCTTGACCCCGCGTCCGCCCCTGATTTTAAGCAGCATTGTGAATATTGCTCCTTCGATATTCAACGATTTTTTTTTCATTAAAATTCTATACCTAGGAAGACAGAAATCCAAGGCAGACTCTACTCCCAATTTTTTTTAAAGGATCGGTTAATCGAGCAATTAAGTCCCACGAACTAATTACCTTTTAAATAAACGGGTGCATAAATGTAACTTTTGGAACAAGAGTTATTGTTGAAATTTTCAGAATAGCAATAAATTACTCTAGCATATTTTTAAAAAGCAAATAAAGGTCACTGAAATATTTACTCCCTGACTTATGAAGAAATTCAAAGCTTGAAATCCCCTAAATTTAAAAATCTAGTAAAACACGAATTAAGCATTAATGAATTAAAAGTTATTGACACCCCTAATGCCTCTGGAATGCGATTTACCACTGCAAGAACTTTCTATTTGCATTCTAAAGGCAGATTTCCAAAAGCCAAATTGACTAGAGAATTTGCAGCTAAAGCATAATGAAATTTCGAAACGTCAAAAATCCAAGGTAAACAGAAATTGTTTTGAATCGAGGTTTGGACTCAAGAATTTCACAAACCAAGGCTTCGACTTACAAAGGCTTAGACTTATCAAGGATTTGAAAAATCAAGGCTTCGACTTACAAAGGCTTAGACTTATCAAGGATTTGAAAAAGCAAGGCTTCGACTTATAAAGGCTTCAACATGTAATTTGCTTCCAAATATCGGTGGACAAAAAGTGGACAAGAATTGATACCCATTTAAAAGGTGAGCAACAGAAAATTTGCATAGATTATTCCGTTTCTGTACACAAATCCCCAAAGAAGCAAGAAAAGCAATAAATCTTGGCGCAGGAGATGGAATGCAAGTTCGAAATCAATTAAAATCGGGGTCGTATAGAACTTATGACCGAAACATTTAATGTATCACATAATTGAGTAAGAAAAAGTTCGAGATATCGATGGTTGACTTATCGAGGTTTAATTGCATGATGGCATGTACGGACTTATTTGCCTTTTGCGGCAAAACATTTCGGCTCAGGAAGCAAATTCCACTTTTTGGCCTCATGAGATCGTGAGTCGTGACTCGTTACGAGTACTTTTGAAAAATAAGTTTTTTACACTGGTGCAAAATTCGTCATACAGAGAAAAGGCAGCGAAAGATTTACATCGTAGAAATCCACCAAGAAGATTGTGTTGAAAGCTAGAAAAAAGTATATTACCCACTACATGGCAGTTACTTGTGTTGGACACCAAACAACCATTATCCTTTTGAATTGTGATTTGCTTGCAAATTCTTTCTCTGTAACGCGTTCCATAGAAGGTATCATCATCGTAAGGGGAACATTCATTCCAACTTGACCAATCAATTAAGACGCTTACTGGGGGAATTGAAATATAAAAATGTGAAGAATTTAGAAGAATTTTACTACATCGAAAAATAATTACATTTCAGCATAGGAATAGTTGATATGCTGGCGTAAGATGCCTATGAAGGGGCACCATGCCCTCTAAGGAAGAGTAGGTGCCCCAAGAATCTTACTTTTTCAGTATAATCTCACAAACATTGTCTCATATTGAAAATCGGTAGGATTAGAAAAGGTGAATGCAAAGGTGAATGCGTGTGAACAAAATTAGTCCATATTCGCTCCAGGGTGCGTTTTCATGACGCTTTTCTTTAACAAATCCAGGTTTGCTCAAAGTTGAGTTCTCAAGACAGTTATTGCAAATCCACCTCTAGTTTAACGGGCCAGTTTAACCATTGTCTATGGTTTAACCCAGGGCGAGAAATTAGGTTCGTTAAATCAAAATCTTGCAACGATCGTGCGAAATACGATAATTGCACGAAAACATCGCAACGTGTGTAGTTTGAGGTGTAGAATATGACACAAAACAGACCTAAGCTGAAAAATTCCTCTAACAACTATTTTTAAAACATTGAACTTGTTCCCAGTCCTCAAAATGAAAAAAATTAATTTTCGAGTGATATGAATAGTGCATGATTGCAAAATTTGATATTCATATAGAATCTAAAGTCTGAAATGTCATGCCAAGAAAATAAGTTCCAGAAATTACCCCATTTTCCTTTTTTTTTAACATTTAATTTGGTCTCAGTTCTCGAAATAATAGTCACTTGCGAGCGATTTAGCGAGTGTATGTCTGCAAAATTTTAGTTTTCATTTTCAACCTGAAATATGAAAATTTTATTCATGTTTCGTTGATTTTATTCAAACTACTTTATTCATATTCAATGTTGCAACTGACAAAAAATACAAACGGGGAATTTTTATCAGAGCCTCCAATGAAGGAAGGGGTGCCAGCGGCCATGTCTCCACCTTTTGCAAAACAATTGAGCTTTTAATAGAGCACAATAGAGATTTTTCAAATAACGTGTTATGGGACTCGTGTTTATAACTTACCGTGACAAAAATGGCTTGTTTTTCTGGGTACTTGAGGAAGCACAGAAGAGGTCATATACGGTGTCATCATATTCGGTGTCATCATATACGGTGTCATTGCTAATACTGGAGCACCAACATGTCCACTTGCTATCGTTGATACGTAATTGTACAAACTCCCGCTTCTCGTAGCTGTTAAAAAAGATTGGGTTTTGAGATATCAAGTCATCTGTTAGGTTGAACCATGGTCTAAATTTTACATATAAAAGAATTTAAGAATATATGGACAAGCTGAATTGATAGAAAATATGAAAATTTCAACCTTAGAAAATTTGATGCATAGCAGAATGGTGGAAACTACAGGCTGCTGGAGGAAAGAGGCACTTTCGCCAGGCTTTTTGCCAATTTCTTTTTTAAATTTGTATGTGGGTTTTTTAGCAAAATAGGCAATCCAATTTATCAACAATATCTTCTAATAAATCATAACCAGATTATTTTTATCTCATTCCCTAAATAAAACATGCTGTATCCACTGACATATCCCAAAACCAAACAAGATGAAATTCTATGATAAATGGATATTTCGAGTTAAGACTTAAAAATGAACTTACGCTCGATGTCAACATACTGTGAATAGTTCAATGCCTGATAGTGAATTCTAAAACCAAGGCTTTGACGATTACGGCTAGATCTGAATGTCAGATTTACTGAGTTACTTAGGCTATAAAATTCCAAGTCTGATGATATGACATACAAATACTCTCCGCCATTAACAAACTCGCGAAGCTCTAAAAAGTCGTTAGTGGAAGAAAATTGAACATTTTCAATCTTGAAAAATATGATTTGAAACTCTGGGCAAATGATTCTCCATAGGCAGTTTTCATTGGGTAGATACGTTCCATCTAAAGATAGCCTTGGCATGATTATTCCATTTGTAGAATTTCTGATGCCGCCACAAGTCTGGCAAGTAGTAGGTTGTGCTAAGATAAAAGAAATTAAAGTAATAAGGGCTTTAACAATCTATAAATACAATATTATACACATGTAAATTGGCTCTTTGTGACATAATATAGTGCGATTTTAACAAAGCTCTACCTTATGAATAGACGTATGAAAAGCAGATAATAAAGCATGATATAAAGTAGGATAAAGTTAAAATAAACGTTGCTAAAGAATTTGTCGTTGTGAATATTTTGTAGTACATTATATAAAATTTGAAAGCCTTACTGCCATTCGATGTATTCATTTGATAGGAAGTATACGTTATGTTAAAAGCAGCAGATCGATCGCTTCTCTCGCCAGATTTAAAAACTATTTGAACTGCATTAGAATTGCTCCGATATCGGTTTTCAATTTTCCTACGGCACAATACCCCAACAAGGCATTCTTCTTCACCAACACCATCAAATACCGAAATCCTCTCATTTGCACATTCCCAGTTTCCAACATCCAGCTTTATAAAAGTGAGTTCAATGGAGAATCCAACAGGCCTTTCAATTATCCAGGTGCAGTATTGGGTTGGATAATGCGTCCGATTAGCTGGAATTTCTGCACTTATTTGTCCTGTTGCACAATTCATATTACCACCACAAGGGAAGCATGAGGATGTACACTCTAAATAGGAAAATATCTCTTTGCAAAATGTTCTTAATCTGTTATGAATTATTGTATTTTCTTAAAAAAGCGGCAATAATCTAACACATTAGTGCTGAATTGTTTAGCTGAATGGTGCTTGCAATGATAGGGCACCAAAAAAGCTTTCACATAAATCTAAGATTTTTAGAGATTAATAAAGATAAAACAAGGCGATAAATAAACATTCATTTGCAAATGAGCATGTAAACAAATGAAGTTCTACGATGCACAAGTGAGGTTTTAATAATTTAATGATAAATAACAACTATTTTTGCCTATTTTTGAAGATAATTGTAGATAATTTGTAGATTTAGGCCATGTAGTTTGCATCTCATACTACCTATGAAGAAATTTCAAAAGCAAATAAAAAATGTTGAATAGCAAAACCAGAGCAAGGAGGTGTGCAGCCAATTGACTCTGATTGATTCCCTGGACAATTTCTGAATGACGTTTGCTGATTCATGTATATGCATTGACGCTCTCTTCTTCTTTCCGTTGTCGTATTGGAGGAGTCACTGAAGAGGCAGCTAGCCCAGTGGGACCAGCTACTCCATGACCATGAAACTATCAAGCAACAAAAGTGAACTTTAGTCAAGTTAGTATATACTTACAGGGGACTATCGGGTCTGGATTTAAAAATGAAGTTCGCGAGGTGAGGGTGAGATGAGGGGGAGAGGGAGGGGGAGGTGAAAGGGAAATGGAGGGAGAGCGGGAGGGGTGACAAGACTGCAATGTCTTTGAATAGAGATAACACAATTCCTTCGATTACCTTTCTATAGAACCTTAACAGGTTTTTTCTGTTTTGATATCATTCCTGTAAAGGCAGCTTTTCATCATTTTTGAAATAAGAAACATTCCCCAGGGACACCAGGGTATAAGAGACAAAGCTCCACTAAAGGGAAATATATAGAAAAAATAAATAAAATTTCTAACTTTTGCGGGGACAAGGTAGGTTACTGTCTTCGCTGCCCCTTCCCCCTGCAGGTGTCCTTGCTAGTCCCTCTGGTCTATCGCTAGACAGGCATTGGTCCACAACAGAGTTAGCTTATATTCCTATCGCATTATTTTCAAGTCTGTTAAAAAGTTATTCAAAGGTACTTAAAGAAAAATGTCTACTTGACTGAAATAACAAGAACCATTTCTATGCAAACAGAGCAGCTGTATCAATGGTCTTAGAGAGAAAATCGGAATGGTTTCTGCAAACGAATTGATAAAAAGGATCGCAGATATTTTTAGCTTTAGTGTGAATGTTAACATTATTTTATTAAGAATTTAGACATGAATCAGAAAAATTTGGATAATCATCACGATATCACAAATGATTTAAAGTGTTTTATAATCCTCTCAACTTCAATATAGGATTGAAATACTACGAATGATAGAAGGCCATACAAAATTTTTATAACATCCATTTGCAGGCCTAGATATTGTGAAAAAGCCTTTAAAAGATAAATTAGTTGTTCATTCCATTGCCTTTAAAATAACGAACAACGTATTTCCTTGTTTCATTAAGCAAAATTTGTAGTCTGTCACAAGTTGAAATGATTCCAAGTTGCATTCATAGGCCTTTTTATGTTTATATATCTCTAAGATGTGAGATGCGCATCTTATATGAACAAAAACACAATGCTATCTTAGCTGAATTATCAATTTAGAACCAGAGAAGAGTTCATCCGAGCCTCATCTCCTACAGAGAGGCTTGCATGTGCAAATATCTACCCTGCTAAACAGAATAGAAAACCGAAGTGATGACGTCAGAAAAATACATTTTTAGAATTTTTCACATTTGATCCAATAACCTAAAAAAGCATCATGAAATACCTTTAAGTATCCAAAACCAGTTGGTTTTATCACAAATTGGCGGAGATATGGCCACATAAGCACAGGCTCTTTTCCCATCAAACATCTGTAATTTGGTCTTGTTTCATAACTTTATGAACCAGGCCAGAATAACAGTAACTCGTTTGCAAACTTGAAATCTTTCATTGGTCATATCTTGCCCTATTTTGAACACATCTAACTGATTTTGCAAATTGAGTACTCTTTTATGCCGTTCTTTCAGATTATCTGGTGAAAATTAAGAAATTCTAAAAATAGATTTGTCATGACGTCACACTTCGGTACTCTATCGACACATCATACCTGGAAATTCAAGCACCAATTCAAAAAACTCCGTTTTAAAATGATATTGCTTCACTTTGATAACAATATTTTGCCCTGAGTACTTTCTTAGTACCTCTACTAAGATAATCGAGTTGATGTTGAAATAACCAGTCTCTGTAATAGGTTCTCCTTTATTGTCTACCCAAATGAATTGTAACTCTGCTCCAGTTAAATTTCCCTCCCTGTATTGGATTTGGGCTGCCTGCACGGGTTCTAGTGGAGCCTTGAATTCAAACTGAACATGATTGCTTTCTTTCTGTTCTCCCACCTTGACTCTCAGTGCATAGGACTCTGAAACGCAATATATCTCCTTTTCATATAGAAAATGATACTGGATATAGCAATGTCATGTTGTATCAAATCGAATCAAATTAGATTGAGCATAAGCGTAAAATCTTGATTGGCTGCGAAAGGAATCATCGTGGGATTCTTCTTCAAACCGAGCCAACAAGGTTGCGAGAAAATCTCAAAGAAGCATCTTTGTTTGTCTTACGAACCTTCGTATTTTTATCATTATTATTTATTTGTTTTCTATTGGCAATAATAAATTCGTTATATAATAAATTATAATTGTGTTTTAAAACATAATGCAAACTAAAAAAACTTGGATTTCTTTGCTGCATAATTGCTGCATTTTGCTTTGAAAACTTTTGCACAATCTGCAAATGCATCTTTTTCCATGCCAAAATTTTATTCTGCTCTTAAACTCAGGTAGTTGGGCGACATTATTGAATTTCTTTGGTAGAGAAGACCAAAGAAAGCATCCACTGGATTCAATATTTTCTGTGCCATATGTGATGGTCTAAACTCCCATGCTTTCTTTCATGAAAACTGGATTCAAATTGTTTTTGGTTTTGAATACTTCAATCATTAGCAATTCGAATGGCACGCGTCGATAGTGGTGTCATCAGCATAATTACAAATTTTGCTATTTCTGATGAAAAAAATGTCTTTTATAAATTCATTGAACAGCAGTGGCCCTAGCACTGAACATTGAGGGACGCCAATATAAATTTTTCTCCAGTCGCTGAAATGATTGTTTCTTTTCACTCTTTGTTTTCTGCTTGATAGATAGGCCTTGATGAGCTGCAGGGAACTTAAACTAAGTCCATATGCATGTAATTTTGCAATGAAAAGATCATGGTTTATTTTTGACAGATCCAAAAATATGGCCCCTGAAAACCCACATTTGTCAATGCTATTCTTACAGTTTTGTTGTAAGATAAGTAAGACATGTGTGTTGCAATTCTGCCTAAAACCCTCCTAGGAGCGGCCAAAACGAGTCGTCGATAAATTCGAATAATTGCTCTTACAAAAGCCTCTCAAATATTTTTAATATTGCAGGAGGGAGGCTTTTCGGTCTGTAATTCAATTTGTTCAAATTGTCGTCTCTTTTTAACAAGGCAGAAAAATCTGCCAAATTCAGAGCATTTGGGAATTTTCTTTCTTTGACAAGTTTATCAAAAAGTTCTGTAAGTGGAAAATAGAATATATCGATATTTGATTTCAGTATTTTCGATGGGATGACCTCTTGTGGGGCAGATTTCTTAGTTACTAAATGGTGCAGCTGCTTCAACATCTCCTCGACTGATATCTTTCTAAAAGAAAAGTTAAATGACAAATTGACCACTGCATTTATCTTAAGGATGCCAGAGTGGGTTTCGAAATATTTCACAATCTTTAAGCAGGAGTTCCCATGTCGACAATTTATTTCGACTTCGTCAAAGGTCAATCGTTGGAACTTATGTGTTTTTTTAAAGGCGCTTGCAGGCACGTCGCTATATAGGGGTGTGTGGGATGTGACACCCCCTTTGAAAAAACTTCTACTACAAAAACGAAATTTTTTTGTCATCTTGGAATGCTTAGTCGGCAAATTTCCAAATTTGTCGGCAAAGAAAGGGTGGCTCAACCATTTTGTCGGCAAATGGGACTGGGAAACCCCCTTTGAGGACAATAGCTAGCGACGGGTTCGGGAGCTTGTCTGTCTAGCATGTTCTTAAGAGTGGAAAAAAATCTTGTTGAAATCTTGCTGCATATTGGGGTTTAATATGATCATTTCCTCAACCTGTAATCTAAAGGAGTGGTTATCAAATTTTCTACAGTCTCTGTACAAGGCGTCATATCAAGGTCTATCTTGACACACAATACCTCTTAATATCAGCATAACTGGAACCCTTGACATGCGAGGAGTTGAATTGCTGAAAATGTTAAGCATTACATTTGAACTGCTGATATTCTGAAGGGCAAAGCCTCTGTGTGAAAAAAGGTACATGGAAGCATTCAATGAACCATTGTCATCACGGAGGATGTTCTTGGTAGAAAATAAAACCACGATGTCATTTTTTTCAAACGAAAGTCCAGGGAGCTTAAATACATTCAAACCCTTTCTAGTAGTGACACTGGTGTATCCCTGCAAAAAGTAAACCGTCCCATTTTGGCCTCTGGGTGTCAGTTCTCTGCCGATTGCATAGTCTATTCGGGCACTCTCAGTGGCATTGAGATTTATTCCATATATTATCCCAGTACAATTCATTTGAATTGAAATCAATGCTGATGTTGTATCCGATTGGTCTTCCGAAGCATCGTTTGTGTTGAATTCCCCTAAAGACACTGGGCATGTTCCTGGAATTGAAAAAAAGGAAAGCCTGGATTTTCTATGAAAGAATTTATTTTGTATCATATAATTTTTATATAATATTTTGTTTGAGAATAGAATTTAGAAGCAAGAAACAAATGCAAACAAAATTGTAAAAACCATATTAAATCCTTAAAGCTTTGAGCTTTGTAGATATCATCAAAATTTGCTGGTATTCCTTGTCTTAATTTTTTCAGCCTAAACTAAAACTTTTGGTGCGCAAATTGAAAAGCCTCGTGACTTTCTTTGTCATTGACGGTTTTCTCTCGGATCTGTTATTTGTCCTTCAAAATGCAATTAATTGGGACGGGGGGTTGAAAAAGGAGAGGGAGGGCTATGGCTGCCCGAATCCATTAAATAGGTTTACCCGAATCCGATAAATTGGTTTGCTCGAATCCCCGACATAGCAACGTACTATCTGCAACGTACTTGCTATTTGTTCTATCTGCAACGTACTTGCCCCAGACCATTACGACAAGTGTGAACTAGACGTAATCAAATAAATATGGCAGCAGTTGGTCGAATTTCTCACCTGAAGCTGAAGACTTGGCCACAACAACGCATATGGCCAAAAGAACCAAGTTGAGATTCATCTGCAACGCAAAAAAACCTTTTAAAATCATTTAATCATTGTAGAATTCTCAAAGAACAGTGGTGCGCCAAAGCCTAGAAAATGATAAGACGAAATACAGTTACTATAGTTAATAAGCAATATAGTTAATTGAAACGCGTAGATGGTAAACTCTATGAAAACAGGGTTGGGCGTTTTAATTGACTTTTAAATCAGGTTCGTTTCACTCAGCGGTGTAGTGCCATCAAAATAACAAGGAGGGCCTTTGCACAAAATGTTGCTAAGAACAATAGCAAAAGTAAAAATTTGTTAATATTCGGCATTAATAAGGAACGTTCAGCCCCCTCCCCCCTGAGCCTCCTGAGCCCCCTAGCACTACACCCCTGGTTTCACTGCATGATAAAAAAACTTACTTTACCTTTGTTATAGATACTTGCAAAAGTGGTAAAATATTCATACTTTGCTGCCAATATTGGCAGAGTGGTACTATCGGTGTAGTACTTTTGTGATTCTGTGTACGAAAAAGGACGCATGTATCATATGACGTCGATCGGCAAGAGGTGCAAGAGATGTTTCAGAAAGTGAGGTATTGCTATGATCTCAATATGAAAGCAAAATGAAAACTATTCAATAAGATATTTCAATGATAAAAACTAACTACAATCTTGCCAAAATTGTTGGAAGACCCGCGAAAAAATCTTTCAACCTCCCATTACATAATTGCTCGATTTGCCGTTTTGATGCTAAGGTGATCACTGAAATGTGTACGAAGGTATCGAGAAAATAAATCAACATTGTACTGGGTGAGGGGGCAAAGTTTTGGAAGCAGCAATGATACATTGAAGAGGTACAGCTTCTAAAATTCAAATTCTTTGTTGGCTTGATGCATAAAAGCACTTATTAAGAAGCAAGACGTAAGCCCATAAAAGATCCTACAATACTAACTTTAAAAATACAATTTATAGATGGGACCATCTACAGAAAATATTTCGACATTATTATGCAAATTCAGGCAGGTTTTGGAGGAGTTGTGGGAAAAGTACATTTTTTAACCTTTTGAAAGCAGGTTCAAAGGGGCCAAACTGCTGTATCTATAAAAAACCTTGAGATTAGCGTCCGTAATTATCATCGAGGATTTGTATGACTTACTGACTTTTATTTCTAAAACTTTAAGAAATTTGCTTGAAATTAGCCCATGAAATTAGACCAGTCTTTCTTTAGCCGTAACTTTGCAAAGCTAGGTTTTGCGTATGACCAAAAGATTGTAAAATCAGTCACACAATAAGTTGAATTAGTTGAATTAGAAACCTGTAGATGCTCAATCATCATATTTTAAATTAACCGAAAAAGTGAGTAAATTAACATAAACATTTTTGTTCTTCAACAACGACGTTAACACGAATTCTTACAGTTTCAACTATTTTGACCCTTTTAAGAATGAACAATAAAATGTTTCTGAAACAACAACAAAAACCTGCAATCACTTATACTAAAAATGCTGAAAGCTTCAATTACTTACAGATTGATTAGAAATGTTTGATTGAAAAGTGCCTTAGGAAGTTCACGAGTTATTTTGTCAACAAATAAGTAGTTCTGAATGTGTAATCAGTGGTAACCATTGCAAAGATAGTGAGTTTTCTGTTCTGGAGTCATAACAAAGCTGGTGCAACTTAAAGTGAATAGCTTTGCAAGTGCGAGGTCCTTAGTCAACATAGGCTCATGGATACAAGCGTAGCAAGTGGGATGGGGATGAATTTAGTGTCTGTGAAAAGTGCAATTTCAATGAGCCGCCAAAATCAAAGGCCAATTATATATATAGCTTATTTCTTACTATCTTTCATAAAGAGGTGTCTTACAGCATCAAAAAGAGGTTGGGCCACACAATTTCTCCAGACCACTCAGTTATAGGTTGCTCCCCCCCCCCAAATCGCCTCGCTTTGATAATGTTTCTGACCACAAGTAGCAAAATATATAGGGAAATCTGCAATAAATTCATCTGAAATAAACTACACCATACCTTAGACTGCAAAATCTCAAAATAGCATGAAAAGCGGAAGACAAACGCATTTACCTTGTTTTTGCTTTTTAATTTAATTGAGAATTACCTCAAGAATACTTACCTTCCAGGGCTGTTATTCAAAAAATCATTCAAACGAGTACGTCCCTCTCCAAACTCTTGAGAAGGTGTCTGAATTTAAGAAAGTGGTTTAATTATAGAAATCACAAGAGCCTATGTATTTATGCTGCTATCTTTAACAGCGGGAGCTTGTTCAAAGATCATTTCCATTATAATTTGTTAACTAAATAGCATTTTAGTTCTAATTTTAAACAGCATCCGTACAAAATAGAGATCAAATTTAACTTAACTTAATAAATATTTCAATTCAAACCGTGCAATAATATTTAACTCCTATCAAATGACTTGATTAATTTATTTTTTTGAAAGAGTGATGTTTTTCGCTAATGCTTACGGTAGTACCACTATCAAATATGAAAACAAATAGACAGTTAATTGAATTTGATTCAACACAAGTGGTAGGCATCATCTAATTCAACGCAATGAAGAATTAAATAATCCACCAACTATTACTCAGTCTTGACTAAAATTGGAATCTATTTTCCTAGCATAAATTCTTTGAAAAAATTACAGTTACCATAAACATGGAAGCATTTCTTTGAAAAGTATAGAAATAGCTGCACAGTTTTAGAAAATATTGAAATTGGCAAACTTTAATAATTGAAGTTGCGTAAATTTGTTTAATCAAGATCGCCACGGTGAAACACAGGGGAATGCAAAATATGGCAACAGTCATCTTTGCCAATACACAGCTGTCGGCATTCATCAAAATATTCATCTGGTAAATGGAAAGTTTTGTCCTTTTCCTTTGAATAGATTCTTTGGTTAGAACTATTATGAGCCAATCTCGTTTCGAAACTTCATTTGACGCAAGGTAAAAAGCAACTCAAAGATCCCAAATTTCCTAAAGCACAACCCAAGGGGGTAGGATAAAACAACATGTTTCTTCTAACATAAGTAACAAAACCGTCCCTCAAAGAGAACATCTTTTCTATCTTGATCTTCTCTTAATCTCGATTCTGACGTTTGATACTATGAGGGGTATCAGACAAAAAAGCTTAAAGCAAGTTGTTGTTAAATGTTTGCTTTCTTCAAAGCCATTTTCGAATTCCGTACCGCCAATAATTGTCCAACTCAAAATTTATTATATCATATAAAATTTTCAGTTACATAGACCATTCAGAGATTTAATTGGTATTTTGACGTATCTGGAAACCTCGATAAATTGAAACAGCATCTTATCAAATTAAACATTCAGAGATAATGAAATCAGAAGTGACGTTTTTGTATCAGTATTTAGTAGAAAAACAAAATCTGTGGGCGAAAAGTTTAGCCAGTTCAAACAGGGAGTACAGTAGTTTTTTTGTTCAAAATTTTCAAAATTAAATAATTCTTTCTAGTAAGACTCTTGGAAGAAGTAAATATTTCCATTGCCATAGCACGATTTAATATTGTTATAGTTTATCTAGGATTAACTGGAATTTATCACCAAAAGCCCATTTGTACCATATGCAACTTCAATAAAAGACTGTACCAATCTAAATTATAAAAAAAGTTAGAAAAGATGAAGATATATTGAATGGCTTAAACACTTGGAAAACTTTAAGTATTATATCATAACTTGAATATTTTATCATAACGTGAATATTTTATCATAACTTGAATATTTTATCATAAATTGAATATTTTATTATAACCTGAACATTATACTATAATTTGATTATTTTATCATAATTTGAATATTTCATAGAAACTTGAATATCGTATCTTAACTCGAAAATCATATCACAGCTTGAACAGGTAATGTAGGCTGGTGTGCCTATGCGTTCTGCCAGTTAAACATTCTGTTTATTGCCAAAATCTTCCCCTTTTTTATTTGAATAATTTGATACTCTGAAATTTGTTTGTTCATTTTATTTCGAATGATGTTAATGCTATTGTAGCTGACAATGAGTCTGTTGATAGATGCTAGACATAATTATTTAATTACATTTAATCAGTATACAGAGAATTGAATATATGTTATACAATCCCTTCTGATTGAAGACTTTCATAACGTACAAATGGTTCTCAAAGTTATCAATAATGTATGGCTAAAGTATTTGACAAAACAAAACAAACTAAATATATACACAAATAGGCCTATTGTTTATCTTTCATTCACTTCTTCGCCTCTTTAGATGATGTATCCTGCATCTGTATTCCATGGTTTTCATTTCCAGCCTCTACCCGAAAAATTTCAAGATGAGGCTCGTAAAATTTTGCTTCCTTTCTCGATGCCTTTCTTAACCGTCTTTTCTTGCACAACAAAGCAATAAGCAAAAATGAAAAAATAAAAACAACAAGCCTCCAATCACAGATGGTATTATTATTTCGGCATATGTACCTAAAAAGTTAAAAAACTTGTTTAAACATTTTACATTTCGAAACTGAATTAATATTAATGACCTCTTGTTGCCTTGAGATTGTTGCATTAATGACACATATTTCACAATATCTTAACAAAAAAAAGCTCTAAAATAAAAAAAATTATTGTTTGATATGTAAAAAGTTGGTGTAAAGCAAGGGATAAAACCTTGAAAACATCAAGATATTGATAAACTTTAGGGAGAGCACGCTTTTCGTGCCCTTAAAGAACTAGCTGTCTGCTATCATTCACAATCAGATTCTGCTGCACTGCAACAAGAAGGGAATATGTTTCAAAACTTAATCATTTAACTTAAATTTAGGTCATAAGTTTCCTTGAATCATATTTGCTTTGCCTTATTAGGGCAAAAACAGTGTTTGCTCACAAGCACAGGGATCACAGGGTCACAGGCACGTGGGTCATTCAAATACTCTGCCCTTCCACCTTATGAAAATCTCTCTGCCATTCTTTTGTAAGGAAAAAGTGAAAGTTTTATGGCACACGAGTCGTCCCCCATACCTTGGCAATAGTTATTTTTAATACGCGTTTCTCTTGATAGCAAAATTGAGAGACTAGTTTATCAGAAAATTTCTTTTGCAAGGCAAGGGTTTTCTAATCCAGAAAGAATAGCCCCCTGTTCATCTATCCAAAGAATAGCCCCCTGTTCATCTATCCATGTTCGTCTGTGACACGTCCAGTTCACTGCTCATGATCAAACAAAAAAGCACATGTATGGTGTTAGGCCATTGTGCGAGACAGTCTGATTGATATCCATTGCTTCCGGGAGCCCTTACAGCTATTACTACTGGTACAACTCTAAAGAAACGTCGTACTACAAGACAAGAGTTTCATCAAACCTACTTAGTAAACTACATAACTAAAGTTTTCCGATAATAAAGAACACCTTTTAATGAATTCAAACTAGTACTAAATGATAGATTTTTACAACTTACGACTTTTGCTGCATTTTCCACTCCTCATTTCATATTTTGCTTTGCACTGACACTGGTAATCAGATCTTGAGGATGTTGGTATGCAGCGAGCGTTTTTATCGCAGCCATGACTTCCAGTTTCGCAATGATTTGTCACTGAAAAGAATGTTTCTGAGTAGAACTACTCAAATTAAAGGAATCTTATGCAGTTAAACGTTTTTCGTCTACTGCCAATATAGGATTTTCAACTACTGATTTTATAGAAAAATAGAAGCTTGTGTTCACAAGAACTTGTTTTAGATTAATCAACATATAAAAATGCATGAAGAGAAGACTGCTTAAAGAATTAAGGATGCATTTCATCGGTGCATACTAATTCTTTTGGAGTGATAAGAAGACATGAAAATTTAAAGTATATACAGAAAGAGGAACTTTGTTGGCATCAAATTCATAATAAAAAAGATAAATACTTTTTGACAACTTAGTTACTCAATGATAATGAAAAATAGACTTCAATATACTACCACATCAGAGAGTAAGGCTTGTGAGATGTATATGATGAAAATGTCTGTTTAAGTGTTAGATATTTTAGCCGTTAAAAGCGAAGCTATTAGGTGGTCATACTCTCTTAATATCATTTTTTTTACAATGGTCTACTTGAATCTAATCGATGTTCAATTCATGGTAAATGTAGGCTAAATGCGTCTCCGCATTGACATAACGAAATTGTTTATGTTTAGTTGCATATATTTCACATTTTTCACAAATTTTATAGTGATATAATAGACAAAGATCAAAATTAGAGAAATAGAAAACTATCGCCGAGGTGGCCTTTTTGGTGCATTTCTACAGATTCTAAATCAAGGCCATATAATTCTGCGACCAGGCGTATAAAGGTAGCATTTACTAAAAATTTTGATAATCTAATGAAAGAATTCATTTGAAGAAAAGGAACAGTGATATTTAGGTGATTTTTTTGGTATACTGTGGGCTGACTCATTCTGTAACTTTGTGATATTTACAATAATTTGATCTAGTTTATGACAACTTTTCACGGGAAGAGGAGAAAAAAACAAAAAAGCTAAGAGCAATTTTACTGCAGTTCAAAAAGTACCTCGTACAACTGGCCGCGTTTGTCTTTCTGGACTGAACGATAAATGAAATGAACGATTCTTGACAAGTTCAGCAATCTGGGTTGTTGTTACAGTAGGTTTCTGATCAAAGAGTAAGTAGAAAGAGAGTACAATGCTTCCTCTTCTCAGTGCAAAAATTTGGATTGCCTTTAGTCCAGGACCGAGCTTTGTACCGCGGAATGCCCGCAGAAACTGACTTTCAACTTCAGTGGCCAGTTCAGTAAATTCACTCGATCGTCTATCTGCATATCTAGGTATAAACGTGCGATTAAGGCGAACACCATCAACTTGGAATATCGTCTTTGCCTTGACACAAAGTTCGTTTGACAGGTAAAGGCCATTAATGCATCTGCACAAGGGTCCTGTTGGGATATTACGACAGAAGGAGAGTTCTGGGCAAGAAGATTGTCTGCATCGGTCTAGGAGACAAAGGATAATTTATCAAAAAGCAAAGAGACGCAGATCAAGGGAAACTGATTCCAGGTGCTTTAAAAAACTGATAAATGTTACAAAAATCTGAAAAGATTTGTGCAAAAATTTCTAAACTAATTCTAAAACCTTTCATTTTCCGGACAATAAAAAGTATTTCAATGACAGTAATTATCAATAAATAAATAGATAAATGAATAAATAAATAATGCTTTTAATGAATAAAATCTAATTATAATGCTTTTCTATCTAGTGAAATTCATAGGGACTGCCCCATTAGTACCTTGACATTTGAACGATCCAATTGTATTTACACATGCATCAAAAGAGCGACATGGTCTTTGGTCACTGCGACATTCATCGATATCAGAACAATGTGTTCCATTTCCTGTGTACCCATTTTTACACATGCAAAAATACGAGCCTCTGGTGTCAATACATTCTGCCTGACTGTTGCAAATGGTGTGGTTGTCACATTCGTTGTTATTTTCGCAATATGTTCCATTACCGATGAAACCATTGCTACAAATACAACGATAGGTTCCATTTACGACAGTACACGTTGCGTTTGAATGGCACAGACTCTCAGAGCTACACGGGTCAATTTCTAAAAAATAAGCAAAGAATTGCGAGGTTCTCTTATGTTCCAAATTTTAAAAACTGGACAATTAAGAAAAATTAAGAGGAAAAATTTGAAATTTCTTCTTTTGTGAACTAGAAGAACAACTTAGACTTATGTCAAAGAGCAACCAATGTTTGAAAAGTCATTACAATCCTTTTTGTAAGAAAACCTTATTTTTTCGCTGAGCTTCAATACCTATATTGCGACTAGTTTCATTTTGCGCCTAAGAAAATTCTTAAATTATTCTTAAGCGACACAAGGTGTAACTAGTCGCAATATAGTCTCATGGCTCCAAGGCCGGATACATCTATTTTAAAACATAGCGTTAAACTTGTTTTGCTTTCAAAAAACCCAAAGAAACAGAAAAAATTTAACTCTTGATGAATCTTGAGCTTTGCATTATTCTTAAGTTATTCTTAAATTTTAGCGATTTTGATCCTTAATATTCTTCTTTATTCTCAAATCAAAAATTTTGTACTCACAAACAAACGTACATAAAAGACTAAAACTTTGATGGGACAGCATTTTTAATAAAAAAAGATTGTGATGCCACGAAATGCAAAAGAAGGAATGCAACTAGGGGAATTCAATAATTTAGATTGAAATAATATTTTGAGGGATTTTTGTAGACTTACTCCATGAGCCTCTGTTTCGCTACTGCCTCACTTGATGGACGCTACAACAGAGACTCATAATGTAGCGTCCGTCAAGTGAGGCAGTAGCGAAACAGAGGCTCATGGAGTAAGTCTAGGATTATTGTACATTTATGTGAATGATTCTTAAGCAGTGAATACGTCTATACATCTCTTTGCACTTAGCTGATCCTTGATAGCTTTCGCTACTCGAGTTAATGTGCATAATTGGGCCTATTATGTATGGGACTGTGGAATAAAGCTGTGAAATTTAACCTTGACAGTGAGTGCCGTTCCCAGAGAATCCAGATTTGCAAGTGCACGTGTATGATCCTTCAGTATTAACGCAGATAGATGACTGAGGACAAACGTCGGTTCCATTTTGGCATTCATCAATATCAACGCAATGACCAGAATCATTTTTCGAAAAGCCATTTCTAGACGCACAGCATGACCCGGGAAAATCTGTACAGTCCACATAATTTTCTGAAACAAATAAACTCAGTGGTAGGCAATGAAATTAAAGGGCACAACAGATTTAAAGATAGAATCGGTTTAATTAGAGCTTTTTGCAACTTTGAAACAAATAAGGAAACAATAAGACGCAAAGTATTTTCTAAATGCGAACTTTCAGTTTGTGGTTAATTCTGGAGATACGCTCTGCATCCTAAGACGCTTTCTTATCAGGGTTTGGAACAAATTATGAGCAAATTAAAGATTAGTTAATTTTTCTCTCCAATCCCTTGTTATCAAAACATAATAAATTATTGCTGCATGATTTGCCGAAATTCTAACGAAGGAACTCCCTTTCGATAGAAGAAAGACTAAACAATTTGCAAAATCTGACTATAGTTTACGTTCACAGAGAGGTAACTATGGGCAAAACTACATTTTACGCGACAGTGTTCTACTTTTTCGATTTATTTGAAATGATATTTAATTATAGTTTAGTAAATAGAAATGGCTTTCCAGGACTCAGAGAGCAAATTAGCTCAAGACAGCGAAGTTTCGAAGAGCAGCTGCTGTGCGGTTTAAAACCACAATTCATGAAAATCATAAATCGACGAAAATCAACTTTGCTTTCAAGGTACTTTTTCGACGTAATTTGCAAAAAACGATGCATTGAAAATTTTTCAAAAAATGTACTCAGACTGGCCCGCCAAGTAAGAGGATGATAGCGCCCCAAGCCCAGAGCCGAGAGGGCCCTAAAAAAGCTAAAAACGTTCCTAACGTTAACAACAAAATTAAGAATCACAGTCTAATGACGTCATCTTAGGCCCTATCTTTCTTTTTTCATAGGCCCAAGGAAGTGTCTCGGAGTGTTTCTTGCATAGATTCTAGTGGGAGAAAATCAGGCTTTGAGATAAAATTCACAAATGTGTCTAACTTTAGGAGAGAACTCTATCGCCTAACCTTTGAAATAAATGTAAACTTCTCAAACAATAAAGCAAAATTTAAGAAATCAAAGATCTTGTCTATTTGGTACTAAGCCAACTTAATTTTTCAAATGCTTTTCTTTTGTTTGCTAAAGAATAGTTTATATATAAGTAAGGAGCCAGATGACCTTGTGTCTTTTCCTGCTTTGAATGGAACAGTTTAATGAAAATTTTGTGTTTTGAACTGTTTTGATGATGGCATAGAAAAAGCATTGAGGTATGAAAATAAAACCCTGAAGATGGACACATTGGATCAAATCAAGAAGAAAACGCCTGTCAAGGCGCATTGATTTTTAATGGATTGCCAACCGACCTTATGAATGAATCTTATGTTGCAAACTTCAAACGGAAGATAGATACTCAAAGTTTTGTATGAAAATCGTGTAGCAAACTTTTACGTTGTTAACAGTTTCTTTAAACAGGACCCTTATTGATAGCAGTATTTTACATGTACTGAAAAAGCCTTTTCCTGTATAAATTTTTTCGTGGTTTTACATAGTAAAGCTTCTTCCATCTTCAGAGTTCTCGCCACTCTCCTAACCATGCCCCTTGATTTCAGTTTCCCCTATACGGTTGATACAGCATAAACTATACCTCGTTTTTCAAGGCAAGATTATTCTATGTTGGTAAACACACACGGGAAATACCTTGATGCAGGCACACCAAATTAGCGCCTCCGGTGCGTCCTCAGAGCGTCCGCGAAGGGACGAGTACAGAAATGCTTCAAAGTAATGATTCGTTACCAGGCTATTGAAAAATGAATACTTGAGGGTTGCCCTCGTTCAGTGGCATCGTCAGGAGGTAATTAGCTCCCCCCCTAACTTTGCTGATAGACGTTCCACGTGTTTTTCTATAGATTGATATAGAAACTAGGTAAGGGTAGATCATATAATTGCCTAAGGAAAATCACCTGGTACAAAGCACTGAGACGAGGCATAAGAAGCGTGGTCTCACTGGCCACGCCCATTAACCTCTCACTATGCAGCAGCTGGAGCCAGAACTGCCCACGTTCCACAATAATTCGGTTTGGAATGAAATACTCGATATTACATATCTAAAGGACTTACTCTCACAAAATGTCCCATTCCCTGTATGTCCTGCAGCACAAATACAAAAATACGATCCATTTGTACTTGAACAAAAAGCATGGTCGTGGCATTTGTGTCCATTTGTTAGACATTCATCGACACATTGACTTCCATTCCAGAAGTATCCACCATCACAACTGCAAATGAACGACCCTATTGTATCCATGCATGTAGAATTTTCAGGACACTTGTTACTGAGACATTCGTCTATGTTATGGCAGCTCGAGCCATTACCAGTAAAACCAGGTTTGCAACTGCACAGCGACTGGTTATTGATGCCGAGACAGCTACCATTCATATGACACAAAGTGGTTTTGTTTTCTTCGGTGCCAAAACATAGCCCATCAGCTTTTCCAATTTCAATTGGCACTGCAAAGACGAAAAATTGTTTTATGTGCAAACTATGGTTGAATGCAAAAAATAGATGCAAAAAGTTTTACTTAGGTCATGGCAATGGATCATCAGAAATTAGAATTTCCCACATGGCATAATTTCATTTGGCTAATACTGGCCTACAGTATATTGATTATTACATATACTGCTTACGAAATTTTTAAATATATATAGAACAGTGGCCAAATGAAATTCCAGAAGATGCGTCATTCATCAATTTCGGGCTCAATCATGAATTTTTGCGTTGATTTTTAAAGACTCATTGCCAAAATGAGCCACTGCGCTACGCAAGCATCCCATAATACATTTTAAGAGAATCTGAAATCAATTTTGGTTAATCCATAAAAGTTTACTGCCATGGTTTGGATCGTCGCCTGGACAATTTGCGACGCTCGCAAAAGCTCATTGTTAGCAATTAGTCTTAAAAATGACTTTTTATTTTACTAGAACTTTGGATCACCGTTCACACACAAGATCAGATATGCTTTGAAGCACAGTTTTTTCATTACATTCTCCAAGATGAAAGCTGAATTGATAATATGATCTTGCTTTGTATGTCATTCACGCATGTTTAATCTTGAATATCCAAAAGTCAAGGCTGGTTAACAAACTTTTCAACGGTATTGAAACTTTGCAAGATAATCCCCGCGGAAACCTGAATGGTTAAAAATGTTTAATATAAACACAGTTCTTCAGTGTTTGATGAGCACAAATTGTGTATTAGAGGATAATAGTATCAAAAAGGGGATTCACAAAGGATGTTTCTATGGAAGATACTGTTTTTGCTCGGAGTAACTGACGTCAAAATGATTGAAAGAAAATCTGTCAAAAGATATGAAAAGGATGGCTGTATATTAAATACCTTGTGAATGGGCCAGCTTTTGGTTTTGTACAAAATATTCACTTTAATTCCGTAAAGTATTACATTTAGAATGCAAAAGGGGAATTATGTAGATTGATGTGTGGAAAGAGAAAAAAGGCGGACCATTCTCACATAATATAGAGCTCAATTGCATTGTCACTTACCGCCCAAGTAAAGAGCAACCAGAATAAAAACAACAGCCACCGCTTGCTTCTCCATCGCTTCCAGGTTTGCTGATGAGCTCAGCTTTCAAATTCTTTGCAATGCAATAAACAGGCTGATTAACGATCACATTATGTCGTTACATGTTTTTAAGGAAGCATTTAAGATAACCACATACGCCTACAGCGAATGAAACGAAATCATTATTGCCATCATTTAAGGCCAATATTCATAGAAATACGCCACATGGAGGTGATGCGGGAAAAGAACATCCTTATTCCCCGCAATTTCTGAGATTCTAAAGCCTCGCATTTTCAAGGTTTTCAAGGCCTGCGAAGTCTGTGAATCTAGAATGTTCTTTGGAAAACTAATCCTGTCTTACATACCAAATGGAATCGTTATAAAGGTTCGATGTCGACTATTAGAGGCAACAGAATCTCTCACAATTACGTACTTCAATATTGAGTTTAAAAAGAACGGAAATGGCCGCCCAACCGAAATCTACCAACGAACAAGGGTTTCCCATCAGAACGATCAACAGGAATTTTTCCTTTATCGATCCTCCCCCACAAAATTTTCGAGTATTTTAAGATTCTAAGTGCCAAGAAAATTTTAAATACATTTCCAGGTTTTCTGACTAATGAAGACTTTTAGAAGGCCAAACGACCCTCAATATCAATTATATGTCTTGCTCATGATAAAGTGACATTTAGCTCAATAGCTTTTGCAAGAAAAGTTACAGTTCTTTGAGGTATGGCCCCCATCCTGGCTACGATACAAGGCACCACGGAGCGTTGAGACAAGAGGGGGGTCTAAGAGAGTGGGGGGACTAAAACCGAATAACAAGAGGCTTTACTGGTGGTTCTTCTATTAATATTGTACATTTTTGGCTAAAGCCCCCCAGCCCCTCTGCTCCACGGTGCCTGGATACTGACAGTAGCAAATGGTGCACAAGGCTTTATATACACCAATTCGACTTACGACCTCGTTTTGGAAATTTCCCCAAACTTAATTATACGACTTTTTTAAGCTCAGAATTGGTTTTATCGTCATAATTTTAGGCGGGATGCCATTTTTCATATTGTTTGAGCGGGATTTGACCGCAAAAATCGTTCCGGGGGAATCTAGTCGCCAATCACGGTCAAATCCCTTATAAAGTTTTTATCTTTAGGTCGTCATAAAATCAATATCGTGAGCAATATCATAATGAAAACTTACAAGTAGACTAAAATCATTGCTGTCAATCCGAATCTGAGGTCAAAAATTTTGTACAAAAGAATTTGAAGAATTTTTCAAAATGAGGCCGTAAGTCGAATTGGCGTATTTCATGAGGTAAATGGACTTAGGATGAATATAAATCCCGAAGCAGACGTATTTTGGTAGATACTGTAAGACAAACTCGAGATATTTAGAAAGAATTGCTAAGCCCTGTATATGGAAGGCTTGATTTCACGGTTAAATAAACTAGCAGTAAGAATAGCCGGACAGGCATTATTTCAAGCAGTATGATCTAAGGAAAAACCAGCCAGGGCATGTTTGAACAAAAACAGACATGTTCAGATTCAACAATTTTTTAACTGGTCTTATTAGCAACTGTTCTTTTGTGCTTATATGCTGATTGCAACATAAACAATAGCCTATCTACACGACTAATGAGAATTAAGGTGTCCAACGAAATTCATCAGGACATATTACCTTCAAGAAACAATCATGTTAGCTGTAATATGTGTGGCTTGTGCACATATGTATTTCCTAAGTACGAGCTGAGCTGGTGAAAATAAGGTAATTAGAAAGGGCCGGGCCCCCAGCCCCAAATATCTCTTCAGCTTTTACAAACTGGGACCCAGCCACTGATCCCCTTCCATGCAGAGTCGCTGACCATAAAGGTGAAAATCTTCGTTGCAAATCGTTAGCTTTTTTTTCGATTATCACTGCATTGTTGTAGCAGGAGCTGAGCTTGTCATAAGTGTTAAACCGTAAACGATATGTAAGTTTCGAAATTTGATAAGAAATATGTCATAACGATGTGAACGCGGTTACATAAAAGGTTAATTCTCTGGCTGTAGGACTATTATAATGGGTTATATAGGTTCTCTCTTCTTCGGTCTTTCTTAAATTTACGGAACGCCAGCAAGATGTCTGAAAAAAGGTCACCATTTAAGCGTTTATAGTTTTAATACTTAATACTAAGACTTTAAAAGATATGAAACTGACTTGAATTTAATCGATAATCTTATTGCCTTTAAGCGGGCAGTATGATTGGCACCATGCCTTGCACCATGATTCTTGAACCTCGTAAATATATGAACAGAGGCACTAGGGTCTGTTCGAGGCACTAGGGCTAAAAAGAAGGTAATTTGCACTTTTGTATAGAACACTCAATGTTAAAAAATTTGTTAACACCAATTATGTAATGTAATATAATATAAAGGGTGGTGTCACACCCTTAACGTCCTCTAGAGCAATGGCCCTGCACACCAATAGCACAAGTTTTAGACTACCGTTAACCCGAAAATTAGCCCCCCTTAAGGCTTATTAACCTAGATTGACATACGGCGTTTTTAGACGGAGGCTAATTGGAGTGAAAGGGGGCTCTTTAGAAGGGGGAGTCAATTAGATGAATCACACTATTAATAAAATAATTACACTTAGAGATCCGGCTTATAATATTAGCTTTGCTTTAACATGACTTTAAAATTGAAAGGTAAGACAAACGATGCTTATAGGGGCTTATTGAGAAAAGGCCGCGGCAATAGAAAGAGAAACATTGATTCACCTCAAACATAGTTGAAATACGAGGAGCACACTTTACAATTTATTCGCTGATTAGTTGCCTTTAGTATTTATTTGGTTGATTTAGATAATATATAATGAAAACAACTGTATATATTTATATAATTGATTCAAAATGCCATCGCTGCTAGTAAATGCACCCAAATGATACTTCTGTCATGAAACACACACTAGAGTTAAAGAGTGACAGCAATTGCAGGCACTATAACAAATAGCAATGCAAATGACATATACGATTTTAAACTGGAAGGCAAGCTTTGAGAATATTGTTTACAATCAGGCACCTCAGAGCAGTGGAGCTGTGGGGGGGGGGGGGTTAGCTTTAGCACCAACATTTGGCCAAAAATCCAAAGAATTAAGCCAGTTAAGCCTCTTTTTATTTGGTTTTATCTCCTCTCCACATTTCTCAACGCTCTGCCGTGTAATCATTATAAAAGACAACTTGCAACTGTACTTAATACATTTGGATCAAATTTTGCCCCTTCAGTTTTTGCTCCTCTGAATAAAATCTTTTTGCCCGTGATAAGCTTGATGAAGATGTCAGAGCTAGCTCCACTAACCAGACCTCCATTGCCAAATTCAAAAGTACTTGGACCAAAGCTCATTTTCGGGCCTGCTTCCTTTCCTTTGCAATTACGAAAGTCGCAGTCCCTGAGATCTGCATGAGTGAAATCCACAGTACAGTTCACATTGAACTCGCAGCCATAAAATGTAGCTCCTGACAAGTCAGCATTTCTGAATGATACATCATGGTTAAATGTGGTATGCGAAAAAGAAATTCCAGTGAGTGATTTCCCTGTAAAATCTAGCTTATTCTTGGTCATGTTCTGCACAACAAACATTGCTCTATTACAGCCTGTTGATGATTCAGTTGAGGTCTGCCGTTGGCCTTTAAGGGCTGCATTTGCAACAGAAATACCTTGTGTAAGCAGTCGAGAGTTGGAAGCAGGATTCTTAGGAAGCTTTTCAGTCTTTACAACTGTAGAAAGTAACTCATTGATATCTTCCTGCGAGTAGTCATTTTTCCCCAAGGCTTCTTTAATCAAAATTTCATCGATAAAATCCACCAGGTCATCAAGTTGATAAAAATCTGCTTCCTGTTTTATTTCTCTTAATACATGCTTATCACTTGGCAAGTTATTAGTTTCACAGATTTGACCTCTAAGAAAGTTCAAAATATACCTAAAATACGTCCCATCTCGATCAATGAAATAAGTACCATCATCAGAGTCATTAAGCTGGTGTCTTCCAGAAAACATAGCAGATAACATTGAATTTTCAAACTTACACAGAGTACTGACTGAAGTTGAAAAGACATGGCCTCCAATATCAAGCTTAACTTTGCCCTTTTGAGCAACTCCAATATTGTATACAAATTTCTTCTCATCTTCCAATTTTTTCAACTTTTCTTCATAATAGTCTTTGAGGTCATTTCCTTTTTTCTCTATCTTTTCTAGATCTTTAGCATGCTCTGCTTGCAACTATAATAAAAGTTTTATAAAGCTGAAGTTCTATAATAATAGTATAAGTTTAAGTGGCTGTATCTAGGGTTAATTAATATTGTAAAAATCAGCCAAGGTTAATAGATCTATCAGTGATATTATAATTTACTTGACAAAGTGTAAATCTCTTAATCAGCTACAGTTGTTGAAGTAAACAGATAGCTTACCTGAAGGCCATTCCTTATTTTCACAAGGCAGAAACAGCACAGAGATAATTTACTGGTCCTTTTTTCAAATTTAGAATTTAGTTCATTTTTAATATAGTTTTCATGATCCTTATCAGTCTTTACTGAGAAATGACTTCGCAAACTATCCGACTATTTAAAAAATTAAAACTTTGAACATGTTTCAAGATGTTTTCTAGCAACATGCCAAGTCTTGGCAAAAGAAGCATTTGAGCAGAAAGCAACATATTAAAAAATAGTTTTGCATATACTTTTCTATGAAAGTATAAATAAGATTTAGCCTGTTTGTTTTCACAAATACTTTGAATCAATCAAATAGATTCATCAACATGATACTCAAAAGGCTTCTAAGAATGATGTTTTATTAACTGATAAAAACACTATTCAATAAAACATAAGGCTCATTTGTTTTACTGGCACTATATCCTGAAAAAGAATCCCTACTGCCATCAAAGAATGTGTATCCTTGGCCTACCTTCATTATAAAGTCATATCTGCTTGCAAAAAGCATTGACACCTGACCTTCAAAATTTTTCAATCTTTTTCAGTTCCTACTGACAGAAATCAGAGTTTTTTTTTGGTATCATTTATTTCAATATCTATGAAGCACTGAAGTATACTTGTGTATTAAGGGGGGCCTCCTTCCTCAGTCAGCTTTGTTACCTTTAAATGACTCCTCATACATACATACGCGACTAATAATTTCTGTTCCACATGTAGTTTTGATAATAATTGTTTGTTATTTTAATGTGTTGTGTTTTTATTTAGTATTCTGTGGAAATGTACATTGTAAGAATTAGAATATGATGCAGCTGAACCTGAGCCTTTTAAAGGTGAACTGACACGCACTAAACTATAAACTGTTTTTTTGATATAATGCAGAAAACGATGCAAGGAATCTTAATTTCAAGTTTTCACTTAATTATGATTGGCCGTTTTGGCACAATTACACTTTAAATGTCATGAAATTATTGTAGAGTGCTCAACCATTGTCTGCATTTCATGAGATCCATTGCATGTGACGTCACAAATGTAGCCTTTGATCCAAGATATGTGAAAATTTGAGGCTAATAAAATGTATGAAGGACGTGTGCTGGCTAGTACTGCGTTATGATAGGGGGGAATTCAAGTTTGGAAGGAATAGGCACTTTTAGCTGCTCGAAGAAATTATCAATTCTAAAGTCAATCATTTGGACGAATGTTAGAATATTGAAGTTAATCAGGGTCAAAGACAGAGGTACAACTTTTTGTTTGGGGGGGAGGGGCGTCTTCCGCAAAATCATAAATTTACGGCCTTCCAGACTGTCGTGCTGCTCAAGTGATTTAAACATGGTGTTTGTGACGTCAAGATCATGCGAAAGGCTCGAGCAAACTCAGAAAATTGTTTGGTGGCTAACTTTGACGCTCAACAACTCGAATACTGTGTTGAATATTAAGAAACTGTCTCCGGTATTTATGCTCGATATGCTTTCATTTGAGGTCAAGTTAATTTTGCGTGTCTGTTCACCAGCGAAATTTCGGAAATCGCTGTGTCACGCGTTCAGCAATAAGTTGACGCATCTGGCTTTTGTCCTTGAAAGTTAAATGTCATAATCTTGTACTTAGGCCTACTAAAAAACTTACTTGTTCTTTTAGCTGTGCAAGGTCCTTCCTTTCAGTTTCTAGCCATCTTTCTTTTTCGTCTAGATGTTGCTCTCTTGACGAAAGTCTTGCAAGGAGATCTTCGATCATTGACCTTGTTTTATCAGCCCAACCTTCTGGTGAATTTAAAACTCCTTGCTTTTCCCCAGTTTCTTCTTGTTCCATCGTGAAGCCAAGCTGTTTGGCAGAAATAATCCCTATCTCAATACATCTGCTCCTCAAAACGCCCAAATGAAAACGTAAGGCAGCTGGTTTTTATAAGCAGAAAACCCAAATCTAATAAATTTTATTTTCAGATGCGCGCCATTTTTGCCTCGTTATCGAAGTCTGACAAGCCTCGAATTTACACGACTGATGATGACGATCCAAGCAGGGTAACGGGTGGGTAAATGTCAAAAACATTAAATATATATTTGATGTTATTGAGGTTTTGAAATAGATATATATTAACATGTTAATTTCTTATCAGTGACTATTACAAAATTAACGCTGTAGGATAAGTGGAAAAAACTCATTAGAGCTATCTAGCCACTCGCCCCTGATTGACGTGAATTTGTGTAATATTAAAATGAAGTTGATTTAAAAGCTATATAAGGTCAAAAATAAAGATGTGTTATTTAATGTCATGTGACACATTCACATTTGTTCATAATTCGACGATGATAATCAAACATTGTCAAATTGAGTTGGTACAATGAGATATAAACAACAATGCAACTCATCTCATTAACATTACTTCAGAAACAAAATAGAGGCGAAAAGGGGCCTATCTTCGTAAAATATTATACTTCCTGCTTCTATGAGACTTTTACTCCAAATTCGGACATAACAACGCCGTTAGAACCAACATAACATCATCATTTGGTGATTGCGAAGAAAAGAGCGAGTTGTCTTTTGCTTGACATTGAACACTCTGTTATTAAGGTAATAGAGCTAAGTCTAGCACGTATTGGGGATAGATTTGAGTCAGAAGCTAGCAAAACCTACAGCATGTACAGTAGTTTATAGTCTGTCAGTGGCTAAAAGCTACTTTACCGATTTTACATCATGCGCTAGGTTGAATTTTCTGAATGAAGCCATCAGATTTAGCTTTGATATTTGTTGATATTTGGGCAATCGTGAAATTTCGCGTGGGCCTATAATGGATATTTCATGTGAAAAAAAGAAAATATTCATCGGAGATCATATTACGAAAATTCTTACTCCAGAATTTCGAAAATATTTATCGGAGATCATATTACGAAAATTTTTAATCCAGAATTTCATTTAATTGGAAAAGGTTCATAAATCTTTCGTTTGCTTTCAAAAGCCAATGGCCTGTAGTAGGATTTTATTGCTGCTTACATGTATATAATTATTATTACCTACGCATGCTCAATGTGCTGCTATGTAGATATAGAAGCTTGCTGATTAAGATTAAGAAGGGGAGTTGTGAGATGTTACAAGCTGATGGATAAGGAAAGTGAAATATGAAAAGACAGAGATTCTCTAAGTTTGAAATTGCTTGTTCAAATTGCTCTACCACAGGCCCACACAGAAATAGTAATCACACTATTTCTGTACTTGCACATGCACACTGCAAATAATATAAAAAGCCTTGTTATTGTAATTAGAGGGTTGTTGGGTTGTAATCTTATAAATTGTGTTTTTGTTATGATATGATGAAAATGACAAAATCGAGTTTCCTTTATTGAGAAACTTAATCAAACCTAAAGCTCTACAACATGGGGGAACACGGGGGGTGGGGCGATCACCACCTTGCCATCCGACCCAGACCGTGCATGCCTGTCAAAAAGTAGGATTGTCTGGCTTTTTGGCGACCCTAGTATCGGTTCTTCATGGGCCTGGTCCCCCACCACAGTGCCAAAGTCACATAACGGGTTTTGATGAAATGAAGTAAGACAAAAATGGCTTTCTACCCATCATACGCATAAAGAACATATATATGAAATGAAGCATATATTTCGTTGCATAATAAGTGCACTAAAATTAATCCCATAATCATTGAATTTTATCTAAATACTGCTAACGATTTTCTACAACAGTTTCTATGGAAATATATCAACATGATTAAAACATCAAAAATTACATTAAAAAGCTAAGTATAATAATCATCACATTTGCTTAAATATCAAACTATTAATAATATATTTCAGTCAATATTGCGATTCCCTTACAAATAAACCAATAAAAGTTGCATCAACAAAAGTAAAAGTGTCGAGGAAATAATCTGCAAAGAAAAACGACAGAGGCCTAACGATTTCTAGAATACATTCCAAAGATTGAAAAATCGCATATTGGATCAAAAGCAATAACAACGATAATCGATGCACTTTGTGCGATTAAAACTAGTATACCTTATTGACATCAAATCATAAAAATTCTAATATTACAACAATAACATATAACGCCTTCTTTATAGATTATACAGCGACATAAAGGAAAGGAAAACAACAAAATGTAATTGAAATTCATACTTAAATTCGAGTATGAAAGCAAAAAGATGGAATTTAAAAGTATAATTACGAATACATATTGTCTTCAACAGTGTTTTTAAGCCTAAAACAACAATCCTGTCGTTCAAAATCGGAAAACTTCAACTTTGAAAAACTATTTTCATCGCTATTGTGTTTAGCTGCAGTACCAAAAAGACAGCAGCCTCATAATAAGTTAATGCCCCTGTTGCGCAAGGGAGCTATGACAGCCTGGTGCTGTTCGATTCCCGAAGAAAAACTAGGAACGAAATTATAACGAAAATATGACGTCATCTAACGAAGCAGGTCGTCGTTATTCTACTGAAAAAGGGAAACAAATTCTACTGGGGTCGTGCAGTTGTTCAAAATGCCAAGCCAAAATGGTGGTTGAATTCTAATATAAGCACCTTTTTAGTTACACTGCAAAAAGAATGATTCGGCCTGAAATATCTAAGTGGCATTAAAATTATCTAGAATGGAAGAAGGCTAGAAAGCTTTCTTTAAACCCATGCAAACCTACGAAGTGGGGCTTTTTTTGCTAAACTGTCACTAATATGATACAGTGAATAATAAAGGATCTTGCTTTGTTCAAGCATGATTTTTAATTACGACTCTAACAAAAGGGATAAGAATACCTTTTCGAAACTACGAATCCCAAAATAGTTAAATATCTCGGTATTCAACTTTACGCAAAATGTCTGTGTGATAACGTTTTAACAAGAATTCAAACAAAATCAACTTGGAATCAACTAAAAACAAAATCCGAGTGATTCCTATTAAACCATTGAATAATAAAAGGGAAAATATGATCCCTTGCCGAGACAGCAGAATTGTTTTTAATAGCCAAAATATTACATCCGGTAAACTTCAGCGAAACACCATTAGGTCCACATAGGGAATGACAATGAGCATTTAATGGAACATCTCGATCAACAGATGTGCTCATTGTATGAAATGATGAATAGGGGAAGCAGAAATTCATTGGCTGATGAGCAGCTAAAACGAGTTTTGATTCCTTGAAAGATTGAGAAGGCGTTGTCAGTCTTAGTAACTCAAACAAAATAACTTAAACTCTTCAATATTCATCTTGCCTTTTTGAAGTTAACCTAAATCTGACAATGACGCATCTTTCAAAGACTTTACTTTAGATTGCTATTACTACTGTACGGCGATCTCTGTCATAACAAATAAATAATGAGTCATGATGCCATATTGGGGAGACTTTTAGCAAACCATAACGACTGACAAGGTTTCAATCACATAACGCCTTACCTTAAAGGCAATCTGTCTCGTTGTGGATTGGTTAACGAGAACAATAGCTGGAACAATAGCCTAAACACGATTCCAGCGCTCCGTCATATTTTTTACAATGCGATAAATTAAAGAGGGACTGGAAACAATAGAAATCCCTTTGTTCTTATAACCAATCAACGTCGTGACAGATTGCCTTTAAGCCTGAGACAGAATTTGAAAGTGATTTGAAATAGGGAGTGTAGAGTTGACATAAATCGGGAACCTTGCCAATAATTTAGAATTTGAGACAATAACTAAAAATTATTAGAACTTTTTTAAAATGAAAGTTTTGCCAAGTAAAAACTCGTTTTAGGTATCCCATGCAGTTCAAAACATCCTGAACAAAAATATGGCTGGTTGCAATTAATATCTGCATAGCTAGGAAAACCAGTCTGTATCAAAGTACCTTTCAAAATACTTGATAAAATCTTGCAAATCATTGGCCGTTCGATTCATCAAAGAAGTTCCACAATATATTCAAACACGAGAGATCTTTTATCAAAAACGTTTGCAAAAAGCACGTTCGACGATATCACTCGGATTTGAAAAGACTTTTCCGTCGATAAGCAAAAAAAAAAGAAAAAAGAAAATGGTTCCAAGGAACGAAGAGATTGGCCCCTGAAAAGAGGGAAAATCGTTCACCTCTTATATGATATCAACTTTGGCCGAAGAATCATCTGAGGGTGGGGGTGTCACTGTCACTTCTGGTTCAGGGACATCTTCCGTCTCTGGTGCAACGGTGATTTTATGAGAAGGGGGATCCTCGTTGCTCTTGGCTTCTTCCTCTGCTTCAGCGGGTTTATCGAAGGGCGTCAAGGGGCCTATTTCCTCCAGTGTTGCGTATTCAGTTTTAACGGGCTGTTCTTTAGTTTTACCGTTATCCTTTGGCGAGAACGTACTCAGCTCTGCGTATGTCCCTTCGGCCTGTCAGAAAAAGATATTATGCAATTCAGTTAGTGGGTTAGAAATCACGAAGCGTTAGAGAAATGGGAGTTGTTATAATGAAGTAGAGGGATTCCACAACCATATTTTCAAAATCAGAAAATCTTCCTTTACGGATTCAAAATTCAATTCGCCTATTCTTTTTGCCAAATGTTCATATTTTACTACACATTTCAAAATTTTTCATCTCCACTTTTGCGGATCACAAAAACAAGGTTTGCTTCACTTGAACATGTTTCCCAAATTGCAAGAGAAATTCAGGTTTCCAGGATTACATAAGACTTAATTCCAAAGCAAAGTATGATGTTTTTCAATGTTTTAACACTTTACATCTGGTTTGTTGTTTATACCTTTCCAAAGACCTATCGAACATTAAGAAACTCCCACATGTGACAAAGCTTTAACAACAGGCTACAAAAGACTGACCAAACACTGCAGGAAGGCCAAACATAAAACTTGGAAAACGAAAGATATAAATACAAATGATATTTAGCAAAATCAAAAAAGTTATATTTCTAAAATAAATAAATCATCTACTTATTGCTCAAATTACAGTACACAAATATCATCATCCATATAAATTATGATTTAAGCATTGATGGGTAATAAATAAAAAACATTCAACTTAGTCAAAGCCAAGTCCTTCTATCTAATATACTGGACAAATTGCGACATACAAACATCACCATGCTTACTGTAATCTTTACTGGTGATGCTTACTTGAACGAACAATCAGAAAACAGCGTAGCTACCTAAACTAATTCTTAAAAGGAACAAATACTAAATGGCCCGGGCCTCCGACGAAGTGGGGCCGGGGTCCAACTTTTTTTGCAAAACAATAGCGCTTTTTCAAAATCATTTGTTATGGGTGATAAATACTCAATGGTGTGTGGAATTGCAAGAGTTGTATGATAGCGAAAATTATTCTTATCCAACCTTTTCGATTTACCCTAATATCTATGTTGAATCTCAAAACTTAATATCAAATTTTTGAACAGCCAGGCCGAGAAACCCCACCGACGCTCGGCTTCCAGTAAAAAATCAAATAAATAACAATTTCAAACAAACGAAACAATTATTGAAAAATCTAAGGCTTTTGCTGCCATTGTTGAAGAATTTTTTGTCAGTAAGGAAATTAGGTTTTTTAAGGTTTATGCGAATAATTTTAACAGGCACAGATTTGTGGGGTTATTTTCCGGTGACTAATTAGAGGGGAGGATATTCAGTGAGGGGAGAATATTCAATTCCATATTTTAAAAACTTCAACCCCTTGCTTCATTTGACCACAAGACCCTTTATAGCTGGGTTTGAAGGCAAAATTAGCAGACGTCAAACAAAAAAGTTGTGGTGGCATATTATTTGCTTAAGAATGAGTCTTCACATAAGTATATCAATATAGGTGCCTTAAACTGCCATACTTTGTCGCTTATGTAATTTGTAGCAACAGCAAATACAGTTGTTTGCATAATCAACTGTTTGATCCACACCATCCAATCACACAACGCATCATCCAATCCCTTCTTTTGATTCATAGAGACAGTGCCAGCCCATTACTTTTACAATCCCCTCTAACTAGCCACCGAAGTGTAAGCCTTGGTAAAAAATCCAATAGCCGGCAGCTGTGCAGGAGCACCAGATTAACAAGGCCTTATAGCATGCAGGATTGCCTTAGTCAGCATTAGGGTTAAAGTATACGGGCTGCTTCCAGGAAGACAGTAAAGGTGCTTAACATTAGGTATACGGGACGCACAGATAGGGTCAATAAATACCTTGATAAAAGGTAAGCAAACTGAAGTTAAACGAGTTCTGCAGAAACACCCAAAAAACGCTAGGACCTGTGCCTTACATAAACTTGCAATAACAAAAGCCACGTAAAACCCTAACAGGCATCGTTACACCAGGGGTCGAATTTGCAGTTAAGATGCAGCCCAATCAACTGCTCGGATCAAACACGTGATATAACAGAGAAAGAATCATCGTAAGAAGAGGACATGGGGGATGCTTCTATACTGGATGCATAATTGTAGACTACAAAACCATCAATCTCTGTTATAATGTCGTTATTTACCTTTTTATTTGCAGCTGGCGATTGCTTTGGCGTCGCATTATTGTTTGGAACGACTGGGTCGTAGGCTCCGTCTGAGTCAGCGACGAATTTAGGGTTATCTACCGCTCCATCTATTTGGTCAGACTTCGTCTTTTTACTGACAGAAGCATACAGTGAACCATCTGGTGCCCTGTAATGCGATTTACCGTCACCATTGACCCCGGTAAGAGGGATATCACTTTTTGCCGTGTCGCCCCTGTATCCGCTACAAAGAAGACAATAAATAAGTTGAACCAAAGCCTGATTAGACAGCACAGTGCTCAAAATTATTCACAGTACCCATTGGCCAAGACCGCGGAGCACATTATAGACTAAAGGGACTAAAACGTCTTTGGGGGGGGGGGGGTTAAACATGCTAGAAACCAAGATCAGGGCGATTTTGGTACGATTTTAAGTACATTTTGGAAAATATTGGGGGGGTGGCTAAAGCCCCCGTGGCACCCCGCTTCCGCGGTCCCTGCCAAATTGACATTATCAACAGCTTTCTTCCAATAAGGTGCTGGGAGCACAATGACCTGTGGTGTTCAAGAGACTAAAAGGATTTGTACTGGTTCAACGGATACTTGTTCATGAGACTGAATTACTCTTATCAAAGTAAAGGTTTTGAAAAGATCCTTATTCAGATAATCACGTCTAGAAAGTGTCTAGAAACACAGGCCAATCATTCTACGTCTGCACTAAATATAATTTCACGAGAAAACCTAATATGTTACAACAATAAAATATATCACAACATAAAAACCTCAATAAATGATTGAATTCAGCCAGTCGAGCAATCCAAAGTAACTTCCTTAAAGAATTAACTACTTAATTTCGATAAAATAATTTCATGATTAATCTATCTTATAGACTCTTTTAACAGTAAAAAAAGGCTTCAGATTTGGAAAAGTACTAGCACATCCTCTTCAATATTAAAAACTATTGAAAATTTACTTTAGCGAAATAGAACTTACTTTGAGCTGTACTCGGCTAAAAATCAAGAAAAAGGAAATTAATCTTTGAAACAGAAACGAAGAATCATTTTAAGTATTTTCATAACTTTCTCGTTCATAGAAAATGCAACACGAGAAGCTAGGCCTAAAACAAGCCGAATGATATGTATCGATAGAATACACATAAAATACACACAGAAAAGATGAATATTGAGTGTCACTTGTAATTTACACGAGAAACGAAAGTCATTTCTAGTTCAAAATCTACTTGGATCACTATGACTTTGTTAAAAGTAGAAAAATGGAACGTATGTGAAAGTGAAAATTGAATTGATTGCAGTCAACTTTTGGCTCAGTTTGGATTCATTTCAAACTGATCCTTGTGTTGTTCAATCGTTTAACCTTCTTTTCGTTGCTCAAAATAAAATCGCGGATTTGTTACGACATACCCCCAAGGAATATTTCTGAAAAATTCAGTCATGTATCTGTAAAACAACTGAATTGTGGTTGACACACAGCTTAGGAATATTGAGGGCTTTTTCGAGAATGAGCTTGACCCCCATGCAGGGTCTAATAACGAAAACGATACAGAATCAAACTTCAGAAAGCGCAGAACACAGAAGATTTTTTATCTACATCCCTCTGGTTTTCGCTGCGACGATGCTGTCTCATTTCGTCTTGATATCTTCTATTCCTGGTCTAGAAAAATGACAGTCGCATGGTTGTCGTCAACATTTAGCCCTACACTCTCAGGATCAAAACAGTGCGGTTGACCTCTCTAGCGACTGCGGGACATAAGATATCTGGGTCAATTACATGCGACATTCATGTTAAAAAGAGCTAACTGCCGTTGGAAACTGTAGGAACCTACTTGGGCACCTACACAGGAATGGTCCCCTGCCCCTTTGATGTGGACGTCCGTGGAAATGGTTTACGGTCCATGGATCGCATGGGGTTCATCCCCCCCACTTCCCGCAATCTCAGTCACAGAATCACTTGCTTGTCCAGATGATGAACAGATCAAACTTCCATCAAAGGAAATCAGATAACGAATTTACAAAGTGGCTAGTTTTGGAACCACATGAATTCATGACTACGTCATACCTTTGATTGAGACTGGCAGAGTTGCCTTTTTGAAATCATTTTAAACATCATTTCAGTTATTATTACTGCTGTTATTAATCATTGCGGACTGAAAGGTTTTGAGCACAGAATAGGAATTAGGCACAATGGTAACTCTCGTCAGTACCTTTATTTCACCTTTAACTTTGCTCTTATGTGAGAAACTTTGCTTTGGGTTACCCCTTTGCCTGATTACTATTCTGTGATGTCTAGTCTCGTTTTAGTTTTGGCGAAATTAGGTCTTTCTTCGAAAAGGATTTGGTCTGGTGGTTTAAAAGTGACCTACCAACCAATGGCGAAAGTATGGGTAGCCGAATGCCCTAAAGAACCATTCTGCCAGAAATGTCTGCATTTTATAAGATGAGTGACAAATTATGTTAATATTAATTTGGGGGTTGGATCACGGATTTGAATTCAGTTTCTTTGTGCCACACAAATGTTGTCAGAAACACACACGTTGCTAGACGTTACTGAAATAAACATGAACCCCTAAACGGGACAAAGCTTTCTGTCGGAATTGTGCCACGATGCCCCAAACGAGCCCGCATAGAGATTGCGGACGAAATAATATTATGAAAAGAATGTACATTGGAAAGCCTGATTCACAAAACAATGCTGTTTTCCAGTGATGTTGCAGGTTTATCTGAAAGTTGTTTCAGTTTCTTTGTCAACATTGTAAGTAATTGGATCATGTTACGAAGGGAGAGTATAGAGGATCAGAAGCCTCAGCAAATTATGCAAACTGCGTATTTCGTCTTGTTTGAACAAGTGCTGTGCAAGGTTCTTATCAAATGAAACTCCTTGATTTTCTACCGCAGCAAATCAATATTGACAATACTACAGGTAAACCATAGTGAAAGGACGCCATGAATCAAATAATAAGAATCAAAGGGGGTTTTCAAAGGTTTAAATGATTCCTATGACAACTGGTTGCAAGCCATCAAATATTGAATTTCTGAGACCAAAGAGTTCTAAATTAACAGGTAGTGGATTCATGACTTCGACAGTCCTTTATCAGACGGGAAATATTCTTCACAGCCATCAACAAAATCTTATTAACATCAGTTGAAATGCAACCTTTAAATGCTAACGTTGTCTGGTTTCAATTTATTTGATTGCGCTTTAATCCAACCTATGTTGATTCTTTAGGCTGAAACAGGACAACTGTCGCCCGAAAAACTAAAAAATACTGTGGATGACAAAAACCACGCTGTCTATTTGCATATCATGTTAGCCTACTGCCTTATGTTTCTTTCAGGGGGGCAAGTTGAAACTGAGATCATTGGTTGTCTAAAGAGCATACGCCAGAAAGACGTTCTAACGAGAAATTCCTTTATGCAAATGAGTGGCGGACAGGGAGTGATCTTTCAATCGTGTACTTAAGTTTGGAAATATTATGCATTCATCCACGGTAACACAGTTTGAATACAAACAGCTATCTGTCCACATGGAATAGTAATATGGAATCGTATGACGATTTGGCAAAGCCAAGCAATGGGTCAGCTTGTGTGAAATTTTTAATAGGATTTGCGAACTTTTGATAAGACAGAAATCCCGAAAAAACAGTCTTTTCAGAATGGAAGGTGCTCCTAGTCATCTGCATGGTTATTCCCAAAAGATTGTTGCAAATCTTAAGAAAAATCAACCATTCAATCTATTTCATCAAACTATGAAGCAACTTTTTTCATCGTAACTTTCAAAACACGAGCTTTGCGAGAAAGGTGCAACAAGTATTAAACGAGGCCCAGTGACCTGAGGGCTTGCCAGGATATGTGCATGGGTTGGCAGCATAGGAAGGCTACTATCTAAACATAATTCATTATTAACCGCGTCTCTCCTATCAAAACAGATCTTCTTGCCAATGAGAACAAAAAATCCTTATTCAAATTTTGCAGGAGCAGCTAAAGAGGTCTAATAGACAGGTTTAGAAGTAAGTGCTACTCTGCTCACAGGCCATCAAATAGCAAGGCATCGTAAGAGTTAGGGGATGATATGGAAAAATGAAGGCAAATAGACACACAATGTAACTGAGCTTCAAAAAAACAAGATCTAAAAACCTGGAGACCAACAAAAAGCAAAGCAAAACTCTTGACGAGGCCATGATCACATAGAGAAATTGTCCGTACGGCAACATCAGAAGGCAAGGGGTCCAGGTCTCATTAACCTACCACTTCTGTCAGAATGAAGTTATCTCATCAAAGAGATGTTTCAAAGACCCCCACAATTACTGCTACGTATTTGTTAATTGAAAAAAGCTACAAAAGAAACCTTTCCTACACACTAGGTTACTGGAAATACGGTTACGCAAAGGGGAAATCGTAAACATAATTTTCGTTCTTATTATTTTCATACATGCTAGCTTTCGATGCATATGCATTTATTTAAAGGAACGCATTTATGAGATCTAGTGTAAATTTTTAACCTTAATGACAAACGGAGAAATCCATATGTGAAGATAATAGAAAACAAAAATTGAGAAATAAATTTCTTTTTCGGTTTAAAATAAAGTGGGGCAGACTATCATACAGACAGAGGACAAACTATAATGGTTGTTTAGAAAAATGTGCTTTTAGTGCAAAAGAATATTGTAAACTTCTACTAGTAAAAGAATATTGACAGTAGTAAAATAGTAGAGATTGAAAATATAGAAAAAAAATAAATGTTAATCAACAATTGCAAAAAACAAAGTTTAGAAAACAGAAAAAAATTATTAAATATGTTGTGCAAGCGCGCATCATCATGTCCTGACATCACGTATAGCAGCTTTAAACCAGAATGACGTCACACAAACAAACAACTCAGCCAGAGAACAGATAACTTACTGAACCAAGCAAACGAACAGACAAATGAACAACATTAAAGCCGCAGAATAAGTTACAGAAATAAGAATGAGAACCAGAAACAAATGTTTGGCAACCAATAACATAAACTGCAAAAATCAAAATCTACAAAAATCTAGGTATGAGAGCCATTGGGTTCTGCAAAATATCACGGTGTACGTTCGAAAAAGCTCTCAAAGAACAATAAAATGAAAATTTGTTTATATTATTGAAGGTGGTTCTTGAAAACACAGATGTCCAAGAAACTCAAAACAGGAGTTATTCATGCTTTGACAAACTCTTGCAAAAAACATTTCACCGCTACGAATTACATTGTCCAAGGAAAAACAGACAAAAACGCTGTTGAGAATTGTTGCAGCGGAGAAAGATGGGGAAACGAGAGAATTTGCTGTTTATCAAAAGCTATGATTTAAGCCTGCTATTTGGTAGTTCAGCTATACAACAAATGCAACTTGCATGAATAAAGACTGTTGAACAAGCTTGAGAATTGCCATTTGTCGTAAAAACAAATGGGAACACAGTCTTTTTTGCCTTTAACGAATAATAAAAAACATAGAGTAAAGCTAGTAAAAAATTGAGCATAATAAATGTAATTTTCAATTTAAAAGAAGATTTTATCTTTAACTTGGTGCAAAAATGACATCCTGATTTCAATTGAACTTCACTCGTTTCTCCAGCCCTCTCTAATCACACGCCGATTCATGTTATACCCTGCTTTATTTGTTTGGGGGACACATTCGAAACAGTTCTTACAATTAAGTAAATCTGCAAGCCATTCTTTGAAGCCTTATGATATTCGAAACCAGAGGCTTTCATACACTGGACCTTTGCAGGGTACAAAATGATAATGATGCTTGATCTTACAATTTGTTCGTTGAACTTTAGGCATACTACATCTGCCAATGGAACCATCGGTCATCACGGCGACGATCCTGAACTCATACAGAGTGCCTGGTTTTAGGCCATCTATGTCCTCCTCAAATGATCCAGCTGAGCCTTTCACGCTCTTCACATCCTCAGGACCTTTTACCTTCTTCCAATATATATCGTAATGATTTATTTCATACAAGTTGACATGTTTTGGTGCACACCATTTTACTAGCATTTTATTATTCCCATTTGGCTGAAGTGAGAAGTGCAGTGGCTCGCTCGGTATTACTAAGGTTATGAGAGATTTACAAATTAGACGTTTGAACTTTATGTTACAGATAAATTGGGGACTTAAGATTACTCACATGGTTAAGTATTTTTTCAGCTAACTGCAATGTTATGTAATCAAAGTAATTATTGGTTGGTAAAGTAAAGCAGTTAAGACTCTTAAGATTTTATTGAGATCATTTTAAGATATTGACCTGAGATATCGTGCATTGATAATCTTATAATTTGAATTTAAAAACAGAGAAAATCTCTTAAATTCACTGCACCTCCCTGGGCTATAAAAATTATCAATTACGGTAAGCAATATTTTGGTAATAAAAAGAAATATGCAAAAAGCAAACAGTAAATGGGAGGAACGACAATCGTTTATCGACAAAGTCTCAAATATCAATCAACGAGAGGCAATGTTGGGATAATTTGTCATAAAAGCAGAAGATAATCCTTATGAGAGGGAAAGGTTTCAAGCATGAAAGCTGTGCCATCGATTGTTCGATTCGGGATATCGAACATGTGCAAAATAATTGGCGTGAGACGGCAGGATAGTGAAACACGTGAGACGGCGGGGGCGATCTAGATACGCTGAAGACAAGTATCTATAAAGGTCGCCATTAATCTGACAGTAATGCTAGGTAGATGATAAAAACTGTAATTGAGAACATGCAAGATACCCAATATCCTTTGTAAGAAATCAGCAAAAAACCACCTGTAGATTTTGGTTTAGGAATTCGGTTTCACACACGAATGACTATTGTTTGAGCAACAAAATTTGAGAAGACATTTGGACCGAATATCCCGCAAGTAGGCCACTGAGCTTACACAAGAATTTGCCTTTTCCTCGAGCCATTCTAGGCGGTGACGCACGTGTCTGACGAAAGCATGTACAAGAAACAAATTTTTTTTACAAAGATCGAGCCGTAAAGATTTCGATGATGGACAAAGGCAATGCAGATGATCTTGAATAAGTACTTTGTTGACAATGTGATACACAAAGTAGTAACATGGAACCTGTGCAACCTTTGAAACAATCACCAATGGTCGCATTTATGCTTTGAAAGATCATCGAGAACAGCAATGTGGTTCAAATAAGACTTTTCTTTACGATATGAATTGAGGCAAAACTTCTCTAGGTTTCAACTGTTTCGTTTGCCATATTTAGAGGCTTGTTACGAATGTTTTGAAATGGTTGCAAAGTATCCTGCAATTGTGAAATTCTGTTTATAAACTGCTGCTGTTTGAGCTTACACACAGTGCCAGCTTATATAGATGAGACGCTTACGTGAGAGTTTTGCTACATGAATTCAGCTTTACAGAACTGTTGGTCTTAGATCAGCAAACATAATTATCTGAGTGTCAGTTTGATAACAAGATATTAAACGCAATGAAAAAATTTAAGACAAAAAGAACGGCAGAAGTGAAAGAAAGCTGGGATGGAGGGGAGAGGGGGCATTTCAGGGTCTAGCTTTATGGTTTCAATTACTACTGAATTGTTGAGCTGTAGACAATCAAAGTCGAAGATATTGTGGAACTCAAATGCAAATCTACAATATATCACAGTAATATGAAGAACTGATATCAGCGAAGAGAAAACGACTATGCTAGCTGAGGCCTGGAAAATGTTGATTAGCAACACCGACGTGCAATCATCTTCCCAGCTTTACAGGCTGTAAAAACAAGCTAATACAGTACTATGATGCACACCGTGGCAACTACGGGTGCATTGCTGTCTCATTCGAAAATACTTTGTCGCGAGGAGAATACACTCATTTTTTTTATAAGAAACAAAGGTCGATGTTCAGTTTCTTAATGTTAGGGAAATTTCAATACTCATTGTTTCTTAAGAGCTTCTTTATTATGATGTCATAATTATGTTATTAAATGTTCGTGACCTTTTTATCACGTCAAAAGATTCGCTGCCGTTCTGATGCTGTATTTAGACGTGAGAAGTATATTCTTATCCCTTGTGTCTTAAGTTCTAGGCCAACAGGGCAATCATGTTCTTTGATTGTACAAAATTTCGTTGTTCTCAGTTTTATCACGATTTAATAGTTTCTTAATTTTTTTGCTTCGAGTAAGTTTCTTAATTTTTTCTGACTATCCAGTACTTGACTGTCCTGTCCAGTATTAGTTTCTTATAGCCAGTTTCTTATAAAAAAATGAGTGTAACCAACGGTACTTCCAGAACGGAATGGCGACGATCTAACCTGAAAACGAAATGATGATGAGAAAGACATATTTTTTGCAAATGGAAGGAAAAGGCTCTGCAGTATAATAAACAATGGAGTGATAAATAAAAATCAGACCTGTTGAAGCACTTCTTCGTCGCTTGCTGAAGGCCACACAAACAACAATGACGATAACCAGAAACAGAACACCGCCAATGATTCCACCAACAAGTCCAGCATTTGATTCACCAGTCGATCCTGAAGTCGTACCTTCAATACAAATGTGAAAAGGAATTATTTTCAAGATTAAGACCATTTCTAGTAAGCACCGTGTTACATTAGGTGAGGATTCTGTTAAGCGATCAATAGTTAGTCTTGCTAGATCTAAATAGTCTGGTTGAAGCAGATAGTCTGGTTGAAGTAGGCTTACATCTCTGGAGAATGCATAGCATGGTCTTTGAATTGTAAAGACAAAACATGAAAATAAAACGAGAAATTTGCAAGACGAAACGATACAACGCTTATTCATGTGCCTGTTATTCTATTACTGAAGGCTGGGAGTGCCAACTATAAAAAGAGAGCTTTCCCATTCTAACGAACAATCTAATTAAATAGGAAATTGTTTCTGACTTTTTACATTACCTCAGAAAAATGCTAAAAGAGCTTGCTATTAAAGAAAATAAATTAAAGAATAAAGGAAAATCACAATGTCGATGGCTTCTAGGAGCTTCTAGTAGGCTGAAACCCTAAAAATTTGCCCAGGGCGGTTCAAGCACTGAAATCGCTGCGATTTGCAGGATTTAGAAAACAAGGCCAGAAAAACTACAGTCAGCAAATTTTACACAGCAAGATAAGATAATTGAGTTTCATTATTTAAGTTAAAATCAAAACCTGTTCTCTGTGATGATTGAAGCCCAGCATGCTCTCTATCATTTCCATCCACAATAAAAACTTGCACTTCATATTCTGTGTTGCTTTCCAGTTTGTCAATAGTAGCTTTGGTGTCGCTACTTTGTACATCTTTTGTTTTCCATGTCGATTCGCCTGTCTTCTTATACTTAATCCTGATTGCCTTTATGCCACTAGCTCCTGTGCACACGGGCAAACGCCATGTCACTTCAATGCTGCTATCAGAACCTTGTTTTAGTTTAACATCTGTGAGAGCATCAGGAGCATCTAAAATATAGCAAGTCAATTTATTTTATTTAACCATTTCTCAATGCGTTTTAGCAACGTGCTAATAGAAATAGAATCTCTTGACGATACCAAACAATCGATTGAACAAAATTGGAACCCATTTAAGTCACAGATTCTCTTCCCTAAACACCAAGATCATGCTTTAGAATAAACTTTCAACTAAATGCGTTTTGTTTATAATCAAGGCCTCAAAAGTGAAAGGACTCGAGTGACATAAAACAATTTAATTTTAGCTCTAAATCTTTCGTGACTTTTTGCCTCAACAAAATATTTTTTATTTCGTCTCTGTATATTGCATCGATGTTTCATTTAAACACTTCTAAAATTTTTGGATTGTGCATCACTCCTGTGATGAGTATTTTTTGCCATAACAAAAAAGATTGACCATTCTCGAAACATGATTTTATTCGAATACATAAAGTTTTGATGATATTGTTAGTTAATAAACCTTAGAAGTTAGAATAATCTAACAGTTGATTTGATAAGAATACCTTTTTTAACCAAGGTTCTAGTTATGTTCACTTCCTTGACGGTATTGTTTGCCAAGCATGTGTATACTCCGAAGGTACTGTCTGCCAAGTCAGTTATTATATGAATAACTTGTCCCTGTCCTCTTGCCTTCTCAGTATTTGAAAACATTACTCTAACGGTTGGTACAGGAAAGCCATCTGCAACGCATCTAACGATTCCTGTCCGTGGTCTACAGGTAGTTAGGCTAGAGCTGTTGCTCGTGAATTCAGGTCCATCTGCAAAAAGGCATGATCTTCTTATTAACCAATTTTTAATGGAAATAGTTACAAGATTCAGAAATGTTCATAGCATCATTAACACTTTAACAACAGGCTCTTTCGAAAGCGTTTTCTGATTTATTATTCAGCCAGGCGTTGCAGAGAAAAATTTAGAACTTGCAAGTCATTAATACTGTAAAACATTCCTCAAAGCATGTCCGCAAGAAAACAACGTTTCTTTCTATACTGCACGTCCAAGGCAGCAGCGATGTCTGATTATTCACAGGGAATTATCAAAACATTTCGCAGTAGTAAAGCGACCTGTAGTTGCGACTCAATAAAAGAATTTGGTTTACTTACAATAGACAGTGAGAGCAGCAGTCTTCGAAGCGGTCGATCCAACACCGTTTGAAGCTTCACATGTGTATGTTCCATTTTGCTCCCTCCTGACAGGCGACATAACAAGCACTCCATTGGTGCTACTTAAAACATTATTTGCTGGCCCTCTCCAGGTAATTGTAGGCGAGGGGTTGGCTGCTGTCACAGAACAAGTTAAGGAGGCACGTTGACCTTCATTGACATTCAGAGTGGATGGAACATTTATCTGCGGGCTCACTGAACAGAGAAAAAGACAGCGATTTAGTCAGGAGTGGACACCTCTCTCTTTACAATCATTTACATTTAATAAATAACGATCAATGTAAGTAAATTGTACCAGGAAAATTTTTTAAAATAATTAACGACGTTTCGAGCATAGCCCGTTATCAAGTGACGGGCTATGCTCGGAACGTCGTTAATTATTTTAAAAAATTTTCCTGGTACAATTTACTTACATTGATCGTTATTTATACATCATATTGGACCGCACGCATTTTAGTATATTTATGGATTCACATTTAATAGTCTACAACAATCTTCTATTAAGGACTAGTACAAATATCTAAATTTATCAAAACCTATGGTCTGATAAACTAAAGGGCTTTACTTGTGAATAGAGAATAATCGATCAGAGAAGAAGTGTACTTGAGTCGAAAATGGATGTGGTAGAGGTGTATGCTAAAAAAATTTAAGAACAAAAGTTACATAACACCTTATTTCTTATCCTAAAAATCAAGGTGTTAGGATGTGAAGTAACAAAAGTTAAAAAAGTGCAAGAAAATGGGTCTTTTTGCAAACAAAACTAATGACTGCTTAATATTTTTGAAAATAAGAACCAACCATTTCCGCAAGAAAGTGAACGTAATCAACACAGGTAGTCATAAATTAAACATAAAACAACTTAAAATGGTCTGTTTTTAGTTTTGTGCATGCATATCAGAATAACACAAAAGCGGTAGTGTTTTGAAGTTGGTTCCATACCTTGAATATCGACAGTTTCATTCCTGCTAGGGCCATCTCCAAAGGAATTGTATGGGATGCATTTTACAGTTGCTTTATACCCAATGTATTCTGCATAATTGATGTTTGTGATTTCGTACACGGCCGAAGTGGAGTCCCGAAGAAGGATCTCCGTCGATCCAGTTACTTTGTAGAACCTGTATTTCGCTGGCGGACCGGCACGTGAAGAACACGTGAATGTAACAGATGAACCATTTACTGGTTTAAGACTTGATACTGATATACTGACATTGTCTGGTCGGTCTAGAGACAGCAAAAAATGCTTACTAGCTAACAACATAAAACAACAGCACTCCAAAGTTTTAATCCATTCCAATCTCATTTCATATTGAAGCGATTTTTGAATCGAAAACTAGTTTGAAAGGGCTGCGCTAATAGAAACATAAATATGAGGGCTATGACGAACAATATCACGTGTTACATTCCAAAAAGACAGATCAAGTGTGTTAAAAATCAACATTTCTACGATTAGAGTAGTTCATATTTGAACAGAACGAATATGAAAAATTAGATTTCTGAATTTGATGATACGTACGGTTTACAGTGAGGATTGCTGTCCGCGTCACAGGTGAACCAACAACTCCATTGGAAGCAATGCAAGAATATGTTCCACCGTGTTCACGAGTGATCAAATCAAGTTGTACCAAACCATCTGTGTGACTCAAATTTTGTCCCTTTGGGTTCTGTATAGTGATTGATGGTGCTGGGTTGGCAGCAGTAACAGTGCACTGCATTGTTGCATTGTGAGTTTCGTTGACTGTGCTCGGGTTTATTGAAAATGAGATGACAGGAGGGACTGGAAAAGAAAACAAAGGTCAATTAGGGGTTGCTGTTTCTAGCACGCCTAAAATTCAAACAAGAAGGCAAACGATGCAAATACTATATATGTCGAAATAGAAAATAACTACCTTGGATATCAAGGACGATTTCTTGACGAGGGGCTTCACCATACGAGTTATATGCTATGCATCCATAAGTAGCAGTGTAATTTGTAAAATCCACGTAATTCAATGAACCTATAACAAAGTTGGCACTAGCACCGTCTTGTAACACAGAACCATTGCCTGATAAGAATCGGAAGTGCGCTGCCGGGGTGGCGCGTGCAGAGCAAGTCAAAGTGACTGCTGAACCAGTGACAGGCTTGGTTGCTGTTGCTGTAATCCTGGGTTGATCTGGAGCATCTGTTTGAAAGGTCATGAAAATAAATATATAAATTCATAGTAATAAATACATTCCTCCTAATTATCGAAATAAGATTAAGGAACGTAGAGAAACTAATAATATTTCGCTGAAGTCAATTGTCACAAGGACAGAGCTCTATATCATAGCCTTATGTGAAATACATATCTTATTTTTCTACAAAGTTAGATAAGATTTGTCAACACTTTGATTAAATAATATAATTTCCAAAAGGTCCTTTCACCAGTGTGACATTAAATGACTAAAGCTAAATTTCCTTTGCTTATGCTAATTTCAAATTTGCCTGTACTAGCTTTCATTTCCGAATGCCAATCTCGTGTCGTGCCAATCTAGGATGACAATATAACCACGATCGTACCAATATCAATTAGTTTCAAACTGAAAATATAGCTCGTAGGAACAAATTTCTATCAAAACAACACAAAACAACACAAAACTTCAATGATAATTAAAGAACGGAAATAAAAAATCACTTACGATTGACGGAAAGAGTAGCAGTCTTTGTAACCGGGGACCCAGGCACACTATTGTTTGCACTACACGAATAAATTCCGGCATCATTGCGAGACAAATTAGTGAGAGCAGCGGCGCCATTTGTGTGCGATACTGTTCGGTTCATGGGATTCAAGATCGTTATAACTGGAGTTGGATTGGCAGCAGCAACAACACAGGCAATGTTGGCATTACCAGTTTCATTGACATTTTGCGGAGTAATTGAAAGGGAAATCTTTGGTGGCACTGTGAATAAAGAAAGAAGGTATAAATCTCACTGCAAAGCCGGAGGAAAAGTTTCATCAAACACTTTGGTGAAAGTCCAGAAGCAAAGGAGTAGATAAAACTGAGGCTTCAGTACGAGATAGGTAATAGGGTCACAAAAGAGGGCAGCATGGATTAATAAGATATAGAACGTGGTTCTTTCATGTATTGATATCAAATCTAAGCAGTTACCTTGAATATCAAGAGCTATCGAAGTTGTAACTCCATTTCCCATCATATTATGAGGTATGCAACGAAAAATCGCGCTGTAATTTGTTACGATTTCGTAGTTCAGAGGACCTGTGATGTATGTCCCACTGGAAGAGTCCTGGACAATTGAGTTGGTGAGACCATCGTAAAACCTGTACTGAGGTTCAGGGGTTCCACGAGCAGAGCAAGTTAACGTGACAGACGAACCATTGACAGGTTTGTTGTTGGAAGATGTCAAGTTGATCTTGTCTGGTATGTCTGCAAGAATAAAGTGAGCAGATATAGAGCAATAATAATAGAAATAAAGAAATAAACAATGATAACAGAAATAAAGAAGAAATGCTGAAGAGTTGAGACAACTTTGAATGAAAGCAAAACAGTTTCGAAGTAAACAACTCACGATTGACAGTCAACGTGGTATTTCCAGTGACTGGTTGCCCAATTCCGTTGCTGGCTGTGCACGTGTACATTCCAGCTTGATCAGCCGTGACACTGCTTAATGTTGCATTTCCGTTTGTGTGGGTAATGGAAAGACCATTGGCATTTGTGATGGCGAGAGACGGAACAGGGTTAGCAGCTAAGACCTTGCATTGGATAACAGCAGTTTGTGTCTCATTCACTGCACTAGGTATTGCTGATACCATAATTCGAGGTCGAACTGAAATTTCATGATGTAATATGAGAAAAATCTGGTCTAGAGAGTGAATCTTTAAAAGTTGTTATGTGTACAATTCTAAACGGGCGTGAGTTTTTCGGCATTGAAATTGAATGGGCATGAGAAAATGCCACTCACTTACAATAGAGATATTGGAGTAAAAGTAATCTTACATTGATTTTGATTGCTCATTAAACAGGTAAAAGCTAGAGCAAAAAAGAGCTGATCAAAATTAACACAAAACAATTTTCAAAAAAAGCAATAAACTTTAAGTGGCAAATGCCAGGCGATGCTAATGAAAATATTTTCAAGTGCAAAACTCTTAACTATTGCAAGAAAGCATACCTTGTATTTCTATTGTCGTAGTAACGGCCGAGCCATTTCCTAGAAGATTGTACGGAACACATTTGTAAGTGACATTGTATGCACCACTGTAACTGACACTTGATATTGTGTACACCCCACTGTTCTCTGAACCGGAGCTGCTCACTAACACATTCCCGCTATTATCGACACGATAGAACCTGTATGTTGCCGCTGGGTAGGAATCTGAACTGCAATTAAAAGAGACTGCTGAACCTTCTGTTGGTTTGGCGACCGATGCTGTGAAAGCCGTGGACACTGGTTTATCTAAAAACAAGAGGAAAATAAAAACGATAAATAGTGTTAACATTTAAAAAACGAATGCATTTGAACGCAACAGATCTTCGGCTGGAGAAGATATCCAGAACTAGCATTTTAGCAAATAAAATTTCAAGGAAAACTATTGGTAATTCCACTTGATATAACTTTTAGGTGTTGTTCTCGTATGATCTATAGCTGGTGCAAAGAATAACATAATGGGAATATTGGTAGTGAAAAACTAAAATTCTTCGTTTTTTCTATCGTGCTGAAGTTATTATCTTGACAGCAATAGCGACGCAACTCGGGTCCCGTCATTAGAAATATCTGAAGCATATGATACATCTACTCTCAATTAGCAGTGACTTGAATTTGTGCCATAATTTCAAGAAAATTTCAAGGTACAACAAAAATTAATCGTATGTATGATATTGGCAAAGAAGCGATTTATATTTCATTGACAAAGACGAACCTTGTACTCTTGTTAATTTCATATAGTTTTAGTAAATCTTTTTAGTATATAGTTTTACTAAGATTGCAATAGGCAAGTCTGGCTTGAGAATAACATAATCAGTATATTTATAGTGGAATCAAAGAAAAGTGCAAATCATTGCCTTTCTTATTATGATGGTAAAGCTATCGTCGCAACAGTATTAAGAATTTAGCCAGGCAATGAATTCTAAAATATGAGTATTTGACGCAGTATAAAATATTCACTCACAATTAACAGTGACTTGAATTTGTGCAGACGCATTGGTGTATCCATTTTCCGCGTGACAAGAATACTGCCCACTGTCTGATTTACTGACACTGCTCAACTTCAAACTGCTACCAAATCTATTCAAAGGGTTTCCATTTTTCTGCCATTGTGTGGTTGGCAAAGGGCACCCTGACACATCACACGTGAGCGTAATATTTTGTGTTTCATTGGCTACTAGCGCAGATGTTCTTGGATTGACTTTGATATCATCTGAAAGGAAAGAATGGATATCATACTCATTTGAAACACTCCACCATTTAAAAAGACACTAAGTTAGACAGAGATTAGTACTTTTTTATGAATTATAACGCTAAGAAATAAAAAGTCTTAATTCTTAATTCTACACAGGTATAACGCTAATGAATTAGGTTAAAGACCTGTCGTGTATGTAGCAACTGCAAGCAACATGTCTTCACAATCAAAGACTCAACTATGATAATAGGAAATTTTGCTATCTATAGTGTCTGCTACATAGAAAATAAGAAAAACCTTTAACATGTACAATGATTACTACTTGAATAAAGATAAAATTTGTTGAAAAAAGAAAGAATACAACAAGAAGCTGCATTATTACTGATATCAAGAAGGGCAGCGTATAACTAATTACGTAAACACAAACCTGTCACAACAACGGACTGGGTCTTAACTTCTCCATCTCCTATACTACTTTCAGGAACACATTTGTAATTCCCATTATACCTGGTGCAGTCACTAGCATTTACAGTCAATGACCCACTGGTTGAACTTCCGATAGATTTATCGTTGACGTAGAATCTGTATTTTGTGACACTTGGTTTGCCAACTGCGCTGCATGTCAGTGTTATGTTTTGGTTTAGTTTTAGCATTGCTGGTACCACGGAAAACGAAGTGTTTTTTGGGCGATCTATGATAATAAAAGGGGTATATAAGGACTTATAGTTGCTAAAAAGCACATTGCTATATCAAAGTGCTAAAGAAAAGGTCTTTTACATAATAAAAGTCAGTTTTTTGTTGAGCTTCACTCCGGGTGAAGAAGTGCCAGGATTTGAAAATCAGGCTTACATTGACTTTTGAGCCTGACAGAGTTTTCAACTCTTATTTTCAGACCCTGAATTCTTTGCATCTTTTTTAACATGCCTCAGATTTTCATATATCAAGTGTTTAAATTACATACATATCAAACACATTATTACTCTCCACTACAAAAACTACAAAAGACAGAATGCTTAATTAATTAATAATCAATTTATTAAAAAACCATCAACTGATTAACGAGAAACACTAAGACGAAAGGCGAAACTAGATCAAATGAAAAAAATGAGAAACTTGGATAAATTGAGTTTGGTGCAGAATGTCAGCTGATTCTAAATATCTCTAAGCCTGGAAAAAGAGATTTTAAACACGGAAAGTACTGATAGTTAAATATCTTAGTATAAAAATTCAGCAGTAACAGAAAGCACACTCCAGTTGATCTTGCTTTGCTCTTTATTGAATGTTTTATAGCTTTGCATTTTAGCAACTTTGCAAATGAGTAGTGAAACAAATATATTTTATAGATATGCAAACAAGAAACAACATAAATATGCATCAAAGCAGCATTGAAGTGATCTTATTTGACAGAAGAATATTTAAGTCGACTTACATTGAACATTGATGGTTGTTGTGCGATTCACCGCAGCAGAGAACTGATGCGATGCAAAGCAAGTGACTTTTTCACGATTAAGTACCAAAGATGGATTTCTAATCCTCAACATTTTTGGTGTTGTTTTGGCCTGGGTCATATTTTTGACATTTCATGAATAAAAATTTTTCCCATTAACTTGAAGGCAAAGACGACTTCAGGTGTCTCTGCCCCAGGTATTAAGTTAAAACAATCATAATGGCTCGTTTCTCTTGAAAAATGCAAGGAAAACCTATAATTCTGCAACCATTTTTTAAAGGATACATTAACAAATGCATCATTCAAGCAAATTTTGTCTAAATAGAAGAATATCATTTCTAATGTAAAGGGAAGATAATTAAAGCGAAGCAGAAATAAGGAAGGTACAAAGCATGATCCTTGCGGTACCCTAACATCAGTTTCCGCTGTTTTGGGCGTGACACGGTTAACTTTGCAGAACTGTCTGGGATTGTAGAAATAAGAACTAAACTGTTGGTGTTCAGCTCCACCAATCAAACAAAGGTGCATTTTGTCCAGAAAGATTTGATTGTGAATCTAGGGGTGTCATAGATTTGAGAACCAACATCTAATAATAGTGATTTGATAGAGACTGTGCTCGTGTGGCAGTATCTCAACCAATTGGTAACACCTTAAGCTGTTTTTGTACATTTTGGTGCCTTTCAAAAGGCACAGGTTGCTTACGTTATAGTTATTCAAGGTTATTTGCTAAATTAATCAAACCAATTGATAAGTTTTCAATAAATTTTGGTTCCAAGGCTTATCTCAAAAAGAAGATGGAATTATAAGAACACGTATCATAAAAAGGGTTCAAAGATACGTTGAACACACAGTTCTGAAAAAGTACTAGTTTTTCGATGTTGAATAGATATTTCATTATTATACTATACAAAACCGTTTCTACTTACCAATTTTAGACAGTGCAACATCTACACAGCGCATGGTTTAAACACACCTGCGCAAATGACATGACAGAAAGAATATTGTAAATCGCAGAAATTGCCTTCAAGGAACTTACATTGAACATTGATGATCGTTGTGCGATTCACAGCAGCAGAGAACTGATGCGATGCAAAGCAAGTGACTTTTTCACCATCAAGTGACGAAGATGGATTGCTTATCCTTAACACGCTCGTCACTTTAATGATACTGCCACTAGTTGAAGTCGTTGATGACTGAGTTGCATTGATCGTTGCATTGTTGTATGACCACGTCACAGTTGAAACGGGTCGACTGCTCACAACGCACTGTATTGTCCCGTTTCTTCCTTCAATTAATGTTGTAGAAGCTTGCATCGATTCTGTATCGTTGAATGTCGGCAATGCTAGAAGTTTGAAATTTGAAATTCTCAGATGAAATGTAAATATTCGTCAAACAAAAATACCCAAAGCCAAATCTAAAGGACATCCCACAATAAGCCTACCACTCTTCAAGTTAAGCTTTCATTTCAGGTCACCGCCACTTAGTCTTTAAACCTGAAACACAAAAAGCCCAACAAATTGCTTCTTTTAATCACGTGCAAAGGTATATCTGCAAGTATTTTTTGTATATACTAGGGTATCTGCAAGTATTTATTGTCGAATAACCTGTGAGTATGTATTCTGCGAGTTCGGTGTAGTGAAACCTTTTTCGCACTTCATATGAATGATAAAAGGAGGTTTTTCACGCCAGGGGCAAATCCAGAACGAGTTATTGACTTCCTTACAACACGGTTGGGTGTGGGCGGTGCCCCAAGTAAACCTTATCGCACCAAGACCTTTAAATATTTAAAAATCGCTTATTTGAAACTAAAGGCGAAGAAAATGGCTATAATTTCCCTATGTGGAACAATCTTCTTCACAGTCTAATCATCAAACCAAAAAGTAAATAGTGATAAAAATTTACTAAGTAAGACTTAAGAAAGAGTAGGCAAGTAAAAAGCCAAGAAGATTATTGTATCCTAAATAGGGAGAAATGCGCTGAGTGTACCAAAATATATCATATGGCACAAGCAGCCCACCGGGACACCGGGAAATTTCAAAAATAGCCTTTAGTCTAACTTTCAAAATTTACATATCACTTGAATCTTGAGACCAATACATCATTGTCGCCCTTTCAAATGCACTCAATTCGACTGAAAATCTTCTTCTTCCCAAAGCAAATTGTGAATAAAAAGGATTTGATAGATTTGAATAAAAAAGAATTTCGACAAAGGGACATTTTTTGACGTTCTAAGTAGTGTGATTTAAAAAAATTTCCAAGGACAAACCCCCGAGCCCCCCTTTTTGCTCGCACCTTAATTCCCCATTTTGTCATGCATTGAAATGGGGTTTTAAGAATGAATTCTGACATAGTTTACAGTAAGCTGATTCTCCGCTACACAAAGTCTGATTCTCAAATTTCAGAAACTTTAGCACCTATTGGCGGCCTTTTTGTTGCTTTTCCCGGTGGGTGGAATGATAGCCAGTCCGCCACTCGCATGTGGCAAGCTGAGATTTAAATAATGCTGCCTAACATTTAAAATAAGGTCATATTTATAGACAGTTGGAAGGTTGGGATACTGTTTGGCACAAAAAACTTTTGCCCTTAAGTTTTTTGGAATCTCTTTAGCATTGTAGATATTTTCAGGGTTGAAGTCATAATTGATTATATTGTTATAAGATATTGTGTCTTTCGAGTTTGGATGTTGACATCATGCAATCACCAAGGAGAATAATGGTCTGATTCCAACCATGGGTTGATATTTTCAAATTGGATTTTGTCCATAAAAGACAAATTGGGTCTTTGTGTAATGAGTAGACAGCTTTCAGATTGACCTGACAGCCTACCAGTGTGTTTTGGAAAATAACATAATTGGGAAAAACATAATTGGAAGTTTAACAACACATGAAAACAACCTATGAAAAAATAGATTAAAAAATCTCAGCATTCACTTCAAGCACTGATCATAATTCTGAATTTTCTCAAAACAATAATTTTGCACATCTACACATATACACTTTGAGAGCCAGAAGACATGTCTATCCAACTTTCTAGAGAAATAATTTGAAACTGTATGTGGAGGTCAAGAAGCTGTTGTTTTTAGGTAGCTGTCTGGAGTCGCCATTGTTATATTTCTAGCTAGTAATGACCTTCAATACGTGATCAGACGTGCCCGAGTAGTCATCAAGATAAGAAGGTTTCGCAGGAAGAAAGCTTTTCGAATTGAGTAAAGTGCAAAATTTTTGGTATCGATTTTTCGCAAAAAAAGCAAAATTGCATCTTTCGCAAAAAGAAACTTTCACGTTTTAGTGAAAATCGTGAATTTTGCGCGGAAAACATTTCTATTGAACCGAGGTTTCCTTCTATTTTTATCCCACCAACAAAACAACGAAACCAATATTAATATCTGTTCAAAACAACCATTCGTCATCAAAGTTTCCAAGAAGATCAACAGCAAAATTTTCTGGATATTTGACAAAAATAAACTTTCAGTCAGTCAAAATTAAAAATTACAGAAAATTAATAAGAATATTCACAACATTGCTCAATCTCTCTCTGAAACAGTCAATGCTTGAGCTTGTGATCACTGACAGCGATAATATATTCCATTTGTGTATTGTCCGGGGCAGGGGAGAAGCCACAAAAGGTTTTCGGAGGGGTGAGAAATGATTTTTGCCGACAAAAATGGCGTGTTCCAATCTCTTTAAAGGTGTGGTTAAAAGATAAACACTCGTATTTGCTGCTTTTATGCGTTTCTGTTTCAAAGTTTTTACTTTAATGCCATATTGTGAAAGTTCAACTGCTACAGAAATGTTAATACGTTACAATTGTTGTAAAAAGGTCACAGGGTGAGTACAAAAATTGCTTCCTTTGCCCGACAAAAATCCTTAATGTGCCGACGGACATAGTTTTGGGGGGTACCGCACCCCCCCCCCCCCCTTTGGCGACGCCCCTGGTCCACGGGTGGTTTATAAGTCAAGAAAAGAATTAAAAAGGGGTTTCATTTCTAGTGGTTAAAAATTCAGCAAACCTATTAGAAAAAGTCGTTTATTGCAGCGAGTCTTTTAAAAAGCTGTCCAATGGACACAAGGGTAAAATATTTACATCTTTGTGAAGTATTTCCAAATCAGCTCTGGCCTTCAGGCAAGATACATTTAATCATAGTTCAATTCAATCGCCTGGGTGAAAACGGATCCTTACAACCAACTTTTCTCCATTCCCAATAACATGTAATGGTTTGGCTGGTATCTGAGAACTTGATTGCAGCCTAATCGCTGTTTTCAGTTGATGACGAGTTTTGGCAAAGAAGTCCACCCTTCCTATAAATTTTCAACAATCTAAGTATCGCCTCGACTTAGGACAATGGAAATTAGCATGCAACCCTTCTTACTTTCTTTATTTAATCTATTCCATCAAAGGCTTTTTGTTGGAATCAATCAATCCATAAAAGGAAACTAAACAAAGACTTTTCCGAACAGAGCTGAAGTGGATTGAAGTGGATTTTAGATCTCAGGTTTCATTACGAGCTATTTTTAAAAGGTTATTCCACAACTTTACAAGACCTTTCCTATTTCAGGTGAACATTACAAAATGACGAAACGATGGGACATATTGATAAGACAAAGAAAATGTTGCCTCGGATTGTCCTTCAGACAAAATCCATTTTAGTGCAGTTTCTGGCCATCCCTAAGTTAACATATTTCTCCACTTTCAAATACGTTTCGCCGGCCCAGCATAAACCTGGGAACATGACTATCTTCCATAAGAACTGTAAGAATAGTCGAGAACTGCAATACTCTGCAGAGTGGGTGTCGAACAGAAAAATATGCATAATCAGGACAATTTTGTATTTCTGTTTATCGGCTTGGTATCTTCAGTCATAGATTGCTTGGTAACAAAACCGACCAAGCCGGAACTAAACAAATTATTAAAGCAAGGTCTGCTTCAATTGAATATAAATAGAAAGAATCACTTACAGTACACATTTTGCAGATCATACTTCTGGCTGTCAACCTTGGCTGGGTCACCTGAAGGTTGTTTGGCATAGTCCAGCTCAAAATAAAACTGGTAATTTTCATCCGTGAACAATATCGGAGAAATTGATACCATATGTATACTTCCAGCCGTAGAGGTGGTCAACCTCCCAACAAATTCTGCTGGTATTGAAGAGTCAAGTACAAAACGTGACGTAAATTCATTGTAACTGTAAAGCCTGGCAAATGCCACTCCTGTCTTTTTATATCCAAATTTCATTAGAGTATAGTAACGACTTGGCGGAGCTGGATCAAATGCATCTAATACAAAGTCAATCTTGGTGCCATTCAGTATTGCTGTACTTGATGGCAACGTCGCATTAACAGTGGCACTCTCCACCGTCCCTGAAAGAAATAAAACGAGTGGTCAGATACTGAAATACAATCTTTGTTGAACTTAACATGGACAAGATAGAAAACTGAAACATGGATACAACAAAGGCTATACCAATTCAAGTTGTAAAAAACTAAACATTTTAAAAAGATAAATGTGGCAAGGACTTATTTTCCAATAAATTTCGAAAACAATTTTTGGCAAAAACGACAGATATTTCCAATTTTCACAAGACAATGTCAAGAGCTTTTAAAAAGATTGATAACAAACATTTTTAGCCCTTGAAACTAAAGGAACAAGAAAAGAAATTCAAAAATATCTTAAAAAACTCCTGGAGAATGTTTTTACACATTCAACTTGAAAAAAGTTATTGACAAATTGTGGCAATGGTCAGCTGGTCAAAATGTGCAAGTTCTTCCATAAAAGAATTTGTGGGAATTCTACTCATTGTTTGTAGACCAACGAAGTTTATGACACCTAAAGTCAAAGAATAATCGCAATTTGCAAAGAAATTTCAAATAAAGAAAAACACTTTTTGTCAACTTATTTGGTCTTTTAATAAGAATGCAACACAAAAATAGGCAATGCTGTTGAGCTTGGTACGGGGTAATACATGATTCCTCAAACTTTTATCTTCCGAAACAAATTTTGAGGGGAATTATACTAAATAATAGCCAACAATTACTATTACTTCAATTCTAAGAAAAATGAATGAAATCAAGAACTTAGGGCCCAAAATATGGAATTCGGGTCCAAAATATGAAATTAGGGCCCAAAATGTGGAATAGCCTTCCATCAGCATTAAAATCAACATCCAATATCAACAACTTTAAGCATAAGATCAAAGAGAACTTTTTCTAAAACATAGTAAAAAAGGAAGATGGCACATTTGTCTACTACTAAGGACGGCTTGTAACTAACAACAGTAAAAAATTTTTATATCATCCTTTTTTCCTGTTGTTTCATTTTCCTGTAAAACTAGCACCTCTAAGGGGACCATTATGGAAATAAGTTCAGCTAGACCATTTAATGCTATCCCTGCCACTGAAATTAGGAGTGACTATCTTCTTTAATGTAAATTATTGTATTACATTCTTTTTGACTTTTATAACATGTAAATACTTTTAGTTTGGCAAATTATACATATACACATACATTCACACATACATACATATGTTACCAGCTAATTTCTTAAAATTCGCAGAAACTTCAAACTTGAAAGGTTATATTCTTGAGGAGACTGACAAAATTTGTCTCATTGATAACAAAAGAGATTGTATTAACATTTCTTTTGCGGCATCGATCTTATAATTTGTATAAATCCAATGAGAAAATATTGAATATTGGTGGGGGGGGAGTAAGATGAGATATAATAAAAATTATTCTTTTTGCAGAAAGTGCATTTCATTGAAAGAGCAGTATGGCCAACATCTGATTGAATCTGCTTGCTTTCATTGCTTGGAAGTACACCAATAGGACAAAAGTATTGGAACACCCAAATCAAAATAGCATAAAAAAATTTGAAGTTCTGCAAACTTATAACTTTACGCTGGAATTTCCCCTTTTCGCGTGACTTATCGAAGGTTAATTTTTTCCTTAAGATTATTTAATATTTCTAATGTAGTTTCCCAAAGTAGAATTTTTCCAGATTGGGTTTAAAAAATGTAAAAAAAGGGATGGTGATAAGTATGGGTTGACAGGTCCAATTGTTGTGTTTTGGTTGGGGTGAAGTACTTTTCACCAAATTTTTCTAGTATTGGCTTTTTGATTTGCGATCTTGATACCCTGACAAATTAGTGGCAATTACGAGAGGGCTCTAGGCCACCAGCAATGATTTTGGCTGTGGCTTCAAGCTCTTTACCACGTTCTCTGGCCATGGTATTAGAATAACAATTTTCATAACGTGCCCTTGAGGTGGCGATACAGCAAGGGCTGTGCGTCATCTTCGTTTCCTATGCCAACCGGCCTTCCCCTAAGCCCGCTACCCGCTATCAGACCAATAACTCCGTAAGTGTAGGCAGTCAGACAGCCCCTTGAAATTAGAAACAAAGGAGGTGTATTAACAAGACATTTTTTTCTTAAAAATGAACAACGCGTACATGTATAGCAGAATATTTGTTATCCAGTCGTTACGTAGGGAAGAAGAAATGCACTAGTTTCATGTTCCTTAATCAATATAGCTATGGTTTTCTTTAACAATTCGTTTTGATGGTAAACAAAATCAAAAACACGATTTTTCAATTTTCTTTTACGGAGGAAAAAAATAATAAATGGGGATGGCTTGAGTAATGGTGCTTGGGGGTATTTTCTCTTCAATACAGGACAAGCATCAAGCCTGCAGGAGCGAAATCCCCCAGCATCATTATGTGAAAAAATGCTCTTATTTGGATTGTTTTTGAGCTGTTCAAAATTTCAAAGAACTAATACCAGAAAAATTTGACTCCCAGCCGCCCGTCCAGGGGGATGATGATGATATTGCATTTTGGGCTGAAAAGAAATCACAAGCCAACTGTGTCCAGCCTTCAAGCTGCTTTTGAATTTTTTATTGATTTTCAATGATTTTCAATACAACATTTGACCACAAGGTCAACACAAGCTTTATTGAGCTTCCAAGAAACAATTTGTTAGCCCCCTTTTTAGTGAAAAATGCCCCAAAGTTTGCATGTCCCTATATTACAGAATGATGTTGCTTTTTACCATGCTTCCTCTTGTACATGCTATTCTGTGTTCTTACTGCTGTTCTGAAATATTTAAATGTTGTGCTATTTACATTTTAAATGTAAATTTTCTCAACTCACCACCAGAAACTTTGGTAAAAAATTTTTTTGACTGCACACATTTCTCCTTGCACAAATGTTTAAATAATTTGCATAACAAGTGTTCATGCTCATTTTAAAGTAATATTCCTTTTGAAGGTGATACTGTAACAAATAATTTTTCTTTATTTGATAGTTTTCAAGGTGCTAGCAGCCAAAAATGACCTTAATTTAGTAGCACTTCTTTGCCATACGCAGACAAAAATAAACAGTAAAAACAGTCAAGATAAGAAAGCATTTTGCTGCCTAAATCCATATCATTCAAATTTCCATCACCACAACCATGCTCATTATTCCACCCTCTAGAATGCATCTAACCCCTTGAACTAACCTGTACATGCACTTATTTTCTAAATTAGTGGCTCTGAAGAAAGAAAGTTTACCAGGACAAAACATCAGTTACCAAATTCTTACTTTGTGTACTTTTGGAACGTTCCATTTTTCATTGTATTTGTTATTTTATCTAGTATGCCACAAGTATTATTTTGGAGTCTGCCATGCAATTCAGCTACAAAAGTCAATTTACATTATTTGCATTAATCAAGGTAGCACTGTTTCTTAGATTAAAAATATTGGGCCTAATGGAAATGAAGTAAAGAAAAGAGTTAAATGCCTCCCGGAATGCCATCAATATAACCTACACAAAAGAAATTAAAAATTACTTTAGAGAAAATAAACAAGAAATTAAAAGAAACAAAAGAGAAAAAGAATAGTAATTCAAAACGTGGAACTGCGCATGCGATAGATACAATCGGGAGTTTAAGGCGTGTGTGTAGGCGTGTGTGTGCGATCGCACGCCTATTACTACCAGGACTGTATCTACCTTTGAAACAGAAATCTAAATTTGAATAACTCTTGGCAATTGATTTAAGTTTGAAGTAAGAATATACAAAGTGACAGTAGATATCTCAAAGGGAAAATTCTTAATTTCACTTACCATAGAGAGAAGTCAACAAACTTGTCCAAAGTATGATTCTAATTGAAAGATGCATCCTTTAAGTTGTGTCTTTTTTTTCTTGTATAAACCTGCAATTTGAAAATAAATATATAATCTAAATGTTTTTTAGCTAAATTTAAAACTCTAAAAAGTTACTGTGAAGTTTATGCCTAACATAAACCAATGGAAAAAGTCCCGATTACACCCTAAGCCAATTATGTAGTAGCTAAAGAGGATTCATCAACCCTTGCTGACTTCTTACATAAGACTGACTTCCAGGATACAACCAAAAACAGCATATTTTCTCCATTTTAAAGACAGTAAATAAAAAATCCTCTATGAGTTGAAATTCTTAAAGGACAAGGAGTTTAATTGTCAATTATGAAGACTGAAATGCATCATGAACTGTCTGCCCATGACAAAAACCCTTTTTCATGACCATGTCTTCATTTAGAATTTTGAGCCAGCTCTGTGAAAACTAAAAGCTTACATCAAAACCTTTTTCTTTTAAATAACTTAAAAAAACTTAATAATGTTGTCAATCATTGGGGTGGTAGATGATACACAATTAGAATGGCTTAATATGGATCTTGCCTGAATGAAGCCTGAATCCAATAACTGTTTAGATACAATACAATGTTGTACTTGATACAACATATGTAATCGTTGTCGATTGAGATTTTAAAAACAAACTCGCATATATGTGAATGAATTATTGGGGAACAAGATTTTTACTTAGTTTGTGGTCAATCCTCCTTAGAGACCTTAGCTACAAGTCTGTATAGGGTGTCACACGTTTTCATTTTTGGTCATTACCCAATTATTGCAACAGTAAGTCTAAAAAGAAATTACTATAAGCGGCAAGTTATGGGCTTGTCTAATATTAAAATGACAGTAGCAACATTCCACTCATGGTGTGTCCTTTTTTGTGTAGTTCTAAATAATCTCTTCACTGATACTTTTAACCATTATCACAAGACGAATTATATCTGGTTGACTTAGTTAGAAGTCTGGCCACACAATGTCAGGCTTATGAAAGTAAAACTGCCTAAACTTTTAAAACGAAAAGCGATATAACAGTAACACTACATCGAAACGTTAACCAATCTGAATCACCCAGTAGACAAAAATGGCTAGCTTCTCATCTAATATTTCAAAATCAATGCGAATATAAAAAACAAGAACTATTTCCGAAACACGAAAAGTATTTTCCCGTATCATTCAATAATCAATAATAGTCAAGTAAATCCGAACCCGGAAACGAAGGTGAGTGCCACCGAGATATCGGGTGACAACTGGTTTTGTAACAAGGAAACAGAAATACAGGGCTTTGGACCCAGGTAACGCGAACAAATAACAGAAATTAAATGGAAAATGGTAGAAGACTGAATGCAAAATTAAATTAAAAAATTGGATTATGTGAACATACAATTAAAACTAGCTGACGCTGCAAATGCCGCAAAGATATAGATAATCCCTAAATTCAACCACTGAGACAACTGATTTTCTTTGTCTTCAAAGGCCTAGAAACACTGTGATAGATAGATACAATTTCCTAATCCCTGATGGCAATGATTTTCTGCTTCCATTAGCAGCATTATTTATATCGCATGTCATGTCAATGGGCCTATAAAATGAAACAGAAATGTGCGGTAGTATAGTAGTATGCACTTGTTGCCAACTGGCAAGCGACCGCCACCCTCCCAAGCAACGAACAGGAACTTTATTGACACTAAAAGCAACTTTACTACGAATATTTCCATCAGTTATAATTTGCTGTTTATATTCGCTATTTCCACAAATAACGTAAGATAAAAACTAAAAGACGAGAACTTGCCTTCTCAAATAAATATAATGTCGACGGCCACTGTTGTCGGATCAGTCGGCTGTGATTTCCATCCAGGCCTTCGTGAAACCAACAATGGTTGTTCTTCCAATTGTGCAAAATTCCTACGGTTCCGGGCAAAGTTTTCTTCTCACTTGCAGTTGCTTTCTAGCACAAAATAGATGGTGAATCATTCAAATTCCCTCAACTTCGGAACAAATGAAAACAAAACTATTAATGCTGCATTGCTTCCTCATATTACCAGCCTTAAAGACCATACAGGTTGTCGATCGTGAGTGAATCATGCTTAGGCAAACTTGGACGGGGGGTAACAATTTACTTTTCTTGGTACTGATTTAGATTGGCGGCTGCAGAGTAGTGTTGAGATTTGCTGGACTGTACCGAGAGTTGCTGGACTGGCGCCACATCAATGATTTTCTGCAAAAGCAAATAACTTTTGTTGACCTTCGAAAATTGTTCCTCCGTTTCAAAATTTTACTGAGATATTCTGCTCTAAAGCTTGCAGACCTAATTTTCATTCTTGGGCGTCTATGAGGTGCAGGGGTACCGTTCTTAAACATTTAGGAAAAGGGGTTGTGCTGTAGAGAATTACCCATTACCACACCCCATAACCACGCCCTATGTACTTGTTGAGTTTTCTGTTGCTTTCTGTTGAGTATACGAAATCATTCAAGCTATTCACGGACACAAAAGGATTGATAGAAAATTGGTTATTGAGAATCATAATGATATAGGGTTAATTCACATTTTCAAGTAAGAAAATCGCTGAACCAAATTTACACTTGCTTGTTAAAAGGAAGCTGAGCCCCCGAAAAACCTCTCTTCATTTTAGCAAGGGGACTGGGCCCCACCACCCCCGAGCCAAATAGATATGTTTGTAAGTCATTCCAAAGTCTTTGTCACTATATATAAAGTCTTTGTTGAGTTAGGTAGCATTAGCTGGGTTTCTAATGCACGTGGTTTTCCGTGAACAGTTGACTCTGGTAATGCCTTCGTTATTAAATCGAAAGTTCGAGAAAATTATCCTAAAATTGCAATTTTGTATTGCACTAGCAACAAAACAGAAAACTTCCTCAAAATTCTGAAAAAAATTTGGCTTTGTGGTGCCTAGATATATTCTTAAGTTAAAGTGATATTTTCTTTTTTAAAATCTGATATGATTTCAAGGGGAAATCTCCTGCCCTCAAATATAAAACAACGCTTTTTGAAAAGGTAGATATGTCAGTATGCGATTCTTTGTTATTAAAATTTCAATACAGGCAACGACTGAGAAATAAGACACAAAAATGCGAGCTGTGGCTGAGCAAGATTGCCTAAATATTCTTTAAAAAAAGTTTTAAATTTGAAAGTTATCTTGATTTCATTGATAATTTTACAGGAAGAAATGCTTGTTAAAATTTAGGTTGAGCGCACATAGTCTAGAAATTTGGAAAGTCGGAACTGGGAAAATGGGAAAAAAGACGAACTCAATTCTGAAAAATATTTCAAACCGATTCAAACATTGCATCAGTGTAGGGAATAGCGTCCTACACTCTTTTTTATAAGAAAATTTTTATAAGAACACGAGCCTCAAAACTGGTCAACATTTGAGAACAAATTAAGAACAAGCTGAGGCTGAGCTACTGCAAAATACAAGTTTGAACAACGCCTTTTCTCAAAATCGAGGATTTTTAGCGATGTGTGGGTGCTTTTCGGCGAATATTCAAATTTGTCAGCAAATTTAGGCTGTCTCACTCACTTTGTTGGCAAATGAGGCCTGAACACCTCCTTAGAGCGAAAAAGCTAGCAATAGCACTGCCTACACCCTCTTAATTTAAGAACAAATTAAAAACAATCCAGCCTCAGATTTTCGAAAAAATTAAGAACAGTCAGCCTGAACTTAACATTATTGGTTCTTATAAAAAAGAGAATGTAAGTGATGAAATTTGATGTTTTGTCTACTTTTTGCAAATCATGAAAATCTTTTGAACAAAATTGAAAATAGATTTAATGCTGCTAAATAGAAACCGACCTACATTTTCAATTCGTTGAAAATCTTATCCTAAAATATCCCTATCTTATCTTATCTTATCTTGTTTTTTCACAATTACATTTTCGTATTAACAATAAATTGCTTTCTTATATATTTATGTAACATTTAATGTTCGAAGTTCTGTTTTTCAGTTTAGTGATCATGCAACGAAGTAATTTGAAACTTAATTTTTTATGTAAATTAGAATATGATTCAGAACCTTTTGGTAATTGGTATAACTGTACCTAGGCCTAGTTGTGAAAATTAATTTGCTTTTTGCATCGTTAACAGGTAAGAGGCCCTTTGGCATAGATATCTGTGATTATGAAAGAGTAATTTGTAACCAAACCACACCCCCCCTCCCCCCGAGTACTATGTTTATTAGAAATAGAAATGCCAGTTCGAGTCACAATGCTGACAAGAACAATATTTTCAAATAAAAAAATCCTGACAGAAAGCAGGAAACGCAACCATGGAAACGTTTGTTAAGTATTCTATCTGCCGGGGGATAACACTTGTAATGATAATAGATGGAAAGATGGATTTCAATTTTATGATTATTTACTAGCGTGTTTTGAAAGTCGCTCAGTGAATAATGGAGCTATAAATCATTCCCAAGATACTACGTCACGAGCTAAAATAGCAAAATCCTTAAATTATCGGTGGTTTGACGTCTGAATAACAGGTTGCAGACAATATTGGCAATTACAAGAGGATTTTTCAAATGACACTAAAAAATTGCTGTGCCCAGGAACGTAGGGGCCGGGGCCACGTGCGCCATTAGCATTTTTAGAAAGACTCTTTATAATATTTGGGGAATGCCCCTTTTGCCTACTGGCCCTGAAATTTAGAAATACTTCGACTTTCCTAGCTGTGTTGCGAAATTGCAACAAACGAAATTTTAATGAGTTTTGAGCCCATCATTACTAGCTTGAGCCCCAGACTCCAAATAGTTTGGGGTTTGGAACTCAGGCGAATCATCACTGGCTCGTAGCCAGGGGCGTCACCAAAGGGAGGTACGGAGGCACTGTATTTCACAACACTTTGTCTATCAGCATTGGCGGGCAAAAGAATAATTTTTTTCCCCTCCAACCTTTTTGCAACAACTGTAACGCATTGGCTTTTCTGTAGTAGCTGAATTTTCAAAGTATGGCCCTAATGTGTAAATTCTGAAATAGAAACGCATAAAGGCAGCATATGAGGTTATTTTTCTTATGACCACTCCCTTTTAAAGCAAAACACGCCCTTTTTGTCATCTAAAGTCATGTCTGTACCCCTCCGAAATTTTTTTGGCTCCGCCCCTGCTCGTAACTAGAGGCACAAAGGGCTCGGGCGCACTAGCAGTTCAAACATGATCAAATCGTGACAAACGTAATCCCTATTGTCTTTTAACAATAGGTGTTTATCTGCTATGTAACGTTTCTAGTGCGCCTAGCAAAATTCTTTCTTGTCCAAGTGGAAAAAGCTTGTCTTGAATTTCAAGTTGGACAAAGATAATCCCATTTAACTTTGATAAAAGTGCACCCGGGCCTAAATGCACGGATGATGATTGATAAACCAGATTCCAGCAAGAGCGATACTTCTAGGCAAGACAAGATTGGCTCCAGTCAAGGGGCGTCTTGGCTGTAGTTCTGTAGAGAGGGCAGACTTAGCAAGAATCCCAAAAAGGGCATATTTTTTAAGACCAAGATACTATAATTTGTTTGGAGAGGACCTACCCTGATAAGTGGTTTTAGCAACAACCAATTGTTTACAATATTAAGGTCAATATCACAATTTCAATGTCAGTTTACAATATCAATTTACTCTCGCTACTAAATATTCTTTGTGGAGCAGATTATTATTCTCCTGAATCAAAAGTAAAATAAAAGAATCAAGCAATAGACAGGAGCAGGAGTGAGGGGTAGACTTGCTGTACCAATGTGACATTTTTATCATGTCTTTAAAAAATATGGCTTACAAATAAACAGGTTGAGCAAGAGCAAAAATGCGAGACATGGCTTGAGAACCTGGTCATGCAATCACCAACTCTCATTCCTTTCCTATTATTCCTATATTTTCTATTACTCCTTACATAATTTACACTGGTCACGTTGCTAGATGTATTAGGGCCGGCAACTCGAGCTTCAGATAGATGGACATTGAGTAGAAACCATAGCCCTCTAACATGACAGGGCAATGGTCCCCTTGACTCCCTGTTCTTACTTGCTGCATTCCTTGCGTATGTTATTTAAAAATATAAGCTAATTCTCTTTGTCAAAGTTCTCTTTGTGAATAGATGGCTTCCAAGTAAATTTTGTTGTTTAATTAATGTTGTAGTTGTAGTAATTGAAAATCCTATTCAAAACTTATATTTTTGTTATAATGTTGAAAGAACTACTGGCCAAAGAACTACATCAGACGAAAAACAGTTGTATGTTACCCGAATAGTATTATTTTGAGAATGTGACGTAATTTGATAATTGAAAGAAACAATGGCACTTGCTGGTGGCCTAATTCATTGATAACTTTGTTATAACTACTTGTTCTTGACTTCTATTCTGTTGATAAAAAAGCGAATAGGAATCGAGATTGGAAAAGTACCTGCTAGGATTGTTCTGTAAAACCTGTACTAAATAATGTTTAATACCAAAGATAGGCATCTAACTTTAAAAAATGATATTTTAGTATTTCAACTTTATTTATCTTGCTACCATTTGGTGCTTAGCAAGACGCTATTGGTATTAGTTTTTTTAATCGGGAAAATGAAGATGGGCAAATTGACTTTGGTGCTAAGTCTTGTACTAATCTTTCTATGCATATATACTCAAACAAACACATCAAATGCTTAATCAAGAAAGGGGATTAAAGTAGTCATTTAAAAATTTACAGAAGATCCATGGGTGTTGTTGTCGAACAAAATACCGGTTTCTTTAGGAAGCTTCCTACAAGTGCAGACTTCAATGTTACAAGTTACATAAATCTTTCGGAGTCTGTAAAACTCGGTTTTCTAGAATCAGGTAATATCGAGTGACTTTCTGTAGGACTTCAAGTCTACCAATTTTTCTGCAGTGGGTTAACATGGCACTGACAATAGGAAATCAATTTTACAAAAGAGGTTGTAAAATTCTACAACAAATTTCCTGGCATTGCCAGACTATGTTCAACATGTCAAGAACATGAAGAGCAGAGCGTGTTTGTATTTATAGAAACTTACCCACTGAAATCTTAAGTCAATGCCCCTCGAGAGAGGCAAGCTGGCAACTGGATCCTCTTGCAATTCAATACTTCATGAAGGAACACCCATAAATGAGAATTTTTAACGTGCTGCAAGCGAACATCAACCGTAAATCCTTACAACATACAGCAGAAGACAACTGAGGCTCATGTATTGAAAACCATATCTTCAGAAACTGATACTTGCTACTCGAGCTTCAGGCCAACAGGGTGCCCGAAAAATGAAATCAGATCGCTCACTTTTATTATCCACGTGTTACTAACACATTTCTTCTGACTGGCTCAGAAGTTTTGGTGTAAGTGTAGGTATTAGTGTTCTCATGTTCTCTATTACAAGGGGAATGATCCATTCAACTTTGTGGTCTCCAAAGATTTTATGGCCGCATGGCGAGTGTTTTTTGGTTTCTTTGAACAGTTGTTCATAGGGTACCTAAGGTTTAAGTTGGCTGATAAGCAAAGGGCAGGCTTTGAAAAAGGGTCATTGTGATGGCGTCAAATAAAACTGATTTAGAATTTTGTATAATCTAATCTAAAAGAAAATCCTAAACTACCTATCAATTTACAAGATCAGTTTGATTTACAAGCATAAACACAACCGCATCTGGCATGGACGTTGCGGATGCTAAACGTTAGTGTGAATCTTGCTTGAATAATATTTCTTCATTGAGATAGAGCTGCCCGAATATAGCCCGAAATGCGATATCCGAATAGGGGGCTACAGCCCTCCCAGTTCCTATGACATTTGGTTTTGCAATTTCTAGCACAACCTCCCTCCAATTTAAATGGCAACATAGTTAAGAAACTCTTAAGAAGCAATGAGAATTAGAATTTTCGAAAGCGTCAGACAGACCGCGACGAGAAACAGAGACTGCACAAAGAGTGTAGAGTTGAGTTAAGCTGGACTGTAAGCAAAACTGAGTAAGTAATCAAAAATGCTCCCACTAGCTTTAAACGTTTTTAGAATGGTTCTACCATACTTGACAGGATTGATTTTCTTATTTGTTTAAGCTGACGAAAGAATGTTGGAGGAGGGATAATAATTTTGGTGAAGTAATCGGTGATCAAATTCAATGACCTAAACTGCCACTAGCAGGGCCGCATTTACGTCAAATACACCAAAAAAATTGCATCACGTGCATAGTACTTGGTTAAACATAATCATAATCAACCAAGTTAATACTCACTAAATAGTTTAATAGATAAACGCTATAAGAGACGAATAAAATTGGATTCATTTCGCATTTCAGTACATTCCCAATAAAACTACTCTTGCCCCTTGGCTCATGACGCTAATGTCTTTCGTCTTTACTTAAAAGCTGAAAACTTTTCCATGATTTTATTGGGGTTTAAAACTCCTTGGACATCAAAATCTGCTGCCATTAAACATAAGACAACAAACATACTGTGACATTGTGGACCTTAGTTCACTCTTTTTCCTTACCCTTTTAGCATGGTAAAACATTTTTCTCCGAAGGAACTTCCGTATGGCAAATAGAGCAGCAAGTGCTGTCATGGCATTGGGGAAAATCCAGCCAGGGCCACCAAAAGTTTCGAAGGAAAAAAACAGAATATGAGGCCTCCTGGGAGCGGAGCGAGCTGAAAATTGTTGTGACCACGCCCTTTTTGCCATTCTTAAAATGGAATTCATTACTTTACGAGGCCCTGTAGCTCAATTCAAACACAAGATTAAAATCAAGAGCACTTCAAAGGATTTGCAAAATTTCGCTCGGGGCCACCTTAATTTAAGGATTTTAGGGGGGCCCTGGGCCCGAGCTCATTGGGCCCCATGGGTAAATTCGTCACTGGGCACTAGTAATAGAGTACTGAAGTGATGACGTCACAAAGACCATTTTTAGAATTTTTCAGTTTTGACCATAGAACCCAAAAAAGATTTATGAAATACCTCGAAAGCCCTGGCAAAACGACTAAACATTTCACTAAACTTTTTTTAGTTAAAGGTTTAGTGGAAAGTTTATTCATTTTGCCACCCTGTTTAGTGTTGTTTAGTCGTGTTGAGTGTTGTTGAGCAAATTTAATTCTGGTCAAAAATGTTTAGCGTTGTTCAGTGTTGTTTAGCGAATGTTTAGTCGTTGTGCCACCAATTAAGAAATTGTTGTTTATGTTGTTAGTATTCTATTAGTAAACTTGAAATCTTTCATTGGCCATATCACACCCAATTTTGAACATATTTAACTGATTTTGAATACTGGGATTTATTTTGCTGTTCTTTCAGGCTATGTGGTCCAAAATAGAAAATTTTTAAAAAATATAATTTTTATGACGTCACATTTCGGTACTCTATTAGCCAAAATTAGCCATAGGCGTTTTTAATTGGTAGCACGGACTTTCCCCCGAGCCAGAAAGACATTTACTGGCAATAAAGGGGGCGTGACTTTAATTTATTTTGTCTACCTCTAGCCTTCAGACAGCAGTCAGAAACGTCCTTATCAAACGGGACTGTTGACTAAATATTCGTTTACAGGATTTAGCCCCGGAACATATATATTCTGTGATTTTACTTATTGCGAGTTGCGACCTCATGCTTACCCTGGGTACCTCATGCTAGGACAGGCATCTCAGATCAACCTTCTTCTGCAAAGACGTTCAGAAGAAATTTTACTAATTGCCAAAAGATCACAACAAAGTCAATCTGTGTAAAGAAATTAAAAGTGTAACAAAACTTGATCGTTTAGGATATTTGATTCCATGAACAGGGTTTAACATGTTCTTTATGGCAGGATATCCCCATTGTTAAACTATCTTGACAACGGAAAGGAAAGAAAGTGAGGTACGACCTTCGATCAAAAAGTAGCGCGTATTTGGTAACAATTCTTGCGGAGTTTAACAAGCTTAACATTGCGGAGGTAAGTGCCTCAATCCACCTCTAAATCGATGTATCACGTAAGATAGACAATGAGAATCGAGATGCAAAAGTCAAGTTTCTTCATCCACATGGACCATGTGAAATTTTTACATGGCCAGCAAGAGATGACGTCTGCTGGGTACCTTGCACAAAAATAATGTGTAAAATAGAGCCCCAAAACACTACATCTGGTCGGGTTTACACTATAAGCAACATGGATTTGAACAATATCAACAGGAAATTTGAAGATTTTTTATCATGATATTATGGTTGCTTGCTGGTAGTTCAATTATGGTGGTAAATGAATTGAAATTGAGATTTATATAAATCTTGAGCTGTTATTGACAATTTTCAGATAAATTGAAATCTTGAGGAAATATATGAGGCTACACATAATGTTTCAGAGCTATTATTCTGCAAAAATGGACTGTAATTTTCAAATGCGTGTTACTCCTTGTGCCTTCACAAACAATTGATGAAAATTGTGCTAAATTAAGAGAAAGCTATTATGTTTCAATAAGTCTGAAAGGTTTGCTTGTATCTATTTGGCCACACCCTTAAATTCCAGGGAATTTGTGGACAACTCAATTTTTTCATCATTTTAGGAAAAAGCCTGATTTGTCTAGTAAATAAGCATCACAGATATTTTTAAGTTGCATTTTGAAATTTTCAGCTAGTTTTTTGGTTCCCTGCCAATTTTTAGTCTGATATCTGCAATAGTTTTTGAATTGTAACTTTTAAAGGAGATACAGGTCAGTGTGTACCACGCCCAATTTTCTGCAGATTTGCTGATTCAGCATAAATTTCGGATTGCTGTAACTTTTAAACTATTCAAGATATAAAGCTGAACTTTTGCAGTTTTTGTAGTCTCTTTAGAAGCTTTTATTGTGCAAAATATAACCAAAATCCAAGAAATGATGGTCACAAATTTTCTTTTCTCTGGATGATTTCACATGGAATGACCAGAACATCCAAGTCAGGGAAGGATTTATGCTTGCAGAAAAATTTTATGCATGGTTAAAAGATTGAAACTTAAGGACTTGGGGTCAAAAAACTTGCTAGTTTTTGTTGCAAATAAGGAAATCAACATAGTGTCATAGCTCCAGCTTGCTGCAGTAGACAGACAACCAGTAAAATGAACAATCATACTTTTAAAAAACCACTGTTTATATCAACTTACTTCCAATCAATATTTCAACATAAAACTTGGGCGAGAACAAGTCTGCAGAGTATGACTGATGCATGCACAAGAACAGTATAGTGCTGCATGCCAGAATCTGAAATTGGTAGGTTTCCGGCTGAGATGTTCAAATTGACCCAGCATCTATATAAAGATGACCCAACAATTTCATGGTAAAAGTAAAAGAAAAGACAAAACTCAATTCTATTTCAACTGCAATGTCAACAAATGCATTGTACTAAACAACAAATGATGTTCCCTCTAACACAAAATCTTGTTCCTTTGATAAAAAAACTAAATACATAACATATCTATAACTATAACTGTGCTAAAGGCTAAGAGCCTGTCACATATCTTTGGAGTGACTTTACACTGGATAGAAAATTGTACTAATATACCACTCATGTCAAGCCAAACACTAAATAGTAACACTTATAATTACCATTTTTCTGCTTTTTATTTTGTAGTTCTAATTAAAAATCTTAATTTGAGTTCCTCGGTACGTAGAGGGAAAATTAAAAAAAAAATATACCTAAACTAATGCTCAGGCCTTGAAGAATTTCAATTATAGGCCATACTTAGCCTCACTCAACTCCAGCTTCACTACAACTAGTGTCCATGAAAACTTTTGGACGGAGCCCCTGCCATATTAATACAAGCAAAAACTCTCTCTCTGGACCATTTATTGGTGTCTTTTATCCGTGACTTTTCGGACAACAGCCTTGTCACAAAATAGCCTTGTTTCCACTGCCCCCCTTTCCCGCCAATTAGATCATGCAATTCAATTCACTTCAGTTTTCATTTTAAAGGGGCCTATCGATAGAGTTTATGGGAGAAGCACTGCAGAAATATTGAAACGGAAGGTACTTCTAGTAATGTATAGTAAAAGCCAAAATCACTTTATGTATGTTCAAAGGCAGAATTTATTTTTCAGGTTGGGGTAGGGGGAGGAAAATGTAGTAAGCATATTTTATAACTATGTAGTTAGTTTAAAAGGTCCTGTAGCAACAGGGAAGTATATTTATATTGATTTTATTCGGTCCGAAATAATCGATTTAATCTCAAATGATTAATATATAACCAGACTCGCTGAAGAGCTATAGCGACACATTTATCGTTTTGCCCACTTGTCATATACAACATGTTTTAAAGTGGAAATGAATTTGGGCTGTTTCAGTTCCTTCTATAGCTATAGACTATATATAGTCTCTCGAGTTCAAGGCT